GGCGGGGAGAAGCGGGGAGCAGAGAAGTTGACGATGGTGGACGGGTTGGAATGGACGGGGAAGGATCGGGTTACAGAAGAGGGTTTGAGAGCGAAGTGATAGTAGGGCCTGATATGACGGTGTTTTGTAGCACTTCTGCACAGTGAAAGGCGCTGGTCAAAAAGACATTTATTGTTGGAAATATTGCACAACTGTTATCAAGCTCCTGCACATATACAGGGTGACCCAAAATAACGGAGACAAATTTTGGAAGGGTCCCACCGCGAAACCCGGGCGTTATAGAAACACAAGCGACAGTGGGTAATATTCTTTAAGATCTTCTCTATAATCCACGAAAATTTGGCGGAGTCATCATGTCGCAGTAAAAAGTTACAGCTTAACAAAAATGCCTTGCGCCGTGTTTTTGGCCCTCAATTTTGGTTTCCTTGTGTTGTGTAGAGCATGGCTGTACTACAGCCGCAGAAATGGCAAGTTCATTTGTTTTGCTTGACTACTACGTCTCTAAGCAAGCAGTTATGTAGGTTTCTGGGCTACGGTTTTTATTTCTACGGTGGTACCAATCTCAACATTGAAGATCGCCATTTTTTCCAAATTTTTTCGATAAAAAATTCAGTTTTTTTAGAATAAAGCTAAAACCGCTAGAACGTATTCTATTCATAAATACAATAATTCTGGAAAAAGCTGTGATTGCTTGCTGGTTGCAACAGATTTTCCTTGACAAGTTTTTCGCCCAGAACTACCCCATGGCACGCGGCTTTGAGAAAGATGGGTTATCGATAACAAAATGACAAGATAGATAAAAACGGCGCATTCTGCTCCTGTACACTTATGAATACGACTCTTGAGAATCAGCCTAGGGCACTTTCGGTCTTTATGTGTCACCGGCTCGACTGGTATTCCGCCTAAGGCAAAAATAAGGCAGAATTCTAGTGATTACCAAATAGCATTCCGTAGCAGTTACAAAATGTTTCTCTTTTGGTTCTATGGTGTTCCTATAATCATGTTCTAGTAACTCATATTACATTTTGCCTTCTCTAACATTTAAAGTCCTTTTTACGCCTACATTTTGAAAAAAGGCCGATTTCTGCACTCCAACTGCCTGAAAATACTCGGCTGTAACTTTTGAACCATCGATAGTTAAGCTGAGTACGATAGCTCATTTTAAAGGCCTTATTATGATAATTAATCACAGCAAATCTCAACCTATTCCGAGTTTTCTTTTTTGAGTAAGGCAGCTTTATTGTAAAAAGACCCCACGGGCAGAAGGGTCCGAGTCAACCGGATATATTGATGTCGTTCAAGGCAGAAGAGCGTCGTACAACAAAACTTCTGGTATATAAAACTACACTAACGTGGTACTGTAGTATAAATAAGGAATCACTCATGAATCTTCATAAGTCGCAGAAAAAACGGGAAATCTTTTGTCTCCGTTATTTTGGGTCACCCTGTAGAATCGTTCGCTAAAGGTTTTGCTATTTTCTGGTTGGTTACTCGCCGTTTGCCAGATATGTGCACCACTCGACTAGGAGTACCAAAAAAAATTACTTCCATGGTAGACAGCTGTGATTATTGGCAATAGGGTGGTGGTTAACCGCTACTATCGTTTTCCATGCTGGATACTCTATATGTAGAGTACAATTATTTGTCAGCGATTAGACTTGCAGCACTTCTTTCCCGACCCACTGCTATTATATTTACTACAATCTCGGTCCCTTATATTCCCCTCAGAAACTTAGATTATTGATCTGACCTTGTCTAATCGCCAAAGATATGTCTTTCAGATCACCGAAAAGCAGCCACCGCCCGGCTTCTGTTGCAATACGCCTCTATAACCAATATACTCCCTATGTTACATCACGGACTATTACACAATGTCCGAAACTTTTTTCTTTTACCCCGATACAAATTACTCGGCGCTATATCTATAACAGAATGTAAAACACCGTGAAACACCTGTAAATTCGCGCAATGATATGGTTATGAGCTATCGCTTTCATTGATGCAAGTGCCGGTGCCTGTTTTTGTTTAGGGAAGATATCGCGTTTGTTTAGAAAACAATACCAGCAAATTACTCCGAGGTGTTGCCTGCGGTAACCGGTGTTGAAGCGTGCTTCCATGGGTGTTATATGGCTGTTTATGGTAGTGATAGGCTGTTTAGAAGACTAAATGATGAAAGCAGAGCTGGTGCCATCGCCAGTTATTGGCAGCTTAGCTTGATTTTAGAATTTGTTGCCTGGATGTTGAGATTTTTTACATTCTTGTGGCCTGCCTATTTGTTGATGACTTTTTCGCCGTATAAGGTGGATTTCGAATATTTCTCCGGATATATATTCGTATTTTACGCTGCCTTCCTTCATTTCACGATTCTTTGCAACAAAAGCTCTGGAAAGAAAAAAATCAATCGTCCAGTTAGAGACAGCCTGCCTTTTCCGAGATGGGGGACGGGGAAAACTTTAACCCTGTCTAAAAGCTACCGACGAAGAAGAAAAATGCTTTTTTGCCCCCGACCAGGAATTGGTTGACAAGCAAGGCATAGGGGGACAAAATAGGTAAGTTGGCGGCTAATAAATAGGCTAATGAATAAGATTTGGAATACCAGAAGAATATCGAAGTGTTATACAAGACGTTTCAGGATTTACAAAGGCTGTGTGGCAATCTCAGGTAGTTTTTGAACTTACAACGGCGTAATTAGGCGATTTTAAGCTTGCGATTTTGTTGCCTGTCTATGTATGGCCCTCCGAAAGTTTTGCTAGAAAAATGAGTGAACTTGAAGACATGACACCTCAAAACTGGGTTGTGGCTCTAAAATGAAGCTGTGGAGCTACCCAACTTCTTAACATGGCAAGTCGTTGCAGTATCAAAGTTAAAAGTACTTGTTTTGCCCGCTTCTGACTTTAGCTACTGTCCCTGAACGGTCCCTTCAGCCCGACCCCCTCCCTATTTTCCGCCAGTTGTTCGTCCCCTCGCTCCTCTCCGCTCCTTTGGCTGCCATATGACCCTCCCCTCATTTTCCGTCTCCCCCCTGCCGTCAACCCCACCAGAGGCTCCGCCCATCGGCAGCCAGGTCTTCCCCCTTTGTTCTGCCCAATGAATAGTTTTTGATATATGGATAGATTGCGGGAGTGTCATGTCATGTTTAATATAACGATCTGTAGTCAATCAAAAGCTGTGAAAAATGGTGGAGATAGTGTGTAGGGCGGGTGGGGCCAGAGATGCGGGAGATAAATAACTCTCAAATAGAAGAAAGTTTGTTTTTTTCAAGGAATTTCGGGATTACAAAGGCAAAATATAAAAGGAATCTTTTTAACAGTTGTAGCGGGCTGTCACACTTACCGTAATGGGGAAGAGGGCTTCTGCGGCCAAATTTTCAATCTGTTACCCAAGTTTCACATCGTTATTTTGAGTAATTTTTGATTTTTTTCCATTTGTTTCCACTTTCACCAGTATTTTGCTGTATTTTTTAAAATTAAGCATATATAAATGCTATTGTCTTAAATGGCCATGATTCAGCGTCAATCAAAATCAACTTTTAATGGGTTTTCGCGGCCAAACGATAAATTTCCGGAGGGTTTTGACTTTTTTCTTGCGATTTATTGGACCTCAGATCCATTTATTTTAATTTCAAATTAATTTATTGGCAACTGCAAAAATTTCGGGCTTTTCAATTTTGCAGTTTTATGCTTTTTCTATCGCTACATCGACTTGTAAATTACTAGTCTTCCGTTCAAACGTTTTTTGACCTATTTCCGGATAAAAGTACAATTTTTTTGACCGTTTTCTTTTTTTGGACACTGTAAAAAACTCATAAGGAAATGGCCTGATAAGGCGGACTGATAAAGTTCCAAAGTTGTAAAAATGGAGTGTGAATGTTGCGTTTGGTATGATTAAGAACCGATTAGAACACAACCACTTTCACTTTACTTTTTCAAAATTTATTTCTGGAATTTTTTGCAAAATGATATTTTGGATGTTTCCTAAGTTACATTTATAAGTCAGGGATTGGTATTGACTTCAAAATTTCGATGGTTTGACATTATTTCTTACTTGTTACATTACATTTATGCAATATTTTGTAAGACTATCTTCTATGCTCGCTATGTTACGAGCAGTTCTTGCGAAAATCTTATTTTCTTCGAACTATCCTTATCTTTCTGCTTTTTGGTCAAAAAATCTCAATTTTTCGGGACCTAGCAATTTTCCGTCCTATTCCTATTTTCTAAGCAATCGACTATAGCCTCGAAAATCCTCATCTAAACCTTTGTTATGATAACTAATGGGTTTGTAACCTTTTATCTTGTAAAAAAAACTTTCGCTCTCATTTTTGACGAACTTCTCCGATTTTTATCTGATTTCTCTCTTTCACAAGCCAAAAAAAACTTTTTTTGTCCTTCCATACGACTTTTGAATTTTACCTGCCCCACAACAGCATTAAGCCCCCGAAATTTGCACTTTAATAATTTTGAGTTTGATTTTTTTTTATATTCAACGAATATTTTATTATTCATTTTTCGAAACGCAGACTGTTTACAGTGCATGAATACCGTACTTTTTACTGTAGTTCACTTCCCGATTTTTTTTCGAATTTGATGATATGGGCATAAGCAAGTTTTTCCTCTACGTTTTTGGCTGATGCGCAGCTGGATGCAAACCTTCGTAACGAAGGAAGAAAAAAACTAGAAATAAATCAGAGGCTTTGCTCATATTGTTGCAATTTCTTTGCTTTGTTTCATTTTTTTACAGTATGTGGTTGAATTTTCATTTTTTATAAAGTGCGACGCTGATTTCAAATTTAAAAAATCGCTTTATTCATAAATTCCAAAAAAAAATTTTTTAGGTCCATTTTGATCACCCCTTCTCCAAAAAATCCACCCAAAAAATTGGTCGAAAATTCTATACAGCATCCTCCCAAAGCATCCGGAGGACTTCCAATCACTACAGTAATGGACCCATCCTCGGATTATTGGAAGGGCCTTGGCCAAATTCCAACAACAACTAGCACAATGTCGATGCCGTTGGATTATGGGTGGGCTGGCACCAACATGTTCAACTGTTTCCCTCCTACAAGTCAGGCGTTGGGCTCGTTGAATCCCCTGGAACCCCACCTAACGTCGCTGGATGGGCCAGTTGTAAAGGACGAAATCAAACATGAGGTTGGTTGGGGTTTTTGGGATTTTTTTGAACCAAAAATTGGTTTGTTATGACTTCTGTGGGCAAAAAGGTCATATAAATGGAAAAAAATCAGAGAGGAATTTTGTTGCCAGAAAAAGAAACGGAAGAAAAAATCTTTATTTATTCCAATTTTTCAAACTTGAGTTCTTTGATTTATATCCCGAAAGAATCAAATAAGGCTTAAAAATCTAAAAAATCTTATTTTCATTTTCAAATTTTTAAGTCTTTTTTAAATACACCTCCAACGCCCTCCATTTTTACACATTTTCACCCTTTTCCGGTAATCTAAATAATCCGTCATCCTTATCGAATATCTAATTCATTACGGTTGGTTGGGCCTTCGAAACTATTGCTCACCTCCATCTGTGGGTCTCCCGGCGCGCGCCGATCGCCATTCCGCCTTTTATATGGCGCGTTTGAGGCGCTTATTGGATTAGAGGGATAATCGCCGATTCTAACTGTAAAAAAGACAATAGAAACGAGGGGAAAGGGAGAGAGCACTGGGGTGGGAGAGAGGGTTACAGAGAACGGCGAGAGTTTTTGATTTTTGAAAGAGACTTCAAAGTTAAAAGAGTGTAAGTGACGGGTTAGAAAAAAATTATTCCTCATAAAAAAGGTGCGTTTTATCAAAGCGAAATGTAGGACAAAACTACCCCAAGAACAGCCCGCAGCCCGCCATGACATCTTTTTGAGAAGAAAAATTTTAGAGAAAAAAAGCCCAGCCAAACAGATGTCGATCCAAATTTCTGAATTTTTCCTTCAAAAAATCGCTATTTCTGCTTAGCAATTTTTACGCAACCACCAGTAGCTAGCTCATCTCCCTTCTCGATCCGACTCGACATAGCTATCCCCGCACACTTTGACCTTATAGCGCTCGAAGCGAGTGGGATTAAGCTAAGACAATGGGAGTCGCTTAATAGCCATGAGACCTCATTATAATGCGAATGCAGATGAGACCAGATAAAGAAATTAAGAAAATATAATTCAAAACACTTAGCAGGTGGCTGCAGACGGGTACTGTAAATGCCTTGGTCAACGAAGTGGCTTGAATTTGATAAAAGGCAGATTCACTGGTTTGAACTGGCAGCAAGGCTATTTCGGCTGTTGAAATCCACTTGAACAAGGAGATAATTTAGTGGATTTGTCATTTTCGATACATTTCTTATTTGGCGCAGATCGTCTTCTAATGATGACGTAAGGTCGAGGGCCCCATCGAATCCATTATTTTCGCGAAACCCTTCGCCCCATGCCCACAATTTCGCCTAATGTTCATTGAATTCCCTGGAAAAAGATTAATGGCCGGGCACGGGGCCGACGGTGATTGATGACATCTCCCTTCTTTTTTCTGGACCCTCTCTCGGATATTAAGTCTCAACGAAAAAAGCGATGGGCTAAAAATGAAAAATACGGCTTGGCAGAGTCTTGATGATCTTTCAAATGAGAAATTAGATAAAGAAATAACTAAATTAGCAAAATGAATTAAAAATCAGGCATCACATGTCATTTCGGATGTTAAAATATAAAATGCGGTATTCAGGGTGTAGGCCAACCCTATCATGACCACGTTAAGAATATGGGTTACTCGTCTGAATCGCTGTAATCGTACGCTTCTAGGCGATTGCGCAAAAATGAAGAGGTTGCGTAATTTTGACCGTCTGTTTATAAAAAAATAACAGGTCAGCGGAAAACAGCGCTTCCGTATTTCGAGGGATCATATGGCTAGGAATTAAAGTACGGTAGGCCAAATTAAAAAAAAAAACTGAAAAGCAAAAAAATTCTTTCTGCAAAATGAGCTCTATCGTAAAGTCTTATTAAAAACTGATAGAAACACAACAACAACATCAAGAAGCAAGAAAATAGAGCCAACCTATGTTTTGCGAAAACTGAAATGGCAATGCAGCGGGCTTTAATAGACGGAGTTGACATAAAAGGTCGTATTCCTCATTGAGTCCGCTCGCTTTGGAAATAAATCATCGGACCAATTGGATTCTGGAGAACGAATTCCTGGAGGGATCGTTTGAGCGTTAAAAGAAGCGGTTTTGTGACTTTTGTAGGCTTTTTCGTCCTGTAGTTTTTGGTTGCACCTTTGGGGAAACTTTGAGAATTTTGATATTTATGGTTGAGCTCTGGGATTTTTGATAATTTCAAAGTGGCAGTGGAAGAGTAAATGGTGCCTGATTGAGCCGTAGTCGTTTTTTGCAATTCTAGCTCCAGTAACTTTAGAGTTTGTTAAATGATTTTTTAGCCACGAGGCAAAAGCAGGCAAAATTTTAAAACTTGTTTGCTGCCATGACATATAATCACTAAAATCCCATTTTTCTCTTTAAAATGTGGTATAACCGCATCTTCCGTCTAAAACAAACTTCCTACCCCATTTCCTTCCGTTTCAAATTCATCTGAATCCCTTTCCTTCCGTTAATAACTTCGTCGAACCCGTCGACAGAAAAGCGACGCCCGCCGATCGGTTATCATTTCCTGCTGATGATGATTGCCAGCGGCAGAGACGCACTCGACCCAAAATTTTCGAATGGCCGTGCGTCCGCCGCCCCGAAAAAACAGCGGGCTGCACGATGGGGGTCTTCATGACTTTGTAATCGCTCCAATCCATCTTCTCCTTGCCTCCCGTCCGCCCCAACCCCTCCGTCTATGGGGGCTAGTGTGTGTGTGTGTGTGTCTTCTTCGCTCTGTCTTTTTCGGTTTTTTGCCGACCAATCTTCTTAAATCTTTCCCCCCAGCCGTCTTCGAGAGTCGGGCGTTTGATATGTGTTTGTTTCAATCAATGAAGTTGTATTTATTACATGACATATACATCATGGAGTCGTCAAGTTTTTGACGAAAGTTTGCTTAGTTCGATGATTTATGGTAGTGAGTGAGGGAGACGCTGAGCGATGATAATAGTAAGGCAATTGATATCTTGGCGGTAATGTGCGACTGAGGCCAATAGAAATTATGAAATCATCCGGTAGACCACAGTTTGCAAGAAAACCAAGATTTGGTCAGTTTGCGAGGACATTACTCCCAAGTCGGGCCTTTTTCCCAAAAATCATCATTTTTAACCGTACTTTAATACCAGTCCAGGCCCGTTTTACATATTCATCTGGACTACCAGTTCTAAATAACTCATCACGGTCATTTTCTCCGTATTTTACTCAATTTCTCATTTTGCCATCTTTTCTTACTGCCTAACAAAAACTCCCAAAATCCTATAACTCAAATTCGAAACGTTTCCGGTCTTCTTCCTGATTTCCCATTGGAGCTAATCGAAAATGAATGATTATGACATATTATCATGTTCCTTTACTCCTGCCCCGTCGCATTCAATCAAATGTCGACGGGCTCTTGATTGACTTATGATATTGGGCTGTAAGGTGTTTCCCTAATAAATCTCGGGGTAGTTGATGATGATTTGGGTTTAATTAATTAGCGGATTGGCAAGGGGTTTGAGGTTTGGATTTTTTTCGCTTGGGATTCTAGAGAATATTGGAATTCTAGACTTACCAGAACCCTTTTCAAGTATGGTCGGTCAGGACAAGGCTAATAGGGATTTTTGGGAGACATCTGGTACTACAGGTAGTCCAGTCTTAAAAAGGAATTTATTCAAAGCGCAGAGCCAATTTTTAATTTTTAACAGCTTTTGGGCGAAAAATCTTGATGCTTTCGGCAAACCATGAACTGAAAATCACAAAAGCGGTATAGGAAATATTAGTAAAGTTCTGTGCTTAATTCTCACCATGACTTATTTTTGGAATTATGAACACCTTAGCAAAACACAAATCTTTTTCTTTCCCTCCATACATCCCTTTACTCATCTTCCTCATTTTCCGACTCCTATTTCCATCCACTCCTTTTCGTTCGTTTTTGAAGAAGCCGTTTTTTTTGGAAACCCCCTGGATGTTCATCTCGATTTCCACTGGGCTGCTGTTTCCAGGCTTCTCCGTTTTTTGCTCCCCCATTCTTTTTTGTTTGGAAATTTCGCGCTTCGCTCATTGGCTCCGAAAAGATTTATGTTCCCTGGCAAAATTCGGTGTTTTTCGGGGAGATTCGATCTTTTTTTTTGAAAAATTTCGATTTTTTGTATGAAATTTTAAAACTGCGTGGATAATCCGATGATTTTTTAAGAAAAAAATTGACTTTCAGAATCTTTTAAAATCTCAACAAGGGTTTTGGAGGTGAAAAACAGGAACACTCCGATGTCCCAACAGGTAAATTTTGAGATTTTTAGGTTAAAAATTTAGAAAGAATCGGAAAAAGTGGAAAATTTAAAAAGTGAAATTTTGAAAATTTCAATTTTCAAAAAATAAAATCCAAAGAAAATAGTGGCTTTAAAGAAGCTTTATATAAATTTATAGCCTCATTAGGTCCCATTTCCCCTCAGAAGAGTAGTCAAAAAATCATTTAGGGCTATTAAAGATCGATTAAAATCCGCTGTTTCGATCCAATTTAATTATTGGCTTTAGCTCCTGTTTTTAAAAGCTTGAAAGGACGATTAAAAACAAATGTTCAGCTAAAGCCTCCGGGCAATAGGAATTAAAAAATTCAACGCAAAAAGAATATTTTTTATTTAAAATTTTTCAAAAAAATTTTTTATTTTATTTTTATTTTTTCGGCTAATTTCGGGGCTAATGGATTTTAAAATTTGACGCCAATTGCTCAAAAATCGGACAGCAATTAGGACTGAACTTTAATTACACTTGAAAGCTCTCATTTTAGCGATTGAAAAACCGAAAAACAGTCGGAAAATCAGAAAAAAAAATTAAAAATAAATAAAATTCGTTTGTTTTGCTAAAAACCATTTAAAAATTATTTTTTATAGCTCAAAATTTCCGAATTTTAAAGTGAATTTTTTCCACCGTAATTTTTTACTGTACTAAAACGACGATTCCATTGACCCTTTAATTTTATGACCCATAAAACGAACTTGCGAACGTTTCCTTCTGTTTTTACACTGATTCCCGCCAAAAATCTCGGCCCGAGTGGAGAAAAGTTGTAAAAAAGTTTGCGTCGCAGAGTTTATGAGGCTGTTGCGCAACGGTATTGCGAGCGAACGCCTGTTTTATGCGTTTCGAATGGAGAACGGTCGATTTTACGAGATTTTTATAGAATAAACGGGGAAATTATCGAGATTTTTGGAGGAAATATCAGGTTTATATAGAAAAAATACCATTTTGGAATTTGAAATTTTAATATTCGAAATCATGATTTAGTATTCAAAATTACAATTCGAAGGATTAAATTTTGAATAAATACCCAAAAATACACTAAAATGAAATGTAGAAAATATGGGATGAATTCTAATTTTAAAAAATAAAAGCTCACCCCTCTGGCAACAAAATCCATCTCCAAAATTCACAAACTTCCCACTCATCCCAAATGAATCCCCTTTCGCAAATTTAAGGCCTTGTGTTTTCAGTATGGCGACAATTACAGCGCCACATCGGAAATGTATGCGGCCGGAGCGTCGGCGGTTGCCGGCGGGGATCACACGCAGAACCCTTCGACGGCCGACTCCTTAAGTTTCTACACTCCCAACTTAGCCGACCCCTACGAGTTGGGCATGGGGACGCTGGGGCTGTTGGCTGGAGCGCCCGCCAATCCCGTCGACGATGAAGAGTTGAAACGGCAGAAGGACAAGATTCGAGCGTAAGTTGTGACGTTGTGAGAGGTTGAAAATACATATACGTACGGAATTTTTGCATGGAAAAAAGGGATTTCGAACCAAAGGCAATGAAAATACTCAGAGGGTTTTACACTTTTGCGCACCTCTTCTAACTAGTCTTCTTTTCAATCAAACCTTTGGCAAAATCATGCAACGATGACCTTACAAAAATCCCAGAACTTTTTTTTATGTTTTGCACAGCGTTGCCCTATGGTTCAGCGCTTATAAGACCATGTTCTTCAACGAAATCCACATTCCGATTATTTCAGCCATCCCCTCTATCCCTTCCTAACCGTCCTTTTCGAGCGCTGCGAACTGGCCACCTCGACGCCCCGAGACTTCAGCAAAGACCCTCAAAGTCGGTCGGAAAGTGCGGCCGAGGCCTTCAAAGACGATTTGATGACATTCATCGAAACTCGAAAGCACGAAGAGCCGAGCTATTACGTCCCCAACCCCGAACTGGACAAGCTCATGCTCAACGCGATTCAAGTGCTCAGGCTGCATTTGTTGGAGTTGGAAAAGGTTTGTCAAGGTTTTAGCTGGCTTTTTAGGGAGTTTAGAGAGTTTTTTGTTTTTTGCGCTCTTAGATTTTTCTAGATGCCTTTGAAACCTTGCGTTAAACTGTACTAAACTTTGACTTATTTGGACTATCTTTCCGTCATTTTAATGGATCGGGAGCAGGCCTTTAACTACGTGCCTTTTCCGAATTTTGTTTTAAGAATTCAAATAATAGAAAAAACGTTTTTCCATTTTTTGCAACATTTCTCCTTAACGCCGTTCCTTTCCTCTAATCACTTGTTTATCAGCATTTTATCAGGGTCTCCGCCATTTTACGGCCTCAAGGTGGTCATGACCGGCTAATTTGGGCTTATCTGCATTACCTTTTCATTCAAAATTCACTTAAAAATTAGAGATCCAAAAAAACAACAGGCTTCAATCTTTAGTTCCACAATGCCTAAAGTATGCAAATTAGCCGGCAAAAACATCAAAAGACAAAAAACGTTTTACTGTTTTATACAGTAGACTGTGTGCAATTTTCCCGCTGTGTTCTTTTCCCTGCGTTTAAGCCGTCGGCATTTCCGAAATTGGCTCGTTTTTGCGGTCGAATTAAGAGAGGTTGCGCGAAATTTCGGAGGGCTTTTTTAGCGCCGCCGCCCATCAAAAGAGCCGCCAATGGGATAAAGATGGGCTCATTTCCACGGATATCCCACAGCGATCCGGAAAAATGCAAGCGCCATGGATATGGGGGTAAATGCGGGGACTGGCGGAAAGTCAGGGACTGTGTAATTGAAGTTAGATTTTGGAAATTCAGAGGTTGCTCGAAACAAATTAAAGAATGCAAAAATAAAGCCAATATGTCTAAATAAATATATATAAATGACCCCGATCTTTCATAGCACAAAACATCATCCAACTTTATTCCAGGTCCACGAGCTCTGCGACAGTTTTTGCCAACGATATGTTCAGAACTTGCGGGATCACATGCCAATGGATGTGATGAGTGAAGAAAGATCGGGCTCCGCGAACACAACAAATCCTTCGCCGGCGCTGGGAACTCATTCTCCGGCAATTCAACCCAGAACTTATGAACCACAAAGCGTTCCGCTACCCGAATCAAGCGCCATGCATCTTCATCACGATGTAAGTCCCAATAATTTTTGGTTTTTTTTCTGATTTTGTATTGTAGAATTTGTAGAATTGTAATATAATAATTTCCATATTACTACCCATACCTAATCCTTAGCCCAAGGCCATAGAAATGAATCTTATCCTCAGAACCACTTTTTTCGCCGTTTTTCGGCGCTCTCCAAAGTGGTTTTCGCATGGCCGAAAGCGGAGATTAGACTTTATCTGCGGCCCCCCTCTTACGCGTATTGTTTTCGAAAATACCGACTAATTAGCATTTCGACAAGGTCAAGGCCTTGATTGTTTCATTATACGGGAAAAGCGCCGCAATTAACCAGAGATTTAATTGAAAAAAATATATCTAAAAAAATCAGAAAAAAACCTTGCTTTTGCTAAATTATGCGAAAATTCACGACCTGTCCGTCGTATGATAATGTAAAAATGAGGAAAAAAAATTTCAGGCCTCAGCGCAATCCAGCGGATTTACGGACCTGTCGGCGTCAAATCCGGCCCGATCCACAACTACACCATCAGCTCAGACCCCCAATTCCAGCACTGACTCACACACACCGGCTTCGGAGCGATTTCAGAACGTAAACGTCAGCAATGGAGCTGACATCAACAGTCCTCGCAATGGGTAAGATTTTCAGTTTTTTCTAAGAAATGAGGAGTTAAAATTTCAAAATTTCGAGATTCTTTCCATATTTTCCGTATTTCTTTGGCTTCTGCGTGACGCTGTTTGGAAATATTTTCAACTTACACCAAAATTTGTAAAATTTGGCCAACTTTTCGAGCCGCGCCCAGACTTAAAATTTTAGTAGTCTTGAAATTAATTTTCCAAGAACTCTTATACATACATAAACTCTGTTTCATGTCTTATGTTTTTTTCAGGACTGGCCCAAATTCCGCCGCAAACAACTCACTGAACTCCTCCACTGGCTCGGCCAACAACCCGACGTCAAACTTGCTGGACGCGCGCTCGGAAGGTATGTAGAATGGACCTAGAAAAGTGCACTTCTCTCTCCTTTTTTACACTTATGTTAGGTTTGAACCTCTTGCCATCGCAGTTTGTTTTATACAGCAAAATATAGGAAAACGTCGTAAATTTTTTCAAATTTCAAATTTTGGAAATCTTTCGGCTGTTGTTACTGTATAAAATACTGCCTCCTAAGCATACCGTCGTATGTTTCTCCCTCTTGTAATTTTGTTTTCTGTGCTTTTTCCCTTTCCTGATTTTACCCTTCCTCTATATGGCCATAATTTTTCCACAAACCTCAATTAACTTTTCCCACAAAGACGAGTTTGGGGTGTTTTTACAATCAAACTGATGCTTTGAACGAAACTGAGAGCTAGTTTTGGCATTTTGTGAAGGTTTTGAAAAACCAATATTTTTTTTGACATTTCGTCAAATTTTGGACAAAATGTCAAAACCTCCGATTAATCTTCTGATTGTCAAAAACACCTCAAACACGAGCCTATCTTTGCACTTGACTGTCATTTTTCGTTAAAATGAGTTGTTTGCGAACCCGAGTTTTGTCGTATTGTAACGATTTATTATTTTCATCCAATGGCACAGCGCTTGAAGACGAAAGTAATTGTAAGTCTGTTTTTTGGCGGATTTTTCGGTGTTAGTTGAAAGGAATTTTGAACGTTCAGTAACCTTGATGCTGTTGAGACTTGTTTGAAGAAATTTTGGGATTAAATTTTTCGGAGTCTGATGCTTTGAAATTCCAATGTTTTGAGATTTTTTTTTTTTTTTTTGATCCTTTCGTCAAGCCCCCGTAAAATCTCGACTTTTCTCGACAAATCTATTCAGCATCAACTAGACTAGGATCAATGAAACTCTATAACATCATATTTATTATTGTTAATTTTGTCTCCCTTATCATTTTTCAATTTTAAAAATCGGAAAATAAATTTTTATTCAAAAACAAATTTCAAATTTTTTTTTGAAAATCACAATCTGCATATTTAGGTAAGTCTTAAAAAACTTTGTTTATTTTTACTAATATTTTCGCTTCCTTAACCGTTTTTTATTTCATTTTATGGGCTTTAAGGTTACAGTTGAACGTTCAAAAAACCTTAACAAAAAATTTTCATTGTCTTACCGAATTTTCAAGCGCTTGTCAGTTGGGATTTCATTTATAATTCTGTTTTGTTTTTTTTTTTTGATTTATTTGGTTTTGGTTGTGTTATGTTCATGTGTTGGTGTTGTTGATCTCCTTTAAAAACCCCTAGCTTTAGATTTCTTGGGGTGTAAACTAGATAAAAGTAAAGGTCCGAGACCACCTCGAGAGTTCTCCTTTACCGTAGTTCTTCCGCTAATTTTCCGTTTCACTTCTCAATTATGCGAATCCCGCGGGTTCGAAGCGATATTTCGATTAAAATTTCAATTCTCTCTCTCGCCCCCAATGCGAATCCACAAAGGGACCCCTGGACAAATATGCCATTTGCAGCCGGCATTAATTAGTTTGTTAGCGACCGGGGAATTTTTGGTTATAATCGAAGGAAGAACCGGGGGCAGTAAAGGACTAAAATTGACTGCATCGTACTTGTTAATTGCCCTCGAGATGAACTGCAGTTGCTAGGTTTATAATACAGCCAAAATTGAGTTTTGGGAGGTTTTGTAGGAGATTCGCTACACACATCGTACATTTGGATCCTTACTGAACCTTCATCTAATGTTTTTTTGCCAATTTCTTGTCCGTTTTTTGAGTCGTGTGATCATTCTTTCCGCTTTTCAACGCTACAGTATGCTTGCATCACCCTGTGTTTCTCCTTCATTTCATATCGCATAAGCATTCTCACTGACGTGCAGTGGCTGGCTATCTTTTGATTTTGCAGAATCACCGCACTTAACTAACCACTTAACGCTTTCTAACACCACCTCCAGCCAAGCCTTCGAGGATATGTTGCCCAAGGACTATAAAGTCGATTCGGAATCGTCGTATGGCTTGGTAGAGCTAAACTACTCCGATGGATACGTCAAGTACGGTGATGAGGACATGAAAAGCCTTATGGAGACGAATGATAACAGCAATGACAATGAGGACTTGCCCGAGGACTTTCATTTGGCTTCAGCGGCTAAAAAACGAGGGTGCTTTCCGAAAAATGCAACGAACAAGCTGAAGCACTGGCTTTTCCAGAACCTCACGGTAATTTAAAACGGAAAGCTTGGTTGCTAAATCTGTGGGAGAGCCATTTTATCAAACTGGCATATGTTTTGAGCCAAAAAATAATCTTAGTATCTGCTTTGATGGTTTGGGCTGACTAATAAGTGTATTGTGCTACCGTATGCTCTTTGAAAATGCCTCGCACTAAACACACACTCGTGATTGACTTATCGCACAACTAATGCTTTACCGGACATACTTTGCATTTCATCACTTCTTGCCAATTTTTACTTTTTTCAACGATTTATGGTCTTAATTTGAATTTTTGAGCTTAAGAAAGCCTTTATAAGTGCTTTTGATCCAATAATTTGCTCTATTTTGCATAATAACATCTCAATCTTTCCATTATTTAACATTTTTTTTCATTTTCGTCTTGCATTGCCTCATATCCTCGAAAAAACGTCAATTTCTATTCAAATATTTTGAAGGTGACGACAATGTCTCCAACGGCTCGCTAAACGAAGATGGTCGCGACTCGGTAAACAGCGACCACAACAACGGCGATCAACGGTCGGGCTCAACGGACCGCTCGAAGCGAAAAGTCCCCAAGGTCTTCAGCAAGGAGGCCATCACAAAGTTCAGGGCGTGGCTCTTCCAAAACCTTTCGGTTTGTAATTTTAGGCCGTTGATTTAGTTCATAGGTCCATGTGCCTTTGTGATTGGCATACAGTAGTACCCTTTTACATGATCTCAGAGCATACGGTAGCAATATAAATTTAGTCAACTTTTGATCCAAAATAGGATTAAATATTACAAGGAAAGTACTTTTATGGGGGCTCCTACTTTTTGACGGGACATATCTCAAAAAATCAGAAAAAATGCGCTGATCAAGGATATATAAATCTTAGCTGCCCATTTTAGGTTTTTAAGGGTGAAAATGCCCAAAAACTGGTTTAATTTCCCTACAAAAGGCAGACATTCGAAACGATAAAAAGAGCACTCGATCTCTTCCTTCGGAAGAGAGCGGTGTGGCCGAGTGGTTAGTGCCGTAGTCTGGGAATCAAGAGGGGGGACGCCGCACGGGTTCGATTTCCCTTTTGGCCGAATCAACTTTTTTTGAAGTTGAAGGTCGGAAAAATAAATTTTTGGGCCAAGACTGTCTTATTGCGTCTTAGAAACTCAATAAACACCATTTTAAGCCAAAATAAAAATTGTAAACCTTTGAAAAAATTACGCGAAAAGGGATTCATATAGGACTTTAAGTCAACTTCCGACTGAGTTTTCACCCCTAAAACCCTAAAATGGGCAGCTAAGATCTATATATTCTTGATCAGCACATTTTTTCTGATTTTTTGAGATATGTCCCGTCAAAAAGTAGGAGCCCCCACAAAAGTACTTTCCTTGTTAGAATAATTGTTTGGATTTTTGATCCCGTATATTGCTTATTGAGAGAATATTTTTCACCTTTTTCAGCATCCCTATCCCTCTGAAGAGCAAAAGAAACAGTTGGCACAAGAAACGAGTTTGACGATTCTTCAAGTCAATAACTGGTAAGTACTGCTCCAACTTAATCTTTTTGGGCAATTTTAATGGCTTTTTGAAAATTCAGAACAGTAGGAATAGTTCTAAAACGTAAATGTCGTTTCGAATTAATCCCAAACTCACGTTTTAAACAAACACAACTACTACATAACCTCATTAAATAAGCGTCCGGTTTTACAATGTCATTACTCCCCCGAAACTGCCGGTTTCCCCCAACAAATCTGTTTTGCATCCCATTCGTTTCTAAAAGCGCCGCCACGGCCCCATCAGAATGATGGATGAGTGCAGCTGGTCGTTGCGACAGATTGTCGCATTCTGCACTTCGTAGTGCAAAAATAGAGCGTTAGGAATCAGAAAGCGGTCGAGAAAAAGGGAAAATGCGGTTTTGCGGAAGGTGATGTTATGAGAAGATGCATTTGAAAACCTCAAAATATCTCATAATTCTTGTATTTTCAAACAAAATTTTCTTCAGGTTCATAAATGCCCGTCGACGAATTGTTCAGCCCATGATCGACTCGAATAATCGCGCTGGGAACAGCACAAACTGCCAGGTCTACAGAAACCGGCGGCGGAAGAATTCCGACTCCTCTCCTTGCAACTCCCCTGGCACTTGTCCGCCAACAGCGCCGCCCGGATCGGCGGCCCCCGGCTCGGCTGGGCCAGTCTCTTCGACGGCGTATAGCCCGGACCCGGCGATGCTGGTATCGCCGGCGTCGAATACCTACCCAATGTTCGGCTCTGGCTACGCAGGCTTTGGAGCACCGTAAGTTTGAACGCACTTGTTAAAATGGGATGTCCAGGAAGGGTGCCTTTCAAATTTCCTACATCTCCCTTCCCGCAAAATCACTTTTAGCAAAAAAAAGTCATCCTTTATCTTCACAAGCGTAATTCCCCCCATTTTCAGCGGTTTCACCCCACAAATGTTTATGCCGGGCATGGTTGGGGCCTATAACATGACGCCCGGTAACTTAACCGGCAGTTGGATGGACTTCAGCTCCAACCTCGGCTCCATGGACAACTGATTTCATCTCGAACACAACTTTAATCCAGAAAACATCCAAAACGAGCTCATTAATCTACCTTCAAGCTTACAGACAGTAATATGTATTATATTTTTCGACTTTTTTTCGGCTGTTTCTATGTCTTTATTGTTTTGAATTTTACAATTTCCTTCGTTTTTCACACGGTTTGTGTGCCATGTAACTTTTGCAACTAAATTTTAAACGTATTTCTTGCCAGTTTTCTTATCGTATTACCTTTTTTTAGTTGTGTTTGCATCTCTAACCTATAATCAATGACAGAAAGTAATAATCTCGTCTCTCGTTTACACCCGGAGTTTATCTCATGACCCATTTTGGCATTTTTATTGTTATCTTTATCGTATTTCACCTTTTTTTGTTTTATTTGCTAATTTTTAATTTCCCACAGACTGGAATAAAAATTTCAACAGCGTTAGTTTTCGACATATTTTTTCGGCAAGCTTACTAGACTGAGATTTGGACGATACCTGAGACACAGAGAGGCGCTACCACTTTTCGGGTCAGCGACAGTTCGGGTGGTGCGGCTAGGAGAAGGCTTATATAGTAGAAATAATAAATAAGATTCATCGGGTCCTAGGATAGCTATCACCTATTTTAAAGTATTTTACATGTATTACTCAATACAAAATCGGAGCGTACTTCTCAAATCGGAGGACCACTCAAAACGTTCTTAGGGCTTTGGTAGTTCAGCCCCCCAGGAAAGGTAGGTCAAACCCCCCTTTGTTTTGTCCATTTCACACCCCCATAATGAAAAAAGTAGAATAATACAAAAAATGCAAATTTTAGTAAAATGACCCCCGGCGTTTTAGCTCAAACGCCCAGTTACCGGGGGTTTGAGCTAACTGGACTGGGGGGTTGTACTACCTTAGCCCCACGTTGTAAGCAAAAAACCTCTTGCTCAAACCAATGTTCTTTAACATGAAAGCTTAGAAAAAATCCTATCGATCATTTGAAACCAAACTGTTCTGTTTTCCTTGCTTTGCAGTCGCGTTGGAAATTTTTGTCACCAAAACTTTTATAAACATTGTGGAACAGCTCAGTGAAGACGGCTTTTTATCGAAATCTCCTTTTAAATCGGACGCTTTCAATTTTTGAATCGCACGTTGACCTGGCGAAGTAAGTATATTTTCAGACTTGTTTTTGAGAAAGAAAGTTATTTTTGAGGCGTTGGCAAGACGACAAATAGGAAATGTAGAGACAGAGAGAAAAAATACGAAGGGAAAGTGTTAATTCTAGACCACTAATTTAATAGCACCGTAAGGATTAAACTTTTGATAAAATTTGGCGCAAATTAAAGTGGGGGTGGAAATCGCCAACGGCTCAAAACTTTTTCTATTGTTGCTCGTTTTGTTATAAATTATTACCACTATTTTTTCCTTTACTCTTTTACGGACTTTGATCTGCTCAATGATCTCTCCAAAAGTTCATACAGTAATTTTGAAGGTTCAAAACATGACCCAATGACGACGCTGATTATCTGATTTAGCAATTCCATTGACGTCACTGAACTTGCTCAAGAAGATGGCTCAGCGTTTAAAATGCGACTCCAAAAACGTTTATAATGTTGAGGCGGACATAAAACTGTAACCTTAAATTTATTTTTAGACGATGATTCCACTATTATGCGTCTTGATCATTGCAAAATCCCTTTTTTCTTCCGCTGAAATTGTCACCTCCACAGAGCTGACGCCGGACGGGCCATCCGGGCTTCACAGCATGTTCGAGTTTGGCGAAGATGGAGTTGTGAAGCAATCGACAAAAAAGGGAAGAGTGCAAGGAGCCAGCGTGAGAGGTCGACTGCTCTGTGGGACAACACCAATGAAAGGAGTCAAGGTGAAAATCGTGGACATTGATCCGAGTTAGTTTTTATTCGGTTGTTGGTTTCTTGAGGCAAAGCAAGCCGGTTCACAGACGCAGCTGAGACATTAAAATCGCTGGTTGCGGGCGACTGTAGAAAATGGGAGAAAACGGTCAAAACAACTTTTTGTCGTTTCTTTGCTAATTCTTGATTTTCTGAAAGCATTCACGAAAAATAGAAATTTTTGGTCTCAAAATTTCGGCCTCTGCAAACCGCGAGCTAAAAATTGCCGTAGAAAATTCTGAGCTCGTTTCTACAATCTTTATTCAGATTTTAGTGATCGTTGTACGTTAAGAAATTTTCCGGTAAAATTTAATTTTACGTTCATTGTTTCCAGGACCGGATCTGGACGATTTACTCGGTGACGTTCTTACCGACGACGATGGCTATTTCCACGTGAGTGGAGCGACGCGAGAAGACACTAATATCGAAGTTATGATCAAGGTCTACCACGACTGTGACGATCCTTTGCCTTGCCAACGAAAAGTTGTCTGGAAGGTGCCCCCAAAATATTACAACAACGGAACGTTCACTGAGTGGTTCGATGTCGGCACAATTAATATGGAAATGAAATTTGTGGGAGAGGAGAGAGACTGCAGACATTGAGGAGAGCGGCGAGAGAAAACGGGGTTGGGAAGGCATTTTGGAGGGTGGTTTTTGGGATTTGTGCAATGTAAATATTAAATAAAAAATTGTAAAAATTTCAAAAAAACTTATTTTTAAAAAAACAAATAAAAAATATCAAAAAATTCTACTTTTTTGAAAAAAATCAAACTTTCTACTTTTTTCCAACAAAAAAATTTTAATCCAAAAATTCCATTTTTTCCTTCAAGAAATCAAATTTTCCTCGAAAGCGCCCTTTCAACCAACTTGTCATTGTATTTTTACCAAAACTCCGGCGAGCGGCCCGTTTCCCCACAAAAATTCGGATTTCCATCGTTTCTCGCGGCTGGGCGTTCGAAGACCATGCTCTATGTTGTTGGCTACGTTCTCGGAATGGGGCTGATGGCTTCGGCCGCTCTTCTGAATTGTCAACGGAAAGCGAAACCGGTCGAAAGATTGACGGGCAACGCGCAGAACAAGGGCTACAAGCCGGGGCATCTGCCCGAATTTGCGGTGAGTCGTTGCTTGTGTAATTACTCAAGGGGCGGTAGTCGGGTTTTCTTCAAATTTTGTTTGCATAGACAAGCCAAATGAGCTCTCAATGACTGAAAATTTTGGCTCGATTATTTTCCCCCTTTTTCAAAATCCGCATTTCCAAATTTTCCCAAATTTCAGGACCCTGAAGAGAAAACGACCGACACATTTTACGGAATCAAGAGTGCTCTCGCTTTTCCCCCCAAAAATCCCGATGGAACCCCGATCGTGGCCGAGCCGATCAAGGCGAATTCCGCAGCAGTCGATTCGAAGCATCTAAAATCAATAAGCCCGGCACTTGTCCCAGTCCCTAATCCTCCTGCAAAATAAATATTCTGACTATTTCTTTGCTCTGTAACCTTGGCTAAGGATCAAACCTTCCTGTTTTCTCATCATCTTTGCAGGAGCTCGAATGCTTATATCGATATTCCAAGTCTTCGAATAAAGACCAATCCAGCTGGTTCGATTTTGTCAGTCTGTCGGGAAAATAATGTGGAGTTTTCGCTGCTAAATATGTGGCTGTAATGACCCCCGATGTCACATATTTCCTTATAGATAGTATCTCAAAGTCGAAATGAACTTCATTTGCTTCGCAAAAAACATTTAGAATAAAAAACCTTTTTAATAAATAATATTTATCATATAATAACGCTAAGTTCATAATAAGTTTTCAATTTTCTATCACATTACAGTATGGGACAAAATATACGCTAACGAAATTCAGAGATTACAATAAGAAATGGGGAGATTACAATATTAGGGGGATATTTGAAAGCTCTTAAGAATGATATCATATATTATGGTAGGTGGGAGTGGCGGGAGTGGAACTGGCCAGGTTTGGGAACACGGATGCACTGAAAAAAGGAAACTTTGTTCAAAAACCCGACATTTGGTGCCCAAAATAACTTTTTTAAACTACTCCAAGAAATTTTAAGACAATTTCACGATTATTACGCTTTATGGAGTTTAATCACATTACATAATCATAATCTAGGCCAACTGAGTTCACACTTTAATATATTACCCATGACACCTACCTTAACTTGTTCGCCGACCCGGATGTAGGCCATATGACGGCTGCGATCGACAACCTTCTTCTCGAAATGCATCACGGCCCAACAATCTTCACAATAGTAGCTCAGACATGACACTTCGGAGCAAAAATATTTGGCCAGAACGCAAATTGGCTGGGATCCACAGCACTCTTCGCAGGTCTGATCTTCTATCAAATACGGCTTGATTTCCAGGGATTTGACTTCGTTTCTCACTCCAAGGTTCACAATCTTCATGGCCATGGCGTGCGTGTAGGAACGAGGGTTCGCGAAAGTTACGCGAGCTGCGCCTTTTGGGTAATTGAAATCTTGATCCACATCGATTCCAACGTACGCAACTTGGCCAAACTGTGACATGGCCTGGGCAATATCAACTGCAAGGAATATTGGGTTAGTTTCCTCAAGAATATTCAGGTTCCTGTCTTCTAACTGCTCGTCCACTAAAATGCAAAAAAAATCTACACCTCACCAGCTCTGATCGTCCTGGGAACGCCACCCAAAAAAACAGTGAAACGATAGTCTACACAATAATCCGGCTGAGGAACATAGTCAGTGTCCGCTGTGTTCCAGGGTCTGACTTGAACTTGACAGGCTCGGCCATGAATCTTGACGGACATGAAGTATCCGTCGTGATTTGGGCGGCAATTTCCGATCAATTGATGAACCGACTCCTCGGTTTGATAGATCAAGAAAGCATACCCATGCGTGTGACGATTTGCGCCTGAAATTTTACAAAATTAAAAAACAATCGAAAACAAGTAAAATCGATAAGCAGAGTGCAAAAATAAGGTCAGCTGGACTTCAAAGTCAGAGAGCTACCCTCTATACTCGCATTACAGCTCATAGAGGTAAAATTCTGCTAATATTTGCAAAAAAAACCGTGAATTTATGTTGTACTGGCCCCCGAGGTACCTCTGTCACATTTCCTCAAAAAATCAACCGGAACAATTGACAGCAGCATAAAGAGTTGCCAGAGTACCTCTATGAGCCGCATCTTCTCTATGCTACACTGTTACACAACACTGACGCATCAATGATCCAACTCATTACCTAAAAATCAATAAAAATAAAGAATCTTACCGCCTTTCTCAGTTGGCCAACTAACTTCGACTGGGCCAAACTGGGCAAACGTCTGCAGCAGATTTCCAGTCGTGCATTCCATTGGAAGCCCACCAACAAAAACCTTGCGACTATAAATCGACTCCTCCGAATGCCCATGGCGAATATCTTGGACGGGAAATTCGATGAGATGCTTGGAGAATCTCAATTGCGAATTTGGAGACTGGTTAAAGATAAGGTTGTCCCAGATGTCTAGCCCGTTTGCTTTCGGTTCTGAAGCAGAATTTGAGTTTCCGGACGATGGAGATGAAACAGGAGAGCTTGAGGGGCTGACCGCGACTTGGTAAGGCGACGTGTAGATGTCAAACTTTTCGAAGTTGCTGAAAAGAGTGTACTTTATGTTACAGTTGCATAAAATTGCAAACTTCTTGCGAGAAAGTAAGAAAAGAAAGAATTCATTTGTTGGCAAGCTGCGCCCTATGTTCTAGATAGCAAGAATTGAAAACGTGGCAAAATTGGTGCCTTCTCTTTACTCCTGCTATAAACGTACCGTATTTTGAAACACAATTTACGCAGAGAGACGTCATAAACTCAAATTATATTATACATGCTATCAAATGCAGTTTAATGTAAAAGACCTCTGAAAACTCACATAAGACTGTTTCCACAATCTCCGAACGCTCCCATCAGCTGCTCCTTGTAGGGCTCGGCCCGTTTGAACGCCGACTTGCCGCTGAACATGTTGATAATCTGGTCCGAAAGCTGAGAACGTTGAAGAGACTGCCCAAACACTCAACAAATCCAACGAATAACCCGAATGCCCTGAAACGACGCACTTTGAATTTGTTTTCGAGTTGGCTAATTTGCATTGCCAACCAATTATGGTGATAAAATTTCGGACAAAATTTCGTTTTCATTTTTTTTTGAATGAGTTGACGTGGATGTACCGTTTGAGTCCCAATGAATATCGACGCGCCGTCCGCCGAGCCATCGCCAACTACGAAATCAACGCTCGAGCTTCGAATTTGTTACACGAAAGAGACGTAGCTTTGCACAATGTTCCCGACAACCTGACCCCTTCTTCGCATAGTACACCAAATATTAACGGCCGAGGTGATTCCAGATAAACTTTACTGTACTCTCGGTGGATAATTTGTGTTTTTGGAATCTAATAGTTGCAATTGCTCTCAAAAAATCCATTTTCAAGCCTTTTATTCTCTAGATTTTTCAGCAATTTTTACCCACTATAATGTCGCAAAGTAACGCTAAAACTGCTGATAATACTTTATAAATTCATAAAAAGCAATATTACATCGTACTCTTGCTGCTGATACCAGATTTCCTTCTCGAAAACTAGAAATGCTCATAATTTTGACCCTGTTCATGACGCCAAGTATAATATTTTTTCCAACTGTCGGTCTAAACCATAAGAGCAAAAATAAGTCACTTACCGAGTCCAACGAAGTCACCAATACGGATGCTCCCGCGATCGTACTCCAAAAGGCAACTTACCGAAACGTGGGAAAATATTTGTGAGCTCTTTCCCACGGATACAGGGTTTGGCGGGAATTTGGATTGCGATTTTTGGCAAAAAACGATCGCGATCGCGCCGTTCCAAGTGGCGGTCGAGGTGGCCCCGAGCTGCGCCCGGACTTTGTAATTCGCGGAAAACATTTTATGCGGAAGAAGAGCAAATTTCGAATTTATTGTTTCAAGGCTGCAAGAGTGCAGAGCGAAATAATAAAGTTTTGAAATTTAGGCGATAAGATTATACTTCTGCCGTTATTCAAAATGGCCGGGTTTGAACCCATTTTTGATCTTTTTTAGTCTGCATTAGTAAAATTACGGTAGTTACTCCATTTTCAATGTAATTTGAATGTTTCCAGCCAAACCTCAGGGATATAGTTCCACTGAGAAAAATATCCACCAATCGTCGATTGTGTGCAAATTTGTTGATGTAAATGTAAGATGAAGTGGAGTCTTCTTTCGTCCAATAAGTCAGTAGAAGTTTTCACTACATGGAAATAATGGTTTTTTTGTATCATTAAAGCCATTGCTTAAAGTTTCGAAATTCGAACTGTTAAAAACCATAAATCCAGAAATCAGGCGTTTGTTTTGATGAGGCATTGCAAACTATCGTTTCCTCTTTCGGATCCTCATTAAAAAAACGTTACGCAGAACTGTTTTGAATGCAAATACCTTGCGAAAGGCATGTTTGATTTTTCAAGTCTGGATTGTTTGCAGCTATTTAAACTAAATATTGCGTCAAATCCTCCATAAGATTGAAAAATGTGGAAACTTTTGGTTTCCATCACTTTATCTTCGATCTTCACAACCTATGCTATCGTGGTGGATAAAAACGGAGATTCTTCGAAGGGATGCCAAACATGTGGAGGATGCCAATTCTTCTTGACATATCTGATTCCCCAAGTTCCGGACCCAGAGACGGTAACAACGGAGGAGTTAACCAAACTCATTAAAGTAGGTCTAGCCGCCTTGTGGTGACCAATTACCACTTTAATTTTCGGCATAAATGGCCAGTAATCTATTTCTTAATCGCGCTTTTACGGTGTGGAAAACAAAATTTCAAAGCAGATTTTTTTGTCTATTGCGCATATAACATTATTTACACGTTTCGGGCACCAGTACTTTGCTCATCTAGCCTTATTTGAAGGTGCTTGCAGGTTCTGGCTACCAAAGATTTTTCAGGATTTATTCACTACTAATGCGACAGTCAGCACTTCAACTGGCAGAACTCCGGTGAAAAGCCGCTCCATACGTCAGTGCATTCTTGATCGAACCGAAAAGCTTCACGAAATCCTCAACGAGCGAAAGATACTGTCGGTATACGAAATATGCGTGGGTATTGGAATGTGTGGCTATTAGATTTAAAATTGTCCATGTCACGATGAAAATGAAGGCAATAAAACGACAGATTGCTCTAATATGCATGCTTTGCAGAAAAGATACGAAAGCGTTTACTACGGAAAACTGCAAATTGTAAAAATAGAAAATTTACGCCAAAAAATTCGAGACTCTGAGTTCTAAAAGGTCCGACAACATGAGTTTTCAGAGGATGACATTTTCACTATGACATTTTAGAGCTTTGTTGAAGAAAATTTTGAAGGCATTTACTCCACAACAAAGGCAATCTCTGGCTTAATGAATCCATTTTTTGTTCATCAATTTTTTTTGGCTCACACGCATAAAAATTACGATTGTATAAATTAAAATGTTAATTTCAACCTTGTCAACAACGCGTCTTCTTTCTAAAGCACACCGATAAAAGTATAAAAAGGAATGTTAAACGAAGCTCTCGCATCAAAATTGAAATGTTGAAAATACCGATTGTCATTATTTTTGCCTTGTTTTATACAGGTTTCTGTTTTCGCAACTGTCATGATTGCACCGGGTGTCTTTTGATAGTCTATAAATTGAAACCAAGAATCCCACATCGTTTGACGGTGACAACGGAAGAGCTAACAGAATGCATTAATGTATGCTGGTTTTGCTTTCTTTTGACTTACCTACATAGAGATGACAATCGGGCAGCGCCGATCTTTGCGGCCCGGCCCAATTCTGCCCTCCTTCGATAAAATCATGATTTTTTTAGAGAACATGTCAATCTGCGAGGATCCCCAAGTTCCTTTGTGGATGCCTTCTTGAGCGAGTCGATGAGTTTCGCAAATTGTTAAATCAAGGAGAATTTGACACTCAACGCTTGTGCTGGGGTATTCACATGTGTTAATGCCAGGCAAGTCAAAAGTCTTGACGTGTTTTGTCAATTTTAACGTTTGAAATTTTCACACTCCGCAATAAACCTATTCTAAATTCTAAATATGAGGGAAAGACCATACTACAGAGCCGAACTGGTCCAAAATACTTTTTTTGAAAAAGGTGGTATGTTGAACAAAAAATGATCCTACTGGGGTTCCACTGTTCACAAGAAGTCGATATTGATATTCCAAACGTTCGACTGAAGCCTGACGTACAGGTTTTGCAAGTAATTTAATACTATTCTGCACCGAGGACCATATTTTTTTGAACGATACCTCTTATTTTTATGAGGATCAACAAGAAGGAGTTTGATCCACGAACGGATCAAACTCCTCTTGCACGTAGAAAGAAAAAGGATTCTCTTTAATAAACAGTGTTGACAGAACAATTTTCAAGTGCAAAACGTTTAAACGACAACAAACGCACTCTATTATTATGTTATGAATTGTAGGATAAGATTAGCTGAACCTTCTAACCCAATTTATACAGGCTATTCGAAAAATTATGTAATAAAATGTGGGCACACACGCCAGAGAGACATGCTAACCATGGGAATGTTTCTTTCTGTATATCTCCCTGTGAACCTAATACTGTTGATCTCAGTGTTCGGGATGTTTGGTAACGTAAACATCATTTGGGCGTCCGCTAGAACGGAGTAAGTGCGATTAAACGGCCAGTATCAACTCGAAAATCCTGTTTTCCTTTAAAAATTGTCTTTTTGCTGTTACATTGTCTCCCATATATTATAGTTAATAGGAAAACATAGAAGAAGCTCTATTTTTGTTTTAGACGACTACGCTCTACCTGCAATATATTGATTGCTGCGATTGCGGTGTGCGACATTTTGCATCAATCAAGCCATTTTATCATGGGCTTTCTTCTTTACAGCGGCAATGTGAAAATAAAGCAGAAAACATGTTTCTATTTACAGTCGGTTCCGTCGTTTGCCTTCAGTCTCGGCGCAATGCTTTTATTTTTGACGTCATTGGAGCGGCTGACATGTATTCTTAAGGCAGCCACGTGAGTAGAATATAACATACATGGTTCAACGCGGACAGAAAATAACAAACCCCATTTTCAGCTACCGGAAAAATCCAGGCCTTGGCCACATTGCCGCCATAACGGCCCCTTGTTGTCTCCTTCCGATCTACATGATCTACCAAAGCTACACGGAGATGTTGGTTACCCCAGCTGAGCCCACCTTTTGCATAATAATGAATGCCATAAAGGGAGACTCACTGTCTTTCTTAATGGCCTACCATAACCTCTTAAGTGTTATGACCTTACTGACCTACTGTATGATTTGGATTTTAATCAAGCACCGAAAATACAAAAAATCTAAGCCGATGTTGAAGTCTGTTTTCGTAGTCAGCGTCTGTGTCGTCGGCGGTTGGATGCTTGCAATGGGCAGTGGGAATGTATGGTTGACGACGAAGGACCAGATTCCAGATTCTTTGAAACTGTATGGAGGTTTGCTCATTAATCTTAGCGTCTCTGCAAATTATGTAATCTACTACTCATTAAAGTAAGTTGTCAAAGCCCTTGAGCAAAATTGTTGTACAAATTTTGTAAGGCAGTGAATCACATTTGCCCATATACAATTTTAGCTCCGATTACCGAAAGGCGTTCCAAGAGCAGTTCTGCATTCTCCGTTGTCAATATTTACCGTCGTCGTCGCGAACGTCAACGGCCTGGCTGTCTATGAACGATCCAATCAGACTTACAGCAAGCTCACGTCATTAAGGCCGTTTTATGAAACCTAGCAACGTCATTTTTCTAGCTTTTTTCATCGGAGGGGTTCATGGTCATTTTAAAAAATGTCCCTGTGCATTCTATGTTATCTACTTCGCCACGAGGTAAGACTTTCAAATTCAGTAATCATTTTTTTATTTTATTGTTCTGACGATTGCTAGGGAGAATAAAGATGTATAGTTCTTTGCTGGCTTCATTAATTTTTTTCAGCGAGAATATCCGCGAAGCATTCATCGATCAGTTGCAAATTTGATCGTTCGGTTGATTCAGCCGGCTGAACTAATTGAGGCCCAAGAACGCGTATATGTGTAGTCAAGACAAACAAATTTACTGTATGGCTAAGAACCGCATTTTTATTCCGACAATATCGTTGAAAATCCAATAAAGGAACTTCAGATAACAAGCTTAACAATACAAAAAATGTTGCTTGAGCACTAAGCCATTCTGTGAAATGGAGCTCCTTTATTATAGTATCATTCCGGGCTCGAAACTACAGTCAAAAATTCAAAAAAGCACGTCAGAAATAGTCTAAATAATGCAGTTATTTTTTTTGCTGACTTATTGTGGTAACCGAATTACATGTGACCGACTAAATTCGTCTCGCATGTGTACGACACTAAACATAGTTTGTCATGGATGTCTCTATAGCAGTGCCATGTTGGTTATTCTTGATGACCGCATTATTTGGGATTTTTGGCAACTCGAATATTATATGGGCGTCATTCCGAAGCCGGTAAGCAAATTAATAGTAAGTTCAAGCGATTCCGCTAGAAATAGCTTGTTCGAAGTGCATTTTTTAGCTCTTGTTGTGTACTTTTGCACACAAAGACGGTCTAGGCCATAGAAATTCCTAAAAATCTTACAGGTAATAAACTTTAGCTCGGCAGAAAGATATTGAATTTTCACCAATTACTCAGCGCTTGCACTGTCATTGCAATTTTCAGCCAGCTCCGGTCAGCATGCAGTATTTTTATTGCTGTGAATGCCCTAGCCGACATAGCTCACCAATGTGGGCATTTTGTTTTGGCGTACTTTTTGGTTATGGAGGATGGCCAGGCAACTAACTTTGTATGTTACTTGGCACAAGCCATTCCTCTGTACGGCTGCACGATGGGAAGCTTGATGTTGTTGTTCATATCAACGGACCGACTGCTTAGAATGGCCACCACTACAGCGTATGTTATCTTTTGCCTTCTGCGAAGAAGCAAACTACATTGGTGTCTTATTTTAGTTATAACCGAATTTGCAACAAGTACTACATCGCAATTGTCATAACCGTAACATGCGTTACTCCTCTTATCATAGCCTGGGAAGGATATACGGTGATGATGACCATGCCGGATAACATGATAATCTGCGCAGTCCCCCACGGCTATGTTGGAAGGGCTTCAACTGATTTCCTGCGCTTTAACAGCTTTCTCAACATCACAACACTGGTGATTTATGCCGTTGTTTATGCAGTGGCAAAGAGACGGAAGTTTAAAGATCCACGAAAAATCCTCCGGTCAATAACTACAGTAACCATATGTGTTGTTTGCGGATGGATGTTAACGATGACGGTTGGAGTGGCATTCATGATTGTTCTCGGAAATGAAAATGTCCCAGTGATGGTGCCGCTATACGTCGGGCTGTTTGTCAACATAAGCATGGGAATGAGCTATGTTATCTTCTTTGCGATGAAGTAAGAACGTTTGGTGACTTTTCATACAAGAGTTTGGTTTCCGCTTTTATAGTATTCCTTGGTTGCTGTAAACTGTATGATTTCAGTCGGAACTATCGCAATGCTTTCATCGAGCAGTTGCAAATCTTGTCGTGCGGAGAGTGCAAAGGATTGGCAAAGATAAGGCCAGAGGTTGCTTACACATGCAGTCATGACTACTGTAGAAAAAAGGTGAATAAATAGAAAATTCGTAATTGGCGTGCTGACTATGTGATATCAGTCTGTCGGAAAAATAGTGAGCGCTCTGTCGGTGAAGCGTACAAGAAAAGACAAGCACGGCAAAATTTGTGTTTTCTGCATGTAAGATTTACCTGCGAAAAATAAAAAATATGTATTTGAACCGTTATCGAATTTGTAACAACTGTAACAGTGGAATTTCCGCGATAACAACATGCACTATCTCTTTAATTGAAAACTGAAATGTCCGGTACTGCGACTTTTACATTGCGCTTTTACAACTTGGGAAATTAAAATCATCTTTCTTACTCGCAAAGAAATAAACAAAATATTTACATGTTATAATAGAAACTACACCACTTCTAAGATTTTGAATAGGTCTTCCCGGCGACGGAGAACTTGCTTTTGTCCTTCGCTTGGAAGCTGGCACACTGCAACATTCCACACGACATTATTCTCCATTGTCGAATGAACGCACTTCGGTAGTCACGACTAAAATGCTGATTTAAGATGAACTAGGGCCCTGTATACATAACATATTTGGTATTAAACAAAATGAGGACGTCTGAGGACTCACGAAAAAAAGAATTTTAACATTTGGTCAAAAACCCAAAAAGTTATAGTCAATTCAAATCCGGCCGAAAAATTGCACACTGTCTTTGTTGCTCACCTCATTATAAAGTAGATCACATAGTTCAGACTGACCGACAAATTCAACACTTGACCATTGTACTGTATGACGATCGAGGTCAATTGGATTCCAAAAAATTTATAAACGTTTCCGGCATTCATCGTGATAAACCATCCCCCAATAACACACAAACTGACGGTTGTAATAGAACGTAACATTTGCTTCGAAGCTGTGTAATTCTTCATCTTCACGAAGATCCAAATAATGACGTACGTGAACATGGAGGTGGTGATAATAACGCCGTTAAGGACGAAGAAAAGCTCAATCGTTTTGGGAAGCAAGCCACCAGTGATCACACAGGGGACTGGGTCGTTCGGTGCTTGTATCATTTCGTAGTAAGCATGAACGGAAATCCAAACTGGGGGCATGCAAGCAACAATTAGTGCAGTCGGGGCGTAGAACGGTGTGTTCAACCGTTCGTATCTACAAACACGCATATGAGGTTGGGACCATTGGAATCGTTACGTATGCACGTATTCCGACAAAACTTCTTTCTGCATAAACCATTCGTTGTATCACTTACAATGCGGGCTTACAAACGCACAACAACCGATCCAATGCAATCAGCAGAAGCAGCGTTGAGCCCATGTTGCAGCCAAGTTGCGGAATATTTTGAATGTGATAGCAAGTGTGCAGGGGTGTTTCAATCCCGCTAAAGTAAAACACGGCCCAAAGCAAGTGGGCGACCTGATGCATAACATCGCAAACGGCTGTCGCGGCGATGAAAATATTGCATGTGGAGCGTAGGCTTCTAAAAATCAAACCCCTAGAGCAACAGTGAAAAGAATAGCGTGTTTTGTTCAATTTCCACCCCGCCATCTTCCACATCTTGACCAGTTATGGTAAAGTCTCTCTTCAACTCACTTTTTTGTGAAAGAAGCCCATATGATTTGAAAATTTCCGAAAATGCCGAACAGTGCAATGGCAATGAGCAATAAAGTAGGCGTTGTCATATTACCAAAAACGTCCATTAAAATACCCATTGTAACTTGACGTTAGCTGAAGAAAAAATGTTACCAGTCGTTCCAGAAAGTGCGCAGACTGTCGTGGGCCGCACTATGCACAAAAAATTCTACGCGCTTTCTGGAATGAGTCGAAGTCAAAGCTGAAATCTTTGTGCTAAAAACTTCAGTCGTCTCTGCAAAGCGCGAGCTCTGAGTCTCGCATACGTCTTGAAAAAATAGTCTTAATTCGTGCCGAGTCTCACCAAAATCTAAGCGTTGCACTTCGAGTACTGCCACTGTGAATTTAAGTCGACTTAAATCCAACGGCGCAACGAATTATTATTCTCATACTAGTCCTTCCGGACAGTCGCCGGACTGAAATCGGCGCCACGCACTATCGGAAAACAAAAGCTTTCTTTGCACTCTGCTGTTTCCTGCTTTTTTGCACTGTGCAATACTAGTCCTTCCGGCAAGTCGCCGGACTGATTTTTGGCTTTTGCACTGTGCGAACATAGTCAGAGCGACAGCCAAAAAAAACTTCTTTCAGGGTGAAAAAAGGAAGAAATTGTACAATGCAAAGAAAATTTTTGCTTTTTCTCAGTGCGTATCGTCGATTTCGGTTCTGTGACTGTATAGAAGGACTAGTATACGTCAATCCAGCTTATATTAGTTGGAGTTTTTTCCTGATGTGAGTAAGATTTAGTCAACGTCGCGTTTTTCACAAATTGAATCTTGGGATCCCTACCTGGTTTTTTTTGGCTAGCCGGGATAAACCATTGCTTTCTGGTCAAAATAAAAAGTTATAAAAGAAAGTTTCTTGATTTTCAAGGCCAAGCCCCTTTCGAAATGAATTGTTATATCGAAAATCTTTTGCTCATTCGATTCGCTGTTCGCACGAAGCGAACCTCAAAATGTAGCCGTTTGCATTGTGCAAATTCTTGACGCTAACGCGAAGACGTATCAGTACGAGGAAGCCTCTGGCTCACCTTGACAACAGTGAACATATCATAAATGGGTTCAACTTAATTGAACCCGGCACTCTTCGAATCTTCCGACAAGAACCTATGGTTTGCAATAAACATTGACATGTCGCATTAATCTTTGGTAGTTTATTATTTTAAATAAATATTATTGTTTCTTATAAAGAATAACTCAAAGCTCAAGACACACTGGAAAGTTGTTTTTTCCCGGTGAGGGAGAACTTGGTTGTGTCTTCCACTTTTATGCCGGCAAACTGCAACATTCCACACGACATTATTCGCCATTGCTGAACAAATGCACCGCGGTACTCTCGACTGAAAACAGTGACTTAACATCGATGTAAAACATGAATAAAGGTAAATTTATAAGAACAAATTTAGACTCTGCATACCTCATTATGAAGTAGATCACATAGTTCAGGCTAACCGACAAATTCAGAATCTGCCCATTATACATGATGACGAGTGAGGTAATCTTGATTCCGAATAGCTTGAAGACATTTCCGGCATTCATCGTGATGAACCAGCCCCCAATAACGCACAAACTGACTGTAGTGATTGAACGCAACATCTGCCTCGAGGCGGTGTAATTCTTTTTCTTCACAAACATCCAAATAACTGCATATAGGAACATGGTTATTGTGATGATTGAGCTGTTGACGGTGAAGAAGAGCTCAATCGATTTGGGAAGCAATCCTCCGGTAATCACACACGGGACCGGGTCGTTCGGCGCTTGTATCATTTCGCGATAGGCGTATACGGCAATCCACAGTGGAGGTATGGAAGCAACAATTAGTGCAGTCGGGACGTAGAACGGTGTATTCAGCCGTTCGTATCTACAAAAATGCATGTAAGGTTGGGAACTTTGGAATCGTGAGCGGTGAGATAGGTATCCTGAGAAAACCCCTTCTATACAGACCATTGTATCACTTACAATGCGGGCTTACAGACGCATAACAATCGATCCAAGGCAATCATCAGCAGCAGCGTTGAGCCCATATTACAGCCCAGTTGTGGAAGGTTCTGGATGTGATAGCAAGTGCGCAGCGGTACTTCAATCCCGCCGAAGTAAAATATGGCCCAAAGCAAGTGGGCAACCTGATGGACAATATCGCAAAGAGCTGTCGCGGCGATGAAAATATTGCATCTCGAGCGGAGACTTCTAAAGAGGCAATGTTTTTTGTTAACAGAATTTTCGAATTTTTAAAAGCCGTAGATTCAACTCACTTCTTTGTAAACGAAGCCCACATGATTTGAATGTTGCCAAAAATGCCAAACAATGAAACTGTCGCGAGTCCTATTGTAGGCGTTTTTATCGTGCCTAAGATGTCCATCAAAATACCCATTGCGATTTACTGAGATCTGAATTAAATATAAACGTTATAAATACCTCAAAGGCTGTGCAAAAACGAGCTGCGAGAAAGTACTATAAGCAAATTGTAAGACATCTGTGTGGTCAACAAATCCGCTTGCAAGGTCCTTAAAAACGATTTGAGCGATAAACAAGTTTGCCCTTGCTCTTGCAAACATTAAGGTCATGTTTGGCCATTTCGGGCTCATTCGAACCCATTGCGACCCATAAAGGCGATTACTTCTTTCAAAAGCTTCTATTTTAACTCCTTTTATAAGGGTCAAATACCAGAAACGGTTCTAACCTACACTTTCAAATTAGTTTGTTTTTCTGAGCAACATCCTTTCCCTTAGGGTATTGTTAAATTATCCAGCGCACGTTCGTTTTTCGGGCAGTCGGTTAAACAGAAAATAGAAACGGCTTTATTCGGACCCCATTTAGAGTTTGTGCGATATAGGCGACAAGTATTATAGATAATGATCTACAGCTTATGTTAAAAAAAATCCGGCATGTTTTGTTTGGAGCAGGCCATTGGCAAAGCGGCTTGCATACTCGACAATTTTTTGGCCGCACAACATAACCTAATTTGGCATAATCAAAAGTTAAAAAGACCAAGCACATTACGGTAATTGGAAACATAGAATCACCTGGAGAAGCAAGGTAAATATGTCGCCGATAATTTATTCAATAAATAAGGAAGTATGTAAATAAACTGGTGGCCAAAACTCTATCAGTGCCTCATGGGCTTCTCATGCCAAATCGCAGGATTCTACACTTCGCGAGTAATAAGATTCGAGAAAGGAAATGGCAACCAGTACATGACAATTACAAGAAAATGTATGATAAAAAATAGGTATAACCCAAACTTTTAAGCCATATATTTACGTGGTACACGTTTTCCATAAGTCACCGAGGTTTTTAGGTCAGTCGGTGGCCGTCGAAAATTCAACAGCTTTTAGCATGAAAAATGTTGGTTTGACCTCGGCTGGAAAGGTAAAAGTGTCTTACAATGAGACGTCATTTACCTCTGCCATCGCTCATTGCATGCCTGCAAAGGTCATTGAATATCTCGAGTCACTGCAAAACGCGACGTAAGGTTTTAAAAATTGATACACACTAACGGGGAAGTACCACAAGGACGACGCCAATATTTAGTTCAAACTTAGCGCAAATTAAGAATAATTTCCTCTAAGGTGGGATCATTCAATCTCTTTGAGCGCATCTTACCAAAAATACATCAGCCTACAGGGTGGGCCATCCACGTAGGGCTTTCTTTGCAAATAACGTGGGAGATGATTTACCAACATTCGTAATAATTACATCCTCGGGGTCCCCAGGCTCGACATTTTACTGGCCATGTACTTTTTTTTCGCAACTCCTCGTGGTGAGTTTTTCGGAATCAAGGTTCAACCTCTGATTTCAAAAAATGGATTACAATCGCCCAAGCTCGACCGCCGTGTGGGAAAAGTCACAAAAAAGATGCTAATGGCAGATTGTCGGAGGGTTTTTAATAATAAGAAACCATATGTTTAAATATCTGATTCGAGCGGCATACCTCACTTTAGTACCATTATTTCCTACGTTACAAACAAAAAAAACCCTTTCTTGTATCGCCCACCTCGTATGGCTAGACTAAACCGTATATACAGAGTGCGCAAACGGTGACAACTGCCAAAGACGTGCGTTTCAACGCGAAAACAATCTTCATTTAATAACGAAACTCGGGCTTCAAGTAACCTAATACATAGTGCGCTCCGACGTAAATCAACTACATGGACTGGTTCCTAACAGTACACCGTATCCTTTGCGCCTTCGACTGACTACAAAACAAAGTTTGTTTATTCTTCAATGGTGCATTGCGCAATCTGTCTGTTTTCGCATTTCCGGCATAATGAAGGTGAGGTGGGAAAATAAATAATTGGAGTTCACACTTTCAAAGACCAAGTCTTGAATTTGTATCAATTGCAGCGGATAAGGGTATTGCGAAGTACAGGGTGCGCCAATAAAATCTGGACTAAACTAAATTCCATGTAGCCTTTTTCAGACGGCCTACGAATGGAAACTTTTAGCACTTTTAGAAAGGGTAACAACCGTGCTGTAAAGCAACGATAATGCCCAGGTCGGTGCCTATTGCAAGAGCGAAAAAATAATCAAAAGTTTTTGGAGGTGCAGAAATTTTTTTTCCAGATGATGACTGGGATATTAATTCCTCCATTATTTCTGCTAGGGGGGACTGACGTTCTTCAAATTTATTGTATATAAAGTACGTGCTGTTAGCTTCGTAACAGCAAACGGAATCATGGTTGGCGGCCGATCTGGCGGCGTTGGTGGCGGAAACAAAAAAAGGCCCAAAAATTTGGATTTTTATGTTTTTAAGGATCTCAACGCCAGGTTATAGCCCGTCTTGCTCCAAAATTCCGTGATTACAGAGTGTATACATAGACAATTGTTATAGTGTAAAAGAAAATCCGCACATACAAGGGGACAGTTTCTGCATAAATAAAAGTTCATGGGGGGAATTCAAGGCACGGTCATTCGGGACTTGAAACGTTTTGGCAGTTTGTAACCAGTTGGAAAGGCCTTAAGCGTAAAAATCAACATAGCGTTGTATACTGGATACATGCTAATGTAGCCAAATCACTTTTAGAAATATCTAGTCCAAGGTCACTCGAATAGCGAGCATTTAGTAAATTATGCCACTACGGTCACTATTTCATCACCAGAGGCACCAGATAGAAAAATCCTCTTTGAAAGGCGACTAGGCAGACTCTGGTTATCCTTACAAAAGTAGTTCTGGTGCTTAACATGTTTGGAATCACACAGGGAAACTTCTACATAAAAATCATTGATTTAACGGAAGTTTTCGCGAAAAAGGGCCCGTTTTTAAACCAACTTTGGCGAGCTGTAAAAAGCCTAATTGTCATAATGAGGCAAGATCAATTTCAGTGTATAAAAACCGACCAGGGCTCTATCAGAAAAAGTAAATTTTAGCCCATAGCATAAAACGGTAAAGATAGCGCAACCATTTTTTGACCAATTTGGGGTCCGTGTTTCAGGCGCTTTAGTTGTAAGCACTTATAATGGCAAAACAAGTCCCGTAGACGATTATTTTGTCTGAAACTTTAAAGATAGCTTCTTGGACGTATTACACGTGTACACAATCGCCCACTTTGTTCTCGTACTGTTTCAGCCCGCAGGGCAAGCAAAAATATTAGTCCAGATTTTATTGGCGCACCCTGTAATTAGAACCTTGCAAAGAAAGCGTGTTAAATACCAAAACAAATTTCAGTCACAAGAGAAATTCTCCAAATACGACGCTTAAAATTTTCATAAAACTTCGGAGTTGTTCAGAAAGTTCCGTCGTTTTTTTTAAATCTTTTGTTTTGCAAGAATTTGTTTATTGTTTGCAAAGTGAATATACACTCCATTTCAAAATGATAGACACGCCTATAAAATCTGCAATTGCGGTGTCGGGGTGCGGTTGACGGATACGAAACCTTTACAGATTGAAAGAGGAGGTTTGAAAACCTATACCAAAAAATTATTTTTCTTATTGCACTGCAATTGCACTTTTCACAAAAGATTTTCCAAATTTTGGGTGTTTCAAAATGATAGACACGGTTGCTATTTTTGCTAAAAACTTGCGAGTATGGGCCCCATAGGGTCTGAAATTATTAGTACGACTGTATTGCAACTGTCTGGACTTCATTGAGTTCAAAGCGCCCGAATTTTTGTGCAATTTTCCCGGAATTGCACACATACTTCCATTTTGTGCAATCTGGCCTGCATCTTTCAGAAGTCCATTTTCTATGGGCACAGACAGTGCAGATGCGACGTATCGTATGTAATGGACCAGATCCAGTCAGTTTTCACTAGTATGCAACAAAAAAATGCGTGGAAATTGCAACGAAAACTGATTCCGCTGCTACATGGTCAGCTTTGAAGGCTACCCTACGTTTCGAAACAAGCAAGATGCAAAGAAAAACTGCATGATTGGAATGTTTAGGTTCTTGTAAAAACGTTTAAGTCTCTAGCATATGCAGCTTTGCTTCAGCGGGTCCGCAGTGCACCATTCTTTTGCGAAACTATGCGAAATAGGCTTAAAAATGGGTCATAAAGGGGTTTTTGAAAAACTTGACGTTTTCTGGTGTTGGCCCGACGGAATCTGGACATAAGGCTTATTTAATAACGTTTGTTTGTTGATCGCCAAGATAGTTCAGAGCTTTTTGGGTTGTGAAAACCACAGGCACTCGCTTGAGGAGCTTTAAAAGTGACGACTATCGTTGCAAAATCAGTTTTCGTTGCAATTTCCACGCATTTTTTTGTTGCATACTAGTGAAAACTGACTGGATCTGGTCCATTACATACGATACGTCGCATCTGCACTGTCTGTGCCCATAGAAAATGGACTTCTGAAAGATGCAGGCCAGACTGCACAAAATGGAAGTATATGTGCAATTCCGGGAAAATTGCACAAAAATTCGGGCGCTTTGAACTCAATGAAGTCCAGACAGTTGCAATACAGTCGTACTAATAATTTCAGACCCTATGGGGCCCATACTCGCAAGTTTTTAGCAAAAAATAACAGCCGTGTCTATCATTTTGAAACACCCAAAATTTGGAAAATCTTTTGTGAAAAGTGCAATTGCAGTGCAATAAGAAAAATAATTTTTTGGTATAGGTTTTCAAACCTCCTCTTTCAATCTGTAATGGTTTCGTATCCGTCAACTGCACCCCGACACCGCAATTGTAGATTTGATAGGCGTGTCTATCATTTTGAAATGGAGTGTATTTATTCGATGCAGCATTTTCTACTCTACAAAACTGTGTTTTTAGTTTTTTTTTTTGAAAATTTAACTTTTTATTATTTTTTGGGCTTAAAAGTGGACCTCCAGAGATCCAGGAGGCAAAATTTGCGTTTACGGCACCTGCCGTAGACGGTGAGGAATTTGAAGATAGTTGTTTCTACAAGTTGAACAAGGTGAGACAGACCTGGAGAACCGACATGACATCCCCATCTTGGCCCCGAATCATGGCCCGTTTCTCTACTTTTGATAGATGATTAGCGGAAATAAAATGAAAATTGAAATTGAAACAAAAAGCACGAAATTGGAGAACACTTTTGTTTTCTTAAAGTACATGTCGCCGAGATTACTCCAGAAACTTTGGTAGCGGCTAAAGCAACCAATACAACGCTAACGCAGAACCACACACACCTGACCCACAGGATAAGCAATGCAAACTTGGATATGTCCTTTCAGTATTCCCAAATTTTTTGCTCATTCAACGGCCTAATCTGGCTATTTTCCTTGTTTTCATATAATTGTTCTTCAACAAATTTATATGTAATTTACGACAAGAGATTTCCAAAAAACAAAAAAGTTCAGGAAAAGTGCCGCTCTTGATGAAGTCATCGTATAGTTATTGAACATCTGATTTGTGTTCATCGAATTTTGTATAAAGAAACTGTTGTCTTATAAACAAGCTGAAAGTGTAAGACAATGCGCAAATGTAATAACGCTGAACGCACTTGTAAGGTTAGTCTATTACACTTTTATAATACGGTTTGTCAGGCCAAAAGTATTATACATACCCTCATGTCAAAAGGAAAGGGTCACGTACAAATCTTATTTGAATTAGATGACAAAAAATAAAATCGAAAGTTTCACAAATTGAAGCAAATTAATATTGACCAAAAATTCCCACTTTTCTGTAAAATCTCCTTGTCAAAATTCAGGTCTATTACAGGTGAAGATTAAAATATGTAAGGAATCAATTTTCCATGCGAGCGTTCGCCGGAAATCTTTTTTCTTCTCGACTCTCATAATTTTGCGTGCTCGCGGAGAACTAATTAATGTCTCCGCGGCAGGTTGAAGCCACTGATTGAATATTTCGCGGATTATGGAACATTTTGATTATTTATTCAACATTTGCGGAAAACCAATTAGTCATACGTAATAGGTATTTTATGAACAAATTTTTTAGTAGCCTTGTTGATGAGCTGATTCGTGAATTGGAGCGGTTTGATAAACAAGGCCATCAGCATGCCCATGGTGACGATGTCCATGATGGTGATTTTCATCATGGCCATGGTGTCCACCATGGTGTCCATCCTCAAGGGCATAGCTTCCATGTCCCTCATGACCATGAACATCTCCTTCCTCGAATCCACTTTGATGTCCGTGATCATTCCCACTTTCTCTATGATAATCAGATTCCCAGGCGTCTCCGGATTCTTGCGCTTTATGCCCCCCGTAGTCTAACCTCGCCCAGTCGGATTGATCGCCTTTGGCAAAGCCATGCTTCCCATGGTGGCTATGATGCCTGTCATGTTCATCACCATGTTCACTACGATGATTTTCGGCCCATTCAACATCATTCCCGTGAGATTCGGCGGCGTGCTCATCGTGGCCGTTAATTGGAACCCACCCATGTTCAAAAAGCCCTAAATGCTTTTTCTCTTAACGCTTACTGCTACGTAAAATTCAAAAACCATGCCTAAGATACCTACCGGAAGCAGCTACAGTCCCGCAAATAACGAAGAGTCCACAAAATTTGAATAAAACCGATACCATTTCACAGAAAGGCGAAGAATTATTAAGCAAGCACTTTGTCTTGCCGACTTTTATATTGCTCAGACCGTTCTCGCTTTCTGCTAATCAAAACCGGTTCCACGGCGATATTTTTGCATATAAATGACATAATATTGCGCTATATTACTCGATGCGACATGAAAAAAGATGACATAAGACGTTTTAATGGGCTTATCGAAATAAATGAGGTTTCACCCAAGCGATCGATGTTCTGTTGAGCTATTTGAAGTACTACTAGTTACTTTTTAACGAGTAGTCGCCAAAATATTAAAGTGAAAAGTCGCCAGGTTTTCGAAGCTTGCGCGTGCAGCTTGCAGACTACTGGAAGGGGATTTTCGCAACTTTCGCAGAGTTGTGCGTCGTTATAACTGTCGACAAATGATGCGTAGAACACGGCAAGATTATCAGCGGTTCTGTTTGAATCGAATTTTGCCCAGTATTTTTTCTATTTTGACCCAAAAAAGCCGTTAAGAACACTTTTTGCTGTTGTTTTTACTTTATTATTAATTTGATGAATTTTTTTCAGCTTCTGCTTCTGCTCATAAATTGGGAAGTTCTGTGAAGTATTGTATACATATAACATTTATTCGGCGAGATTTATTTTTTGTAAGAAGAAGTGAAGGCTCTCCCGGACCTCCTTACAAAAACCTTTTGTTACTATTCATATCCGTACTTTCTTGCTTCTGCATGTACACCGATTAATCTTGCTACAGTATCCGTACTTGAACCCAACCCTTCTGCAATCTCTTTCACAGCGCTTCACCTTGCACGTTCCTGCCTTTAGCTCTGAAAAAATTGAGGTTATAGTGGAACTGTGGAAGAACGAGTACATCGAATTTATGAACTGTAGTCTACTTGAATTGTCGTTTAAAAGAGACTTCGCGAGTTGCTGAAGCAGGCTCAAATGGGGGTCTGCCCTAGAATTTGACCCCCACTTTTTTCTGTCTCATCTGATGACATATAGGTTGTTAAACAACTTGGTGAATTTTTTTCGAAAAATTCGTCATCATGACCGAGATATGACATATTTATAGAATTTCGTTTAATGTGATATATTGTACTAATTTATTGCCGAAACATCGCAGAATTGAATACACATGCGCTATAGGCCATGCTGAACAACTTTGTAATTGACCCCAAGTTTGTCAGGTTACTGTAACATACCGTAACGCCCATGCTCAATCAAAAAATCTCGATTTTCTCGATTTTTTTCAACAATTTTCTCGGAATTTTTTTGCATTTTTGGAATCAGCATCAAATTCTGCATCGGATAGACTATATGCGCATCTCCAGATAGGTGTACAAAAATGTCGTGGCGCAACCGGTAGTGGGTCGGACTACCATTCAAAAGGTCCCGGGTTCGAGTCCGGGTGGAAGCATAAATGCTCAAACGCGCTGGAAATTGTCCCAAAACAGTTTTAATCTATTGGAACCGTGGTAAAAATAAATAATAATTAACATTGTTCCCTAAAAAGGCAAAATTTTGGATTTTACGAAATTTTTGAAAATCATGATTTTTGTGGGCCCAAATCTGCCGAAGAACTGAAAATTTTTTGCAAGCGATTTTTTTGTTTAGAAACAACGCATGGCACGTAAAAAGACTATTCCTCAAAGGATTTCGTTCAATTTTGCCCAAATCACCAAAAAGTTGAACTTTTTCGTTTTAATCGGAGAGCACCGCCAGAACCCAGTAAGCCGAAGTGACGTCATTCAAACGTGGATACACATGTTTTCCACTATGGGGAGTCGAATTTTTAGCAAATTTTACAAGATTGAATACTGTAACATCATGAAATATGTGAATATCTACAAATTTTCAAATGTAAAATTTTTTATGGGAAGTTTTTGCGGCTGTTAGAAAGATATTCGAAGGCAGCGCAAAATAGTGCTCTAGAACATTGGAAACGTTTCCGCGTAAGGACTCCTGAAAGTCATTATTTCAATTTTTTGTCAAATGCCAAAATACGAATTTTGTAAAACACGATTTTTGAGTCACTGAATCAGCCGCCAGTTAGGCCTGGACATAGGAAAAAATCGATTTTGAGTTTTTGATTTTAAAATGACTGTAGGCATCCTATAAACATAATGCTGAAATATTTTTGCCCAATTCCTTCATTAACCTACTGTAATTTACAATTTAATGATTTTACAGTAATCGACCATTACAAGAAAACTACTGATTAGAAATGGCTGAAATTGGTAATACTTATTTTTTAGGCCATGTCCATCATAACAGTTACAGGATTTCAGCAGTCGGGTTACTGCAACATACCGCAATATAGGTTCGGCCGCACAAAATCGGCCATAAAAAATTTGTTTCTAAAAACCCGCAGCTGATTTTTACATATGTTGATCAGCGTAAAATTCTGCCCTAGAAACATTAAAAAAAAGTGTAAAAAGCCATGATCCGTTTTTCGTGGTATAGTGGATTTTGGCCAAATTTAGTAATCCAAGGGTCGCGAGTTCGATCCCCATGGAAGCAAAATCCGTAATACTGCCCAGAACCATAAAAAATCAATTGGGCTGAATTGTATAGCATGCATGGGAAGTATGAAAACCTTTATAAAAAGTGATTTGCATTTTTGAAAGCATTTTTTGAAGATGACATCACACATCAACCACAAACAGAATGCCAAGATTTTTGGCATTCGGTTTTTTAAGGGTCTCTAATGTTTTAGCTTACTGTGCAGTGGGTAATGAACAAAATAACATGAACCTGCGATTAAAACATTGCGAAGGACCCATATTTTTTAAATTAATAGATTTTGGCGTTCTTCGGCCACCAGGTTAGCGACAAACGGCCGGAGAAAATCGAATTTTTGCAAACTTTGCGGCCGAATAACTTGTCTAAAACGGTTGAAACACGGAAAGTGATTGCAACGATCTTCAGAATATTGCATTCTAAGGTAGTATGCGAAGTTTGAAGCAAATCGGACAGATAATAAAAAAGTAGATGCGATTTTAAGCTTTTTTACCTTATGGATTATATTACTTTGGGCAGCTTTTAATGTCCGACAGCGTTAAATAGTCTAATTAATTAACTATATTATCTCATAACATCCTGTTAAGGGAGATTAACTGCAAAAATTTTAACTCTTAGGTCGAAAAAAAGTTTTACCTTATAGTAGCATACCTGATCTTATACCAAAAATAATGAAAGTTTATGACTGAAGTCAAAGTTTTAAAACTGTCTATGTAAATTGAGATGTCTTTCTAAGGCTGTACTGAGCTTTTGGAGTTGGTTTCAACTTCGCTGCGCCAATTTCAAAAATGGCCAATATCACCTAAAACAAGGTTCTTAGAACAGCTTCTAAACTGGTGCGGATGCCACTAATTATGCTCTTATTGTCTTTTTAGATCATAGTGGACCTAGCTGAGTCAAAATTTACAGATTTTTAAAATATTATTTTAGTCACCTAAATATCACTTTTTTTGGAATTTTGAGTGAGTAAGCTAGTATATGACACAGGGTTGCTTATTGTTCTCTAAAAATACTCTAATTATGCTCATAGAAAAAAGAATTTAGGCAATTGCTTCGTTACGAAACGATTTAGTAGCAAAAGATGTCTAAAATAAGGTTTTCAAATCTACTACTACTACTATTTTTTGGTCAGTCCGACTCGTTTCCAATTTTTAATTTGAGCTACCCTTGGGCACCCTAACAAAGTTATGCAAACAGTTTTCCCGATTTGAAACTTTTTTTTTTGTGGTTGATGTGCATCAGAATTTTGTTTTTCGTGGATTACGGTGCAAATTTAGCATAGGAAAGTTGGTAAAAATTACTGTATAGAGGTTTTCAAGCGTTCTAAATTCAATGGGACAAATTTTTCGGACCTAGGATTACTGTAACATACACAAAACGGATCTCGGCCGCTAAAAATCGGCCGTAAAAACGTTGATTTCAAAAAAACGCCATTAAATCTACGATTTTTGGAATCAGCGTGAAATTTGGCTCTAGAATCATTACATACTGTACCTTAGTTGACCGCTTGAATTTTACAGAATTTTTTGCCGTAAAATCACAAATTTTGGGGTGAGTGAAGTCATCCGCTAAAATCAAAAAATAAAATCCTGAGTTTCTAGGCTAGAAATATGTACAACCACCAATAAAATGTAGCTTCAAAGTATTTTTGTCTAATTCCATTGCTAATGCAGTTTTATTTACAAATTTCAAATATGAAAATAATTCTCCAAAGAGAAAAAAGTATTTGACAACATGACTGTATTTTAAGTTGATATAGTGTGGAATTTTACGCTGATTCCAAAAATCGTAGAATTAATGACGTTTTTTTGAAATCAACGTTTTTACGGCCGATTTTAAGCGGCCGAAATCCGTTTTGTGTATGTTACAGTAATCCTAGGTCCGAAAAATTTGTCCCATTGAATTTAGAAGGCTTGAAAACTTCTATACAGTAATTTTTACCAACTTTCCTGTGCTAAATTTGCACCGTAATCCACGAAAAACAAAATTCTGATGTCATCCTCAAAAAATGCTTTCAAAAATGCAAATCACTTTTTATAAAGGTTTTCATACTTCCCATGCATGCTATACAATTCAGCCCAATTGATTTTTTATGGTTCTGGGCAGTATTAAGGATTTTGCTTCCATGGGGATCGAACTCGCGACCCTTGGATTACTAAATTTGGCCAAAATCCACTATACCACGAAAAACGGATCATGGCTTTTTACACTTTTTTTTTATGTTTCTAGGGCAGAATTTTACGCTGATCAACATATGTAAAAATCAGCTGCGGGTTTTCAGAAACAAATTTTTTATGGCCGATTTTGTGCGGCCGAACCTATATTGCGGTATGTTGCAGTAACCCGACTGCTGAAATCCTGTAACTGTTATGATGGACATGGCCTAAAACATAAGTATTACCAATTTCAGCCATTTCTAATCAGTAGTTTTCTTGTAATGGTCGATTACTGTAAAATCATTAAATTGTAAATTACAGTAGGTTAATGAAGGAATTGGGCAAAAATATTTCAGCATTATGTTTATAGGATGCCTACAGTCATTTTAAAATCAAAAACTCAAAATCGATTTTTTCCTATGTCCATGGCTGATCCAGTGACTCAGAAATCGTGTTTTAAATGGCTGCCCCAAAAATTTACACTGACATAAAATGTGATAAATAGCTAGGCAAAGAGTTGGAATGGTTGTCAAAGGACCTAAAATGATTAGTCGAGCCATATTGACCAAATTGGCAGTTGTCAACGAATCATGCTATGACTCGCGCCGCTATGCATAGAATAGGATTCATCCTATGTCTAGGGGAGGCTAGGAGAAGCTTAGTTAGTACAAATTATCGTTTTGTTACAATAGCTCAGGGTAAGGAAAACTACGTTAAAAATAACCAAAATTAGAAAAAGTGGGCATATTGTCGCCGAGCGTCCGCCAACCATCCAACGGCTTTTCCAGGCGTCGTAGGCACTTCCTACCACTTTTTTTGGTGCCCACCCGCCCTACGCCCCGTATCAATCGATTTTGTGTTGACCCGAAAAGTCGGGGCGCGCAAACCTCCGGCTAGCCCTCGGATTTATTCGCCAATATTTTTCCCAGATATTTGGACGGTTGAATACTATAAGAAGATACAAGCCCCAAAGCCGATATGCCCATCATGAAGCTGAATATTCCTACCCAACTGATCCATGCTGATTTGGTTTGTCCAGGCCAAAGTGAAAATCGAGAGAAATAAGAGAACCAAGACTAGCGATCGCATAATTGGACAAGACTAACTGTACAACTGACCTTCAATGAGGTTATACGTTTTTATATGCCTCTGGCTATGCAAATGTTCCTGGATTAACAATAGGATTGAGTCATTTTGCAAAGTTTTTCGATTATTTGTTTGGACAAAAGCGAATTGTTTTTGGAAAAAATGACATTTCTCCAAAACCAATTTATCAAAGTATTCATTCCGAGAGGTCAAAGAATCCGAAAATTGATTTCGATTCTCAACTGCCAATTCAATCGGTCGACCCGCTACGGCCGCAATGCAGTTGTTCAATCTGGGCAAAAAGAAGGAAAAGAAGAAACACAAGCGTAAACACGGCGAAGAAAACCCGGAGAAGAACGAGAAGAAAGACAAGGATCCCAAGGACAAGAAGCACAAGGACAAGAAGCACAAGAAACATAAGAGAAAGAGCGGGCATAAGAGTACGTTTTTTTGACGATGAGATCATCTCCAAAGGTCCTGTTTGGTTTTGCTAAGAATGTAAGGAAAATTTAGGTCAGAATTTTTTTAAGGTAATGTAATCTTTTTTTAGTCCAAATTTTTTTTATCAAGCCGATTCTCCTACTTTTTCGTGCTCTCTCGGGAACGGATTGCATAATGTCTCCACTGCGGACAAAAATGATGATTTCAAGTTTTTCGCGATAGTTTGGACCAGATTTTTAAAATCCTTGGAAATGAGAGAGTCATGAGAGAGCCGTGTTGTATTTGAGTGTCTTTTCTGTTGGTTTGATAGTCTAATTGCGTCTTTGCAGAAGTCGATGAAAAACCGCTCGCACCAACACCAAAGCCGGATCCACAGAAGCTAGCCGGTGGGTTTATTTTTTTATAATTGCGTTTCCCAGGGCGAACGCAATTATAAAAAATTATCTTGGCCTTGTTTTAGATGTTGGCAATCTCCCGGCTCCTAAGCCGTCTTCTCCACCCAAACAGGAACCCCTTCCGTACGCTGCGACCCCAAAGCCTTCCAATCAGACCGACGGAGCCGGGGTTCCCTCTCCAACAGTCCCATTGAATTTGCCAAAGGAAAAGCCGCTGGAGAAACCGAAGGTTAGTTTAATGTTAGACTATCTCGAAGTATCTACTGAAGGCTAGGATTTAATAGACATAGGTTGCATTGGACTTAAAGAGACGGGATTTTTAGCTCAAAGCATCTCCATCGAAAGAGAAACCCGAAAAAAAGGTTGAAAAAGTGAAGATGCCATCACCAAACAAAGCAGAGCAAATCCAAAAAGAAGCGGCCGAAGGAAAGGATAAGGCCAGGAAAAGCGACGAGAAACCCACATCGGGAAAGGCAATGGTCAAGAGACGAAGAGGGAAATATGATACCGACGGTAAAGAACAAAATTTGGACGAAAAATTTTGAATTTTTTTTCCAGAACCCAATTTCAAAACTTTGAGATCTCAATTGGTTCCTGTAGAGCCTTTCGCTGAGAGTTCGCCAGGAGTAGGTTTTTTTTCAGGAGTAGGCTTGTAAAAAGAGCTTCAGACCGAAACGTTTTGATCAATTTTCCAGGACAAGACCCCAGAAGGCAAAACACCCCATCAATTGACGCCCACTCCACTTCCGCTCGCCGAAAATGCAGAAAAATCAGCCCCAACCCCCAAGTTTCACGGCACCGATGCTCAATATCGCGGCGTCTCCTCAGCGGTTACGACAACCACTTCTACGGACGCGAGCGGAACGACCAGCGGAACGAACCTCACCACCGATACTTCAGTCCCGGCCGGAACAAGTAGTGTAACTACGAATTCCGATCCGAGTAAGTGGAACAATAAGGATTGGGATGTGTGATGTTTAGCCACAACTCCAGTCATAACTCCTCAGAACTCGACACCAGCACAGACTCCAGAACCCGATCCTGCGGAGAGATTCAAGTCCCGAAAAGGAAGAATCAAAGTGTATAACGAGGATGTGGTGCCAGAAAAGAAGAAAAGCCCCAGCCGGAGAACAAAGCAGACCCCGGAGGTGATTCAGGAAGGAAAGGTAAATTTTTAACAATCCATTTTGTCATAGGTCATCGCTGAATTTCATTCGGGGAATGATCAAATTTAGGGCATGTAATCTTATTATCCAACCGTCCAAATGCCCGTTGGCAAGACATTTGGATGTTCGGATGAGAAGATTTCAAGCCACAAATTCAAGCTATCACCGTAATTTTCCAGAAACGCCTATCTCCCCTAATTGAGCCCACCCAGGAGCCCAGCGAAGAAGTTCCGAACATTGTTCCGATCGACAATTCCAAGAAAAGAATTCGCGACAAGTACATTGAACCCACGCAAACGAGTAGTGGCCAGTACCAGCCAAGTCAGCGACAGCTGGCAGTGAACATTAACGAAGTCATGAGGATTGCCACCATCATGATGAAAGGTGGAACCGACATTCAAAGACGGGTAAAAATATGACTATGTAGCGATACCATATCTTACAGCGCTCCTTCGATTGGCTCGCCGAGCATCGGAACTCGATTCATGAGGAGCGCCGAGAAGCTGCGCACCATCTGAATTTGGCGATTGGAGATATTCCAATAGCTCGAGAATTGGCTGTTGCTACTCTCCGTGTGCTGGTGGACCATGGACTGGTTACCGAAAAGGAATATCGAGACCACTTTGCGGTGATCGAGAGCGCCAAAGAACACCAACATATCACAGTCAGCCAGCTGAGCCATTTGGTTTCGACGCATGCTGCCTATTACAACAAAAAGGAGTCGGAATAGACGGAAAACGCGGATTTGTTTGTCGGAAGGCTACTGAATTTGAAAATAAATGTGTCAAGCATTTAATATAGAGTATTATATTCGTTAGTTTCAACCAAAACGGTTAATTCCATCTAAAAACCGCAATAATTTATCCGATCTTAAATAACCTCCGAGTGGAGGCATGTAAAACAATATATAAAACAACACTTTTAGCTAAACAAAAATGACCGTCTCTTTACGTGGAATATGTTTACTTGGAGCCCCAGAACAGATTGCGGACCATTCCGCCAAGTCCAGCGGGCTGGGCGGCTTCCCCTTTGGCTGGTGCGGGTGGCTGGGTGTTGGCAATGTCGGTGATCTCTTGCGGGAGCTGAAATTGCATGCTTATAGAACCCAAATAAAAAAAATCTTCGATTTTTTGTCTTCAGTCTGATTTGTACCTAAAATTCAAGAAAAAATTAACAAAATCCCACCGTGAAATGTTTGAGAGCCAAGTCGAAGAAGGTCGGTTTGGCCGGCACAGGTTGGGGCAATGGTTGTTGCTCTTTTTTCTTCTTTTTATCCGCCTTTTCCTGCTTCTTCTTCTCCTTCTCACTCTTGGGCTCTTCAATTTCCACGTTCTTCAGCGAATCTTCGAGAGTTTCGTTCAAGTCGAGTTGAGAAACATCGGGGGCGACATCCACTCCCTTTTTGCCTGCGTGATACTCGCAGAGCTTGATGATATTCGATATTTCTTTGACCCTCTGTTCGTATAGTGCCTGAAGCTCTTCATTTTTGACATTCTTCACCAACTTTTGGTAGATAAACCTGAAATCCAAAGAAAATAAAGCGAAAATTGTGACATACCTTGAATTGACGTATTTATCCAATGCTTCTGACCATTTTCGCTTCTCTAGCAACGCGGCACCTTGAATCGAGGCCACATACGCCTTTCCTTCAGTCTTCGTGAACTCATCAAACTAAAATCATAAGAATTCCAACAAAAACTGAAATCTTACTCTAGGCGAAGAATTCACACTGCTGTCGAGGTTCTCAGCGTGCTGCACGGCTTTGATCAGTCGCCTCCGAGCATGGAAAATTTGACGAGCATGCTTTTCGTTCTCACTGGCAACTTTGAACTCCATTCCACGGGCCCAGCAATGCTCCACATCAAAAACAACTAATTCTAGGAACCTAAAAAAGGTTGGTAAACATAAAAACCAACAGAATAAAAATGGAGTATATAGGCTTTAGGAAAAACGTGCAAAAGAAAGTTCATCCACCCAAAATTGCCTTCCTAAGCTAAATGTAAAGCAAAATTAATGAAAACAGCTCACCTTTTGTCATTGACAACATCCGCATTCACTGGTCGTAAAACAAACTTCGCCTTGTGGTTTGGAACACACTTGTAGGTGTGAGTGTATTTCAGAGCACGACGAAGCCTTCGGATGCGACGATCGCAATAATCGCTGAAAGATCAAAGATAACGACGTTCCACCGATATTTTAGTCTTCTCAAAACAAAAACTTTCAAAGGTAGGCCTAAAAAATAAATATCAACTAAAAATCTTACCCATATCGTTTGTAGTTCCCATGTCTCAATCCATGCTTTTGTTGGGCGTCTTTCGTTAATTTGAGGATAGAAACGGGCTCAAATGGAGTTGTATCAACCTCCATGGCCTCATTTTCTTTGGTTTCCGCCATTTTTGCTGCAAAAAAGCCTTCAAATTACACGAAACTCAATAAATTCCAAACAAAAACTACGAAATTTTCTTCCACATGGCTTTTTCGACGAAAATTATTCCACGTTGCGAAGTGTCACAATTGATTCCTTTATTGTGACACTCCGTCAACCAGAGTTTATGATTGAATTGGAGAACAAAATGAGATCCAAAAAATTTCTGCTGTAAGAAAAAAAACTTCTGTAAGTTATAGTCGTGTAAAAATCATGTAATACATCATAGTTCACACTTCATATTTCGTAATCCATCTCGATCCAACAACCGCAACTCGTTCATTTGGCGGACATTTTTTATGACTCCAAGAGCCGTCGGCAATGTTTAGAGGGCGACCAAATCAGCTGCTGTGTCCGGTGATTAATGGGCTGGACATAAAATGGGCCAAGGATTTGAACGGATCTCAGGAATTTTACCCAATTCTCCTCACTCGAAAGGCTTTAATTCGACGGAAATTCGAGTTCGAAATGCGGTATTTCGCTATTTTGATCGTGTTGGCCAATGTTTTGGTGAGATTTTAATTTATACTTCCACTTTCAAGACTTATCGATCTAAGTTTTGCTTTTTCAAAAAAAATTTATTCAGGCAATTGTCAATGCGAATTGCGAATTTACGATGGACTACATCCCAGAGTACAGCAACATAATTCGGACGGACAACGAAGGAAGATCGTGTAGAGGAAATATTTCGCTGCCCTTTTGTCGAGGGGCTTGCAAAACATCCGAGGTCTGTTCTTAATGATGCTAAAAATAAAAAATTACCTTCTGAAAATAAAATCCACAAGTGCAGAGGGCAAGTCTTGTTCGGAAGTGGTCAGAAAATCTTGTTTTTAGCCACCTTTGCACTGGACATTTTTTCAGCAAAAATTTAGTTTTGTGGAACTTTCGGTTGATTTTTCTCGTCGGCCGGACTTATTCCGCGGCTGGAAAATTGCTCTTTTTACCCAAAGTTGACCTGCTCTCTCCACCTGTACTAATCATTTTCCCAAACGCCGGGGGAAATTCAGACCATTCCCTCGTCAGCAAAGCTCGCGCTAAAATCTTCATTATGCCATGGGCACCGTGACACTTGCAGGCAACCACCTTGCGGGCGGCCAACAATCTTTGCGATTAGAATTAACATTTTCCTCCCGTGATCACGTAGTATGATGAAAATTTTACATTGACAGCTGGTACTTATAAGTACACGAATCAATTGAATTCATCCACCGCTTCGAAAGCTATGAGAGTTTGTTAACAAAAAATGATTTCTGATCCTTTAAAATTGCCTGTTTAACGTTGTAGTAACTATTCATGCCATTTGAGCACCTGGAAACTTAATTCGCAACATCTAATTGCCAAATTCATTGTTTGAATTTCCTGTTGTAAGCAAACATTGGCCGGTTTTCAAAACATGCTCGCACAGTCTCCGTCTTTCCTTTGGCTGCCCGCAAGGTGGTTTCCCGCATGTGCGGCCTGCCTTTGGGATGTGGGCCCGGTGTGTGTGCAAATTTGGAGCATCTCATTTCGAACATTGAGCAAAATTTTTGGGATTATTACGCAGGAAGTAAACAAAACTTGTTTCAGGAAGGAGTTCACGTTTTCCCCTACAGAGAGAGCACCAGTCATGTCTGTGTCTTGGTAGGCACGGCCGAGAGAGATGTGAATTTGACTGACTGCGATACAGGCGCCGACCCCTCGGTTGCCTACGTTACCATCTCAGCGGCTACGGAATGCGAATGCAGGGAGTTGGAGCCGCGTCCATGATTCTCGGAAGCCTCAATTGTTCATATTTAGCCCGAAGTAGAATCAAAAATAATCAGCCAAACCTTTTGCAGAATAATTATTTAAGATTGTTACATACCTAATAATAAATATAGCAATGTTTAACCGTACAATACGTTTATTTTCTACCTAAATAAATAAGACTACTATCATCATAAGCTAATTGTCATCGGATGCAGAAGACTGGGTGTTTTCCGCCGTGCTCTTCTTCCCCTTGGTTTTTTTGCCAGCTTTAGACTGCTTCTTGTCAGGCTTGATCTTTCCTTTCGAAGCCTTGCCCGGTTTCTTGACTTTGGTCTTCAACCGTTCCGTTTCCTTGCTTTCAAAGGACTTCTCAGCCGCCGACTCCTGTGATTCGGCCGGAACTTTCGTCTTCTTCTTCTGGGGTTTAACGGGTTCCGGTTCCGGCTCTGTCATGGACTGCTCCTCAGCAGATTTTTCCTCAACAACTTTAGTCTTGGTTTTGGTGTGTTTCTTTTCCTTGTTTAGAACGGATTGGTCAACCACCGATTCGGTCTTATCTTCCACAACTTTGGTCTTCGTCTTGGGCTTGACCAGTTCCGTTTTCTTTTTGTTTAGAGCCGATTCCTCGGCCGCCGATTCGGTTTTTTCCTTCACAACCTCACCCTTCTTCTTGGCTTTCTGTTTCGTTTCCTGGTTTTCAACGTAGTGGAGCAGGAGAACCGATGGACGCATATCTTCTTTCGCATCGCTTTTGAGGTTCGCTGAAAATGAAATTGAGACAACATTTTTGAAAAGCAATAAAAAGAATCAAAATATGACCGAGCAAATTGAACAATCCGATTAATAAAGTTTAATAAAAATCTGCCCGATCCTCTGAACCTGACCTGTTTTCTGATCAATATGCCTGGTATTGCGACCGATCTGACCGGCCGGACGAGATCGAGCAAAAATTTTGATAGGTTAAGTTAGTAGTCAAACTAATAATAAACCAGCGCTACGTCTTTTCGGGTTAGCGACAGTTCGGGTCAACGACACTATGGATTGCGTAGGTCGTCGTTGTATGCATGGGGGAGGCTAGGAGAAGGCTTAGTAAGCAGAAATAATAAGATTGATCGAGATATTTTACATGTACTCACATCAACGATCTCCAGATAAAAGTAACGGATCTTTGTTTTTTTTTGACGTTTGTGTTACGATAACTCAAGGTAAATAAAACTAACGTAGAAATAGCTAAAATTAAAAAAAGCGGACATATTGCAAGTCTTCGCCAAGTCTCCGCCGAGCCTTCGCCGAGCGTCCGCCGACCATTCAACGGCTTTGACAACCTTTTTTATGTATCCACTTGCCTACGCCCCGTATTGGTCGACTTTGTGCTGACCCGAACTGTCGTCGCTCCGAAAAGTCGGGACGCGAGTCAAAGTCAATCAAACCAAAATAATCGCCTACCGTACTGTTCTTCGGCTCTGTTCAAAAATTCAGCATAGTCGGCCGGAGGCTTTTCTTTCTTGACAATCTGTTTCTCCTCTTCGAGGGTGAGGTGCTTTTGTTTTTCTTTCAACGCGCTCTTAGCGTCAACATTTCCAAACTCGCTAAGCTTTACAGACGGCGGCGCCGGATCGGGCCCTTTTCCTTTCTTGTTTCGAGGATACTGAAAAGAGCGATTTATTGGAACAAAAATAAAAAGACAAAATTGTAAAACCTACGAGCAGACTGTTCGGTTTGTTGGGGTTAAAGTGACGCCATGCAGCAGGGAATGGGTCACCCAGACGATGCTGGCGCATTTCCCAACGTTCGCCAACCGGGACAAATATGTGAATATACGTTTTAGCGACACCGCTACCAGGAGGCTGAAAAAAAACATAAAATCTAAAGTCTTTGCGTTGTTATGTGCTAGAAAACTCGCTTCTGTAACGTCTATGTTCTAATCAACATGTGTCGGAAACTTGCTTTCTGGACCGTTTTGGTATCCGTCTTCTTTACTGTTTTGGCGTCCGTTTCCTTGATCGTTTTCGGGTCCGTTTCCTTGTTCGTTTTCGGGTCCGTTTCCTTGTTCGTTTTCGGGTCCGCTGTCTTGCCCGTTTTCGGGTCCGCTTTCTGGGGCGCTGCCTTGGCTGGGGCTGCTGGGGCTGCTGACGCGGCCAAGGGCTTGCCGCCTGCATTTTTCGCAGCTTCAGGATCGATCGCCTTCCCAGGCTTACTTTTACGTTTCTGAAAATTAAAACCCATTTCAAGAAATGATGACTTTTTCGAAACGAAAGTCAAGAAAAAAGAAAAACCTTACGCTGCTATACCAAAGGTAGATGACCAAAAAATTGTGGGCGCAAATTACCATCACAGTAATAATTCCAACAAAAGTGAAGACTCCTACAGCCCAAGGTGCGATTTTGTTTTTCTTCGAGGCCTCCGCGGAGAGGAATTTTAAGCCTCGGTCTACGGAGTTTTCCATCGCTTCGACCGGTCGGCAGAGGGTCGAATTGCAAGTGACGCAAGTTTCAAAAGCAAAAAAAATCAAACAAGCCAATCTCTCATACACTTAGGGCCAAATTTGCATAAAAATCGAATTTTCGCTCATTCGGCGGTATTTTCATTCATGAGGAAGGTTGGTTGATCGCTCCATGACGCATCAAAGTTCAAATTTCCAAAGATTTTCAATTTTTTCGAGATTTGCGTAATCAAAATTTGGAATCATGGGAATTTCTAATTTTCAGGTCGAAAAGCACGAGAGAAAAAAGGAAAATTTTGATGGACCGGTCGTTTTTCCTCACAAATGAAACCTTTGAAGGCTTACAATTAGTTAGCAGAAATGGCAAGAAATTGACTACAATTTGTGTATCAAACTTTATGGAGTCTTTAATACAATTTGCAAAATTATTGTTCTTCAGGTAGATCGTCCTCTGACTTGGGCTTCTTGCTGCTTGATTTTGCGGAGCTTTCGGCCTGCGTCGGCTTCGAAGTTGCGGCATTCTTATCGGCTGGAGTTTTGGCCTTTTTCCCGGCTTCAGTTGCGGCTGACAGATTTGGTTCATCAACTGGAGCCATCGGGTCGTCATTTGATCGGTCGGCCAGTGTCGGTGCTGATGGAGCCTCTGTAGCTGCTGGATCATTCACTGGAGCCTCTGGTTCTGCCGATTCCTCAAGATTCTCCGGGGCTGAGATCGGCACAACTGGCGGATCTTCAAGTTCTTCTTCATTTAGCGGCTCCAGCTTTTCAGCTGATGCTCCAGTGGCAACAGGATCTTCGGGAAGTCAAATTGAGGTCACCGGAACCTCCGAGACGGACTCCGGCGCTGCTGGAGCCTCTTCAACGTCCTTCGAACGCACTGAATTTACCAAAATTTCGAGTCCAAGTAGCTCCGCTGTCTCTTCCTCCGCTGGGCTACCTCCCCGAATGGATGGAATTGCTCCGGACGCCGCCTCAGGCGCTGGATTGGATGTTGAAAAAAGCTCGCATGGCGTGAGTGTTGCCGAACGAACTGGCAGTGGATTTGATGACAAACAAGTGAGAAGAGAAAGAGCCAATTCGTAAAGAGTCTAAAGAATTTATTTGCATTAAAAAAAGAAAAATTGAAATAAATTTTTTTTTGGTGTTCAAAAATGTTCTGAACGCGTTATGCATCTAAACGGCGGTAACGTCAACATTCTTGAAGATGCAGGCCTTGTCATCGCCGTCTTGTCCGACCTTGTAAGAGCCCACTCCTTTTGGCTCAACTTTGTTGTCGTTGACTCCTTGGAAGTTTTCGCAAGCCACACCGCCGGCTGGGACTTTGATATTGCTGAAGGTTGCAGTGTCGCCGTAATTACCGTTGATACCGGCGAGAACCAACATCTTGCCAGAAACGGTGACACCATCCATAACGACGTGACGATCGAATCCGTTGTTAACGCAGTTTCCGCAAGAGCGGTAGAGTTTTCCGATGTCTTGGGCCTAAATGCAAGGAATAAACGTTACAAAAAAATTTTGTTAAAGACAAAATCAAAGAGTATTTTGGAAGTGTTGAACTCTTCCCAACCTACATCAAAGTTCTTGATGGTAACAGTGCCGCCTCCGTTGTGTTGGAAGACCTTGTCGTCAGCGTTCTTTGCTCCTCCGCCAATGATGTTGTACTTGTCCGAAGCCTTGCCTTTGAAAGTAGCGGCATCTTCTCCAACGTCCTCCCAGAAGACATTTATGATGTCACAAGATCCCAAGCAGTGGATACCGTCGGCTGCTGGGGTGCTAATCACAACGTTCTTGATGGAAGCTCCTGCTTCCAGTTCAAAAATGGGGTCTTGTCCTTCTGCTTGGTCACCACCGCCAAAGCCGCTGACAAATCTTTGGTTCTTTCCGTCGAAGACTTGACCGGCTTTAATCACCATCTTCTTTGGGACTTTAGTCGACCCAGAAGGGTTGGGCCAAGCAGCTGCATCGACCGCTACACCAGCTGTAATTGCCAAAACTGCAAGGGAGAACAAGGCCATTTTTGATACCGAACACCAACTTGATGAATAAACCAAAAATTTGCGGGCTTTTATACACAAACGTTGAACGTCTGAACAGTTTTGTAACCTTTAAAAAGCCACGTAATTTAGTATTGGTTAAGCTGGCGCAGAAAGGAATATCAAAATAACGCACTCCTACGATAACCGATGATCAGACAGCCCAACAAGACCTATTTGAACAGCGCAGCTAGAAAAAAGTAGGGATCTCGGTAGTGAAAAGTACAAAAAACAAATGTGTGAGCATCCAACATGACGGGTGGTTTAGTATGTAGGTCACATACCAGGAAGGTTTTTTTAGCCGGGGTCTTCGTCCTTTGGCGATAATTTCGGTATCTGACTTTCGGCCGTGGAATGGAATGCTCGATTCGATCGAAGACAAAAAGGGAACGAACTTACTTTAGAACGAAAAGTTGCGATGCCAATGAAAATAAAACGCAATGCCATGAGTTCGGTGGAAAATTTGTTCATTGCTAGGAGTGTTTATTTAGTTTACGGTCAACCATAGTATGACGTCGGGTTGAACTTTTTTACTTCGGTCTTTTTGATGCATTTCGTCGCGAGTTTTTTTAGCTATCAGCAAATTTTCAAGATTATCTTTGGTTATCCTTCCTGCGCGGTGGTTATGTTTGTTTATTGTTTCCTTTGCGTTTCACCACCGCACGGCATTCTGTACTTTTGGGACACAACCGGACGCAATCTCGGCCTTGAACGGCTAGCGAGCAATGTATTAAAGAAGGAGGTCCACTTTGAAAAAATAGAAAAGAATCGGGGAGACCGGTTGTGTCCCAAAAGTACAGAATGCCGTGCACCGTATTACAGGGTCTTAAAAAAAATGTGGAGGAAAGTCGGAGGCTCTAACTTCCGGCGGAGCCAGCGCAGAGACTTCATTTTTGGAATACGCATTTTTCGTAATCAAAATTTGGAATCATGGGAATTTCTATTCTATACTATTAATACAGGGTGGGCCACTCGAAACGGGTAAGTTGTTTCTTTGAATTTCTCCGCGGAGACTCCGCCGATTTTCCCGAAATTTAGATTTTTCTGTAGCTGAGACCCGCCATTTTTAACCGATTGAATTTCAAAAAAATATGTTTTGAATTGACCTTTCTATGCCTTCCCAAAGTTTCGAAGAATTATTTTCGAGCCGAAACCGCTAAAACTTTGAAAATTTTTGGAATGATTTTCAATTGACTTTCTCGGACTTCGAAAATTTTTGGCTTTTTTTGGTAAAATCGAGAGGTAAAAAAGTTGCGTATCCTCTCTCTAAACTTGCTTAAAGCAAGTTGAAAGTAAAAATAGTGTTGTCTGCGTTACCGTAGGGCACGAACTTTCAAAAAAAAAAACCAATTTTTTTAACAATTGGTAAAGTCCACACAATTGGCTACGAACCCCAGCTCCAAGCCGTTGAGGCTTGGAGCCCAGCCCGATTAAAGCTTAACGATGTTCACGATCTGCAATTCGAGCTGTTCACGACTCTCAAAGCTCATAAAAGTTTGTGCTGTGAGATGAGGTGGGCATTTCGAACTCAGATAGAAATATTAATAATCAGTTCGTCAAATAAAAATGTTTTTACAACAATATTTTATGGTTATCTGAGGTAAAACTAAGAAAATTTCACCCAAAAACTCGAAAAAATGACCAAGTTTTCAAAATCATTCCAAAAATTTTCAAAGTTTTAGCGGTTTCGGCTCGAAAATAATTCTTCGAAACTTTGGGAAGGCATAGAAAGGTCAATTCAAAATATATTTTTTTGAAATTCAATCGGTTAAAAATGGCGGGTCTCAGCTCCAGAAAAATCTTAATTTCGGGAAAATCGGCGGAGTCTCCGCGGAGAAATTCAAAGAAACAACTTACCCGTTTCGAGTGGCCCACCCTGTATAATAATTTCCAGGTCGAAAAGGACGAGAGAAAAAAAAATTTTTTTGATGGACCGGTCGTTTTTCCTCAGCAATGAAGTCTTTGAAGGCTTACAATTAGTTAGCAGAAATGGCAAGAAATTGACTACAATTTGTGTATCAAACTTTATGGAGTCTTTAATACAATTTGCAAAATTATTGTTCTTCGGGTAGATCGTCCTCTGACTTGGGCTTCTTGCTGCTTGACTTTGCGGAGCTTTCGGCCTGCGTCGGCTTCGAAGTTGCGGCATTCTTATCGGCTGGAGTTTTGGCCTTTTTCCCGGCTTCAGTTGCTGCCTTCTCGGCTGCCAGACGTTCTGCCTCTTTTCTTTTAATGTAGCTCAAAAGCAACACCGCTGGACGCATGCCTTGGCGCGCATCGGGAGGGAGGTTTGCTGAAAAAGGAATATTGTGGCGAGAGATCAAATATATTTATAATATAGCTACTGGGGACTTGGCTAACTGCTTTATCATTGTGATTGGCCAAGCAGCCAATTTGACCGGCCAATTTCAAAATTTAACCGGTAAACCGACGCTTGTACATATTTCGAACATTAACGTTTGGGCTACACCGATCAAGTTTGTAAGATATTTTCAAATAGACTGGTCAAATCTGCATCCAACTCGAAACTAATAACATTCAAGTTCACCTACCGTATTGTTCTTCGGCCCTTTTGAGAAATTCAGCGTGATTGGCCGGTGGTTTTTCTTTCTTCATAACCTCCTGCTCTTGTTCTGAAGTAAGGTGCTGCTGCGTTTCTTTTAGAGCCTCAGCGGCGTCGATGCTGCCAAAAGCTGAAGGTGAAATCGAAATGGGTTTGGGCTCCTCAAGATGGGTTGCGAGGTCTTTATCGTCGGGTTTGCGTTCGGGTTTAACATTTGAAACGTCGGCTTTGCTTTTGTCCTCAGCTTTCTCTTTCTTCTTCGGGTCAGGCTTTGGAGTTGACTTCGGATCTGGCTTCGGAGTTGGCTTCGTACCTGACTTCGGAGTTGGCTTCGTCGGAGTTGAAAGTGGAGCCTTGGCTGGTGGATCTTTTTGTAGTGCCTGGTTCTTCTCATCTTTCTTGGGATTTTTTCGCTGGAAACAGAGACGCTAAGAATCGCAAGAGTAAAAAAATACGGCGCTACTATTTTTACAGTCAGCGACAGACTTTAGTACTATTTATTCAGACAAAAGTTGCAGATGCTCGCTTTTTGCCACCAATTTTTGTTTTTTGAATGTTACAATGACTCAGGGCAAAGAAAACTAACATTATAATAGTAACAGCTATAATAAAAATAAAAAAAAGTGAACGCTTTGCAAGCCTGCGCCAAGTCTCCGCCGACCATCCTTCACCCACTCACCTAGAGGTGGCAATCGGGCTGGGCCGGCCCGGCCCGGCCCGGCCGGGCCCGGTGATTGGGCAGGGCCGGGCCGGGCCTGAGCAGATTTGAAAAAGCCCCGGGCCGGCCTGACCGCTTCGGCCCGTCGGCCGGGCCGACACTTTCGGCCCGGCCCGGCCCGGAAGCTAGATAAGTAAAAAAAAATGATGGAAATTAGATTAAACCTTTTTTGACTTATACGCTGTTTTACTACCTTTTAAAATTATGTATTTATATGTATATATAACTTATTATGTATATGTAAAATCCCACCCAAATATGCAAGGGTCGGGCAAAAATCTTCGAATTTTTTTATGATAGATTTAAAAATTTCACTGTTTTGATTCCTTGATGTAAATGAAAGTGTTTAAACAGTTTTTGGTTAACCATGTACCTTATAACGTCCATACTTTTATATAGCTAACTTCCTATAGGATTAAAAAATTTAATACAATCCAACTTTTTGGCTAATTGTAAGGTTTAGCTACCTGTACGGATGTTCCAGTCATCCGACTAGACTTTTTAATTTCGCGCAGACACACGTAAAAACCTTCTGGAAAGCATAAGAACTTCCAGTAGAAAGTCCAAAGACTTTTATCCAACTTTTATGTATAGCGGGCCAAACCGGGCCGGGCCGGGCCGGCCTGGGCTTTCATCGGGCCGGGCCGGGCCGGGCCTGAGCAAATTCGAAAAAGCCCTGGGCCGGCCTGGTCACTGCGGCCCGCGGGCCGGGCCGCAAAAATCGGCCCGGCCCGGCCCGATTGCCACCTCTACACTCACCTTACGGTACCAGAACACTACAGCGATTGCACCGTACGCGGCGAGCACGATACCCGTGAGAGACCACACGGTTATCAACACATTTTGAGCCCAAGCTGGCGTGGGGTAAAGCTGTTCCACGGTGGAAATGAATTCGGAAGCTTCTGTGGTTTCAGGAGCTTGTGTGGTTGTTATTCCCATGATTACCATCTCAGCAAATTCGGTCGCCGTGGACCTTCTAACGACCGAAGCCGAGGATGGAGAAATTCAAAATAGCACTTTTTTGTTATTTTTGTTTTTGCAATTTTGAAGAAGAATTTGAATAAAAATTGATTTTTTCCGATTTTTCCAAATTGGAAACTTTGTCTAATTTTAAAAAGTTGGAAAAAATGTAACACCTTTTTGCGTATTTCGGCATCAAAAGTTTTCTTCCATTTCCACAGTAGAAGGTAATGTACCTTGTTACAAAGCAAAGACAGCCTAACTACGGATGAAATTGTGTTTGTTACACTTGGTAGGTGTGATCTGCCAGGCTCGAAAGCTTGACAAAAGTTTTACAGACACGTAGTGGACGTATCTTTACAGATTGGCGAAGGCTCTGTGGAGGCTTCTACGACCAGAGGCCGTTTTGGGGGCTTAGCTTTTGCGCATGTTTTCAAAATTATGATTTTGAAAACTTGGTAATTTTTCCGAGTTCCTGGATGAAATTTTCTTTTGTAAAAACTCGCTAATTGTAAGTACATATAATTCCAAGTTTTTGCCAGGTTTCAGCAAACTAAACTACAGAGGTCAAGGCTATCAAGGAGCGTCTTCGCCATCGTCACTGGGCGGTCAGAGCTACGCTGGGCACGTTGACGATAGATTTGGAGGACAACACGGTTTGGACAGCCGCGCTGAAACCGTTGGAAGCTCGTTTGACCGATCAGCAGCAGAAGGAGCTGGAGGATCTTCTGGAAGCTCTGTATCAACCACTTTTGAACGTACCGGGGTTTCTACCGGGGGAATTGGTGGCTCGGCTGACAGATTTGGTTCATCAACTGGAGCCATCGGGTCGTCATTTGATCGGTCGGCCAGTGTCGGTGCTGATGGAGCCTCTGTAGCTGCTGGATCATTCACTGGAGCCTCTGGTTCTGCCGATTCCTCAAGATTCTCCGGGGCTGAGATCGGCACAACTGGCGGATCTTCAAGTTCTTCTTCATTTAGCGGCTCCAGCTTTTCAGCTGATGCTCCAGTGGCAACAGGATCTTCGGGAAGTCAAATTGAGGTCACCGGAACCTCCGAGACGGACTCCGGCGCTGCTGGAGCCTCTTCAACGTCCTTCGAACGCACTGAATTTACCAAAATTTCGAGTCCAAGTAGCTCCGCTGTCTCTTCCTCCGCTGGGCTACCTCCCCGAATGGATGGAATTGCTCCGGACGCCGCCTCAGGCGCTGGATTGGATGTTGAAAAAAGCTCGCATGGCGTGAGTGTTGCCGAACGAACTGGCAGTGGATTTGATGACAAACAAGTGAGAAGAGAAAGAGCCAATTCGTAAAGAGTCTAAAGAATTTATTTGCTCAAATAAATTTTCTTTTTGGTGTTCAAAAATGTTCTGAACGCGTTACGCATCTAAACGGCGGTAACGTCAACATTCTTGAAGATGCAGGCCTTGTCATCGCCGTCTTGTCCGACCTTGTAAGAGGCCACTCCTTTTGGCTCAACTTTGTTGTCGTTTACTCCTTGGAAGTTTTCGCAAGCCACACCGCCGGCTGGGACTTTGATATTGGTGAAGGTTGCAGTGTCGCCGTAATTACCGTTGATACCGGCGAGGACCTTCATCGGTCCAGTAACGGTGACACCATCCATAACGACGTGACGATCGAATCCGTTGTTAACGCAGTTTCCGCAAGAGCGGTAGAGTTTTCCGATGTCTTGGGCCTAAACGCAAGGAATTACAAAAAAATTTTGGTAAAGACAAAATCAAAGATTATTTTGGAAGTGTTGAACTATTCCCCAACCTACATCAAAGTTCTTGATGGTAACAGTGCCGCCTCCGTTGTGTTGGAAGACCTTGTCGTCAGCGTTCTTTGCTCCTCCGCCAATGATGTTGTACTTGTCCGAAGCCTTGCCTTTGAAAGTAGCGGCATCTTCTCCAACGTCCTCCCAGAAGACATTTATGATGTCACAAGATCCCAAGCAGTGGATACCGTCGGCTGCTGGGGTGCTAATCACAACATTCTTGATGGAAGCTCCTGCTTCCAGTTCAAAAATGGGGTCTTGTCCTTCTGCTTGGTCACCACCGCCAAAGCCGCTGACAAATCTTTGGTTCTTTCCGTCGAAGACTTGACCGGCTTTAATCACCATCTTCTTTGGGACTTTAGTCGACCCAGAAGGGTTGGGCCAAGCAGCGGCATCGACCGCTACACCAGCTGTAATTGCCAAAACTGCAAGGGAGAACAAGGCCATTTTTGATACCGAACACCAATTTGATGAATAAACCAAAAATTTGCGGGCTTTTATACACAAACGTTGAACGTTTGAACAGTTTTGTAACCTTTAAAAAGCCACGTAATTTAGTATTGGTTAAGCTGGCGTAGAAAGGAATATCAAAATAACGCACTCCTACGATAAACGATGATCAGACAGCCCAACAAGACCTATTTGAACAGCGCAGCTAGAAAAAAGTAGGGATCTCGGTAGTGAAAAGTACAAAAAACAAATGTGTGAGCATCCAACATGACGGGTGGTTTAGTATGTAGGTCACATACCAGGAAGGTTTTTTTAGCCGGGGTCTTCGTCCTTTGGCGATAATTTCGGTATCTGACTTTCGGCCGTGGAATGGAATGCTCGATTCGATCGAAGACAAAAAGGGAACGAACTTACTTTAGAACGAAAAGTTGCGATGCCAATGAAAATAAAACGCCATGAGTTTGGTGGAAAATTAGTTCATTGCTAGGAGTGTTTATTTAGTTTACGGTCAACCATAGGATGACGTCGGGTTGAACTTTTTTGCTTCGGTCTTTTTGATGCATTTCGTCGCGAGTTTTTTTAGCTATCAGCAAATTTTCAAGATTATCTTTGGTTATCCTTCCTGCGCGGTGGTTATGTTTGTTTATTGTTTCCTTTGCGTTTCACCACCGCACGGCATTCTGTACTTTTGGGACACAACCGGACACAATCTCGGCCTTGAACGGCTAGCGAGCAATGTATTAAAGAAGGAGGTCCACTTTGGAAAAATAGAAAAAAATCGGGGAGACCGGTTGTGTCCCAAAAGTACAGAATGCCGTGCACCGTATTACAGGGTCTTAAAAAAAATGTGGAGGAAAGTCGGAGGTTCTAACTTCCGGCGGAGGCAGCGCAGAGACTTCATTTTTGGAATACGTATTTTTCGTAATCAAAATTTGGAATCATGGGAATTTCTATAATAATTTTCAGGTCGAAAAGGACGAGAGAAAAAAAAAATTTTTGATGGACCGCTCGTTTTTCCTGAGATATGAAGTCTTTGAAGGCTTGAATTAGTTAGCAGAAATGGCGAGAAATTGACTACAATTTGTGTATCAAGCTTTATGGAGTCTTTAATACAATTTGCAAAATTATTGTTCTTCAGGTAGATCGTCCTCTGACTTGGGCTTCTTGCTGCTTGATTTTGCAGAGCTTTCGGCCTGCGTCGGCTTCGAAGTTGCGGCATTCTTATCGGCTGGAGTTTTGGCCTTTTTCCCGGCTTCAGTTGCTGCCTTCTCGGCTGCCAGACGTTCTGCCTCTTTTCTTTTAATGTAGCCCAAAAGCAACACCGCTGGACGCATGCCTTGGCGCGCATCGGGAGGGAGGTTTGCTGAAAAAAGAATATTGTGGCGAGTGATCAAATTATATTTATAATATAGCTACTGGGGACTTGGCTAACTGCTTTATCATTATGATTGGCCAAGCAGCCAATTTGATCGGCCAAATTCAAAATTTAACCGGGAAACCGACGCTTGTATTTCGAACATTAACGTTTAGGCTACACCGATCAAGTTTGTAAGATATTTTCAAAGAGACTGGTCAAATCTGCATCCAACTCGAAACTAATAACATTCAAGTTCACCTACCGTATTGTTCTTCGGCCCTTTTGAGAAATTCAGCGTGATTGGCCGGTGGTTTTTCTTTCTTCATAACCTCCTGCTCTTGTTCTGAAGTAAGGTGCTGCTGCGTTTCTTTTAGAGCCTCAGCGGCGTCGATGCTGCCAAAAGCTGAAGGTGAAATCGAAATGGGTTTAGGCTCCTCAAGATGGGTCGCGAGGTCTTTATCGTCGGGTTTGCGGTCGGGTTTAACATTTGAAACGTCGGCTTTGCTTTTGGCCTCAGCTTTCTCTTCCTTCTTCGGGTCAGGCTTTGGAGTTGACTTCGGATCTGGCTTCGGAGTTGGCTTCGTACCTGACTTCGGAGTTGGCTTCTTCGGAGTTGAAAGTGGAGCCTTGGCTGGTGGATCTTTTTGTAGTGTCTTGTTCGTCTCATCTTTCTTGGGATTTTTTCGCTGGAAACAGAGACGCTAAGAATCGTAAGAGTAAAAAAATACGGCGCTACGTTTTTTCGAGTCAGCGACGGGCTTTAGTACTATTTATTCAGATAAAAGTTGCAGATGCTCGTTTTTTGCCACCAATTTTTGTTTTTTGAATGTTACAATGACTCAGGGCAAAGAAAGCTACCATTAGTAACAGCTAAAAATAGAAAAAAATGAACGCTCTGCAAGCCTTCGCCAAGTCTCCGCCGACCATCCTTCACCCACTCACCTTACGGTACCAGAACACCACAGCGATTGCACCGTACGCGGCGAGCACGATACCCGTGAGAGACCACACGGTTATCAACACATTTTGAGCCCAAGCTGGCGTGGGGTGAAGCTGTTCCACGGTGGAAATGAATTCGGAGGCTTCTGTGGTTTCAGGAGCTTGTGTGGTTGTTATTCCCATGATTACCATCGCAGCAAATTCGGTCTCCGTGGGCCTTCTAAGGACCGAAGCCGAGGATGGAGAAATTCAAAATGGCATTTTTTGTTATTTTTGTTTCTACAGTTTTGAAGAAGAATTTGAATAAAAAATCATTTGAAAACTTTGATGGTCCAATTTTCAAAAGTTGGGAAAAATGTGACGCTTTTTTTGCGAATTTCGGCGTCAAATGTTTTCTTCCATTTCCACAGTATATAGGGTAATGTACCTTGTTATAAAGCCAAGGCAGCCTAACTACGGATGAAGTTATGTGTGTTACAGTTGGTAGGATGTTATCTGCCAGGCTCGAAAGCTTGACAAAAGTTTTACAGACATGTAATGGACGTATCTTTACACATTGGCGAAGGCTCTGTGGAGGCTTCTACGATCAGAGGCCGTTTTGGGGGCTTAGCTTTTGCGCATGTTTTCAAAATTATGATTTTGAAGACTTGTTCGTTTTTCCGAGTTACTGGGTGAAATTTTCTTTGTTTTACCTCAGATGGTCATCAAATAATTTCAAAAATTTTCTAAGTTTTAGTGGTTCGGCTAAAAATCATTTTTCAAAACTTAAAAGGGCATGAAAAGGACAATCCAAGACATATTTTTTGAAATTCAAACGGCTAACAATGGCGGGTCTCAGCTCCAGAGAAATCTAAATTTTTGGAAAATCGCCGGAGTCTCCGCGGTGAAATCCGAAGAAGAAGAAAGGATTCGAGTATCCCTGTATAATTACGTAACTTATAGGTGTATTTTATGCGTAACCTCGTGCAATGGACATTGTGTATTAATAATAATAGTGTTAATCGGTTGTGTTCTCATGGCAACAACAAGAGGCAAATGAGAAAAAAAACACTGAAATACTAATCTTCCTCAACAACAGAGCACTGGGAGGTGTTAATATCCGAACATCAATTTCTTTATCGGTTTCAATTTCGATCATCGCTGGGATTGTAACAATTTCTTTGATTTTGGAGGTTTTGTGTGACTTCTAACACGAAAACTTTCGAAGTACATATTCAAAACCAAATCTCGAAAGTTCTTTAATCGCTAACTGAATCCAAACTGCCGATAGAAAAATCTAAATCCTCCAACTTAATCCGACTTTTCGCCGTGTTCAGCTCGTGTTGACAAAACTCTCATTGCTTTTATGTTTTTTCCAGGATTCAAAGCCGGCTTAATTCGGCCAAACAATTTCCAAAAAAAGACCATTACGCAATTACACGCGAGAAAATGCTGAAGGGAAACATGCCTCAAAAGAAGGCCCCTTATATCGCTGCACCTGTCCACTCGGTCCTCATCGTTGATAAAGCCGAGGAGAGGGAGGAGGATTCACTTGATTCCGAAAGCATGTAAGTTTTTATAAAGTAGCACACACGTTGGGCCTTGGCTATATTGCAATTCTTAATAAAACTCGCTAATTGTAAGTACATATAATTCCAAGTTTTTGCCAGGTTTCAGCAAACTCTGAGCGTAGCATGTGCAGCGCCTTCCCTGTCAAAGAGGGAACCTAGTTTCCCATAAACCATTTTATTCGAAAATTAATTCGTTCTCTTTATAAACGCAAATAGTTATATTATATGTATACATGCATACAAAGACACTGCATGCTTTTCGTTTGTTTTCAACGGAATAGAAATACCAATAATACCTGAATATTTCAATAAAATTATTTATAGTTTTTCAATTTTTACGGCTTTGACATTTTTGAAAATTCGGAAATTTCGGTCTTTAGGAAGTCTTACAAGGAGCTGACGCTTTGCCATTTCGAATGTTTACGTAAGTAAGTAGAAGATTTTGCACTCGTAATCCTCCAATGAAGTTTAAGGCAAATGAAACGTAGAGCATGGATTTACTTTTATTACATGCCCAATGCTTTTTAGAGCAATATACATGACGGCGCAACAGGACACACGGAATTTCCGAAACGCATTTTTAACCGAAATTGGCAACGAAATAGACAAAAATATTACTCTGAGGGAACTGGTGGACGTTATTGTTTGTGCTGGGAAAAACACAACAGTGGAAGAGTTGAGCAACGCATATCCTTATAGTGAAGATGCAGGTGAGGTTTTTCAGAAAGATACTTGAGTTTTTTGTTCTTTTCTTTGCAAAAACCGCCGAATATAGTATCTCGGCTGCGCTTGTACATTGAAAGTTAAGGCTTCCAGGGACTAGGACATGGCTTACAAGGGAAGTTCTCCAAGTGCGACGCTCGGATTTTGGGGAAACTTGGCGCAGATTTCGATTGGTTTTCTTCTAACTTTAGATATATCCGAGCTCCAAACTTGCGCTTTGCAGAAGGGTGTTCTACTCTCTGTCTGCTCTCTGCGCTTCGCGTGACCTCGCGGCCGCAAGAATTGTTCAATATCTCGGCTGCGCCTGCAAAGCGCGAGCTAAGAATTTCGGAATATGAGCGTCGCACTTGGCCTCCCTTTCTTAGGTCGGATTGATATCATAAAGTAAAAAAATCTGGACTTTGAGCAAATGCAACAATTCATCCTTTTTTCAGCCGAAATATCCTATGACGAAGGCCTGTACATTTTTCAAAAGCTTCCAGCCATCGAAATGGACAATGCAAACCTGATGGAAAAACTGGGAAACGGTGATATTGATTACGAAAGGATTATTGAGGAGATTAAAGACTCAAGCATTGAAGACCTTGATGACGTCATCGACTTTCTTCAAAAATGGAAGAAGCGGAAGTTCGATGCAAATGAAGTGAGATAAACTAAATTTTACCTTCGCAATTAGCTCATTTTTCAGATTGAGACCGAGATTATGTCGACTCGCCATCAGCTGTTGCAACTGAACGAATCGTTGGTTCGGAAACAAAAACTGGATGATAATGCATTGCTAGCGCTGAATTCGAGTACTGAGAGCTTGTCTTCAGTGTTTTCGAATACAAGGAATAGCCAAGTTCCGCTCGGTGATCAAGCTCCTCCAGCGATTAGCAGCGCCAGGATGGGAACCAGCGCTGAAAGGGCAAGTTATTCATTTTTTAGACGTTACTCCTATTTCAGGCGATATTAAAGTCGTTTGTAATACAAAAATCTCATGATCTCACCATCTCTATTGGCTACACTTTTGTTCTAACAAGAGCTCAACAGATCTGCGTCGGGTTTAAGATTAACGAAAAAAGTAGGTTGGGGGTTTGAATTTACAGATGATAAATCAGACGCTTTGATATTGCTGAAACCTGGCTGAGAATTTGCCAGCTTTTTGAGGGATATTTGGCAGCCTTGGCTTGTAATTTTTAAACAACCGCAGGGGCTGTTGTTTCGGGAATTAGCCAAAAATTTTACTTCGTTCTGTTGCATAACTGGATTTCAGTCGACCAAGATCTGAACCGTTTCCAAAACCATCTTATTGGGTATGTCACTTCCGACAGTTCAAGTGTAATTGTTGCTCTAACCAAAAGAAAAGATGATCTGGTGAGTTGCTGACATCGAAAAAAGACAGTTTTCAGTACCGCCGAAGCGAGTGGATGCTTTTCCCACCGGGCTCCTACACCTTCTGCATACGATTCTTGAGGCCGCTAAAGGTGGTCGAACCTAACAAGGACGCGGATATCCTGACACACGATGGGAAGTTGACAAAAGAATACAAGTATGCTCCATTCGATTTTTATTGATTAAATAGGGGTTAAAAGCGCCAAAAAAGGTTAAATAATCCTTCAGGGTAATGCTGATGAACACTTTCGATATATTTGACTTGGACGATGACGGACTGTTAACCCGGGAAGAAATGGAGACCTACAAAATGCTCAGTGGAGGAGACAGAATCTCACCAGATGTGTGTTGAAGCTTTTTGAGCCACCAATTACGCTGTGATGACAATTAATCAATGTAATTTTAGGATTGGGCCGCGCTAGAGAAAACTTGTCAAATGCGAGAGAGAATGCTGACAATGAAAGGATTTCTGGACATGCATCAACACGAGATCAGAGCAATGTCAGAGCGACAACGGCTCGATCTGTGGGGAAAACTAAAAGAGCTCGGATACAATCGAAAATTCTATCTTAGCACGGTAAATTCATTTACAAGGATTATGTGACACTCTACACCTTCTTAATTTTTATAAATGTCTGCACTCGGCCTTTGAATAGGGTTCTCAAATTTCCTTTGAAAAAACGGTTTTTGGTGCACAGCCGACCTAGAATAGAACGTCTTCTTCACAGCCAAAATCTCACAAAAAGCTATCAATTTTTTTCAGGGCTGTCCAGTCTGGATCGAGCTTCAAACTGGGGATGGCTTGATACACATGGACAACTTTGAAATTGCATATTTTACTCCAGAGTCAGATTGGCAACTACTCGAGTTTTATTGGGAGAATGGGACAAATTTGCCGTATTTGAAAGAATTGGCAAGTGTGAGGCTGTATAAGACTGACTATTTCGCGGTCATCGTTGCTGGAAGGATGGTGAGTACATGTGCAAAGTCTCATGGTGAAAAAATGCTTCAGCCAGAAAAAATACGTTACAAATTCGACCTGTCGGCTTCGAATAACGTGAATATACAGGGCGATGACTTGATTCTCGATGTCGAAGTGGAACCCGACGAGATAAAGGTACGGTTGGAGAAATGACAGCTTTTAAGACTATTTTTAGATCCTTACGGTGGCGATTGCCCAAGGAGAAAGTTGGTTTTTATGTGTGAAGAAACTTCTAGTCGAGCCGAATCTAACTTATCCGGCGGTGATGCCGGGTCCGTCGTCTTAGTCGACATGAAGGTTGTTTGAAATCGCCCCGCATCTCAAACGCTTTCAAAATGTTTCTTACATAGTTTATCGAGCAAAATGCAGATCTCTGCATGATTAAACGTTATTTCACTAAATGCCTAATTTATGACTGTATACGTGCATAAACGCAAAAAAACAAACTTTATGCGTAAACAGCGCTCCTCCGCCTTTGCTGATCGTATAAATTTAAGCAATGTGGAGGAAGTGCTTTTCAGCTGTTACTGGATATTGGAGGAAAATGTCGTCGGTACCGCCGGTATTACAAGTTTCAGGACGCGGCGCACAAACATCAAAGGACAGAATGTTTGGTCTTGACGTCAGTTCCGATGAAATCACAAGGCATAATTGGTTAAACATTTTTTTAAATTCATGTTGATGCGTAGGCTTTGCAACTGGAGCGGACTTTTAGCCTTCCTTGTAAAGCAGGAACAGGAACAGCTTCCTCCAGTTTTTTTTAATCAAATCGAAAGACACCGTATTTGGCAAGTTTCAGTTTAAAAATCGTGCTGGTCTTTTGAAAGTGCAATTATTAGGTTGGGTAAAAAGTTATGATCATAATTTTCTGATAGTTTTCGGAGCACTTCCAAGATTTTAGCAATAGAAAATCTCGGCTATGCCATAAGGCTTAGCAATATACCCGAGATGAAGCTTCGATAAGCCCTCTATTAATCTACAGGTATGTCGAAATGAAAAAGGTTCTGAGCCAGATAATAATCGACTTCAAACTTTTGCAAGGAAATGGTCATAACTTTGTATCCAACCTTATAACCTCCAAAGGAGATATGATATAAAAACTATCATATCTCCTTGCAGATTCTCGTATTCATTTGCACCAGTTTTTGCCATCACCGGAATCTCGAAAATTTTTAAGCGGAAGCGCAAAAATTACTTTAGCCGCACAAGTTTCAATTAAAAAATACCGCACAGTAACAACTTAGAATACTTGATGAAAATGTCAGCAAAAATAGCCCATGTGTAATCCAAAATAGTCTTTATTTGAAATTCAAGTAAACAATTTTTATAATTTCCAACCTTTTATTATTTTCGGCCAAATCGCATATTTAATAAATGCATTACAACAAGTTTTGAGTTAAAATAAAGCCGAAAAGCCCTTTTTTACATCTCCAAATTTATCGCATTGACTTTTGCTTCTTGAGCTTTCAAGCGCATGTTCTTCGATTCATTTACTGTGTTTTATAAACACGCATTCATTACAGAATATTTACTCATGAAAATGTTATGCTAAAGTAGGCCCTATGATGTCAGTGCATTCAAAGTTAGGCATTCGGAACGGAGAGGAAAAATGGAATTTAATGAACTTTAAATTGGATATTATTGCAGGTTATACTTGGAGGGCTCTCGTTTTTTGCAAAGGGCTTGCAGGTCTTGCAATTGCTTACAGTTAAAAACTAGAGTGCTTCTGCAACACGTTCGGTCTATTCGGTAAAATTGCAAACTAATTGTTAAAACAATATCATTATACTAGGAATGTGGAATTCCACCATGATTTTCTGGCGTTATTGTTAATATATAGTGGACGGATTTTTTGGACATTCCGTAGCTCAAGCCGCAAAAATACGATTCAAAAATAGTTTAATGTGAATCTATGTAATCAAGAATTTGAGACGCTATAAAACCTTGAGAATTATGCTGTTCCTACTTCTTAAAAATCACCAAAAAAATTTATTATTAATTACAATTTTTCCTTATTGTAAACATACTCCTCCTACGCTGACAATGTTTTTTGTAACTTTTGCCCTGTTACATAAATAATCAATTTTAATATGTTTACTCACAGGTTAATGAATATTAGGCTACATACCTTTCAATGATGTCTTATGCCGGCGACGGAAATTTTGTTACGGCAGATTTTAATGGGTCAAGTGTAAATATATATCCTGGAGTCTTGCCATAAATTTATATTTTTTTGGAAGTTTGTCAGCAATTTCTTGTGGGGAGAGGGATCGACGATACTTTGGGGTATATACCTCAATTTGCCATTGTATGCATGGGGAAGACTTGGAGAAGACTTAGTTTTAACTCTATTAAAATAGGAGTAATTAGATTGATCGGGTCCTGATCTTCTCCATACAGTAACACAGGATTTGGAAAACTAGGATAAGCTAGAGAAAATCATCATATCCTAAGTCTCCGCTAAGTCTCCGCCGAGCCCTTGCCGAACGTCCACCGACCATTCAACGGCTTTCACGGGCCTCGTAGGTATCGCCTACCATGTTTCTTGGCTCTGCGCCTGTCCTAGGCCTCGTACTAATCGATTTTGTGCTAACCCGAACTGTCTTCGACCCGAAATGTCGGGATTTTTTCCTGTTGAATATCTCAAACCCACTTGCAAGTCAAACGTTACAATTTTTGGAAATCGAAGAAGAGCCTAGACAACTTAATAAAAAAAAATCAGACCGCCGAAACCCCAGTTTTTCGCCTGCATATTCCTCTTTAACCACTCGAATTTTCGTTATATATAGTTCTTAATCTACGCCGCCGTATACCTATATGATGTTATTACCCGTTTTTCAGACCATCCGCCTCCAATCGGCCGTGAAATGCGGCCACTTTTTTACTCTGTTACATATCTATCCACCGTTGACCTTTATATGAATTTGAAACGAAAAATACTGACCTTTGTGACGAATAATAAATGGCGGTATACGAATTGCACTGTGCTATTTCGCTCGATTTGGAAATGTTTATCGTTCATGAAAAGCATGAAAAGTAGTGGGTCACTCGAAAAAATTACCGAAAGGGTCCACAAATTGTAAAGATTTGAATTTCCAATTGCGAAAAGTTGTAGCTTTGTTTAAGGAAGTAGTACAAAAAGTAGGTTTGTTGTCTTTACAGTATAAGAATTGGCCACTCGGATTGTCAGGGAACTTGAAACCTCCGTGGGTAATAATAAAAAAATAATTTTTAAACTTTTAACATTTTATTAACACCTGCGCGGATTACAGATTTTTGAAGGTCAAAAAGTGTTGTAGTTATCACTTGAAATGTGAAAAAGCACGCAAAATTTGTTTTGAAACGATTTAGTGGGCTCAAAAATTTATTCTTTGGTCAAAAGAACATAACGGTTGAAGTACTGTTTTCTTTATCCCACAACTTGGAAACAAGCCTTCTAGGAAAACGATATACGTAAATAGTATACATATGCATAATACATTTTGCGCGTCAAACCGAGATATGCTAAAAAATTGGTGAATGGATCGGCAAAAAAAGGCGCGAAAAAACCTTTCCGTCGGGGAAGAAATGGGGAATTTTTGGGGCGAGAGAGTTCGTTTACCTCTCTTTTCTCTGTCTTCTCTGTGAAATCAAGGCGAAATGTAAAAACCTTTGACGTTTTTTTCGCAAAAACAAATCTTTTTGTAGATGCATGAACTGCTCTTGCCCACAAGCTTTGTCTTTTTTTGAACTTTTTTTACTTTACTCTATAAATTTCACCTCATAACTCAAAATTCCCGCTGATCTTCTGTTCTTAACCCAATTTTGCCCCCGTTGCACGGGTGACGAAACCGTAAAGATCGACGTCTCAAATGTCATGAATTTTTGCATCTGTTATGCATTCATGCACTTTGGGGTCATTAAAATTGCGGACTTACGTTCTAATTTTACCCTGGGTTGTCCACGAATATAGTTTAGGTACTTTGGAAGTTTTTTTTGCTAACTTTGGCCTCTGTTAAAATTACGGTTGGGAAGTTATTTCTTTTTAACCCACATATGTCATTAATCATTCATAAGCAGTTTAATTACAGTGCAGTTGATAAAAAATGCTTTTCTTTACTTACCATCTCTCCATCCCATGTTTTGCTCTCCTACTCTTGTTGGCCTCCTTTTTGTTTCTACCGTTCCTACCGTAACCCTAAAGAGTAGGCGAGACAAATGCCAAGATTTCTGTTTTATACATCACCGTCCTTTCCTGCTGGAATACGAGATTCCCGCAGTTTACGTTTAATTTTAGCCCGCAACGTACGCTGATTAGGCAGTCTGTTGTACTGGCCGCAGACTCGGTGATTTTTCGTCAAAAAATCCACCGGTTGTTTGTGTGAAAAAGTTGGAGAATTTTTCACCTGATATCACAAAATTTATTGGCAATATACTGCGTGGTGAAAACAACGTGGTATTAATGCAGCGCGAAAAAGGTTGGGTGGCATTACAACGGAGGAAAATAAAGAAACAAATTGGAAAGTGCATAGCAAAAATGTTGCAGAAACTAAAATTTTTGAAACACGCTTAACTTTCCAGGTTTTAATTTCCGATTTGTAAAAAATGCCATCATAATTTGAATAATTCATTTTTTGCAATTTTTCAGGAAAGGAATATTATACATGTTCAAAAACCACCTCCACTCCTGGCGTTTAGTCTGGCAGGTTTTTTCGAAGGTTGCAATACTGTGAAAGCATTGTAAAATGCATATTTGAGTGGTGTGGACGTGGGATTTTGCTGAACAGTGATGTATGTGATCTAAGAATACAAGCATACTAACGGGAAAGTCTGCATAAAGAGCAGGTTCGAAGATCAACAGGAAATGTCAGCCAAAAAGGGTATCGGCAAGAAGAGGGCAGCGTACAAGTAGTAGACTTAGCGGCGAAGTCAAGCTTTCTTCAAACTCAACTAATTTCACAACTTGCGAATGATTCAAGACGTGCGTGGGTTATGAAGTAATGGTTTCTAGATTAAAATACATATATCATCAATTCCATTTGTGTGGACGTCAATTTGGGAGTATGCCAGCATTATTTTGTATCTTGAATCCAGAGTGAGCCTCGGCTTTATGTAGACTTTACCTGTAATGTATTCGCGGATAGCTCGCTTTTAGCGCCGTTCTCGGAAGTACGAGCAGACTGGATATTGACCCTCTTTCTGCTTGGATTATCATCAATTCGGGTTTTCGTGCTTTATTTGATATATCGTGCCCGGGTCAGCTCAGAAAAAAGCCGGCTCTGCCTGATACTTGTAATACAATTATCAGGTTCTAGGTTCACTGACTGTTTAAAAGCAATCGCTTTATTTGGTATCTATGATAAATTCCGGTAAAAGTTTCTAACCTCGCAGCGATTTGGTCAAACTGATCTAATTTCCTATGATTGGCAACTAAAACAAGTTTCTATTCGACGGCAAGTTCAGAGTTTGCTCAAATTTGCTTAGATTTTGATGAAACATGGTACCACCGAGACTCCGAGTTTACGCTTTGCGGGACGACCGAGATTTTTATGTCGAAAGTTGGCTAAAATTATACTCTTTGTGACGGTTCCCCGCCTTCCGCGTACATGCTGTATATACAGCATTCTTTGCTTGTTGCAGCCGGTAATGAAGATTTTCTACAGGACGTCTTTCAGTCATGTTTAGCAAGAGGCCGTTTACCATTTTTAGCAACACATAAAAACGAATATTGCTTCGATTTACATACTAAATCTTCTGACAACCCCAAAACACAAGGCCCATCTTCAAATATTCAAAACTCTTTCCGCAAAATTGGTGTCATCCTTCCGGCCGAACTCCCATCCAAATCAGCTCATGAACTGGACGGGCCGGCTCATTTCCACGTCATTTCCCGTGACATTGACGCACCTCTTCCACAGCGCTGTAATTTGACCACATCTATTATTCAGGCACCTCTGCCTGCAAAGTGAGGCAAAGTAGGCGGCGCCTGTCAGGTAGGCGAACCGGTAAATATTGGCCCGACCCACAGCATAACTCCACGATGATATATAAATGTAATCGGCGATGGGATTGAAACTTTTGGGAGATTTGGGGAGTTATTACAGTACAGTGTTGGTATTTTTTGGTGTTTGCGACAATTTATCGATCTCATTTTGGTCTAATCTTATGGGTATTTGTGGTTCTTTGCCTGGTGTTTGATTATTATTTAATTATAAATCATCTACCATCTTTTGCGGAGAAGGAGGCCTTTTTTTGCACTAGGGATTATTGGAACCCCAATTTTGAGCAAGTTTTTTAAACGTCCAGTAAATTTCACAAAGATATTACCGTCAAAGTCGCATTTCTTTTTATTTCACTGATTTTTCCGTGACCCACAAAGTCTTATGTTAGCCGTATCGTTTCGATCTGTAAATTAATCCAGTCTTTTTGAAGCGTTCTTTGAAGAGGCGAACTGGCATAATAAGCACGATTGAAGAACCCGTTTAATTCATTGTGATTACTGCTTGCACTACCGACTTAAGACATATCATTTTCACGGTGACGCAGCTACGTGTGAAAGCCTTCCGAAGGAAGTTCAGGTAAAAGACAACCCTATTTTGACATAAAACTATCATCTTATTTATCCACGTAAACTGTGTCCATAAGGGTCCTGAAAATTGGTGTTCAAAATTTGATTGCCCTCCTAGCGTTTGACGTATTGTTTTTTTTTCTCCTGCTTCCCGGCCGTCTTTGACAACACATTGCACGCGTTGTCAAAACAGGGCGAGCCAAGATTCATCGAAACCAGGAGATTTTTTTGGGGTCGGATCCCGACTAAAAATAAGTGGGTAAAATCTTCTAGGAACCGCAAAATTTCCCCGAAAACTGGCTTAAGTCCCTTGCACGTTCCGAAACCGAGTTGGATTCGAAAAATTCCCGGAACAATTACTTTCTGAGCCTTCATTTGTACACAAACACGATAAACTCAAGGAGTGGCCACAAGATTGCACAAATACACGAGTAGTCGTATAACGGGTGTTAGCGGGGGTTTAAAGGACCTATTAGAGAATAGTATATGGGACTTCTCTCATTTGGAATAATGGGCTATTGTTGCGCAAATTTGGAAAGGACGTCATCACTGAAATTGCAAAAAAAGTTTGATGATTCTTTGACTGGACTGTTTATAACAAAACTTTCTTGAGCATGTGTGCCTTCGTTTTATCACATAGGTGCTCTTTTAAGATAGTATAGCTGCAATCTCAGTGGGTGTAGATAACATGTGTCAAACCATTTTCCCAATTTCTTGGCTATTTCATTGGTCAAGTAAGACTTCAAAAATACTGCTGTCACCGAAAAGAGACAGGTGAAGCTATTGTTGACTCGTGAAAGCAGAGAATCCTGAAAAAGTTGTTATGCGCCAGGTCAGGTGAACGCGTATGTCATTATTCCTCATTGGCCTCAGCCTGTGTTCGCTGCTATTTTGGAATGTTAAAGTCAAATTGCCATAAATTTTCCAATTACCTTTCTTTCTTCTGGAAGAATAATCTGATGAATTGTCACGCTAATTCCGTTCGGAAATACGTCACCGCACAGAGTGACCCTTCAATAATTAGCTCCGGCTGACCGCCAATGTCATCAGCGGGGTCGAACGTTGCTGATAGCCATTACTACCGCCTCCACAGTAATTTTTGCTCTCCCTCTCCTCTCTTCCCGAAGTTATTAATATAGGTTTTAAATGACTTAGTTTCACCGTTCCTTGCGGCCGTTCACGCTTCGCTTCAGGCCTAAATTGGGAGGCGCGGACACGAGCTATTAGGCCCAAGACACCCGTCCCGCTACGCCGCTGGAGTGGTGTAGGCGGCCGCGCAATGTTTCACAGATAAACAGCGGGATTAGTGGGGTGGGGCCAAAGTAATTAGTTGTGCTGCTGGCCGGTGTTGTGACTGGGCGGTACGCGGTCAGCAGACGGAGATGTCATCGGCGAAGGTAGTTGACGGGAAATTGGGAATTTTAACGGGAAAAGGGGCTTAGTGGATCAGAAGTCGATGGCGTCAAGAAAACACTATTTAGCCTTCCAAAAGGCCATGAATTCGACCTCTCATCTTGCTGATCATGTCATCATTGTGTTTTTTTGCAACGGTTAATGTCGGGTTAAAATTTCATGTTAAGTTTTGACCAAACTTGAGCATATTTAGCGTGATGCTTCAAAAAAAATGACTGTTAAAAACTGCTTTCAGTTTCCAAACCAAGCCCAACAGAATGTCGGCCAGGGTGTCCTCAGCTCATATCACAAACCTCGCAATCGTATCTTCACTATTTTTCATGATGATTCAGTCGGCATGCGGGGTTTATGGTAGGTTATCCCTCAACAAAGTCTGAAAATTTGTTGTACCGTAACGAACTCATCTTCTTTTAGTTTTTGCACGATACCAACCAGCACAGGTGATTGAACGACTACTGGAGAATGCTGGTATCCCCACATCAGACAGATCAGTAGTAAAGGTAAGCCCGCGACTCCTTAGAACTTATTGTTAGTGTGTCAGTTCAGAAGCGTTTACGGAGACAAATTTTTTTAATTGGAATTTCTTTCCCATAGCCCCCACTGTCTTATAAATTCCAACGTCGTTGGGCAGAAAGTGCTAAGCAATCGGAAGAACGTGTAATGCGGGGCAAACACCTGTTTCACGCGCGCTAGAGTATGAATAATAGTTTGAGTGATTAATCAGCTATTACCTCTAAAAGAGTAAAGGTTACATAATTTTATGGCGATTGCACTAAAAGTTCACAACTGCTAAAGGTAGTACAGTTTCAAGCCGAACTGTGAAGGAGAAACTGGGAAACAACTTACAAAAATAGTAGTAAGATTCTGTATAAAAGATGTTACAACCTCTAAGAGATCCATTATATTTATTAACATGTGCAACTACAAAGATGTTTAGCATATTCACTGTGTTTCAGAGGCCAGTAAAGCGCAACGCCGCCTCTGTCCGACCGCTGCCGCCTTCAATTCCGGTGTGCGAGACAAAAATCCTTGAGAACCATCAACCTAAACTAGGAATTGGTAAGTCTGACCTTTCGACTTTTTGCACTCCTACTCTTAATCGCCTACCCAAAAATAACTGTAAATAGATTGACTCGGAAGTCGCGAAAACAATGTTTGTTATATGTATCAGCGGGGTGGAAAAAGCCCATATCTATTCAGCCGTGATAACCGCGGAATGCCATCCCACACGCTAGAGATGTGTCGGATGGGAAAGGTTATGATTTTCTGTTATTTGCTTGATATTTCTCGACGTAGATAGGGTCGGAATATGAAAAAGGAGGAAGGTTGAATCATGACGTAAAAGTATATTAGGGACAGTAGGACAGAATTTGTAGCCGGTACCTCTTGCAAAAAATTGCCAATACTTTTTTCAGACCAGAACGGCAGCTACGTGGAGATCGAGCAAAGCGAAACTCGCGAGTTCAGATCGACCTTTGTCGAATGCGCCGACATTCTTCGAGGCGCCTGTTTCGGCATTGACACAGCATTCTTCACGTCGGAATGCGCGACATTATTTGGCCTACAACCAGCTAGCATCCGGCCCGATGGCTCGGACGGAGCCTTCAAAGACGGCTTAATCAAGGTCCCTATCGCATGCGAATGTCGGTTGCGCAAGAAGCTCTTCCTCAAGCCCTAAGTAATCGAGTGTAGGGGTTTTGCAGGGCTATATTTGTACACTTCTGGTCTTTGTATGTAATATTTTGGTTGAATTCATTTCGAAATATGTTTTTCATGCATTATCTATTCGCGACATAAGTCCAGGTAGCACATAGTGTTATGTCACATCGCCTATTCATCCACCGGTTTAATAGTCGTTTTATAGTCGTCTAACATGCTGTGAAACATAATTACTTTTTACATAACTTACCTTCTTACGTAACATATTAATTTATCATATTCAGTCTAGAGCAGCTTGTGTCATACTGTAGCACTGCGCAACGGTACAATGTTCAGGCGCGGTGCAAAAGCAGACGCAAAATTTAGTGCATGTTAAACAGGCCGTAATATTTATTCTAGCACACTAACACTTTCCATATTAACACATGGTAATATCATCCAGTCTTGTGTTTTGATCTCACTTAATATTTTATTCACGTCTCATGTCTTACTGCTTTAATATTATGAAATTTTTATTTATTGTTTTATATTATTTAACGTTTTGGTTATAAATTATAATAATTTTATGACTGTTTTTTTCAAGGAAGACTAAGCATATATTTATATAAAACACACAGTACGTACTACCCAACTATCGAGGTACACTTTGGCATAAAATGGTTATTAACCAACACTCTTATTCTCAGTTTTGGAAATTGGAAACGAAACAGTTTAAAATCTTATAATACATGTTAATCCAGAACTGGCTGGAATCTCAACTGGTTTTCAAAGATTTTCCTCATCTACTTTCTAACAGCGAAGCGGGTTGATCACTCGTATTGATTTGGGAAGCCCATGGGCGACTAAACGCGGATGTACATTTCTGCCAGCTGAACGTTGGGTAAAATCTGCATGTTACGAGGAAACAAAATCATTTCGACGAAAGCTCGGCGGAAGCTTGGCGAGGACTTGCAGTATGACCATATTTTCTACGTAGCTTTAGCTAGCTTAAGTTTTCTCGACTCTGGGGTATTGTAACGCAGAAACAACCTGAACTTGCTCCAAAAAAGTTCTCCCGACAATGTTTGGCTCTTTTGTAAGTAGACACCATATGCTCGACAACATCTTGTTTGTTATTATCCAGTTTTAAGCAATTCCGCCGGAGGCTTAATTAAATTATCAAGCTAATCTCCGAGCGAGCTCTGTTTCCGGGAAGAATAAACAAAACAGAAAGGTTACCGAAAACTTTCCGGCTTTAAAGCTATACGACATTTTGAAGGTTTCAAAAACAAGGAGCCGACTAAAGAATAACTTTTACTGCAACGAAAACAGCACCGCAAAGCATTCTAATAAACAACGCAACTATGATGACGGGAAAATTCAGTCCTTAAACTCGAGTACAAATATCGACCAGCGCCAAAAGACGACACATGGAAAGTCCTTTTCAGTACCGTACATCTTCTGGAAGTATTTGCGATCGCTGGAAGACAATTTCGTTGATTAATGCAAGTGTATGGAACCGATCTAAGCTTTTGTATCCGGAGACAAGGCTCAATTTTTGGGCCGAAAGACAGTTGACTTGGCAACGATTTGAACTTCTAAATTAGAACTTCGGTCACCTTTTAAGCTATTGCATAATTTGCAAGACACTTATCTTACGTTGTAAAGGCCCCTGTTTTGGTTCAGCCTCTGATTAAATTCGTCCATTATTGAGAAGTAAAATCCAATCCTCGGCGAAAAATTAAGAGGGATCGTTAGCTTAAAGGTTGACATTGCACAGAAATTATTGACCTTTGTTAACTTACGTTCTTTAATGCAGCATTATATACAGGGAAAATGAATTTGATGCTCCAGGAGTCTGTCCGGCTTAGACGAAGGTGCCGCGGAGAGCTCATGGCGTTCATAGGTGAGTGTTCGAAAGCCGCGTCGACTTTTTGCGGTATAACTACTGGAGTGCCAAAACCAACTACTTCTCGGACCATGACATCCTTCAACGGTCTTGTAACGTCATACGAGTTGGCTGACTGAGCTATGAATTAAATGACGGTAATGTCGTATCTGTTATAGCCTACCAGGTGCCGCGCTGATTCCCCAGTTAAATTCAAAAGACGAGACTTTGAGATGGAGACTCCGAATTCTCGTAAATTCATCAAAATAGTCGCCATTCTTAGGCAGCAAAAGTTCGTCAAGATCGGAAAAGATGATATATTTTGCGGTATGTTTGTTGTCGTACAAACATTCATTTGCGGCTAGAAGCCTTCCCACATTCTCTAATTCTTCGTTTGGATCGTAATTTAGGTCTTTCTAAAAAGTGAGAGTCGTTACTTTGCGAACAGAGTGTTGCACTTTTTTTTCTTGGCTATTGCTAGCCTTCGAAATCAATTTACAAACAACTTACAACTGCAGGAAGAACGACTCCTTTAACAATCCTAATCAGTCCATCCTGCTCATACTGTTCTAGTACTTCGAACAACTCTGTAATCATATTTAGCACCGGCAATACCAGAAGATCAGCGCCAAGATTTCGATACATTTCAACCACATGCATGGCTAGCTGCCAATTTTCCAGCAAATTGGCTTGATTGAAGCAGACCACCACGTTGTGTTTTGTTTTCGCCGGCTGTGAAACCCTAACCTAAATTATCGCGATGAAAAGTCAAAATATGCACGTAATATCCGGACCAATGAACTTATTAACCCACCCTCACCGTCTGGTCGTTAATCAAATTGTACAGTTCAAGCCTGCCAGTCCGACTGGCAAACTCACAGTCCAAAAAGTAAATCCGCCATTGGCAATGGTCATTGTGCCCAATTGGCCGAAAAACCGCTTCTACGGTTTGATTGTGGCTTCTACAATACAGCGAGTCATCGTATTTTTCCTTCTCTCCAACGGCCAAAATTCTGACTCGTCCCGTCTCTAAACTACTGTATTTCCAGTAGAAAAAAAGAGTCCTTTACTCACGGGTCATCTAAATAATATGCACTCGAAATAAACATATGGTAATTTCGAGGTCGATATTTTTGTATGAAATTGACAAATATAATCAGCAAGCAAAATAAAATTATCCATCGCAATTTGCTTCTGGTGAATGGGATTTTCAACACTTCTAGATAGAATTTTGATAAATTTCTTGCCGAAATTAAAAGAATAGGCATCTTGAAATGGAAAAACAGTAATGTTTTGTGGCGCCGGCGAAAGCTTGGCGACTTCAGATGCTATCTCAGTAGCAGGAATAAAAAGCCCCAACCAAGATCGTCAAGAACATTTTCATTACAAAACTTGTTTTCCGTCTTCATAGCAAGTTTACAATCATTTTTGAAGTTGACAAGCATTGGCTGAAGCAATGGCATCACATAAAGACATGCAGCTTGTCAATGAATCAACCACATCAGCCGCTCCATAAGCCCAAACTTTGATTCCTTCTACCAAATCGGATTTGCATATTATTCTCGAAAATATTCAGTAAAGTTCTTTTGTAAAAACAGAAAGGCCGCTGGTTTTGAAATCAAATAGCAGCAGAGGCTTTCATTACGTCTCGAATAACAATAACTATTGTTGTTCGAATTGCCGGCGATAAATCGTTGAACTGAGGATTTTACATTTCTGTGACATTCCAATATTGGCAGTCCCCAGTCCAAATGGTAAGCATAGTTTTAAGAATTAATTTTACACTGTCGAAAGTTGCTCTTGCCGAAAAGTCGTATCTTCCAAGATAAATCTTAGCATATTTTTGAAACATAACCTTATAGTCACATCACGAGCTGCTGTATGATATAAAAAACAGTTCTCGATGTGATCAATATAAAAGTTGACAACCGTATACATTTTTGGCTTGATTTCAAAAGCCATTTTGTTTTATTCAAGCGAAAAACGCACAAAATTTAAGATTTCTGTTCCCTCTACGACCAAAACCGCAAAGAAACTATACTATAAAATTTAAAACTTACCGAGTCGATATATAAACATTTATACAGTTTTCAGAGTGAGTGTACCGCTGTTTCGATAATAAATTTGTATTTGATACTACTGGTCTAACATTTTTCTTTGCGTTCTTTTCTTTTCATCCAAGATGGTTGAACCTCTCGGTTGCCTCTGCAACAACCCAGCTCAAATTTTTACGAATTGATGCGGCCTAGACCCGACATATATGCATGCAAAATTCAGAGGAAATCTACATAGAATTCGCACTTGGAACACTCCCTTAGCAAGGTCTTACAGACATTCTCGCTTCTCTTTCATATACGTTCCCTCTACAAATATTTTCCTCCTTACCTATCGAGAGATCCTCTTTTATTAGGGATTTCGAAATAATTGTTCTCGGGAGCTGGCGACAGGTGAGCCCAAAAAAGAACGAAAAGGAAATTCGGTCGGGAATTGGGGCTACCTTTAACCTTGCGGTCATTCGCGCAAAAAACGAAAAATCTTGTTTTACGCGCCAAAACATCCAAATTGTTCCAGCAAAATTTTCATTTCGTTCTCCTTTCAAGTGTGGACATTGCGAAAGGGGCCATAGCAAGTGGCTGAGTCATAGTGACGAAAAGGTCACCAGGGAACTTTAGCTGTTTCTTTTTTACGAACGACTTTCGGTTACTATATAAAATATATATATTACTGGCAGGTAAGGTGGGAATATTTGATCATCCCTACAATTATAATTTATACGGTGTTAGCAGATCGCACAGATCACGTAGATACGATATTATCTGCGCTTCCGCAAAGTCCATTACAATAATTCGCTGTCTTTCCGGCTTTCCGACAAAAATCATCTTATTCTAGTTGGGGAAGTGCAATCTGTAAGCGCGAGCGGGGTAATTCGATATATCAATTATGTTTCGGAGATTTTTTTTCATAAGACACAGTTACTTACTTTCCACCGCGTCGCGACATTATTCCTTTTTTAGCCGGTTTTTTTCCGCGGTAAGCATAAGAAAAATGAAGAAAATGAGATATAGGTGAAAAGCAAGATTTACTTAGGATTTGAGATGAGATATGGCGACTTTATAAGGCCTTCAACATTCTCTTAGGGCCTTGAGTCCATTTCTCGCAGCTCCTTTCCTTGCAAAGTTCTGTTTATTTGCTCGAGGCTAAAAATACAAGCGCTGACCTCAAGACGGTCGTGAAAGGGGTGATTTCATGCCTTATGTTTGGGCTATTTCGTAGAGGTCACTTGGGGCGCGATGTGTTCGTTATTACGCAAATCATAAAATTTTATTGTTTTTACGAATTTTGGGATCGATCAGGGTCATGTTCAAGTAGCTTTTGGTATTTTGCTCGTGATGAAAAATAAATCATTTCTCCTTAGGGAGTATTTAGAGTGTATTTTATGAACGGTTTCGATGCTAAATCATTTGTGTCATATCTTTGGGAAACCTATGAGAAAAAGACGATGTTTCGTGGAAAAAGCGGTACTCTACGTTTTTGAATCGAAATTGGTCTCTAAAAACGGAATTCACATTTCTGTTTTTGATCTTTCGCCAACTCGCAGCATAAACTCTTGATTTTTTCCGTGAAGACACGCTAGGGTCCCGCCACAGGCTTACTGTTGACCGCTCTGCCGCCAATGCCCACAAATCTCATTAATCCCCAAGATAGTCACAGTATTGTTTATGGCGTACTTCAGTGTAAATGGGATCCCAGGTAGACGAGGACATACGACGGTTCTTCCTCAATTGTTTGCCCAATGATTTTTACTGAGTGCGAAAAGAAAGGACGAGGGGTTTGTGGTATTGTCCACTGCGCGCTCAATTTTTTCCCTCACGCCGGTTTTTTTTCGGTTACTCATTCATTAGGGCGATTGTGGGAGGACAGGTGAGGTTAATTTGGGGCTTGGAGGTTGCGCAGGTTGAGAGTAACCAGAGAGATAAAAAGTCACCGAAAATTGGGAATTTTAAACTTTACAAAACTTTAATTTTCCACTCAATTTTTTATTCTTCTCTGGGTATTACATTTCGAATTCTTTTGTGCGAAAATCCGAAAAATCGCTCGGGGATTTTCCGCGGATTTGTATCCATGCATATTACGTATTCTCTTTTTACTCTGCATAAATTGCATTTGAGCCTTCGTCAAAAATTTTTTTTAGAACTTCGAAACAAAACCATTTCCCAAGGGGTTATCGTTTTTTATCGCCGTTACTCTCGACTGACCAGTAATTAAAGCGCAATAAAAAGTTAGCTCTCACATTTCATTGTGATAAATTCTTTCCGCTTTCAACTGATTTTACTTATCGCGCGGATACTGTTTCGTGTTTTCCTACTTCTTAAGATGACCTGTAGCTGTAAGGACTTGAAATTTAAAGCAACACCGGTCAGAAATTTTTTAACGAAAGTTATCAGCGAAGTTGACCAATTTTTAAAGGTTCTGTCAAATTTTTTGAATTCGATTTTTAGGATTACAAAACAAAAAAATTATAAAATGCTCCTCCAACCTATTTTCATTGGAAATGAAACGTAGTTTTTTTAGTCCAAACCCCTGATCATAATAGACAAGAATAGAAAAAATCGATTTTTTTTGGACCCCGGGCCCGGGCACAACGATAAACGTCAATTTGACCGGTCAAATTTCGATTCCAATCCCCATTACGGACGATTTCTAGTGAAAAAGTACTTGATAGAGAAATTGCGAACGCTTTTTCCATACTTTTTTCGAATTAAAATTTCGGCTCCACGTTTTTTATTTTCTGATTCTTATCAGACAATAAGTAAAAAAATTGGATTTTTTTGTCTCTGAAAACACCCAGTAGTCCGAAAAGAACTTTCCAGGAGAGCTACCTACGGATTTCGAAAGTCTACTATGGGAGCTGAAAAAGGAATATTACTTGAAAATTTCGAAACAGTCATTACAGTTGATAAGACGATTCTCGATATTTTGCAAAAGTGGGTGCAGATGTTTGGCGTATAATAGCTGAATCATTCCATTCGGTAGGTTTATAACACCTTTTGTTGGAATTTTCGGTGTCTTCAAGGCCGGAAAATTTATATATTAGGGCCTGGATGGTAGTATAATATATACGTTTTGATGAGAAATGCGATGAAAGTGGGCCCACACTACCTTCCAAAACCTCGTCATCAACTCTTAGTTCCTTATTGAACAAACTAACCCGGGTTTGAGCGAATTTGCAGCCTTTTCGGCATGTCCAGAAAATCCGTAATCTTGACATCTCAAAATCAAAATTGAAGGTACCGCTAGTAAAAACATGTTGGTTTTTATGTCTTGAGCATCATATTTTTTTACCGCAACCCACATTTTTATCGGGTTCCGTGAGGAAACCAAAAATTCGATGACGAGTTTTCTAGACGCGAAAAAAATCGAGAAAAGTTGCCAAAATTTCGAGAAGTTGAACTTACAGCTGCAGGGCTGTCTCGATTGATGTAACACCATCTTATTTCTAACTACTCATGTATTCTCCCCTGCGGGCACAGGTAATATTACTTTTTATGTTCTCCTTTCTCTGTTTATCTTGAAACTCGAGAGGAACCGGGTTTTCCCGGGTTTGATGTCCTTTTTTCTGATGTATATAGTGACTGCCCATCTCAGAGTGTAGGTAAAAGCGATATTCAAGAGAATTTGGCCTTCAGAATTCTAGAAATTTGATTCCTTGTGCCTTGTTTTAGATATTCTTCGATGTTTTTGAATGATAAGGTTATTTTGATATTTTTGAATCGTGCGTAGGAGAATCTTGAGGGACAAGGATTGATCGTGTTTGCATTGAGGATTTATGGGAAATGGATGGAGGGTTTCAAAAATTATATTGTTTTAGGTATATCTGGTGTCTTTTTGATTTTTTTGCTCGTTTTTGGGTAATTCCTTGTTTTTTCTTTATTACAACTCAGTTGTTGGCACCCTGACTCTGATTTGAGAAAGTTTTCATCCTAGTTGGAGTAAAATTTTAACATTTTAAAATCTAAGTTCATCGGTATTGGCATGTAGATTCTAAATTGATGTTTTTTCATCGTTCCCAAATCCAAGGCCCTCAGATTCATAAATTTTTTGTTTCAGAGATGCTCAAAGAAGCCGCCGTCTGACGCCATTCGTCTCAGAGAAGGAATCATGAACGGCACAGCGACTTTGGGCCGAGACGACAGTTTCCCATTGGCAAATTTCAAAAAAGGCACAAAAATCTGGATCAAAGATGCCGAACGAGTATGGATTCAGACAGAAATGTTGGCGGACCTCAGTTTCCAGTCGAAAACAATTAAACTTCGAGTGATTGCCGACGATGAGGTAGGAAACTACATTGTTTCAGATATTAGATCACCTCTAAATTTTTTTTATTTTTTTGTCTCATGTTAAAATTTCCAGGTTATCGACTATGACCCAGTCAAATCTGGGATGCCATTTTTATGTAATCCCGACATCTTATTGGGCAAGGACGACTTGACTTCGCTGAGTTATCTCCATGAACCTGCTGTTCTCAACAATTTGCAATACAGATTCGAGCGTTTGGAGAAGATCTACACGTACTCTGGGATTGTTTTGGTTGCAATTAACCCATATGCGGACTGTTCTCAAATTTACGGCGATGACGTTATGTTGGTAAGCTCTAGACACCGGGTTTTTCGTTTATTTTTGAGGGATTTTCTTTGAAATGAATGATTTTCAGGTCTATCGAGGGCAAGGGCAACAAGTTCGTGTGTTAGAGCCACATATTTACGCCATTGCCGAGGAAGCGTACTATGACATGTGTGAATATACCAAGAATCAGTCGATTATCGTGTCTGGCGAAAGTGGGGCCGGTAAGACGGTGTCAGCCAAGTTTGTGATGAGGTAAGCGATCTTTGAAATTATTTCGTTGGTTTAGGAGAATTATGGATAAAAGTATGGGATATCGTACTTCATATCGCGGGATTTCCACGGAATTTAATTATGTTTGTGACAAAGTTTTTAATTGTCTTATCATTCCAGATACCTCACCACAGCGGCATCGTCTTCGAGGCATCGCAAATCTTCAGACCATGGGATTGAAAGTCGAGTTTTGGCGTCAAATCCTGTTATGGAGGCCATTGGAAACGCCAAAACTATTCGGAACGACAATTCGTCGCGTTTCGGAAAGTTTATTCAAATCGACTTCACCGACAAACGACTTGTCGCCGGGGCCCAAATGAAGACTTACTTGCTGGAGAAGAGTCGAGTCGTCTTTCAATCGCAAAATGAACGAAATTATCACATTTTCTATCAAATCTGCGCGTCGGCAAACCATGAAATTTTGGCCGGACTCGGATTGGATCGACCGGAAGAGTTTTACTTTACAAAACAGGGAAATGCGCCGGAAATTGAGGGTGTGGATGATAGAAAAGAATTCGAAAGCACTCTAAAAGCCTTTGATCTACTGAAAATTGATCATTTGAAGCAGCGGGAGATCTTCCGAGTTCTCGCTGGAGTTCTCCATCTCGGCAATATTGCGTTTGACGCACAAGGAGACAAAAGTTCAATTACGGTGAGCTGTTCAAAAGTTTTATTTTTTTCTTTCGATTTTAGAAGAATTCCGAATCCTGGCTGCAGAAACTTTGTTCAGACCTCTTTCAAATTGATGACTCTCAATTAACGGAATGGCTGACGAACAGAGAACTCAAAGCTGGAGTGGAAAAGTTGAAGAAACCGTTGAGTTCCGTGGATGCGGCGGACAATCGAGACGCTTTGGCCAAGTTGATCTACTCGGCATTGTTCACATGGATTGTGGATAAAATAAACCAGAGTCTGATGAGTGACAAGAAGGAAACTAAAAAAGGAGTCGAAGCCAGCTTTATTGGCGTCCTCGATATTTATGGGTAATTTTTTTACGAAAACAGTTCGAACTGCCCGAGACGATCTTTTTTGTCGAACATTTTTTTGGATAAGGGTAAAGATCGAGTGTTTTCAGATTCGAAACTTTCGACGTGAATAGTTTTGAGCAATTCTGCATCAACTACGCCAATGAAAAGCTCCAACAACAATTCAATCAGCACGTTTTCAAGCTGGAACAGGCAGAATACGAACGAGAAGGGATCGCTTGGGTCCGCATTGAATATTACGACAATCAAGAATGCATAGATCTAATTGAAAAACGCCCGGGAATCTTGGACTACCTCGATGAACAGTGCAAGGTAAGTTTTGAACTTGAAGTTTTTTTTAATTATTTTTTTTATTTTAATCGTGGTTTATGAAGGTCAACTTTATGTTTTATTCAATTTTCAGACCGGCCATGGGACAGACGACGCATGGCTTGGCCAATTGACGAACTGCCCGACCCTCAGAGACGCCGACCATCTCCAGATGCCCAAGATTCGGAACAAAACCTTTACTGTTCGACATTTTGCGGCTGATGTGAGCTACACGGTCACTGGATTCCTTAACAAGAATAAAGACACTGTCAATGAACGATTGCTGGAGGTTGTGGGGAAAACACAGGTAATTAAAAAAGAATTTTTTAAAAATTGTTTTTCAGTTTGGATTCCTCAAAGAGATCCTCGAAGACTCGCTGATTCAACTTCAGGCCGGCTCGAAAAGAAAGAAGACGGTTGGAATTCAATTCAGAGATTCGTTAAAAGAACTGATTACCGTTTTGTCTTCGACTCGGCCGCATTATGTCCGATGTATCAAGCCGAACGATGAAAAAGAACGCTTCACTTTCGAACCAAAACGAGCCATCCAACAGCTGAGAGCCTGCGGAGTTTTGGAGACGGTCAGAATCTCGGCCACCGGGTACCCATCGAGGTAAGGTCTTGTAATTGGTGAAATCGAGGTTTGGCCAGCTATTTGAACGTTGAATTTGTTCGTTACTAGCGGTTTGATCTGCCCGGAATGAACTTTGTCTAAAATAAAACCTGCTCGAATTCAAAAGCAGCTTGTTTGGACCTATTATGTTTGCCCTTTAGATGGTCCTACGACGATTTCCAACGTCGCTACGCCGTTCTATACCCATCGGGCCGTCATCTCAAGCCCAAAGCCTTTGCCAAAGAAGCCTGCGAACGATGGTTGGAGCCGGAGAAGTTCGCCCTCGGCGCGTCCAAGATCTTCTTCCGCACCGGACAGGTGGCCGCACTGGAAAAGAACCGACACGACGTTCTCCATCGTTCCGCAGTCCTCATTCAAAAGACTTGGAGGGGTTTCCGAGACCGCCGCCGTTACGTCGAATACAAACAAGCCGTTCTTGCCATTCAGGTGGGCACTTGAAAATGATCTAGAGTGTTTTGATTTGATTTTTATGATTTTTTTTGTGAAATTTTGTGATTTTAGGCGTATTCTCGAGCTTTCATTGCTTTTCGACGCATCAAATTTTTGCAAATGCACCGGGCCGTGGTTACGATGCAAAGCGCTGTGAGAGGATACACACAAAGAAGGCAATTTGCAAAGACGAAAGCTGCGGCTTTGCAAATTCAGTCGTGGTTCAGAGCCGAACAGGTCCGGAAAGAAGTTTTGAAGGTGAGTTTTGGCCTGTTATCTGGTCAGAACAGTATTTATTTTTTTGTTTTTGTAAATTTCAGAAACGGTTTGAGAAGTCCGCAATTGTCATCCAAAAACACTGGCGCGGCTACATGGTTCGTCGGGAGAGAATCCACTACATCCTCAAGGTCATCAAAGTCCAAGCCATGGTTCGTCGTTTCCTGGCGAAGAAACGCCTTCGTCAGCTCAAGATCGAAGCCAAGTCGGTGGATCATTTCAAGAACCTCAACGATGGTCTGGCCAATAAAATTATCGAGCTAAGGCAGAAGCTGGATGCCGTGAATGGCGAGAAGAATGAACTGAAGGTTAAATTGGCTGATTACGAAACAATGAAGAAGAGAAATTGCGACATGGAAGCGGAAATAAAGGAGCTGCAACAAAAGGCCGGCCTGGTTGAAGAGTTGACCCGAACCGTGGAGTCCATGAAGGATCGAATCGATGAGCAAGAAGAGCATTTAATGCTCTGGGAAGGAAGATACCACGATTTGAATGATAACCTGGAAAACGTAAGGAAAGAAATTTGTGGGGTGGAAAAATTATTTAGGCCAAGATTGAACTCTCCACGCTCTCCGAGGAACGCGAGAGTCTTGGCGACCTCGTCCGTGAACGAACGACCCAATTGAATCAACTGCAAGGACAGTTGGATAACGAGACCCGCCGAAGAGAACAAGCCGAACGCGAGATGTCGGAGATGAGGGACCAGCTCATCAAGAACGCCGACTTGTTGACCAGCTCCAACTTTAGCAGAGAAGGCAGTATGAGAGGTAGGGGTGTCGGGATTTTTATAAAGTTTTTTTGAATATTGGTATGTGGAATATTGCCCCCGATTTTCAGGCGATTTCAACAAGGCCGGGTTCAGCTCGGGCTCAAGCGACATTCAACAGGATCCCGACAGTCTACGCATACTTCAAGAGCAACAAACCATCATCTCTGGCCTCCGCCGAAGATTGGATGAAGCAAGCCGCAGCAAAGACCGGTTGGAAAACGAAATTTGTGCTGCAAAGTTGAGCGAATACGCGGAAAAGTGCACATCCTTGAGGGCATATGAAGCACAAAGAATTCAAGTAAGGTCTTTCGATGTTCTAGAAGTGCTAATATTCGATATAATGAAGGCTAATTTTTGCGCTTTCAGGACCTCGAAGTTAGTCTGGTCAAGCAAAGAAACGAACTGCAAGCTTATGCCGACGCCCTCGCAAAGTCGGGATCGCTGCAGAAATGCTTTGTGGAGTCGTACGATCGGTTGAAGGACGACGCCGAAAGATTGCATGAAGAAAATCTGGGTCTGAGGGCGTTATTGGCAACCTTCTTTGAGAAACGAACTTCTGGATCCCCGGATTCTGGCCAATGGAGTGGAGATGGGTCCGAAGATGGAACGTCGTCGTTTGCAACCAATGATCTTGAAGAGCAGTTCACAGCGGATCGATTGGTCAGACAGTACAGAAATACGTTGGAGTAAGAACTTTTGTGGGGTTGATTTGTGTTACAGTCGGGCAATAATTCAAGCATTTTTTTCAGCGTTGCCAACCGCGAGATTGCCGAAAGAGACGAGAAAATCCTGGAATTGAACCGACAAATTGCCCATTTGGAAGAGCAATATGGAGTGAATAGTGTACATACGGTAGGTTCGATTTACTATCTAGTAGGTACTATAATAAAGAACATAAGAGTTGGGGTACAGGAAGTCAACAGGAAGGACTTTGGTTAGAATATTTAGCTATCACATAACAAACAGCACAATGCCAATAATTTTAATAGGGAGTGGCAATAAAAGTAATGAGGTACTGTAAAATTATTCGCAAAATGTTGTCCTGGCTTGGTCAATTTTTGCAGGCAATAAAGGAAGTAAAGAGGACTTTGATCGCTTGCATACCCCCGATTTCATTGAATCCTATTAGCCGAGAAAAAATTGATGGTCTATAAACATTTTGAATACAAAGGTGGGACGAATCAAACACAATGGGAAAAGGCGTTTATACGTGTCTATTCGTTGAGAAATAGGGAGTTGCGCAAGTTAGTCGAAAATTTTGTCTTCGTTTACCAGCGCTGTGTCCAGTAATCGCGGAATTCAAGCATTTTCTAGAATTGAAATGAGGTGATCTTTATCCACAACACCCTCTCAATAGTGCTGCTGTAGTTTTATTTGTCCAGCCTTTTTATTTTGCCTTTCCTTTGGCGCATTTGTCTATCTATCTGTCTCTTTCCTTTGTCGGGTTGAGTCATATTGGTAAAAGCCATGGGAACGAGCGTCAACAGGAAGGACTTTAAGTGAGATGACCGGGTATTTTGTTTCGAAAATGGGGATTCAGTTAACTCGGGTTTTGAATCAGAGATGGCATGTTTTATCCGAAATCTGTATATTGTTTTGTTGACAGATGATAAATCGCTTAGAATGTTTAGAATAGGCACGAAGAGCGAACTTTCTTTCGTGACACAATACTACCATTTAGAAGCAGAGTAAAAAAAACTAACTGCTCCATTCATCTCCATCCAAAGAAGTCAATATTCGGTTAAGAAAGGACTGAATACCACAGCTGGCGTTCGTGCCCGAAATTGGAGAAGTCCGGCTTTTTGTTTCCCGGAACGTTCCAGCAAAGGAAGAAAACGCGAAAAAAGCTTATTTTCGGATTGATATCAAATGCTTGAAATTAGGAATTCATAGAGAAGTTGGGTTAGCGACTTGATTATTTATGTGGGATCTCTGAATTTCCAAACAAGGTTCCCATTTCCTAGAGCCTACTTATTATTATTATTATAGTTTCGCGCAAGAAACCCCACAGTCCCCATTTTGAATAAAATTAAGCCCTCTCTACCTCGCCGCGAAACCCATTCCATTATTTTTCGCCTCGAGCCAAAACACCGAGAAGCGCATTCTTTTTCCTCTCTCCGCTCCCTTACTTTAATATTTATTCCCATTTTGTGGAAAACTCTCCGCAAAAGCCCCTTGCGCCCCTCTTGTCTTTACCCCGAAAAGTCCCTCAAAAAAGACCCTTGCGCTTTTTAGGGGAAAAACTTATGAAAGAGAATTTTCTTTGATCTGCAAGTCATTTTTTCGGTGTATCCACATGGATTCAAGCTTTAATTTTCAGTTATTCGATACATTTTAATCCAGGCTGTAAGGGTTGATACTTATTTTTAACGATTTGTTGACCTCTTTGTTTTCCCATAAGTCAATTTTTTCTCCTTTTCTCTCGTGACAACATAATTGTACCAAGCAGAAGTTAAGTTTTTTCTTTCGGAACTGACTTTCCTTCTGAGCGTTCGCAGATCCTGGTTCGAAGAGGATTAGTCACCAACAGCGCCATTATGGGTAATAAAGTTTGGCGACGCTTTGAGCACCCTCACGGTTTATAGCCAGTTTCGAATGTTAATTAAACCGGACTTCTCTTCTTTTTTGAATATTTGAGGGATTTTGACTGACGAAGTTTCGTATAATTTTGACTTTTTAACGATTCATCTTGCCTTGGAACAAAGTAATTCCCTATTGTTGGGGAAACTCAATTTACTATAGTCCCTGGAATGCGTTACAAAGCGCGTCATTCTAAAACAAACGAAGGCCGAAGATCCTTCACAAAAAGGGTTCCCTGTTTGGTATATCCCACGGGATTCGACGTGTGGATATTTGGAGATCAGGCAAGATAAGAGAATGCAGACGGGCCATTTTAATTTAGAATCGTGGGAGAGCTGCAGTATTACTTTGGATTTGTATGGATTTTAAATTTTTTTTCATAGTTGCAACTATATAGTTGTCTCATTGGGTCAAGTAAAAGCATTGAGGTTTGACTTTGCTAACGTGAAGCGAGGTAACGCACAACCTCGGTGATCCTTTCCCCGTTAAAACTTCTCGCTTCCTCCATTTGATTTAGGCAGATAAATCGAGCGCGACATGTTGAGCACACAAAAAAGAAAGACCGAATGGGTAAAATGTGGATGCGCGGCGCAGGTAGTAAGTAGCAACAAAAATTGTTTTCACGCGAAAATCGTCTTCTTTTGATTTATTCGATTACAAAACTTGTTGTTGAGTTGACTTCTGCATAAATTGATTTTTTTTGTAAAGCCCTATGCCGACTAGCCAGATGGCGTAACAAATGTGTTATTTTAATTTTTTATGGTCTTTTCTTGTCGATCATATTTTTAAAATGAAACAGTGATTTTTTGCCGCACCTTTTTTATGGTTTTTTTAAGTGATGATTTTGTTATCAAGGTTGCTGCAAAATTATTGAGAAAATCATCGTTTTCGTTTCACTATCGGGATTCTTGCTCAGCCTCTACTCGTCATTCCCAAATATTTACCATAAAAATTACAGAACTTGGAACTCCGTCCAATAATCAGTCTTCTCCAACTTGTAGAATAGTCCATAATTAATTTATTCCTCTCAAGAGGATCCCCTAGTCCTTTCCCATGTACACTCATAGTCAAAATGGATTTCGAATTTGACGAAGTGGACTCGTTCTCATCGACGGTGGCCTGTTCTACGCCTTCCACGAAGCCAGCTCCCGCGTTCTATCACCTGACCTTTGCTGCCGAGGAAGAGGATAACAGCAATCTAACTGAGAGTCGCTCAACGAATCTATCTGTTAGTTTTAATGAGGGTAACTGTTGGGAAGGGGATAAAAAATATGATTTTTGTAAAATTGGCATTGTGTTGTATTAGCCTTTTAGTCATAGAAATTTCAGTTTGGGGCAGGATCAAAAACGTTTCCTATTGCAGCCAGGAAGCATTACGAGTACCCCCAAATCTCTCTTTTTCTGGCTCCAAAAACGGTATTATCTGAGAAAGCCGGAAGTTGCCTTTTTTGGACGGAAAGAAGCTTAATGCCTTGATTAGTTCGAAAAATACCAAATTTGTGCATGTGTGCATTTTGCCTTCAAAAGAGCACTATTTTCGGTCAGAAAGGAAGGTATTTGGTGGCATTCGGAATGCTTGCCTAATGTAATGAGAAGCACTTGGGAATACTAGATTTTGCTTCAAACTGCTGGGAAAAAATGCTTATGTTTATCCTCCGTGCTTTATACGTAAACACCCTCCTAATTCTTATTTTCAGACCAATGATCTCTCCGCAGCCGATACGGCATCCACAACATCCTCGAATCATCTGATCACCTCCCTGGTGCAAGAAAATTTGGTACGGTGTTTTGTGTACTTTAAGAACTTAGGGAGCCGGACGATGTTCCGAATCGTATCTTTCATACTTTCCCCTCTCCTGGACCCCCGCCCAAACTTCTTACACTAGATTGTAGCTTAATATTATTAAAGGTTTTTAGCTTTTGCGAAAAAATTGGAGTACTCGTAGGGGTTATTTTTCCTTTAAGACTTGTCAGATGTAGTATTTTTATAGCCCCTGTATTAGTAATAAAAGTTGTTCCTGTTAGTTTTAACGAAATTCTTATCTATTCCCCTCGATTATGAGCTTACCGCACATTGTCATGGTATTATTTGCTTTGCTTACATCTCACTTCCCCACGACACACTTAAACTTGCCATACATACACTTTGATTTTTTTATCTAATTGTTGAATAAATGGTTAATGTGTTAGTGATTTTTTGGTGGTTCTGGTGATTGTGTTGTCCTTTATTTATTGCACTGTATGTTTGTTTTTTTGAGTTTGCACTTTCCGGATAGCTGGAAGATGTTTGTTTACTTGTTTTCTGTTCTTTTAATCTTTGTCTTCGCATCCCATCTTGTCTGCATGTTTCATGGAAAAATTACTATTATTGTGCTTATTTTTGTCTAAAAAACACTAACATTCGTTTTTTAGGCGTTGCAAAACAAACTCAGCCGACAGTCCGATGAATTGGCTGAAGCGAGGGCCTACCTGCGCGGGCATTCCCTCTCCTCCTCGGAAGGCTTTGAAGATAATGGCGTTCTGAGGTTGGAGGCCCTGCCGAAGGAAGGAGATACCCATTCAGTGCTGCTAGAAGTCTTTAATGTCCCAGAATTTTCCAGGATTCTTGTTTGTGGTGAGTAATTTTGATTGGTTTTTGAAATTTAGGAAAAGGAGCAAAAAAAATCGGTGGTTTCAAGCTTGAAATTTCAAGTTCTATAAATGATCGTTTTACAGACTTACGGCCACGAATGGCCAAACAGCTTGCTCCCGGGCTACCCGCATATCTACTGTTCGCTGCCTTCCGCTACTTTGACCAAACCAAAGACGATGCTTGCATTACCGGTCTCTTCAATTCCATTCATCATCTTCTCAGGGAAACGTCGACGGTAAGGGTTGATTTCAATTTTGGATTTTTTTGAAATTTTAGAACTCCAAAGACATGGATGTCCTGGTGTTGTGGTTCGTTAATTCATGGCGCTTGTTGAACTTGCTCCGTCAATTTGCCGGCGAACAATCCGAGTGGACGGCACAGAACACGGCGAAACAGAATGAATGGCGATTGCAACACTTTAACTTTGAACCAATTAGGAATCAATTGAAACTGAGAATCGAAGACTTTTATCAGAACTTCATGAAGAACGCCGTAGAACCTTTGTTGACTCCGAAAATCTTCCCCGGAATCCTTCAACATGAAAGTGCGTCGATGGTTTTGGACGCGGATGGAGATAAGAGTCGAGGAAAGGAGAAAGAAGTTGGTGCTCAAAGTCTAGAGGATATCAAAGAATTTGTAAGCTTTTTTCAACGAATTACTGGTGTCGTAGTGGGTTTTGAGAGCTTTAATTGCCGTAAAGTAGTTCGAACTTTTAATTTTTTTAAATTTTTTAGTTGAATTTCGTCTACTCGAAGCTGCGAAACTTTGGAGCGGATAGAAATGCGATCTCCCAGACATTCCGACAAATCTCGCAATGGATGTGCGCTTTGGCCATGAATCAACTGGTCTTCCGAAAAGATTTGTGCACATTTGAAAAAGCCGTCCAAGTCAAGTAGGTGCAGCCAATGTTTTCTTGTCCATACGTGCCAACATGATCTTATTCATGTTTTTTAGGCACAACGTCACGGAGCTGAAGAACTGGCTAGTTGAACATGAACTACAACAATGCTGCGAACATCTCGAGCCGCTCGTACAAGCCTCGCATCTCATGCAGTCGAGGAAAGAGGAGTCGAACATCGAGACGTTGTGTGGGGAGATGACGTCAAGATTAACTCCAAAACAAGTCGTCTCCATTCTCCAACATTACACTCCTCCGCCCAGCTTCGAAGAGGAAACTGTAGACGCGAATTTCATCGCGAAGTTGAGCGATCGCCTGTATCAGCGAGCAGCCTTGGCCGACCTGAATGGAGGGCATAATCCGGTGAGTGGGGAGGATATTTGGAGTGAACTAGAGCCTCAGCGGCGGGAGATTTTTGAATTACGGTATATTTTCTTCAGGACACAGCCATCATGCCCGGCACATACCTAGCACCCTTCGACACAACCCCATTTGTCTATACCGACTTCCCCATCGACAAGATCACCCTACCGTCCTGCCTTCGGCTCGATTCAGTCGCCAGATTGATATAAAACCTAAATTTGTTTGTCCTATACCGGTGCAAATTTTTATTGTACATTGCTGACACATTTATTACATATTCACCTTATGGGTTATTAGAAAACACGCAACTAATGTGCTACAGTGTTTGTAAAATATCATCTTGTAATTTCTTAACAATTTTTGAAACAGAATGAATAATTATTACATATTTTGTTGGAGGTTTTTTTGGTCTTTGTTTGTGGCGTTTTTGCCAATCAACCGCAATTTTCGAGGGAAATAAAAATCGGCAAAAACGAAAAAAGTGAAAACTGCCTCATTTGTTTTCCGACACTTCCGAGAACCGGTGGATTTCTCATTTTCCTCTTGAAGAAGTTTGTGAACACGATGGGACTATCAATCCGAAACTCCAAGAGCTCCATTGTTATCAATGGGTATGTTTCCGAAAGGATTTGATTTTTTCCAAGCCGCGCCCGATGTTTGAGTTTTACTTGTTGGCTTGCCCCAGGGTTATTATCCTTTTTGGGATAGTAATTCAACAAAAAAAAATTTTTTTGTCCAACTTTTGACTTGAACCGGTGTTGTCAATTTCTGCAGCCAAAAAATGAAAACTTTAGTCATCTCTTTTCCAGCTCTGCAACTCAACCCTCACTGTTTCGAGTCGTCTACACCTATTATCTGTTATTCTTGGCCATTCTTCTGATCAGCTTGTGCTTCAGCACCATGATGGGCTACAAATGTCACGATGGGATCGAGTTGGTGGTGTTTCAGCTGCTCTTCCTAATTCCGGGCCGATACGCGGTCCACAACGACTTCACGGGATACCGGACCATTTTCTTTGTAATTCAGGGCGGATTGATTTTGCCGGACCTTTTCTGGATGATTATGGCTTTCAGCAAGGCGAAGATTGTGATTGGAATTGCTCTCTTTTTCTGCGCTCTGATTCAGGTAAAATCGGGAGATTCTTTGGGGTTTTGGGGCAACAGTCATAAATGCGGTTATTTTCGACCTTTCCAGGCAATCCTATTTGGCTTAGCATACTACCAGCCCTACGCTTTGTGGCCAAAGGGTTTCAACATTCTCCTGATCCATTCATTTGTGAAGCCCGGAACGCCCGACTCCTCATCTCCACCTCTTGACGTCTCCGCGGAACGAACCGCGAAATGGATTAGAACCGAATTCACTTCGACCTTTGAGGAGGGCGTTGAACGTGAGTTGAATGAACTCTTCTTTTTCGAAAGGGTCTTGATTTTACACGTTAATTTGTGTTCTTAGCATGCTCTTTCAAAGTGGAAAACGGCAGCGGGGAGAAGATGAAGTCCAGTTCCGATGAGCCCGCTTTTCCTCGCACGGTGGTCGTAGATGCGCATGGAAATCGTCAGGAAGATACGATGAAGCCGGCTTTGGGAAAAGTCTCTCGCCGCAGCAAGAAGCTGACTCCGCGGCTCGAAGGCAGCAGTAATACCAATTAAGATAATGCTGTTTTTTTGGTAAATTATTCATAATTAAACATTACCTGACTATTAACAAATTGGAGTAAATTTGGAAAAATGAATTTTTTTTATCCAAAAAATTATGATTTTTTTTTCCGAGCTGCGCCCTAGCGTTGAATTAGATTTCGGTTAGGCCTCGAGCTACTGCCTTTTATTTTTGTAAGACCTGAGCAAAAAACTGCTTGAAAACTTTATTCGACAACATCACAATCGACAATCAATTCCACCATTAACGCTGTGAACTTCGCCGGTCACAAAACTAGCGTCGTCGGAACAAATGTAGGCCATGACACTCGCAACTTGATGAGGATGTCCAAAGGTTCCCCACACACTTTGACCGTCTTTTCCGGAGTTCCCCGAGCGATCGTGCCATTTGTGATTTTTGTCCCAGAGCTAGAATTACTTTTAGAAATCAGAATACTCGTTTCAAGTGTCTACGTAATAGAATGACGATTATAAATTGAATGATCAACTTACAACCCGGCTCATATCCGTGTAGATGATCCCCGGAGCGACGGTGTTCACGCGGATTTTGAAGGGCGCCAGCTCTTGAGACAAGGCCAATGTCAACGAGTGCAAAGGTGCCTTGGTTGTGCCGTATACGCCAAGTCCTGGGGACATTCGTTGTGCTGAGATCGTCGATGTAAATACAATGGATCCACCGCTAAAAGCAAGAGGTTTGCGGTCAATTTGAATGCCAATGCAAACAATACAGCTAAAAAAATTAATATACCCATTTCTTTTCATATATGGTACCACCAGTCTGGTCAACTCAAAAGAAGCTTTAATATTGATACGCAGCATCAAGTCAAAGTGCTTCTTCGTATACTCCGTTACCGTTCCGACAATCGGATTGACGCCGGCATGAGAAACAAGCACATCGATCCTGCCAAACTTCGAAACCGCAGCTTCAACGAATTTCTTCCGATCTTTACTGTTCCCGACGTCGCAAGGGATTGCCAAAATATCTTCTTCTTTGAATTTACACTCCTTTACCAGATGATTTTTGGCTTCCTCAATATGCTCAGATTTCCGGCTACTTATCGCCAATTTTGCTCCTTCCGCTGCGAACCGTTCGCACATTGCTAGGCCAATCCTAGAAATATGGTTATTATTTACGAAAATCGCTCGCATTTTCAGCTTGGAGGGGTGGGATTAGATCAAACTAACACCAGTTTATTACCCTTTTGTTGCGGCCGTGATGAGCACAACCTTGTCTTCATATCGACGACAATTAACGTTATCAACGGAACTAATCGATGCGGTTGCCATAGCTGAAACGAAGAAGTTTAGCAACGGAATAGGACCTAGTCTACGCGGGAGATTTATCGCTGCAAACAGCCAGAATACTCGCAGAAAGCACAACATAACATTATCAAAACCGCGGTGCAAACCAAGGCAATAAAAATTGATTTTGACGGAGTAGCATGACTGTCGTCGAAATGCTCTGAAAGGCAAAAAAAACAAGAGAAAACTGTGTTGGTTCAACAAGACTTTTTTTAGTCGAACTCAACGAGAAAAATGTTACAAACTGAGTTCCATTAGACCGCTGGCTTTAATGTACATACGCGAATTTTCAGAGGCTACGCAAATTAAAGTCGAGTAAAGAACGTTGTGCAATTCGAAGTGCCGTGTCTGCACAGAAAATACAACGAAAACTTTTGAGAGGATAAAAATCGACTCATACGAAAGGCCCTTTGTGTTTGCCGGTTAAAAGCCAGCTGTGAAAAACAGTCAGCATCAACCGTCCTTTACTATTTATATATGTCCATCACCATATAGTGCAGTTAATTCCATTACAGTGACGAACAATTTCTGATCGCCAACAAATGAACTCAAACACCACGGCTTGATAAACATTTTTCCAGCGTGACTCACGTTCGGTCAACTAAGCTTGAGCTGAGCTTTCTGTCCTCGAGCGGACAATCAATAACATGAAAACGCACAATGTGGCAGAATCGAGCAGAATTAGGACAAATTTTCCTTTTTTTCAGGTTCGTCATATTCCAAAAGTTACAAGGGATCACCCAAAAATGCTCTAAATATGTAAGCCTAATATCCAAATTTTCGGTAAGCCTAAATTTCGCAGTATTATCGTTTCTCCAACAAAATCTCTCAAAGAACTCCAGCCAGCCTTTTCTGTTATTTTCCCTCTCGTTTCGCGGTCTCAAACAGAAAGAGTCGTTTTAGTCGAGTGGTAGTGCGTTTGCTTTCGGCGCGAACCGACGCGGGTTCGAGTTCGTCCAGTGTTAAGTAGTCCTTGGAAGCCGGTTCTTGTAGGTTCTCAAGGGGGAATAGTTAGCTGGAAAAGAAATACTGTTCAATCCACGCTGTTGGTGATATTCCATGCATCAATAGTACTTTCACTGCAGTGAACATTTTATTTCCAGGCGTTTTTTTGTTTTGCGAGCTTCGATTACGACTGGAAATTTTATATCAAATTATAAGCCTTGTTTTTGTTTTACTGTAAGCAAACAACACGCATTCAGAAATCTTGACAAGTTGACATTTATCTCCCCGATTGAATCGAAATAATCACGTCTTCCAGGCGAAAAGTCATTTTTCATGCAAAAAGACCAAACTTTTTCGATTCTCGCCCTTCAAAGCCGGTAATTTCGACAAAAACGTAAGAGATTACGACTTTTCGATTCGCTCGGTTGATCTGGAAACATTACAGGGTGATCACGTTTTGTGAAAAAAGGTGACGGGGGTTTTATTCAAATTCAAATTCAACTTTTTTTCGTTTTTGACTTTCCCCTGCAAGATCAATAATTATTTATGTGGAATGTTTCATCGACGTGTTTACGAGCGACTTGTGGGAGTCAAGGTCGCGGATATTTTGGGTGATTTTTGAACTTCCTTCTATTTCATTTTATCAACTATATTGAATATCACTGCACTGTATAATCAATACCCAACCGTGAATTTTATGACTTCTTTATTTGCAATGATTTTGCAATGATTTTAATGCAATATATGTACATGAATTGTTATTCGCACCCAGACAGTTAGTTCAAAAAAAACTTTAAAAAGTCAAAAAAATCAAATTGCGAACGGCTTTGTGGAACGCCGTTGTAACAGCACTACGACAACGGTATTGTTTTAAAGTGGTGACGTTAATAAAGGTTATTGAGTTGATGGTGGGGGTGATGTCGGAAGGGACAACGGTAGGTCGTCGAAGTTTATGTGGGTTTGTGTCGATTCAGATGCGAGTTGCGGGTTGTGCGGGCGGATTTGACGAACGCTGACCGGAAGGTACGTTGTTTTAAGTTTCAATTGAGCTAGTTACGTATCTGGCTTGAACTTTTGGTTGGAGTAGAAAAAAGAAAAGTTTGTATATATACTGCCTGATGTTCGCAATAAGGTCTTCGCTCAACCTTATAGAGATCAAATGATTTCTTTTAAAGATGTTGGCATCTGTTTACGTATCAAATTTATAAATCTATTTTTGGGGGAGCAGCTTTTGAATTGCGCTTTTTTATGACTTGGAGGACAAATGTTTTTTTTGTTTTTTCGTCTCTCGCGACTGCAAAATTGTAAACAATGCACATGTTAAATGTAATTTTAGTAGTACCCCAGTATTTTTTCGACCAAAAAAAGGAAAAATTTTGTTGTTGAGTCCAAAACGAGCAACACATTGGATGTCCAGCAAATTTATAAAGCGATTCTGCAGTAATTGAAAACTTCCCGCCACTTTTGCTGCAGCCTTATAGTCTCGCTGGAATTTGACCATTGCTTCCACCATTTTAAACAGATTTTAATTTTATTAAAGATTTTTTAATGCAATTTTGATCTCCTCCCTCCTGCTTCGTTCATCGCGCTCATCTACCGTATCCTCCCATCGTTTTCTCAGATCAGTTCCGTTCGCCCAACAAGCAGGCTTTCCCAAGTGTGGAGATAACGCCTCGGGGTTTCCTATAAATTTGCAGCCAGATATGGTAACCCAACTTTTCTCCCAAAGTTCCAATATTTTCCCCGTCTAATTACCAGTTATTACCGCAATTCGCCCAACTCGAGGAACCTGCGTTTCCTCTGGTTTGTGTGACTCCAGCTGTACGGACGAGCGTTAAATTGTATAGCTTCGAGGGTGTCACAAAAGGAAGCTTGTTTTTCCGGCGGTATTCGCAGGAATCGGATGGTTTCTGGTTTGTTTTGTTAGCCCTTGACCGTTCGATTGTTCCTCTGCGGGTTTACTGGGTTTAGCTCTCTATGGTATTTTCCGAGGGAATTTTCAAAAATGCCTAGTGTTGTATTTTTTGAGTATGTTACAGAACTTCCTGGGCATTTGTTTGCCATAAAACTCTCCTTGGCAAAAATTGTGTTCTGGAAGGCTGTCTTCTCATCGTTATTCATGGCTATCAGGAAACGTTTTTCTACAATCCCGCCCGTGTTTATGTCTTGTGACGTGGTCTGAAGAGTCAGCGATCACTTGGAGTGATTGCAAAAAATTTCGAGTTTCTAGTTTAAACCCCGATGTTCAACGGGTACCCCGTTGATTGTGTTGAATTTTTTCACGGCGATTTTCATAATAATAAAATTCAAGATTAAAAGGTTTTATTTGAGGGATTCAATTTACAGATGACAAATTCAATAAAAGACGAAAATGAGACAAATACGGTAGCCAGAGACAGCGCAATGCCAGCGGAAGCTACCAAGACTTTCGACGATTTTGTGAAATGTGGAAGATATGTTCTGCTGGTTGGTGTGATCCATGAATTTTGCGCCTTCATTCAACTCTCTTCAATGTTCTTCATGATGTTTGGAGGTAATAGTTTAGCCGTAGCTTGCAATCACAAAACAGTTGCCTACGTAGCGAGGGGAGTTACAAATTTTTGATTTTAGGAGCCGAAGCCACTCCGACTTCTTGTGGAGGGTTTGCGTTTGATAAGAATATGACATCCACGGAGAAATGCAGAATAATGAGGGGCTTGATGAATGAAACCCATTGTAAGCCCGTGTTAAGTGCACAATTTGATTCAATTAATTATGAGGTGAGTGACTGAAATACCAAGAATTCTGTAACGTCGGGCTAAGCAACTAAAAACCGAAAATTAACGCGCTCCGTGGCAAAAACTGCGCAATTTCTTCCTTGAAAATATGGCTGAAATCAACTTAATAAAAAAAAAGTTTAACATACGTATATACCGTCGGAAACACAATGGAAGTCTTATTTTCAGTTCGGCTACTACTGCGGTACGACAAAAATTGTAAAGCAGAGCATAGCAGTGCAAATGATTGGTGTGCTCGTTGGAGCCCTGACCTTTGGCCAGCTGAGCGACTTGTACGGAAGGAAAAATGTAAGGCATAAAATCTAATACGTCCAAATGCTTCCAGTAAACGTTAATAAAAATTTTTTAGCTTCTGCTCTTTACCATCGTTGGATGCTTGACTTGCACTTTGGCCTCATCTTTCACTGGCACCCTTTTCTCTTTCACGGTTTGGAGATTCGTTCTAAACATTTTTGTTGGCGGCAACGGAGCAATTCTGCACACGTTCATGATCGAGTCGTTGCCGAAGAAGCACCGTTTCTGGATATCCAATATCGCGGGTTGGTCGATAAACATGATCTTCATGGTGCTCCTTGCCATGGTGGCTCGGGAATGGAGAGCGCTGATTCATTATACCGCAGCCTTCAGCTTTCCAGCCCTTATATTAGCACTGTAGGTTTGCCGAGATATTTATGATATACTGTAGCTTCTATTTTTGTTAAGAAACCCACAGTAAACTGTTCTAGAATGCTCCACGAATCTCCGCGATTTTTGTTGAGCAAACGCCGCATCGATGACGCCAAAGAAGTGGTGAAAAAGATTTACAAATTCGACAAACGCGAGTTGGACGAACAACAACTGGACAAGGTGATGGAAGCCGAATTAGTGATTATAGAAAGAATGGAGGAAAAGCAGAAGAATTACACTTTCTGGCATCTGTTTTACACCCCGAAATTAACCGGATACACATTGGCAGTGGGACTGACATTGTAAGGGAGAAAAAAAGCTTTCTAAGACCTTTGAGAAAACGTTGCATTACACGATTAAAGCCTAATTTTATTCCGATTTCAGATTCACAGCTAGTTCATTAAACTACTCATTACTCTTTAATATCAGCCGGCTTTCTGGCAACATTTACTTAAACGCATTGTACACTGCGATCGGAAGATATCTTGTAAACCTGTTTGCTATCGCATTGGACCTACGATTTAAGAGTATGGGAAGAAAAGCCCTTCATGCCATAGGCGAAGGCTTAATCGTCATGCTGTTCTGCTCATATATAGCCGGAAGACTGGGCGGTAAGCAAAAATTTTTACTCAACTTTATAACTTCGCGCTGGCGTTTGATCGGTTTGATTCCATCGATGTTTCAGGTTTCCAAAGCCATCAACTGCTCTCTTACGAAATCATGGGAGTCATCTGCCTGTCCACGTTGCTATTCGTCACGGGCCATTTCCTCGCCGCCGAACTCTACCCCACTCAAATACGGAACATCTCATTTTCGGCGGGCCAACTCTTCAGCCGTTGTGGAGTCATCGTTTCTCCGTTATTCTTCGTCTTGGCCGAAGTCCATCCAATATTGCCGTACGTGGCACTGCTTTTACTGTGCGCCACCGACTTTGTCGTATTTTGGGCGGTAATGGATGAGACGAAAGACAAGGAGCTGATCGATTTCATGCCTCCGAAAGAAGAAAGTTGGAGCCACAGATTAAAGAGGAGGAGTCGCCGAGTTCACGCGGGGAATTATGAGAATGGCAACAATAAAGTATAAGGTTTCTGAATTCGAACTCAGCGGATTAATTATAACCTGGTACAAATTTTACCGCGCAGTATGTATTCCACCCGGTCTCTCTTCAAGTACATATTTAAATTTTATTTCTGAAAGTTTTTTTTATTGTAAATCATGACAATTACTTTTTGTCAACAAGCATATGTAGCAATAAATGTAACCTTTATTTCATGCAGGAAAAGCTTATTTTTTAATAAACGAAGGGTAGTCCCTTACATCCGCAAACGGATTCAGAGCCCTTGTGACAATTATATATAAACTAAGGCGACGCACTCGATCTATTATTAAGACACCATAAAAACAAAATAAAGTATTTTATTGCCAACAAAAATATTACCCAAACATTTTCTTTTGAAGCCGTTGATCCCACATGCTTTGGAGATTCTGAAAATGTTCAGCGTTTTCAACAACAAAGCCGGAGTTGGGGGTTACTGAACTGTAACGTCGATTTAGACAGAAGAGCCGGAGCAGATCGTTAAAAACAATGACGCGAAGTTTAGAAAAGTGGAGCAGCATGAAGATTGTCGAGAAAAGATTGTAAGATCCAATCGCAATGTTTTCAAGCTGAAAGACTTGGTTGAATCGATCGCTTCTAAAGCATTCTTTTGAAATGCCGGTATCGAAAACTGCACAAAATCATACCGCAATCATATGATGGTAGACCTTCATGTCAGGTTCTGGCAAGAAATAGATCACATACACCATGACAGCGGCACACACCACGCACACCTGAGCACACGCGAAATAAAACCACAGTAGTGGCCGGACGATTTTAATTACGCTCTGCACTTCCTTCAGTTGATAGCTCTCGCTGAGGCTCTTACTGCTGTAGCGAGAATGAGCTGTTGAGTGGTTCAGAAAATGGAATTCCTAGAAAAGTTGCAGTTTCTGACATATTGACATGCCTTCTTGGCTGAGCTAAAAAAAATATTGTGGACCTACAAGAAACCCGTAGACCAGACTGATGAAGCAAACGACATGGCAAACAAAAATCATCGCTGGCGAATTTTCCAATAAAAAAATATCCCGCAGAAGCAGGTCGATGTCCGTTTCGGTTGAGGTAAAGTATTTCAAAATGCACCGAATCAACGTCTCAGAAATCACAAGTCCAATCTAAAATTCTCAAACATGACGGCCGAGAAAATAGAGAAAGCTAGCCTGCAGGGTTGTAGTTTCTCCTACGATTACCACTCTGCACAAAAAAGTTCCAAACACCAAAAGTTGTCTAAAACGAACCAGAGATTACAAAAAAGTCAATTATTGCTAAAACAACCCCCCACGTAAAGAAGCCTTTCTATAGTGAATAAATTTTTGTGTTTTTACGATTCGTTGTACAGACTGTACCTACAGTAATCACCAAAAGTTTCCGTCCACAAGCACCATTGTCGTGTTCGTAGACCTCCCGTTGCTGAAAGGCGAAACGGCGTTCCAAGCCGAGCAAGATAAATTTGATGTCAATTACGCACACACAACAATGGTGGATGAAAAAGCAGGTGTATACGAACAATGCCATTAATCTTGGGACAATGTAGTTGCCGTGTAAAGTGTAAACATGCAAAGGCAGCATATTTGCAGAATGGCAAACTGCAACCAGCGCTGTTGCAATGTTCGTTGTCACCTGGAATGACCACTTTATATGATGGTTGTATAGGCCGTGTTTGGACACTAACTAATTTTTTTCAAACAGCCATGGGAAATATTTAGTATTTGGCCAAAAAGTTTGTTTTCTCTGTAACAACTTCCCGCGTTTTGTGTTCTCTATCCGAGGCATTCAACATGACCGCTGAACATCCCGGTTGCCTCTGCAATTTGTGAGCTAGCGCTTTCAGGAATTGACAAATGTCCTGTGCCCAAAACTTGAGGAAAATGTAAGCGCCGGACTTTAGATGCAAATATATAAGTAAATCTACTTGCCAAAGTAAATTTCAAGTTCACATTCATAGTTGTGAGTTGGTTGAGGCGAAATGAGAAATAGACGTTGAGGAGAACGCAGAACGCACCCACAACAACCTCAAATAATGGCGTGTATTCATGTATCCTTTCAAATAGCTCGTGCAGAACCATTGCCTTACGTTTCAGCTGAAAACAAATAAAAAACAACTTAAAAAAACGTTGTCCTCAATCAGCAAGGGTTTCGAAAGCTCCAGGAATATCAAAACTTATGCAAGCAATACAAACTATTTATAGTTAAAAAATAATAACGTACAGTACTGATACGGCAAGTTCATTAATTCAATGAGCATGACTCCCAATTCAGCGCCTACATGCCGGCGATAACTTAGCGTGATAAAGAACGTTGCGGCAAAAAAAACGAGGAAGATAAACGCCTAGTCATTACGGACATATTCAACACTGTCTCTTTAAAGGTTCGACAATCTTATTCATCAAGAAAAAGTCCCAATTCGACACCCGGTTATTTCATCAAGCCGCTTCTCGAAAAATTTGAGGTAGTGTATTGAACTCTGAACGGATGGCCCGGAAAAGTAAGGCTTCAAAAAACAACATTTGCAGTTTAGAACGATCAAGACACACTAATTAAGTCAGACGTGCTAGACTGAGGTGTACTTGCCAAAACGTGCAAAGATAAGCGCAGTCATAATAAAGAAGAGGAACTTTCAACAATTCCTGAGGTCTATAACACGAAATTAGTAGTTATACATGAGCATATTTAACCATAGTCCCAAAGGACGTTTGAACTTACAATTAGTGTTACAACAAAGGTTAATTCTAATTTGAAAAAATTCTTGGTCTCCCGAGGACATTCCTTGTATGCAGGAACCTTTTATTACATTATGTCGCAAATTTAATCGCTCAGACGAATAGGACACCACAGCCAAGTACTTATGATAAAAATGACGGTACGCATTACGAATATCGTTAAATTTCGAAACCAATTTTGGACACGTTTTTCACAAAGAATCGTAGAAACCCAATTTATTACCATGAACACAAAAACAGTAGAGGTAAACTACAAAATTAAAAAAATTCATCGAAAAGCATCACTGCAAGAGTAATGTTTTCAACAATAGAAAGATATTTACAACAAAAACACTAGTTCTGAGATGTAATGAGGTTTTGGTTGGTTGGAATAAAGAAGACGAAAGGCAGAGTAGACCAACAAGCACTTTGATTTTTTCATCAGTTTTATTAATGTAGAGATGCTAGTTCTGGTTAAAGAACCAATCTGGAGGCTCGACGAAAAAGACTCCGCCGTCCGTCGCACAATACGTTGGGCAAACACCTTGTTTGCCGGGCTCACCGGGGTCTCCCATGGGGCCGGGTGGACCAGAAACTCCGCGGAATCCGGGAACGCCATTAGCTCCAGCTAGGCCGCGTTTTCCTTGGGGGCCTTGCGGGCCGTCAATTCCCGGCATACCTCGTGGGCCAGCCGGACCTTGCTCTCCAGGGTCGCCCAGTGGGCCAGCTGGTCCTGGGATGAATGGTGTCGGCTGCGCGTCAACTCCGGGTTCGCCTAAAAAAATTTTATTTAACAAGGCGATTATAACATTTCTTACAAAGAAACCCCTTAACTTACCATCATCTCCATCGGTTCCGTCAATTCCAGGAGGGCCCGGTTGTCCTCGTGGCCCCGGTTTCCCGTTGTCGCCATCCTTTCCTGGCGTTCCTTTCTCGCCTTCAGGTCCCTTATCTCCGTGTTCACCTCGTGAGCCAGGCAGCCCTTGTAGACCTTGAGGACATTGCTCTGGACAATACTTTTTCAAATCCTTTAGTGGCTCGCACGGAAGTCTTGCAGGGATGCCAGAGGTTCCAGGACGACCTTGGGTTCCCTTCATTCCTTTTCGTCCTGGCAAACCGGGTGCGCCTTGCTCAGGCTCACAACGACAACCGGAACTATGAGACTCGAAGGGGATTTGACGTTCGAAACGCTAAAAGAATAAGAAAGAGTCTTTATTGAAACCTACAGTTCTGTTTCTATAAATTTCGTTACGTTGCCAGCTTGGCATCGTAATCAACTCGTTCAATAGAAGAGATGTGTCGTTCTTTACTGATCGTGCAGTAAACTCGCAGAAGTCGATAACGTTTTCGAACTGTTTGTTGGCAATGTAAGTGTACTGATAGAGGAATGGCATTGCCGTGCACATCGCCGTCCACGTCATCAATGAGATCGAAAGGGAAAAAATTAGGACCACCTTGTATGCCTTTTCCCGGCTTTCATCTTCAGCTTCAGGGAAATTGTAATGCGACCACTTACTCGAAGTGATCCTCATTGCAAAACCTAAAATTAGCTTTTGTGATGATTAAATTACGCATAATAAAAACGCAAAAAATGATCTTTTAATAATGAAGCCCACTGACACCTATTTTTATAAAAAAATCATCAAAATTCGAAAAAAACTTCTCCGCAGAGTTCCCAGCCCTTATCACCCCGTGGCGCAAAAAACCAATTGAAGATTCAACAAAATGCCGCCTCATTGGGATGGGCGCCTGGATTCTTGGATGCGATTTGGGTCATCTTCCTTTTTCGCTTTTCTCTATCAGCAATTTTTTTGATCCGACCGTTTGTAACGCGTTGCCCTAAATTTTTTCGTTTTCACCTTTTACTTAGCCCACTTGAACAGACAACAATCAAGAAATACAAAAGCTAAAAAACTTTGACTGTAAGGATGCGACAGTAAAATTGATTACAAGTTTGCGTTTTTTTGATGAAGCTACTTCTGTTTAAACGTGTTTTGTTTTTATTTCAATTTTACACCTCTTTTGTGGCTTTTAGCGGTCTTTTCCGTGTGCTTAGTTATGTCCTTAGTCATCCTCTCTTTTCTCATTTTCGCTTCATCTGACCCTTGGTCTTTAATTACCTGTTCAACACAACTCTCCAACGGCTATGTGTGCCGCCGCTATAATCCTTCAATTTCAGCCGATTCGCCAACGGAAAGTTTCAAATACGCACTTCTATGTTCAATATTTATGAGCCTGCGATGATTTGGTTTGATGAATCGACGGATTTAAAGGTCGTGCGAGTTGCGCAATACGGAAGTTTGAAGAAGGCTCTCGGCATCGGCGCAACAAGACGAGTGAAAGTGGCGGTTCTTCACGCAGGGTGGATACACTCGAACTGCAGTTTTACGGAGTAAATCATATACTATGTACAAAAGAAAACAGTTTGTTACTGTTTATTACACTATTACATGTAAAACCCGATACGAAAAGCAAAGCACAAAAGAAACGCTCAAACTATTATTCGCGTAAACGTTCTTGTTTCCTATCTTTGCGAAAATGCAAGAATTGAAAAAGACGAATTCCGTCCAATTACGGGCTCGAGTACAGAGCCCACCCATTTCGGCCAGAGTTTCTGCAGCAGCCCGCTGACGGCAAGAAAGTCATGCGCAAAAGTAAAAGAAGATAACTAAGAAATTTAGCATAGAGAAGGGTTATAAGATTGCCTCTACAGGGGAGGTCCTTCATGTCCGGCAAACAGAAAAGTTGGCTCAAAGTTAGGACAAAATTCTTTAAGAACTATGCGCCCATCTGACCGACTATCCTCATTTCGCACACTCAAAAAAAGTTACAACTCGGTCATCGTGGAAGAGTCGAAGACATGACACTCTTGAAAAGCGCTGGATTTTTCTTATCTGTTACCGGAATTCGCTGTTCTTTCAAAATGCATAGAAAGGGTTATTAACATGTCTATGCTTACAATGTTTTCAAGTCTCAGCATCAATTTCCGACGGCATCTTTATGCAAATTTTTATGAAGTCCGGCCATCCCGGGAATGTCCGATTTTCGCCCTTGGACAAATGCAATCAATGAGGAGGGAGAGGGCCGCGAGTCGAGAGCAGAGCAAGAGAAAATGCACATGGCCTGAAGCGAGCCGTTGGGCCATTTTTTGCATGTTTTAGGCCGCGCCGACCCCTCGTCTTTTTTTCACCCGCTTTTTCCTTTTTAGGGCGAAAAATATTCACTGAAAAACTGTTGAGGCTCTACTTTTTCCGGACTATAGGTTGTATGTCAATATCTATTAAAAAGTCTATACGGAGTTTCCATGCTTTCCTTTTGATTAATTCCAGATTTAATTGGACTTTAAATATTTTTGGCAAATCCAGTTCAGCATGCTTAGGTGATTTTACTGCTCTTCATATTTAATAAATGATCATTTTCCGTTTGAAAAGCTTTAGAGGGTTGATAAACTACGACTACTATCAGTCTGTGGGGAAAGTAAAGAGAAAAGTCGCTGAATCGCAAAACAATTTGATTTGCTTTTCAATTTCAGCACAATCACAGTGTTATACATAGGGTACAAAAAGCAGAAACAGCTGACTACCTTTTTTATAATAACGGGTAATCGCAAGGTGGGGTTTCATCGCATTTAACTCATTTTTCGTTGTGCCACACTTCACGCGGTCCGGTTTACACATTATACGGTCCAGCGTTTGCTAAATCCAACTTGTGTGTCTTCAACTGACACGTTTTCAAATAGTCACGTTTCTTCGAATTTCCAATGGGGAGATGTCAAATTCAGAGATTGAAGGCTTAGTTAGCCATTCTTTGCGCTGTAATTACACTGTTAGCGGATGAAAATTGAGCCTCTCCTGCTGTAACATGTTGTTTAAAATTCGTCCGCTTGGATATGTACGTATCAGTTGGTATTAGCCTGAAAACTCGATTGTAATTGTCGCGTTTGTTTGGTCTGGAGCCGTCTTTCACTTTTCTTGGGAAAGAATATGGCTTTGTCACATTCTTCAAACATACGAAAATCAAATTCAATTGTCTACAACACTTAGCCAGTTCTGAAACAGTTTTGTTTTTTCCGAACCTTCTTCTCGGCCCGCTCCGACGCCCAACGTCAGCTGCAAAATCGGCGTAGTAGAGGCAATGTCAAACCCAGCGCACCTTTAATTGGTTGGCATGGTGACGGTGGACGTAGAAGAGATTAGGACGACAAGTCGAGTGCGGAATAACACTCTTCATGGCGGTGTCATTCGCGTTGATAATCCGCTCAAACCAGAGAATGCGACTTTTTAGGGCGTTGTATTTCGCGTTTCAAGGAAATGGGAATGCAATGTTATTCTCAGCTCCAAGCAGTGATACCACAGGAGTCATTTAAACATTTCGTAAAGCCCCGGGCAAAACACCATGTAGAAAGATTAGCCGATTATGATAGGTTGCTCCAGGTGCAAAATGTATTTGAAATAGCTTTTTTAAGGGTTGAGAGAAAACGTGGACTTTCGATACAAAAATGCTGGATGTATGGTTTTACTGTAAGAAAGCGGAAAGTTTTTTTTAATTTCGTTGTTGTTTTTTACAGTCTGATAGCTTGCTTATTCCAGATATTCCAACACTTCCGCCTTTAGTGGCCTACAGCTCAAAGTACAGCACAACAGAAAATGTTAACGTCAGATTTCCTTATTGAAGACGTTAATCGGCTACTTTTTCTCTACCAAAGTTCAACAAATAGCTTCAAGAACTCAATAATTATTCCTTCTACCGCGGCAACATGTATTTATGTTACCGTATTTTTCAACAATCCTATGCATGAAACAGTTATTTTTTGTTAAGGCACGCCAATGTTTCTTACCAGAAGAAACACGTAAGGGCGTAAGAAAATTGAGTGCCTTAGCTGAAAATAATTGCCAAACCCAAAATTTGTACTACATGTTATTCTGCTAATGCTACACGACTCGAAAAGGCTCTCGACTAACATAGGTGGGTGAAAAACAGGCTTTTTGTCGTTTCAATGTCCATTTTTCAATTTGTAAGCTCATCAGACGAAAGAAAAAAACTTCGTGCTATAAGACGAGCGCTGAAGGAGGTCTTACTGGTCCCTCCGGAAAGTCGCCGCTGTCGCTCGCACCCTGACTTTTTTCGCACAGTTCAAACGCCAAAAATCAGTCCGGCGACTTTCCGGATGGACTAGTGCAGAACTTTCGAATATCATCTGCTGTATTTAAGGCCCGAAGACCTCTCAATTTTGTTTTATTGACGGAAATACAACGATATTGACGAGTATGAAAAATAATTTAGCTCTGTTGCATCACCAACCCCAGCCAAGACGTTCCCACGCCATGTTGCCGTGTTGTGAGCTGCGCCAAGGCCGATGATGATGGGCGGGTGCACTGGGAGTAGAAGCGGCCTCAGCCAGAATTCGCAAAACCAACGGTCGGCCGCTTAACTGAGGCTCGTGAAGCACACTGAAAGCAAAAGATTATAAGACTTAAAAGTCCATTGGAGTATATTCCTTTGCAGTTTGTCAGAAATTATGTTGAAGTTCGCCTAAGCAAGGTAAAGTGTGTCTATATTTATAAAGCCGGCAAACCCGTGCCTCTAAACAAGTGTCGACTGTATCTTCTTGTAAACAGCAAGTCATACTGAATAACTTTAGCTTGTCTATTACAATGATATCCACAAAAATCACTTTATCAAAAAATTGTGTGGACTCGTCGCATCAAAATATCTCGCTTCATCGTCGTCGCACCTAAGCCCAATAGCTGCAATCGATAAGGGGTGAGCTACGGCCTGAAATTGCAACAACTGTTTTGGTTTTTGAAAATATCATTTTAGTAAATTTAATCTATTTTTAAAAACTTTTTTTTGGCATCAACCTGTTAACCTTTCCGCAAAATCGTCCACTTTAAAACATGTGGTTTCTAATCCCAGACGAACGAACGCATTTTTAGACAACAACACCAAAGCGGCGCTACTATAAATTCGGCGTCCAATTAGGGCGAATTCATATGGAGGGATTAGTTTGCGTCTTCTCCTGAGAAGACTCATCTCATGCACGTGGTATAAGTGCATGAATAGGTAAATGAATATATTAATAGATGAAAAGATGAAAACTGTAAATGAGATAAAAATAGAATAAAAGCGGAGGGAACAGGCTCGATAATAATTCGATAATTTTTTCGTGGAATAGCCGGGGAATTTTTAATAAAGGGAGAAGCTTAGGAATGATATAAGTAGAATAAGATGAAAAAAAATAAATTTTCTTGTGCTTGGAAGCTAAATTTTGAAAAAAAAAACGTAAAAAAAGCTCAATGTAAATATATAGACATATAAGTTTTTATACAAAAGCCATTATGCAACCGCACCAACGGAATGCGTGTTTGCGATTTGCAATCTTAAATCTTTCGCATTCAAATTGCATTAATCTTGAGAAAGAAGTCGCTCAGATCTGACAACCATGTTACTTACCCCCCATGCATCATCATGAAAGGTTGACGGTCGTGCGACGCTCCGCCGCCTCCGTAGGGCGCAACATCACGGCCGTACTCGTCGCTCATCCCGAAGCACATTCCGACCAGCCCGACCAGCAGCAGGGACTGTGTGAATGCAACCGGGCCTCGTTGCATCGGCATCATTGCTCCGCCTACTGGCTTCGAACTTGAATCTTTCTGTCTTTCCGTTTTCGTGTTCTATCCGTCCTTCTGCGCTTTCACAGGCCGCTCTCTTCCTTTCAAACGGTGTTCTTTCTCTTTTTTGGGGACCAAGCACTGAAAGAAAATTGGATGACCAAAGAGAAAAGGTCGCTTCAAGGTGACAAGAAATAATTGAGGGTGATGGGTTGTGAGTATGCCGTAGTATAAAGCAAAAGAGTAGCCAAAAGGATGTTTATAATTGGAAAATCTAATAAGCGAAGTTCTATTTCGTTGCAGACGCGCTTGAGACTGTGATCGCAAAGTTAAAGTTGCAAAAAAAGCACTGACTTGCTTCAGGGAATCTCAAGAAGGCTTTATGGTCTTCTAAACAAATTTTTGCATCAAGTTACGTAACCACAATTCTTCACTATCTTTTTCCTTGTTTGTCCTAGTGATTAGATTTGAAATTGAGTCTTTTTCCAAGACTGTATACGTAATCGCTCCTTTTTTTACTTTTTAAATATAATGCTACTTATAAACAATAATTTGCGGGCTTTTTGCTTATATTGCTAGTGTTTTCTGATGACCTCGAGCGCCAACTGCATTAAGTTTGTTCTCGAAATCCCCGAATTAATTTTCTAACAATAACAAAAACAAGGGTTGAAGGAAGTTCGCTTTTAGGGCCCGGAAACCAAATAAAAAAAGTGTGAAATCCGGGATATGGTAGGCATTTCGTAAACAAAAAACGCCTTGATAATATATTTTTTAAAACGAAAATTTCCGCTGGAAACGTTTATTGGCTACGATTTTTCATCAAGCAGTACTCTGTTCTCCAACTGTTTCGCCGAAATTCGAATCGACTCTTTTCTCCCTTACTCAGATTACTCATGCAATTTTCTTGTATTCCAGCAACATTTGACAAATTTGGTCCTCCTATCACATTTCTATCAAAATGCGTTCTGGGAACGACCTCTTTATAGAGTTTTCTTTGCCCTTTTTTGGGTAGCGTGTGACCAAGCGGAAAATCTCACCCAGCGAGCCCAAATTAGCAAGGGGAAGAAGATCTTTACCGAGTTTGTGGGTGGCCATTCCAAAAAACGCCACCATTTTTAGTGGAACAGCTCGGACGCAATGTGGCCTCTGGCTTGTAGTGCAAAACTTGAACTTTTCCCTAATCGTAAATCCCGATTAAAGATAAAAAATATATATGATAACCAGAAAAAATGCGTAAAAAGTCATCACAGAACCATCTTCTGCTCTCCTATTCACGCATAACTTTTGGCCCGCCGTAATACCGTAAACATGCTGCAGATGCACTATTTCTTAACCCAGTAATCCCAAACCAACGGAAATCCCATGAAACTGAAAACAACAGGTCACGCGATATGTCGAGATGCTAAGGACGTTCAATTCTTGCCCCAGAAATGCTAAATATAGGAAGGGTCATATCCGAAAATTCAACGTAATATTAGACACATCACGTCAATCACATATATCGCATTACACGACGTAGATTATTGTTTTCATAATACTTCCTAGGTCAGAGAATATTCATTCTTCTCGAAGCCAAGGTGTGCATTATATCTCGAACCCCGGAAGGCTTACGGCAAATATAAATCCGACGGGCGCGCACTTGCGGGCAACCACTTTGCGGGCAGCCCCTTTGCGGGCAGTCTTTTGCGGGCAACCACTTTGCTGGCAAAACTTGGGAGGCTACATGAGCTGATGCATTTTCGGGCAGCCGACATTTGTAGGCAACAGGATGAAAAAATTGCTGCGATTGTGGGGGTTTCTTGGAAATCTGCCGACATTTGAGGGCAACAGAAAGAAAGAAACACGTTGATTCTATTGGTGACTCGCCTAATTGTAAGAAGAGTGTTGCAAGCTTATGAGCTAGTCGAGAATCATTCGAGAAAAATTTTATTATCCCGCATCTGTCCGCTGACAATGATATTCATACGAAGCTGCCAATGAGGTCTACATTTGTCCTATTTTTAGGGTCCAATAATTTACTATTTTCCCAATCAAGAAGAACAGAAACGATTTCTCATATCCCTTGATCCATCCATCGGCAAGTTCTATGAGGACCATCCCGACATCGTCGCTTTACAGATGGAACAAACCCCACAAAAGCAATAATAGTCGGATTTCTCGCTGTCTCCTCAACTCCGTTTATTGGGCTATTCTTTCGAAAGCAATTGCTCAACCAACACTTAGGTATTTACTGTAAAAATTCTGCCAAAAACATAAAACGTCGGATTGTATTTTTTAATAACAGCCGATAACAACGTGATCAAGCGGTACCGCGTGTATCTTATAAACGAGCTAACACGGTAGGCAGCATATCCCCTTGCATTTCCATTCCAATTAAGATCCTCAATGTTCGACTCAATGGCCAGTTAAATCGGTGCAATTACGATCTTTGCGCTGCCTTGTTACTATGGTATAATATTAATGTGACAAATAAACTCCCGCATTCGCAGTAGACCACATTTTATTATTGAATCCGTGATACTATTAATTATGAAAGTTTGCTCAATTTTCTATCAATTGGGACTTATTAATTCGATCTTTGGGAGCTGCCCGACTAACAGGGCGGACGGACACAAAAGATCTCGCATTATCGAGAGAATCCGAGAGAAACCGCTCCTCTTTTTCCAAACCCGGGAGTAAGTATGAAACTTACAGAGCTTATAGAGTACTGTCAGACCTCGCAGGCATTTACTGCAACCTCTTGTTTTGGTACCCAGCTTCCCTATGCCCTGTATCAATCCGTTTTGTGCCGACCCGAACTGTCGTCGACCCGAAAAGTCGGGACGCGCCTGATACTATTATACATCTCGAGCTAACAAGATTACGACACGAACAAAGAACCAAAGAAAAAACAAACCCCCGTCATACCCTTCCGATTTCCTAACGCCGGCATCTTCGAATATCAAGGATCATCGTGAGACAGAATAAAAATAAAAGCTTGGCAGTAACCGACATATCGAGTTTCATAATTCCCGGGATGTCGCTGGGAACGAAGGTGTGCAATATAAATGGAAGAAAATGTTTGATGCGGACACCAATTGTATGAACAAACACGGCATGAACAGTGGGAGTAAGGAAGTGCGGGAATGGTTAAAGCAGAAGAAACAGTTGGTCACGCCAAGGCGAAGCTCAGCTGACCGATGCAGGAGATATTAAAGCAAATAAAACATAATAAAAATACAACAAACCCAAAAATACGCTTTGAAGAGATTTATAGCCTGTATAATGAATGCTAAAAACATGTCTGCCGTTTTTTCCTAATAACTTTTTGGTTTTTAACCTCATATGTCATCCGATTTTCGTTTTTTGCACCTAAAAACTGCAAAAAAATATGTGGGGTTGAGTTCGATGTCGCTAGCACAATATAACTCATCATTGGACTATGTATCTCTTTTGGGCTTTCAAAACGTATTTTAAAGATGACATTTCAACGCAAACAAAGATCGACATTTTATACGAGCGGGAAATTTAAATTTCAAAACGGCGACCTGCGCCCACAGTTTTTGCCGAGATTCGACCGAAAGTCGGAACTCGCTTTTCAATCGATAATTTTGGAGCAAAATATCGACAAGAAATTGCTACGTCAAGTCCATGACGCGTCAAATTCGTCAGTTATTGGATGGAAGGCGTTTTTCCCGCGTGTTTGCATCATTTTGGGTAATATGTTACAAATTTGGCTAATTTCAGTGAGCTCTAACCTAAGATGAACTTCCGAGGCCGAGCTGGCTCCACTCGAGGCCTTTTGAAACACTTGCCAGGCACTCGGCCCGAAGTATCCAGCAGTTCAAGATTTTCAACCCAAAACTTCGATCCTGATCGAGAAAAGGAGAAACCTGCCGATGGATTTGGTCAAAGCAGCGGATTTAGTGAATTTGATCGGGCCCCGCAGACAAGTGAGTTTTGGGTTGTTCTTCGATTGAACCGTCAAGTTTTATTTGTTGTTTGGCTTTCTTTCGCTATGCATCTTTTTTGGGGGTGTGTATGGTGTCGAACATCTTATTTCCAGGATCTATTCCGAGTTCCAAGCCAGAGGAGGACAAAAAGAATGTTACCTTCACCAAGGAACCGGCAACACAGTTTGGTGATGTTGGAGAGTCATTCAATACATCCCGATTCGACACTACCGCACTCATTGAAACACTTCCCAGTCCTGTGAGCACATTTGGAGCTGGCGACGGATTTACTAGTAAATTTGCATCGGGAATATTGGGAAAAGAGGTTGGTGGATTTGAAGCCACGGGTGCTCGAAAACAAGAAGCCCAACCGATCCGTTCGACTGTACCTGATAGTGGTGCTTTTGGTCCCAAGAACGACGCATTCGCGGAGGAAGAAATGGCCTTGCCAGCAAAGTTTACTGAGAGTAAAAAGAACGGAAATGGCGGTGGTTTTGAGGCCAATCTTGGCGGATTCGGAGGCCAAAATCAAGGCCCAAGTGGCGGTGGTTTCGGTTGCGATGGTGGTGGTTTTGGAGGCCAAAGTCAAGGCTCACATGGCGATGCCTTCGGAGGTATGTCCAAGATTCTTGCGTTGTTTTTCCATGTTTTAGGTGGAACAAAGGGATTTGCCGAAAGACTCGCGGAAAAGGAGAAGGTCGTTGGATTTGGCTTGGCCGAGGATGATTCGACGTCTGGTAAATTTGAATGTGGTTATACGCCCGGCTTTGGTGGTGAACGTGACCGAGGGAGTTATAACGGACGAGGAGGAAGTCAGGGATTTGGTAGAACAGAAGGAAGTCAAGGAATCGGCGGAAGAGGAGGAGAAGGAAAAGAATTTGATAGGGAAAGTAAAGGGTTTGGAGGAGGAAGCAAAGGATTCGGTGGAGAAACCGGAGGATTTGGAGGAGAAAGCAAAGGGTTTGGAGGAGGAAGCAAAGGATTCGGTGGAGGAAGCAAAGGATTTGGTGGAGGAAGCAAAGGATTCGGTGGAGAAACCGGAGGATTTGGAGGAGAAAGCAAAGGATTTGGAGGAGGAGGCAAAGGATTTGGAGGAGAAAGCAAAGGCTTCGGTGGAGAAAGCAAAGGCTTCGGTGAAGGAAGCAAGGGATTTGGAGGAGAAAGCAAAGGATTTGGAGGAGGAGGCAAAGGATTTGGTGGAGAAAGCAAAGGATTTGGAGGAGGAAGCAAAGGATTCGGCGGAGAAAGCAAAGGATTTGGAGAAGAAAGCAAAGGCTTTGGAGGAGAAAGCAAAGGATTTGGAGGAGGAGGCAAAGGATTCGGTGGAGAAAGAAAAGGATTTGGAGCAGAAAGCAAAGGCTTTGGGGGAGGAGGAAACGGTGGAGGTGGTGCTTTTGGGGAAGGAGGCGGTTTTGGGACCCAAAACAAAGGATTCGGAGAGGATAACGGTGGTAAGGACGCTGGCTTTGAAGGTCGTCCGCCGCGACATGCTACGGGTGCCAACTCCGACTTTGGTGGACGTCGGGTCGGAAGATCTGGTGGATTTGGCGGTCCCCCTCCTGGAAATGCCTTTGGAAACACCAATCGTCAACAGCGAATGCAAAGTGATGGGGGATCTTCTACTGGATTCGGGGACCAAAAGAACGACGGTTTCGGTGGTAAGTTTTTTGGTTTGTTTTTTCGACATTGTTTTAGGTTTTGGCTCCGAAAACAAGGGAAGATTTGGATCCGGACCGAAGATGGAGGCCGGTCAAGGGCTGGGCTCTGGACTCCGTCCCGGCGATATGCCAGTTGGTGGAGACGACGATAAGGATAAAAATCATCCATTTGTCCCCGAAGAACGGGGTATCGATGAAATCTTTGGTGAAGATAAACTAGTCCAGAATAGTTATCAGCACATTTTTGAGGACGATGAGCCAATTCTTGTGGAGGGACTGCAAGAACCGCCTCTTATTGTTGAGTAAGGTTTTTCAATCGGTTATGTCGGAACGTTTCAATTTTTGAAGAGTTTGTTTTTTCCAGGAGATGGTCCGACGTTAAATTGAATGCTCAGCTAATGAAGAATATCGAGAACTGCGGATATGTGAAGCCCAGAATGATTCAATCTTACGCAATTCCACTCATTTTGGAGGGTATGTTGGTTTTTCGATGTTTTTTTTGGATGTTTAGGTTGACAGAGCGAAGAAAATGAACTGGAAATTTAGGACACGACCTCAAAGCCCAAGCCGAAACAGGTAGCGGCAAGTCGGCCGCCTTTCTCATCCCAATTGTCAACGAACTGGCCGAAATGGGAGAGGCAAAACGTGCGGATCGCGGTAAAAACCAGCCGCTTGCCCTCATCATCGAACCCACCAGAGAATTGGCAGTCCAACTCTACGAACAGGCCCGCAAATTGGCCCACGGAACTGGAGTGACCTGTTGCCGCGCTTACGGGCAATTCCAAACGACGGCGAACGCGCAAGAGATCTTCCGCGGTTGCGACATTTGCGTCGGAACTCCTGGCAGATTGAAACATTTTATGATGGACGGCACTCTCTGTGGGTCCAAACTCAAATTTTTGGTTCTCGATGAAGCGGATCGTTTGTTGAGCGAGGGATTCCCGGAGGAGATTGATGCTATTCTGCAGGTCAAAACGTTCAGAAAGGTGAGAAAAATGTTTGGTTAAATAAACTGTTAGACACCTCGAAATTGATTCTTGTTTTAGTCATGCAAGTTTATGTAATTTTAGAGGGAGGACCGCCAAAATCTTTTCTTTTCGGCCACCTTCAACGATGAGGTCGAGGGCATCGCTTCAAGCATGCTTAAACCGGAGAAGGTCTTTGTCCACTGTAAGAGTTTGGTGGCTGCCAATCATCGTGTTCAACAGTACTTTTATGAGTGCGCCGGCAATGACAAAAAGGATTACGCTGTCAAGATTATTAAGGAAATACTGGCGGAGTACAAAGGTAAGAAGTTTAATATTTTTTGGATTGAATTTTTAGATAAAAATGGCCCAGGCTCTCCCAAACCGAGAATCTTGCTCTTTGTCCAATACAAACGCACTGCCGACATCTTGGCGTTCTTCCTTTGCGCCAACGAAATGAATGCCCTCTCGTTGAACGGGGATCGTCCCCAACAACTTCGGGAACAAGCTCTGCTCGAGTTCCGTCAAAGAAAATGCACGCTCCTCGTCACGACTGATGTCTGTGCTCGCGGAATTGACATCAAAGAATTGGATTATGTAAGTGAAAGCATTTGGGATTTATTGTTCAAGGTTTAGGTTGTGAATGTCGACCTTCCAAAGGATATTATCACATACGTCCATCGTATTGGTCGCACTGGTCGTCTTCAAAAGGGAAAAGCCATCAGCTTGTTTGACCCCAGCAACAGCAATGACACCGAGTTGGCCCCGGATTTGATTAAGGTAAGATTTGGGTTATAGGATCGCCAAATTTATTATTTTGGACTACATTTTTTTGTGTTTAGCTCCTCAAGGACAGTGGCCTCCCTCCTCCGGACTTCCTGGTCAGCGCTGGCGACAACTCCGTTTCCCAGTTTCATGAAAACAGCAATGCTACAGGTTTCGACGCGCCCGCTGAAACTTTTGGCGCAAAAGACGATTATAATTTCTAAACGTTTTGGTCTAATATTATGTTGTTGTAATAACCCTTGGCTCTTTGGACGGGAGTTTTCCTACTAGAACGTCCTTTATTTTGGTTTTCAGTTGTCTTATTTTTTTCGAAAATAATGTTTTATGTCCCGAAGGTGCTTTGATTTTTCACGATGCAAAGATTTTTTTGTTCTAATATTTTTTCTCATACATTCATCCTAATAAAGTAGGGTTTTGTTGGTGAGGTTTGGGTGATTTTAGGTATAATTGCCAGAACAAATGTTATTTTTTGAACGTTTGTTCTAATGGAGGAGAATAATTCATTTATTTTGGGCGAAAAGTAAGGTAAAGAGAATTTTTCGGAAAACAACAAATTTTGATAAGACAAGAAGTGCCCAAATTCGTGAAATGGGACCTCCAGAGTTAAGCACAGGTTTTCGTCGAGTTGCATATTCAAAGACGTCGACAAACAGACCCGCAGGAAATCGAGACGCTCCAAGAATATTTGCATAATTTTATGATGTCTTATCAACGCACAAATAGTATTCGGCTAGCAATAACACTTCTCCTCTTCCTGCCCTCTGGCTATTTGAGAGTTTTATGCGGGTTGATTACGAATATTCTCCCTTCGTTTCACGAGGTGAAACTGAGAGGTCGAAGGGAAACTGAGTCGTTTTTTGCGAAGAAAACAAAAATAAAGTGCGAATTCGAAGCGTAAAGTGATATGGATCAAAGTTTCAGGGCGATTTTTTTCGAGTTCGTAATTTTAGGTGAGAGGTACAACGTTTTTGATTTTTTAATGAAAGTTTCGATTTTTTCGAGTCGATTAGAATCTTACCGTTGAGGGCGAGTTGGCCAAGTCTGACCTGTCATGAGCAAGTTTAACCGAGGCTCATGCCATTCAAATATGAGCGGTAATACTAGTCCTTCCGGAAAGTGGAGGACTGAAATTGGCGGCACGCACTGTTTCGAAAACAAAATTGTGTCTGCACTGTGCAATATCTTGATTTTTGCACCGTACAATGGGTTTTTTTTCGGCTGTCGCTCGCATCCTGACTTTTTTTGTGAAGTTGCCAAAAATCAGTCCGGCGAATTTCCAGGAGGGCTAGTGTTAATTTGGTGCACTCGCTCTCAACCGATACGATTCTTATTGACTCCAAAAAATTAGAAACTTTCCGAACTCTAATTTAAATTTCGAACAGTTTGAAGTTCCCCTCGCGCCTCTTGGAACAAAGAAAATGCCGACATACTTTTCTGTTGCATAAATCCCCCCTTGAACCTTTTGAATTCGTTTTGTAATGGCGGTTATCAGAGGCCCGTGAAAGGAGGCGATGGAAGAAAACGAATCCAAAATCATTAGTCATTTCCCGAAGCCTTTTGAATTTTTACGTCTTTTCGCAGAGCATACATGTACATTCGCAGTCATTTGCATCATACTTTGTTTAGTCAGACTGGGCAGAAATGAGGAGTGTCAAAAAAGTTCTATTTTTTAATTTTGAGATTTTTAGTCGATTTCTGATTTTTTCGACGATTCCTGGCGGTTCGAGGCTTTATATGAAGAATTTTGTTGTCGAGAAAGAGCCTTTATCTGCATTTCAGAACGATGAATAAGTAAAATACAGGTGTTTTTGCTGTTTGCTTTGTGACAAACGCATGGAAATTTTAATTTGAAAGTTGGATTTTATGCCGGAAAACTCAACTTTCACTCTTGAGTCGTTGAAACAGTTGCGGATTGGAGATCAAGTCCTTGTAGTAAGTTGCTTAAAGTATGGTCTTAAAATATGTCATCAATGGAATTTTATCGTCAACTTTTTCGAGTTGCGATGCTCAAATTTTCTAAAAAATGAGCGTGCTTATTCTAAAATATCTATGAAGAAGTTTTTGATTTCTACCACCTTAGGCTCTCACTGATGTCAATGTGGAAGTGAAGAACGTCGTGGAGGTCTTGGATCTTGTGATTGACATAGTTATTTGCGTGGTTTATGGCCTAGCAATTTTAAGCTGCTTGCTGATCCTTCTATTATTCTTGTTGTACCAAAGACAACGTCGCAAGGACAAGAACTTGGAATGGTTGGAAGCTCAGGAGCAGGAGTCTTTAGTGGACTTGGAAGATCCTTTGGAAACCGTATGAGGGCAGAGTGGATGAGCAACAATAGAAGTGTAAACTATGTGAGTTTTGACGCCCTCCTTCAGTCGACTTGAAGTCAAATAAAGGCGAAATGTCCCTTGTTAGATTTAATTGAGAGATAACGAAGATATAGATCAAGGTTTTGTGAGACATCTTGTTCCGGACGAAGCGATAAACTTGTTTCTATTGTAAAATTTTAAAGATATTAGAGCTTCCCTTTATGATCGATTCAAATTCAGCAGACGCATCTCTTCAACTACCAATTGGAACAGATCAATAATCGACTGACTCAACTTTCAACTCTCGTCGTTTTCCTAATGGCAGGTCTCAGTTTGTTCTTGTTTCTGTTGGCTGTTTTACTGGGATTCTGTTTGTGGATACAATGGAGGAAGCGAAAGCGCTGGACTCGCATGGGTTTCTACAGAAGGGATTCGATTTTGCAGCAGCATCTGTTGAAAACTGACCAAAACAATAAAGATTAGTTTTACGCATGTTGGAAGTTTGAGTTTACCGTGGTTCGGGCCACTGAGATATTTGATTTCGGAGCATATTCTGTTGTAACAGCATTTTTATTAATTCATTTTTTAGTTCACAAAAGATGACTAAATTTTGTTAGCTGAAACATATGTTAACGCCGATCCAAATCACATATCATGTCTCTGGACTCGGTAGGTGTGTGTTTTTGTCGACCGAATGCTTTCCAGATCCTCAACAGTGTTGATCTTCTGCTAATCGACATCTCCGATAACCTCAACCGCCTTTTGACTACTCTAACAATTTTTATTCCTGTGTTTGTTATCTCCTTTGCCATTCTCGTTGTTCTCTTGATCCTAATCATCATTTTCACCATGGTCCTTCAGTGCAAAAAATACCAGCGGGTCGAATCACTGCGTCGGCGGAGTGTACCGTCGATTGAAAGTCCGCAATCTAGTCGGACGGATTACAAGCGCGTTTCCTCACCTGTTGAAAAGTTGGTTGTAGAGGCGAAATAAATAAGTATGAACTTTTAGCTTTGTTTCACTTTATTTTTAAAAGCGCTAAAATTGGAACCAGCAATATAAGTGATATGAAAGGATAACAAGCTTGGCATTCTTGGTACATATTTTGGATGGAAAAAGTCGTGGGGCTTCATCACGCGTTTAGCGGTCCTTCAAATTCTCCGCTGACACCAGCTTCAACTTTACTGATCTCTTGACAGGGGCAATCTTGACTTGACAGACGCTTCCTCACCCTTCACAAGCACAGCGGCACGTTTTTGAGAACCGTCATCTTCAACAGAATCAAAGGCGTCAATTTCAAGCTGGATTTCCACCGACGTGTCGAGGTACGGTTTTAAATTGGGAACCCAAATTACTCTTTGTTTCAACGGCATCGTACCACTATTACTAAGTACTCCATTAAAGTAGCGAAAACATCATAATCTCATAGCAGTTACGCATTTCATACAACTACTTATTTTTTTGGCATTCAAAGCTTTCCTCTGCCGGTTCAAATAAACTAAAAATTTCGGGAATTACATAACAAGCAGCACCATTACCAGACTTAACAAGATTATGCGACTACAGTTTTATGAAAATTGGATTTGCAGGACAACAAATCAGGAAGTAATCATTTTCCTTTCTTTGTTTATTCGATTTGAATACCTAGTATCAAGATTACATGATAATAAAGAATTACGCAATAAAACGGCTAGGTAGCCGTCATTGTGGGTATTCTGGTTATCTGGCTTTTTGAGTTTGTTAGCATTGAAGTTGCCACCTCCTTTTGTCGTGTGAACGTGTTAATCGTTGCCATTCTCAGCTCATTGTGTAATGTGATGTAGACTATGGAGTTACAGACCCCGCCAAGTAGCAGGCCGACAATGTAGAAAGGCCCGAGCTTGGCGAAGAGGTTGACTCCGAAGTAATCCGCCACGCCCACTAATGAGCTGGGGATGGCGTGAAAGATAACCGAGATGATTATCACCGCCATCGTTAGACGGTTCGCCTAAAAGTACGAATTTGGTTTTCGGAGTACTGTCGCGAAGAATAATATAATCAAGCTTACGAAAAATGTTTTTCCGCAAAGGTCTACGTAATGTTTTTTTTGGTTGAAAAAACAAAGACTACATACCTGTCTTTGGCCCCGTTCGTTGCTGCTTTTAACAAGAATGGCGTTAGTGTTTGCGGATGTAATCATCTTCAACTTGACACCCAAAACCAGCGTTAGCAGCAGCATTACCAGACTTAACAACTAAAAAAAATCTTGTTAAGTTGCGGTTCTTCTAAGCAAAAATCTAATAAAACGTTAAGCTTGCCATATTGCTTGTCCCCCAGTACCGTCTGTAATCCAGGCTGTTAAAGCAACCGACTGCAGCGCAGCCAGGGTTATGCTGGACGGGATCCATACTTAGCTCGAGAATGCAGTCAAAGGTTCCCCAACCAACACCAATAAGGATTGTTGACGCAACATAACTCTTGTTGCTCTGCCTTTGCCGGTAGCGTGTTGAGAAGAACAGGGCCTGAAAGAATTTATTGTTATTCGGAGTGTCAAAAAACGGCTTGAGGAATGCCAAGGAACGAGTAATGTTTACCTGACAGCGATCTAGCGCAATCCCAAGGCTAATGATTAAAGTGATTTTGTATTGCAGGGTAAGAGGTAAGCTAAGCTTTACCACGAGGATTCCGTCATAGTCCAGGCGGTCTGGATGCCAGTAAGCTATGTAGTAGATCATGTAGGGAAATACTAAAGTTTTGGAAATAATTTTTGTCATTCATGCAGAATCACTCATTCCAACATAACGCTTACTTACCAGCGATGGCAAAGACTAAGTCTGTAATGCTCAGCATCCAGAGCATTTGGAGGCCGTGGATCTTACGCAGTCTATTTCTTCTAAAATCAACTTAATTTGGTTGCAGCACCCACTTTAGGAACAAATAACTGATAAATCCGTTTCCGGTGATCGAAAGAATCTGAGATATCACGATAAAAATGTTTTCTCCCATCAGGAACGTGTTGTACGCCGCCATGTCTTCTGCTGTGTCCGTGGAATCATTGGTCATGACCACACGAAAGCAGGAAGGACCAAGAATAGACTAACGCCCGGAACGAGAAGCTGCAAGAAAATTGTAGTGAGTTGTGAAATTTTACAAATAAATAAACCTGGAGGCGGAGAAGAAAAGGAATAACATGGTACCACGAACTCACCTACGGTAGTCCTCTGGTTGCGCATAATCGTAATGGAAAGGCGACAAAGAACGATAGTCTAGAAGCGAAAAATGCCATAAAAGCAAGAACATAAAGTTTTGCGATAATTAGGTTTGTCCTGTAACGCCGAAACAAATAAGGTTAAGTATGTATTAAGTATTACCAATGATTACGGGAAATGATGGAGGCTAGAATTCTCAAAACTTTGAAATAAGTTGGCATTGCCAGCAAAATAATTAAAAAATTTGCTTTTTTGTATTCACAGTGGAAAAAGCTACAATATGCAAAAAAATCAACAAATTTCATTTGTGCGTGGACACGAATAAGAGCGTTTCTGATGTGACATTCTGCTCTTCAATTGAAAATTAAAACACGAGTGTAAAAGCGCATGAAACAAGTCGATACAATTGTCCTTCAGTTATGTTATATGTCATACTCTAATTTCATAGGTCTGATAACGGCATGGGGTAAAGGTCCTCCGAGGCTCCGTCGAACAGGGGTAGAATGGCCGAAGGCGTGTTGCGACGCCCTGAAAGTCGGATCAAACTTCCTGAATGCCAAAATACAAAACTCGCTTCAACAATCTGACCAATTCTTAAATCAAACTACGAATTTTTGAACAAGGTTCAAGAGCTGAACTTTTCAATCTTGCCGCTTCCAACTTTGTCAGTTAATTTTGTCCCGCAATCTCTAGTTTACTGAGACCTGTGCAACCAAACTTTTAACTTACAAGAGGAAAAAAGAACAGTAAAAAGTCGACCGTAGCCTCCGACTTTCCTAAGTGTTTATTTTGGCCCCAGTACGTGAAAAAGTTACAGAAGGCGAGCTTGGTATGTAACGAAATACATAAATACATATATCATGTTGAAATTCCGTTTTTAAATTTGCAATTCTCACGAATTGCGAATACACCAGTAAATGCGCAAAACCTTAAAGCCAAATAATTATTTCTAAAGTAGTTTCGAAGACAGCTGATATGGAAAGTTCAAATTTATTTGTGACTACAATAAGTTATGCATACGTTTATGTGGACGTACTGTCTGCCAAAACGTGTTTGTATCATGTGAAGATAGATTGTTATGGTCAAAACTCGATGACAGAAAGGTGCTTTAATAAAAGTTTATTTATGATTCAAACATCACCGAGATAACAATCATTTAACGCTGTATTAAGACTATTGCAATGTGACAATTGCTTTTATCGCGTATTTACAAACAAATTGATTTGTGTCAATTCACACACTTGGTCTCCCTGGGCTTTTTTAGGCAACCTTTGCGACTCGAACTTTCCGAAGAGGCGCTCGTCGCAGGCGGGCCAGGTTCATTTTGGCTGGAAGATGGTTTCACGGTATGAGAGAAAACGACTTACGATAAGCTGGAGGAGGTAGGAGGGGCGGCAGTTTTGGCGCATCGTATGATGGTCCTGGATTGTAAGATGGTGGCGGTGGTGGAGGTGGAGGTGGGGGTGGCGGTGGCAGGGGAGCATATTGTGGTGGAGGGGCGTACTGCGGCGGTGGTGGCGCGTATTGCGGTGGAGGCGCAGCATAACTGGGTGGTGGCGGCGGTAACGCGTAAGATGGAGCTGGCGCAGGCGCGGGAGCCGCTGCGATTTGCAACGGAGCAACCACATAGCCCACTGGTTGCGGGGCGGGCGCACCACAACCACAGCTTGGAGCAGGCGCTGGCGCTCCGCAACCACATGGAGGTGGTGGAGGCGGCGGAGGAGGAGGTGGCGGAGGTGGAGCACAGCAAGGCGGAGGAGGCGGCGGCGGAGCGCAGCATGGAGGTGGAGGAGGAGCGCAACATGGAGGCGGAGGCGGTGGAGGCGGTGGTGGTGGAGCACAACATGGAGGAGGCGCTGGTGCAGAGCTGAAAAATTGGTAAAAATATTGTCTGTGGAAAGGGGTTTTTAAAATTTTTGTAGAGGAACGAAAATTACTCATCAATTGGAATACTAAGCTTGGAAAAACAAGACCAGCACAACCTACCAACAACAACATCCCCCTCCTCCGCCGCCCATCGGCGGGAACAAGAAAGCCCTCGTCGTCGACGCCAGCAACGATATCACAACAACCCTCAGCATTCTGAAGCAGGACTGTAGCTCTCCGGTTGCAGCCTGACGGATTTTATACCTTTTATAACTTACATCATCACTCCATCTCCGCCCCGAAAACGGCGGTTCAATGCACTCGCGTTGCAGCGTCAACGGCTCACGCAGCGAGCTATTTTTTTGGGGTGCTCATGTTGTTGTATCAGAAAATTTCCCTTTCCGTTTTCACGTTCCCCCCTCTACGAAAACGGATTCGGAGTTGAGTAAAGAAGGAGGTAATCAACGAAACCACCGAACAGAGTCAATTTATCCTCGTAATTGCAGATGGGTTTGTTCCCAAGGTCGAGTGGGATCGGATGTTGAAGTAGGTTGGTTCAAAAGCAGGAAACATTGTGTTCATGATTTTTCCAGAGGAAAGCAAAAGTACTCAAAAAAAGTCAGATGTTGGAGATAGTTATGATAAGATCGAGAGTAAAAAAAAAGTGAGGAGCGATGGAAGTATTAATATTTAACGGAGCTTGGTACAAATATAGACCAAAGCTTTTCAATTTTACATATGAAAATACTGACTTGCGCACGCGATTTTTAGGCAATCTTGAACATCATCCGGCACTTCTTTGCAAACTTTGGCACGAGAAACTGAGGTCATTACCGCAGAAGACGGTGACGTTTAAATAGAATATTTCGTGGAGATCATTCAATTTTTGCTAAAAAATGAAACGGCTTTTACTTTCAATCTAAATATCTTTTTTCCCATTACAGCACGTTTTTTGCCTTCGGTTACGATAAAAGAGAAAGTGCAAAGAAAAGAATGACTACCACCCGCGATGGTAACAATCCAGTTTGTTTTTACAACGCCTCGCGGCTGGAGATGTCGTATACGTGTAAGCTGAACGGTTTCTTCGGATTTGTTTTGCAGGAAAAAACACACAAAAATAACTCTGACGATTTATGGCTAAGGAGGTAATCATGGCTGTACGACTTGGTCACATAAATTGCTAACAAAATAGCTTTTTTAGTTATCATAAATGCATCGTTTTAATGACCCTAGTTTCCATTCGCTAGGTTGTGTCTGCTCGTTTCTTGCCTTCTCAAGGGTTGAGAGGCGAGCGATTGAATGAGAAGATTATTAATTACTGGTTTTATTTGAGTGACAATTTGCATTATTTTCGCGTGGGTTTGATTCATGGATATACAAAATAAATTTTATTGGAATAACCACTTGCATTGGGTAACTGCAACGAAATCAATGTATAAAATTATGAATAAAAACTTTCTTTGAAAGTGAATCGTTTCCTGTCCTTTTTGTGACGATTTCAAAGCGTTTAAAAATACATTTTCTGGATGACGTTTAAGTCTGGGCAGGTCGAATTTACGGCTTGAAACCTATTACCCTATAATGGCTACAAAAGGTTGGACCGAAAGCTACATGATTAGGCTCCCAATCCAACACTTTGGTCGGTCGTTGATAAGATTTTGACCGCATGCCACCCTTGAGTATCTATAAATTAAAAACATCTTTAGAGAATCGTACGAAACCGCTGGATAAAACGGCGTCCATAATCAAACTTGAATATCTTTTGCCACCAGAAACAAGTTTCTCCCGCCGACTGATCAGCATTGAAGCCAAGTCGATGCATTTTGCGAGGCATCTACTTGCGTTATCTAAAGAGTTGCTGCTCTGAGACGAGTATCTTTTGTTACTGCTTTCACTTTTTACTACGGGGAGCAGAGGCATATATATTCTCGAATTTTTTGGATATTAGCTGGCGGCAGGATTTTCCGGGGGATTTCTCTTCCTGTACCATGTTGCAACACAAAGTAAAGAGGATACTCGGAAATTCTCTGTACCTCCGGGTTTTTCGTGTGCTGGAAGTCCTTCGAAGGAAGAACAGAAACTCGAAGTTTGTATTTTTGGGTTTCTTCCTGTTCGTTGTGTTTGTGGAAATGTTTGTTCTCAATGGAAACAGCGAAGCGGCTCTTCTAGACGATATGAAATTAAATTCTGTTCCTTATAAGGAAAACTACTGTGTAATTTACAACTATATATCTCCCAACATGACCTACAACGGAAGTGTAACCTTTGTGACGCACAGCGATGTACACTACTTGGGAAACCTGGAGACATTGGTAAGTTTTTTATATACAAACCGTATTGTGCTTTTCGTAAAATTAAAATCAGTGGAACATATTCGTTTACAGACAAGGTATTGGGATGGACCGATTTCAATCGGGATTATTGTTGATCCTCCGCAACAGAACGCTTGGAGGTCAAAGGGTTTCGCATCCAAAAAATTCGTCATGGCTCTCTCCAGGCTCGATCTTCTCAGTGCGTCCGTATTGGTTGGGAAAGTCACCGCGCATCTTGTTTATCCAAAATCCGAGACGTCTCCGTGCGGTCGAATACTCGTTGACGAGAGCGTGTTCTCCAAGGATATCAACTATATAGGCCGATACTTCCCCGGGAACCACAAGAGGCACCGCTATCCAATAAATGTGTTGAGGAATGTGGCGCGGATTGGGCTTACCTCGCCAATCTTTATGTCGTCCGAGTTGGAGGAGATTCCGTCGGCGCATTTTGCAGAAAGAGTCAAAGACTTGGCTTTGAATGAGTTCTCCAGGTGAGTCACAAGACCGGAGATTGATGAAGCCGTGTCATATATATAGTCGCAATAAGTAGGTAATTTCAGAAATAGCAAAACAGCTTTGATTTACCGAAAGTTCCAAATTGCCAAAGGCCAAGTCGTTCCGCAGATTAAGAGCGATTTGATAGTAAGCAGTCAACTTTGTTCACAGAATATTTCATAATATTTTTAGCACATGTTTAATGTTGAGAGAGCAGCGGAGTTCAAGAACTACACCACCACAAAAGCCCACAGAATTCCAATGGTACAGGAGTGGATGACGGTTCCAGAGAACTTTAACAAGTCGAGTGTCTTTATGGTAAAACTTGTTTTTGAGTTTGTAATGTTATCTATAAGTTGAACGTTAAAACTACAATTCCATTTAGAATCTCACATATATGGATCCAACATGGGAGCCTCGTTTTGTTGGCTACAATAGGACGGTTCCACTGTACGACGACAGTTTCATCCTTGGGTTAAGAGATCAGACCGAGCTCGTCTACGAGATGTGCCTAAACGGGTTCGAGTTTAAGGTCCTCAACGATCTTTTCACTTCAACAGTGGGGATTCAGCAGCAAATGTCAAGCGAAGAATTAAACATTCTCAAGAATGGCGCAGGATCAGAGCATGGAATGGTAATTATTATAATTAAGTCCGCCTTTTTATCCCGGAAGGGTCTTACATTATAACTCACAAGATTTCCGTTTCAGCTGGTCGAGGAATACACAAAACGACTCTCCAAACAATTCCCCGATCTCAACGAACGATGCGGCATCTTCAAAGCCGACGATCAGTTCTATTATCATGTAAATTAAAGAACAATTCAATGCCCTCGGTTAATAAATTATTTATTATGCACATCAAAAATTTCTAAATACATTTCTTTGGCTTGTTGTTTCTCGTTTACTTTTTTTAAACTTCATGGCTTGTCCTGAATCAATTTGGGCATAGACGTTATAAGATTTTACAGGATGCCATGGTTTTAAATTTAGCGTTACAAAAGAGACCTGTGTAACCTACTCGGTTAAAATATTCTACAGTGAAAGTGTAACTGAAGTGTATTCCTTGTTGTTAAAGAAGCAAAACCCAAACGCTTGTTTCTAAAAAATTTATCTCTGAAATTTCAATGAGAAAAAAATAGCTTAACGAATACTTTATTGAAGTATTCGTTAATTGTGGTCTGTGGCAGAAACTCCTTCTGGAACCCCAATCGCCTTTGGTGTACGTAGAACGGTCTGTTGACTTGAACTTGGTGGAGGTACCCCGGCCTTCTCTTTGGGCGGATTTTTAGTCTGAGAGTCAAGCTGTTCCTGCTGGTCTGTAAGAGTTTCTCACACGGCAATACTAGCTTACCAGCGTTATTTTCACGTTCATTAGCCCTTTTTTTGCTCGAGTCTTTGGTCTCTCCTGTCATGTCCACCGGTTTCCCGATTGCTGGGCGAGGTGGTGGAGCCTTTGCACGTCGCTTTGTTCCATTTGCACCGGCTTTGGGTTTTTGATGCTTGGGAGCGGGTTTAGAGATCTTCTTGTCTAAAAGTACGCCGAATCTTAAGGCAGTCATCGTTAACTTACCTTTCTCACCTTTTCCTTTCTTGCTCTCCTTCTTGTTTGGTTTTAATTTGCCGTTTGATTCATCAGCTGGATCTTGATCAGGCTCGGCGCTTCGTTCAGACGAATTCAGCTGCCCAGACAACTGTGCCAGACGTTCGTTCATTTGCCTCGTGTAGACAATGATGTAAACCAGAAGCGGCATCTGAACTACCAAGAAGGCCAAAGCCACGCAATCTCTGAAGAAACATGCTAAAAATCGCACAAGCACTTACACTGAGAAACGGAGATCGAGGACAATGGCGACAGCAATCGTTGCAACCGCAATGATGAGAAATGTCAGGCCAACGAAAAAAGAAATAAGAACATTTTTGAGAGCAGACCCTGTCATGAACAACCGGAAACGGTAGAAAAGTGGAAAATCAAGAACGGAATGAAAAGAAATGTGTGTTTTGTTGCCAGATAGAATATTTTAAAAAAAAATCTCTTTTGTCACCGCAATTGGTTTAAGATATCTGTTGTTAGCCAAAACATATTTTTAGACCTGATTATTGACTGTTCATTGCAACACCACTAATTCGGCGGCGCACAACGAGTCTACATAATGGCTTATTCAAAGAATTTTAAGAATTCCGTTTTCCTGAACATTGACGGCTACTTTCGGCACGAGAAAACAACGTTCGCACTCATTTGACCGAGCTCATACGGCACCGCAACTCAAGCTTCAGTCATTACTCTGGAAACTATATGAAAACATTCCACCTGATTTTTTTCAGAGAATTTATGCATTCAATATATTATTTACTTAATTCTTATACATACGGCACTTGCAATGACTAACTTTTTATGTCAATGCTGACTTTATAGAGTTCAATAACGGCAGTTTTCCTTCTTTACAGACGTTTTCAAAGTCGTCAAAGTCCAATGTCCATACAAAGACACCAGCCAAGCCGTTGGATTTAGCATAGGTCGCCTTCAAACTAACGGATTTTTGATTGTCGTAGCTGTACCACAAGTTGCTCTGCTGAACATAAGGAACCTGCGAAGTGTTGTCCCAGCTGGACACACCTCCTTGTTGAATTACTTGGCATGCTTCGTAGTAGGAAAGGATTCCTTGAGTTTGAGTGGTAGCCATAGCGGGAGAAGCAGATAGTGCCGCTGAGCCTGGGCCTTGGTTTGGAGAACTCGAAGCCAAGGTCCATCCACGGCCGTAAGTTGGTATGCCAAGCAGTATTTTTGCGGCAGGGAAGTGCTAAATAACAAGTTTATGTTTACATTATTCCTCAAGGTGACGAGCGCTAAGACAAACTACTATACCTTGTTATAATACTGGGTAATATAGTCTACGGTAAATTTCCCGCTTCCATAGAGAGGTGCGTTCTCACCAGTGACCGTCTCCCAGGTTCCATGAAAGTCATAAGCCATAATGTTCAGAAAATCAAGCGATTTCTGAAGGCTAGCGAAGTCGTAGATTTGAGCGGCTGTGTCTGCGTTTGCGGTGACAGCGGCCGTAACCAAAAAATCACCGCCTCCGGCCGTCTTCACGGCTTGCACCAACTGAGTAAACAAATCCTTTTGATCAGCGGTGGGAAACTCCCAATCAATGTCGACTCCATCAAACCCATACTGCTTGGCGAACGCGACAACGTTCTTAGCAAAGGTTTGCCTGGATTCTTCGCTTGCAGCTACGGTGGGAAAATTTCCAAAGCTGGAACCCCCAAAGGACAAGATTGTTTTGAGGCCAGCTTGCTTCTTTTTCAAAGCCTTCAAGCCTGCGTAACCGTTGGTCAAATCGGATGCATCGGTCGATGACGCAACTCCAGACGTATCGGTTTGGGCAAAAGCGTAAAAAATGTGCGTGCACGCGCCGACTTCGTACCTGTCAAAGCTCCATTTGCCCGGCTCCGGTCGATACTGCGCCCAGTTCGTCAAGTAGCAGCCGCGAATTGGATCGGCCGACAACAAGGCCGCTTCTGCCAGAAGGATGTAGACGACAAGAGAGTTCATGTTTGCCATATGTTGGCGCAGTCGCTTTATTGGCTTTTATAGTGCCCAAAAATGGGAGGGTCTTTTCTGGTTGCATAATTTTTTCCAGGTGCTATTGTTTTTCTATTATAATCTACTGTGGATATTTGTACAAATGCGGCGCACTGTAGGTTTCGTTTTTAAATGTTTTTGTTTTTGTGGGGCGTTTGTTAGCTACCTCTCTTTTTTTAGACGGAAACAGTTGCGCAAACGATACACGTTGTTCATTTGTCTCATATTGTAGGCAAGCGGTTGGCAGGGCCGATATTGTATGTAACATTTTTGTTCTGTAATAAACAAAGACGGGCTTGCGTGTAATAATAAAAAAAAATTTCTTTAAAACGTTGTTAAGGTATTTAAATACCCTTGGTTTCGGAATATAACATAAAAGATGCCCAGTATATCAACAAGAGTTCATTAATAATTCCATAAAGAAGGTTCTCTGCGCAGAAGTATGCAACGTGTCCTGTTCTTTACCGTTTTTGGCTGTTGGGTTTATCTGGTTCGAAATCTTTTACGCAGACAACGTTGCCGTATCTACGCGGATCTCCCCATTGAGGCGAGAGATATTGAAACAAAATTAAGTGCTGCTAATCGAAGCTGTAACAGGGATCTCTGCTTCTTTGTAAAGGATGCGCTCAACGGTGACAATAACAATTTGTAAACGCACATTTTGCAATACAAATATTAATAAGATGTTCCCTCGTAAGCTACGTGGTATTCATTTTCAATGTGGTTTTGTTAAGTGCAACACAACTACAAATTGAAAATGATGTTGCTTGAGTTTCTAAGACGCAATAACGCACAAAAATTTATTTTTCCGACCTTCAACTTCAAAAAAAGGTGATTTGGGCCAAAAGAGAAATCGAACCCGTGCGGAACCGCCCTCTTGATTTCCAGACTACGGCACTAGCCACTCGGCAACATTGTTCTCGTTTGTAGGAGGAGACCGACCACGCTTTTTATCGTTTGGCTTTTTTGCAATGCCTGGGCCTTTTATGAGGAAATTAAGCCAGATTTTGGGCATTTTCTACCCTTAAACCTAAAATTGGGCAGATAAGTAGTTTCATATATTCCTGATCAGCGCAATTCCAAAAGTCAAAAAGTAGGAGCCCCCATAAAGTATTTTACTTGTATGGAAAATCGGGGTTCCACACTTGGAACACTTGCCTTGTAAGCAAAACCAAAACTTCCAGTAGCCATGGTAGCCAGATGTCGATTAGATCCGAAATTTTTCAGACAAGTGCGCTTATTGGATCAGATACGGAAAGTTTGACCCTCTTTCTCCGTGTTTTCGCCATTTTCTTAGCGTGCGGCATCTGCGGAGAGTAAGTTTTTCCGCCCTTCATAATCTCTCTTACAACTCGTTGGTCGCGCAACTCGCCTCGTCGATTCATTTCGTCGCAATGCAAGCCCGACTTCCGACCAGCGTCCAAAAGTGCGTTAAGTGCCGCCAACACCGGATCATTGTGCCGTACAAGAACCATCGCAATGTGTGTCCGTACATCGACTGTAAATGCTCTAAGGTAATCGGCTGAAAAATTCATTTTTTTCGGCAAAAACTAGGCCTTCTTTCCAGAATTGCCAACGAGGATAACAAATTGTCGTAGTTGGTCGATAAAATTACCGAAGCTATTTTTAGTGCATGATGGTCGACAATTACCGCATGCGATATCATCGGAATAAGCGACGGACTTCAGCTGAGTGCTCTGAATCCAGCTCCATCCAAGGCTCACCATTGAACGAACCCTCCTCAGTGCAAAATCCACCGGTTTCTATTAACATCTGCAACCAAAGCCCCACAACTGAACCTATCGATGTCTCAGGATTCCACATTCTAAAAATCGACCCAATTCCGTTGAGAAACTTCAACATTGATCCTGATTCTGTGCAGCATTCACCGTTACAAGAAGCTTTGCTACAGGCGCTGCTTGCTCAAAATTTGGCTCATTCGAAGACTTCGTTTTCGACCCCAACCGCGCCCTTTCTCGAAACGCCGAACACGGTTCCAACCGCTGAAATAAATAATACAACTCTAGCTTTCGTTTATGTAAATAACGGAATGCAAGGCCTTTTTAGTCACCCATCTTAAACTTTTGCCACTTGGTTTACGTATATCAAATGTGCTCAATGAGTTCTTCTTTTACATGCGATCTCATAGTAACGGCTTTCTGTCGTTTACCCCCCAATTTGTTTTTTCATACATATTGCTTTTACAATTTGTAGCAAATAAATTGGCAAATGTATGATTTATGCATGACGGCCTATAAATGTTAGGTTGTCATCTCGAGGGTCTTGTGAAATAATCCGCAAGCTTTAATTGTCTCGATAGTTCGGTTACAACACCAACACCTCTTGATTGCTATTCAAAATGCTTTACACAGTCTTAAAATCAGTATTATCCCCTTGCAGAACCACTTTGGCTTTTAATAAAACCCTTAAATACACAGCGAAATAAATACTACACTGTGCCGATGAGTCATAACCGAGAGGTTTCATTGATTTGCCTTTTATGTTTGAGTATTATAGCAACAAACCTCAACTATGTTTTGACAAACAAATCTGTTTGAGCGCTCAAGACCAGATGGAGGTTAATGACCAGACAACGGGTTTCTTGCCGACAGCTAAGTGATCTGATGCCAGCGGATTAGTGCCAACACATGTGGCGCCAACAAAACTGTCAATATCCATGAAGAAACGTTGTCCATATACCGCTAATTCTTTTCGGAAGAAATGTTTAAGTTCACCCGAAACATAAAGAATGTCTTCTGCAGCTTTCTGCCTTGTACTCACAACCCTAAACGGCCGTGTTGGCGGTAAATAGATTTTTTTCCGATGTCGCCCCAATTTTTTTGGGAGATAAAATCAGCTCCGGCGGCATTATTTTTATAGATGCAGTGTAACAAAATTGCTAAAAGCCGATCCCTTGGAATTAGGCATGACAAACAAGATCTTCGAAGCTGCTAGACCTTCAGGCATTTTGCTTGGCAAATTCACACACTACAACAAAATTTCTTTACATCGCCAAACATTCTCCCCGTCTGAGAACGTCGTACAATGCGGCAAAGGATTCAGTGGTGACAAGCACCCAGGAAGCATTACGGGTGAACTCCCTGTCTTGCCGAAGGTAACGTTGTCTTAATTAGAGATATATCAGAAACAAATTGACAAAGAACATTGTAGGTCCATGATTCCTTCGTTTTTCTATGCCCTTTCAAAATCGCGAAGATGATAAACGGCAAAAAAACTTCATAGATTCCAAAGCCGGATTCCCGCATGTTATCGTGATGGAATCGCCTTCAGAAGATAAAAACTGAATTTTAGAACAACACTTCCTCGTACCGTTAAAGAAATGACACCACTAGGCATAGAAAAACGGCCTTCGTTGTTTTTGCCCCGGGTTGTCGTTTTGCGGATCACTGTAACGTTGTTTTTTCAAAAAGACGGGCCCTAAACGAGAAAACGAAGTCGTTTTGACCACTTCGTGGTGCGACTAGTAGTCCTAGTAGTCGCGCCATAAAGTCCTGACACATTTATTGCGGGTGTCGCGCGAGAAAAGTGGAGCGAGCTCGCGCGAAAGCGCATGTCGCAAAAACGGGGAATTGCCGCGATGGGCGCGAAAGGAAAACAAAAGGGCACTGTGCAAAGTTAGGAGAATATCAGTCTGTCGGGAAAATAACGGCGGATCGTCGCGCCTCGGAATTGCCCATCATCGCTGTGCGACTGCAAGCCGCGGCTTGGGATTTGGTGCGCGACAGCGGCGAGGCGAGACATTTCGCTGCGACAATCCGCCGTTATTTTCCCGACAGACTGATAAGAGGGAGCGCGATGCCCTACCACTGCCCTACTGCCTGGCTTGCTTGACTAGACTCTCGGTGGATCTCGCTTCAGAATACTGAAGCGTAACTTAGCGCAAGGATAGATCACATTCTAATAAAATAAAAATACGAATATATGCTGACCTTTATGAGCTCGGAATAACACACAAAGACAATACACTGCTCGACAAATTTATAAATGCACTTTTAAAATCGCTGTAACTTTTGTGGTTTTCAATAAAACTGTGCCATATTTGTCCACAATATGTACCAGTGTACTATAATTCTTGTGCCAGAAAATATTTTTGAAAGTTTCCACAATTTGGAAAAAAAGTTGAAAAAACCGAAATTTTTGTGATTTTTTTTGCGACAAAATTATAAATTCGCGCAATATTTTGCAACTTTCTCGCCGTTGGTGCTGAAACAGAGTAAGTTATTCGGCTAAGTGGCATCCTTAAGGGTTCTTCTGGCATGCTACGACGAAAAACATTGAAAAAAATTCCTTGGCGATTGGTCGGACAATGTCCCCGACGGTTTCACACATAGGACATATCACTGTCATTACATCAGAAGAGAACCGGTACTTCTCGTGCCGTAATGTTGGAGGACCTGTTCCAACCCTAAAGAAATTCTTTGCGTTTACTAGATCGGAAAACCTCCGATCTAACTCAACAGTCCAGCAAAAAAGTCCGCGGAATGGATTTCGCACCCCGACGGTGCAGATTTGAATCAGAACAGTGCTATGCAGGGTGCTAAAACAACCCTGAATTTCGATTTTTCACAGTGAAGAGGCCAAAATCGACACTGTGCGGCCATTTCTGGACTTTCCGCACAGTGCAATTCGGAATTCTGTTGCGCGTTGGAAATCGCACCGATTTTCGAAGGAAAATCGACATTTCTTGCAACATGTTGCCGAAATTGGGGCTGCCGCTTCGGAAATCGTTCGTGTTCTGACTTGCTTGCACTGTGCGGCTTGATTTGGGGGAAAACAGCACATGTGCGCACAATACAGCCCAGAGTTTATTTCGGTTTGCAATGTGCGGCACTCCGGAAATTGAACTTTTTACTGTGTAATTTTGAATTAATGACGATAAATTTACACTTGAAAGACTCAAAATATATTATTGAAGCAATAAAGTTGCCGACACGTTTGTAGAGTCAAAATATGATCTTTTTCGCAGAAAATGCACTCAGAAAGTGCTAAAACAACCTTAGAAAACGCCACTGAATGTACAATAGTTTCTACAGTTCCCAATTTATAATTGTCATGCATTCAAGTCAACCAATGTCCTAATTTACTGCAGCTAATAACCTCAAAAACGTAATTTAAAATCCGCACTGAAAAATTTTGTGCATTCAATTGGCGAGCCAAACACCGTGCGCCGTCGCCAAAATCTGGCCGAAAACGAACGCACCTTGAAAACCCAAAAGAAGGTAATTTATTGCACTGTGCATTGACGTTGCAGCGTCTTTCCGCACTGTGCCCCCGATTCCGTCGCGCGTACCGCATAATTTGCACTGTGCGGGCGGAAAACTGCACAGTGCATACGCGAACAGCGTAGTGCAGCCATTCCGCGGGCTGTTTTTGTTTTGCCGCACGTTTCAGAAAGTGCATAGATTTTTTCCGTCTTTTTTCGGACCGCACAGTGCAAGTTGCCTGTTTCCCACGCGACGCGATCCTTTTCGAAACATCTTGCACTGTGCAATTTGTAAAAAGTTCCGCCGGCTCCGTTGAGAAAACCTTGCGTCGCACGGCAACCTAGGGAGTCTCTCGCCTCCTTTCGGCACTTCGCCTGCCTAGTATCGGTTCAATTCAAACGAAATGTCAAAAATGAACTTTTCGTGTGGTTTTCCGACCGAAAAAATATTTTTCTCGGAATTATTTTATTTCTTTTGTGAATTTTGACACTTCGTTTGGACGAAATACAAAAAATCGAATTTCGTCGGGAAACAGTTTTGTTCTATTTTGGGTTGCCGTGCGTCGCAGCGATAGTGCACTTGCACGGTGCAAAAGGTCAAATGTACCCCGCAAAGAGGGAATTTTGTGCACAATACGGCCCGAGACAAAAACTCTATGCACTTTCTGGAACGACTACGACTAGTAGTAGCGGTCAGTCCGCACAAAAATAGGCTGAGCCAGCGAAATATTATAGTATGCTTTTGAAATAGTTCTTGCAATGTCTTCCTGCAGGACTTTTGCTCAAACGATAAAAAAGCGAAGCTCCCACCAACGCCAAATACTGGTAGGCGCAATTTTATATTTTTCGATTTTTTCTTGTCCACATAAACGTCTAGTAAATTTGTGATGATTTTATTGTCGACTGGAATTGTTGCCAAAATTATCTCCCACGCATTTCAAAATCTAACGTTCCTTATCCGGAGATTTTCTAGATTATAAAAGTTTAGAGGCGAGATGAGATCTTTTATGCATGAAAAACGCTATTCCACCGGCGAGATGTGTAGGCGTAGTGTCGGAGTTGTAGTGTGTCTTATTTTTAGTGACGTTGGAGTCACCGGCCTTTTGTACCCACAGGTAAAGAATGACGCTAAAGTGGATTAAAATATGACGATTTTTTAGCAGAACTCGGTGAGAGGACTTGATTCTTTGGATGGCCTTTGGGACTTTGTTCGTGAGCCGACATTTGCAACCGACCTTGGCTTGAAAAACAGGTGGTATCTAAAGGTACTCAGCAGCTTCGAAAACGCAACAAAGGTTCCTGTTCCCACAGCATACAACGATTTGTTTGCCCATAGAGAAGTCCGCGATCACATTGGATGGGTTTGGTACCAAAAAGTTTATCAAACGCCACATTCAAGGAGCCAAAAACGTTTAATATTAAGATTTGGAAGTGTAAATTACAATTCCAATGTGGTAGGTTGTCTGATCTAGCCGGTTTCCTCACCCGACGTTTATTCTCTCATCCTTGGTGTGGAATTGACAAGAAGTTTCAGTACATCAACGGCATCCTATTAAGCACACACACTGGCGGCCATTTGCCATTTGAGGTCGAGATGCCTAAGGCGGATGAGTATATAATAACGGTTGCAGTGAATAATACTCTTCACACGGGTTCAGTCCCCCCAGGCGCATATGAATACGTGCCGATGAAAAATGTTTCGTTCATCTGGCAAAAGCCTGGATTCGATTTTTTCAATTATGCTGGTATTCTACGGCCGGTGGTGGTACAAGTTCTTGGAGTTGCGTACTTGGAAAGGCTAAGGTTGTGGAGCGAAAAACCAAGTATGCGATGTAGTTTGCCTATGCAAATAACATGTTTAACACACGATGAAGCTTTTTCAGACATTCTAAAGTATGACTTGAAAGTCAATGGCAAAGCCGATGTAAAAATTTTGCTCACGCTATTCGATCCATTGGGCCAAAAAATTGAATCAGTCACTTATCCCGCCAAATTTACAGCCGTAGATGATGTGCAATTATGGTGGCCGCGAGGATATGGAAAGGCAAATTTGTATAGAGTCAAGGTATTTTAGGCATATTCGAAGTATATTTTAAATGCCGGTTTCAGGTTCAGTTATATTGGAATGAAACGATCGTCGATGAATATACCGAAACTTTTGGATTTCGCTTCCTGGAGTTCAAGGAAAAGAAGTTGCATGTGAATGGTGTACCATTTTATTGTATGGGATTTGGAATGCATGAAGATTTTGAGGTACCCATATCCGAAATGCAAAGACAAAACTTTTAGCTCCATGGAAGAGGTTTTAATCCGGTGGTTATGACAAAAGATCTCAATATGTTCGAGTGGACAAATGCAAACTGTTATCGCACATCGCACTATCCGTATAGCGAAGAACGAGCCTACGAAGCCGACCGGAGAGGAATTATGGTGATCACGGAGACACCGGCTGTCGGCTTGGAGTAAGGCTTAATCATTCTGGACCAACATCCTTCTCAATTGCAGGTTCTACACAAACGAAGTACTGTTGCTTCATAAGAAAATGATTAAGGATATGATTGAGCGTGATTTCAATCATCCTTCAGTCTTTGCATGGTCGCTGGCTAACGAACCTTGGACTGAGAAGCCTAACTGCCGGGAACACTTTCAAGAAGTCGCAAAATACGCAAAGAACGAAGATCCAACTCGCCCAATTACGGTAGTTTATGGACCGACAAACCCGAACGATGATTCGACGAAAACAGCCGAGTTTGCTGATTTTATTGGAATCAATTTCTACCCCGGTTGGTATCAAGACATGGGGCACCCCGAAGTGATTCCAGAAAGGACGTACGATCTGATCCTCACGTGGAACAAGCATTTTCCAAACAAACCCGTTTTAATCACAGAATACGGCGGAGAAGCCTTGCCGGGAATGTACAGCGAACCAGGCTTTGCCGGATCGGAGCAATATCAAATGGAGTTGATTCGAGGGAACTTCGAAGCCTTTGAGCAGCTCCGAGGAGAGGGTCGGATTTTTGGCGAGATGCTTTGGAATTTCGCCGACTTTATGACAGCACCACGTAAGTTTGGAAATATTCCTCAAAATCGGTAAATACTTCCATTTTTTGTGCGCTTTTTAGATATTACTCGACTGATGGGAAACCACAAGGGAGTCTTTACGAGAGAACGGCAACCAAAGATGGCGGCGTACTTGATGAAGGAAAGATACGGGAAGTTTAGAACGATATATGAAGAAAAATTAAAGATCAATAAAATGTAGGAAAAATGGAAAATCTGTAACTCTTATAAATATAATGTTTATTACATTTAAATTTTGACGACAAAAATTATTCCGAAAGATACAATTAATAGCACCGGTACTTGTCCATATCAGACTGCGAGACTTTTCCATTACTGTCTTTAAGATTTTGAAAGATCACATGGGGAAGGGCTTGGTAATGACGCATGTTCAACGGCGGTTTGATTTCCTGGCCCAGGAACGTTCGATTGTAAAGCGCCTCTAATTGACACACCACAGCGTTGAAGTCAAAGTCCGGCATCAGTTTGTTTACCACCAAATGTGGGGCGGGTTTTAAAATGTGCGCCAAATCTTCAATCCCGAAAATACAGACGTGATGACGGAATTGCCGACTTCTGCAAAGCTCTTTGATCCGCCAATTTGCGAACCGAGTTACAAATTGGTTCATGGTTTGGTTGGCAGCGCATTTTTGTGTGAAATGGCCGGGCACTTCGAGTTCTGGCATGCTCAACAAGGTCGGGAGGATGATTTCGTCTACTCCAAACACTTCGGGGCGGTCAATCTTTTGAACGAGCGTTGATAAGTTAAAATTCTCAAAGATAAATTGAACTGCGGCCTTTGTGAGTGTCATGTGGTTATGCCCTTTGACAAAACTGAGTGTCATATTGGTGTTGGCAAACTTCTTTGCCAAATGTGAGGCTGAAAAAATTGATAACAATATGGTTTTTTTCCTCACTGTTTTTTATCAAGTTTAGTCCATCGAAAGTCCAATCATCGCTGACGTTTATCCTGTGCGTGAACAGTTTCGTAACGGAGATATCGTTGGCTCCATTAAGTATTTGCAGAATTTGGACTGCTTCCCCGTTTGTTTTGTGTGGAAAGTCGTGGTTCTAAAGTTATGCAGAGCTTGCAATCTGGGTTTTGTCAACAAAGCATGAGGCGTAATAAGATTACCTGGAGAACCTGAACGTATTTCCAATCTTTTTTCCCTTGTACTAGCCATTCCATGCAATCCAGATGCCCCATGTCAGTCCCATGTCCAAGACTATCCATATCTCTTGAGATGTTGGATATGACAACGTTCTTGAAGCATTTAGCCAAGGAATTCATTCTCTTCTTGAAAACCGGATCTGCTTTAATGTCGATTGAGTAGCAGTAGAAATTTTGTGGCTGATAAATTGCTGCTAGCATCAGCTCTTGATAATAGTAGTCCTTAAAGACGTTGCGAACTATAGCTAACGGAAAGTTTTTCTCTGCTTTACTAGTTGGCTTTGAAGTAAACGTGTTTCTGGCATGAATGGAAGCGCAATCCACCGGTAGATCTTGGAAATCTGGAGGATCTAAAAAGGCATTTCGAAGGCCGGACATAATGTCAGCATAATCGCTGGAACGGTCCATGGCCAGCTTGCAGTCCACGTGCTCCGTGCCGGGAGGGCGCTTAAAATGCCCGTCATGGACCAGTTCTGCATCGAATGTTGTGAAATAGAACAGGGCATAGAGTACGACAGTGAAGCACAGAAATTTAGCGCATATTTTCAGTATGCTGCTCCAGTAGACTGAAGACGCCGCGCACAGTTCAGGAGTTCTTGTACCTCCGCCTGATATAAGAAAGTAAAACTAAACGTGTTCAAGTGGCCAAAGAGATAAAAGAACTGTAGATCCTACACCTTTTTCCTAAAAACATACCGAGTTGCTTAATGTAGTCCATCCTGAACGTCGCTAGACGCATTTCCGTCTATGCCCCGTTTTATATTTCGTGAGATAATATCGGTAAATTTGGGATAACGGCAAGAAAATCAAATTTCCAGATAATATCGGTGTAGATAGTATCAAAAGAACGTGTGCACATTTCCATTTTTTCACGTCATCAACATAACTGGATTTATGATAAAAACCAAATCTGTTAACAGCGATTACAAACAGTTACGCGTTGGTTGTCAACAAACCTTCCGGTATAACACGCGTGAGAACTCAAATATCTTTTGGACTTGCGTTGTGTTTTAGCCCTATATCAACTTCAAAACCCGTTTTCTTTTCTCATATCGGAATGTTTACTAATCTAAATTAAGTTGAATCCGATACGGCTCAAGATGAACCAGTCCCGGCTTCACATCTTTAAAAGCCCCCTTACGGAAAGAAGATGCCCAGATCATCAAAAAAGATGCCACTATTGAAGACGCGGCCCTTGTTCAATCCGGCTTACTTTGTATCCCGGTATATACATTGTTCGCTTCTGGAAGTTTTCAGTGTTGGTAGGTATCGTATGGAATAGGTGAAACCAGATTCAGGTATTATATTATGGTTCATATATCACAGTATGACATCAATCAACGAGGCAATGAAGAGAAAGACAGAGGTCCATGTAACTTTTAAAAATACTGAAGTAGTTTTTAACATGGACGCTCCGGAAGATCCTGCGTTTTGTAACAAAACCAATGTTTTCATCGTTATCTTTACAAGAACGGACGGGTTTGAGAGAAGAGAGATTATCCGCAACACCTGGATGCATGACAAGGTAAAAATGCTTTGAAAATGGGGCTGTAGTTGGTTTTATCGTACACATATTGGATATATATATTTTTAGAGCGTTCCGAAGGACGTTACAATACGTTTTATAATCGGCACAACAGAAAACGAGGAAGTAAATAAAAAGCTACGGAAAGAAATGAAGAAACACAGAGACATTATACGCTACGACTATGTAGACAGGTGCGATGTGATTTCCTTCAAGATGCACACAGCCTTCTTTTACAAACAAAAGTACTGTCCGAACGCCAAGTACTTTATAAAGACGGACGACGATACAGTGCTGGACCTGAACAGAACTGCCCATTACTTGAGGACTCTTTACGATCCGAAGATCAAGAAAACTCCGGAAATGTTAATGTGCCATATAAAGCCATATGATCACAGGAAGGATATTGTTCAAGAGAACAAGTTGTAAGCTCAACTTTGCTTGAACCTTTGCTCTTCCTTTTTTAGACATTGTTTACACTTTGCAAACAAAATGCTTTTAGTTACGTACCAGAACACGGGTATTACAATAAAAGGATTGAGTTCTGCCAAGGGTGCACTTTTATGGCTACAAGCGCCGCCGTCAATACCATTTTAAACACGACTAGACAGTTCAACTTATTCCACATCGATGACGTCTTATACGGTGGACTGGTCATTACCAAAACCAATATCACGATGATTGATAACGAGAACTTTGGCCACGAGGTGAGGGAAACTTTAGAGTAGCCAAAGAAGCCACTTCTCTTTATTGATATTATTTTAATTTCGATTCAAGTTTGCCAAGACGGAATACAAGTGTGATGACCACAATGTCCCGCTGCCCTTGGCACAATACGGGTTAAAAACCGAAGCCATGGAAAACGCCTATGCTATGCTGAAGAATATCCAGTGCTCGAACAAGCCAAAGATGGTGGTTCCGGCAACGCCGTCGCCGCCCTCGCCGTCGCTGCTTACATCACTCTCAAAGTTTCTACGGCTAAAAAATTAAAGCAAAGTTTTTTGTACAGTAATAAAAATGGGTATATCATTAACGCATGCAGAACGTTTAATTTTTCGGGAACCGGTAAGCTTGGTTCTTAAATACAGGTGATGAAGGACTGCTGTGAAAAGGATTGCTAAAGGGCGGTCTGTTTGTCTGACTCTATAACGGTAGTTGTGCTTACTAGAGAGCTGAGGTAATTTTGTAGATAATGAAGACCCTATCACTTTGATTTTTTGGGTTGTGAAAAACCCAGCTATACATAAGATGCCTAACTCATTCTTAAACCAACAATTATCGAAATTGCATTCGACTAGAGCGGCTTTTACGGTGAATCATTTCAAAATTCCCAATTCGGTCTTTCCCGGTGTGTCCGAAAATGGAGTACGGTTTGCAAGAAAAAGCTTGGTCTGTGGTTTGGTAAGGAAAGTACGGTTCGACGATAAATGTTCAAAGGGAATACCGCATGAAATACGGACGTAATGCCCAACTTCCAGATCGCAAGACAATTCGACGTTCGTAGAATAAGTTCCTTGAGACTGGCAGCGTTAACAGGAAACAAAAAAAGCAGGAAAGATGAGTACGAACGGAGCTGAAAATTTAAGAAGTTTTGTCAAAATTCTGAGAAAATCCGCATATGAGTACACGAAGTTTGGCCAGAACCGAGGGAATGCCTTCAGCAAGGACCATTCGACGAACTCTGGAGGTTGATCTTCATTTTTTGTTCTCATTCTCATCGTCGATTTTCGGGAGGGGAAATCCCAACGTATTTTTCTTCCGCACCGTAGTCCATTTCCGGACACACCGGGAAAGACCGAAAAAACAACCGAAAAACGACCGAAAAAATGAACTCCAAGAATAAATCCAATAACTGTAGATATACACTTACTATGTATAACATATTTGGTATCAAACAAAATGGGGTTGGCTGACGATCCAGGGAAAAAAAAATTTTAAAATTTGGCTAAAAACTAAAGAAGTTATAGCCAATTCAAATCGGGCCACAAAGATGCCCCACCCTGTATTAGCGCAAATTTATAAACAACAAAATTCAATAAAGTCAGAGCTACGCAACAGCCAAAGGTTTGTGTTTCGGTGCTTCTCGTCCATCGTTCAACATCCCTTCTTGATGGAATGTGCTCCTCCAATACGTATCGTTTTGCTCAGGATGGTAATGTCGGCTCATTGTCTCAGTGACATTGATCAACTTCACAATGTGTTCCCGGAAAGAGGAGATTTGTTCAAGTTGTTCTTTGGGGAAGATTTTTTTGTAAAGCACCAAGTTTTTGATCCACACATTTTCCATAAAAATTCCAGGAGCAACGTGCGCACTTTCGTAGTGCTTCCAAGTATCTTCGACTGACTCAAGAACCTCGTCTGCTGGCCAAAATTTACGTTCAAGGCGTTCGCCGCGTTTGAAAGTCTCGGTGATGTTTTCGTATCTAAATCAAAGAATTCATTACGGAACGCCAGGGTTAAACCCACTCCCGCGGGTGCTTCTCAATCCAGAGGTGCATTTTATAGCCGAAGAATTGTTGATCAAGATACCACTTCCAAAAATGGTCCTGTTGGGATATTGTGTTATCGAACGTCGCGTTAACGTACGTTTCAATGAACTGGCTGTCAATTGGCTTGCTTGGAAGGTCTAAAATTCAAAAAGAAATATTTTAGAACCAAGGTCGGCCGCGAGACTAAATTGCCAACTTATGATGTTGCTTTACCTACCAATTATTTCCCTCCATCTTCTCAATGTCATCCCAACAGAAGTCATTGCAAACATCTCGAATCGCGTGTCCTTCCATTTCAAATAGCCACAACAATCTTTGTCATAGAACATGATTTCCTTCCCTTTATCTAGTTTGGGTATATGATGTGTCAAGTTACTGGGGAAGAAATCAACATCTGTTGTAATAAATATCGTGTTGTCTGGGTTTAGTTTGTGGGCGAACGCATCTCCAGCCGCGAAGGTGCGTAGAGTCTGCGCAAACTGCCCAGCACTTATGGTATTGTTGTAATATTTGGTCACATGTGCCTAAAAACAGCAATAACATCTATTTGCAGTAGGAACTACCCCAAGGTATTCCGCAAAATCGATAACGAGTTGAGCAGCACTATCAATTTCCTCATCTTGCTTGAGGGTAATAAATAGCAAAGAGTCCGCACCCAAATTTTTCCAATGCTGTACGACCAACGGGATGTGAATTAAGTAGTAGAGGTTCAGGTCCGACGACAAAATTGCAAAATACCTCACTGGAGGTTTGTGTCTCTGCCATGGCGAAAACAAGGAAATGATGATAAATGCGGTGAGAATTAGAAGAATATAGCGGCTAAAAATGTTTCATTTGCAAAAGAAGCGTTTTTTAACATTATTACATGATGCTAAAATTGCACGTCTTTCTTACCGCAGTAAATTTCCAACCGCAAAAATGGATCTTCCAGGGAATAACAAAAGAAACTGTGAAAGACTGGATGACCTGTTGCGAAGACAAGCGGAAATCATCATAGTATTGTATGACCCTCCGAATGGAAACGAGCAACACGAAGACGCTTCAAAGCGGCATAGACGAGTTTAATCTCATCCCATCATACTCGAGATTATCCTGAGGCCGGTTTTCAATAATAAAAAAATGTAGCTGGCGCCCGATCAGATAAACTTTCGACAACTCTTTTAATCAAAGTGTAAATCAGTCAACATATCTGGAAAAGATCTTCGGCTTCCGCTTCATACTCTTTCCCAAGAGCATCGTGGTTTAGTGAGTCATCCAGATGGCTCGCATAACGTTGTTTGGCCTTCGGTATGGGATATCCGAACAGCTACATGGAGCTACGGTCGTGAGGATCGTTCGACTGAGTAAGGCGCAATTATATTATAATCTTTACAATTGGATGGAAGCCATTTTCCTTAATCTTTTCAGTCTCTCGTCGAACTTGGTCAATATTCGGAATCTTCTTTGCGCTATTTTTCTTTTACAATTCTTTTGGCGGTGACAATGTTGTCCTCAGTGGGACCGAAAATTTACCAGAATTGGGCCCAGTTGAAATAAATGCCAAATTCCGAAATGACGAGTTCTCCTATGTTCTCCATCCACCAATCGGAGACGACTTTTGTAAACATATCGATTTTTTCATTATTGTCTTCTCAAAACCAGACAACTATGAGCAAAGAGATAGGATACGATATACCTGGAGTTTTTACAAGGTGAGGATAAAACGGGGAGATGATAGCTCGCGTTTAGAACATGGCGCGGAATTTCACTGTAAAGTTTATTATTGGGAACGTGAGTGATGTTGGGCTGAGCATGAAGCTTCAACAAGAAGCGGAAGTTTATGTTGATATTCTTCGATATAATTACACTGATACGTAAGTGTTTTAAAGAAGAAAACAAAGACTCAGGTCATGATGTCTTTACTAAAACCTGTAAGCATTTAGGACGACATTTTTGCAGGCCAAAAGATAACGAGGTAAAACTGCATGCCGCTTTGAATTACCACTTGAACTACTGCCCAAATGCCACTTACATTATAAAAACAACCGACGACACTGTGCTGGACGTGAGAAGGATTTGGCATTATACCAACAACCTCTACACACCTATGCTTTCTCATTCGCCTGAGCTAATTGTCTGTAATGCAAAGACATATACAAACCGCAAAGACCTGCTAGGCGAAGGCAAACAGTAAGTTTAAACAACTTTTCTTACTTTTTATGAAGTAGCGAAAAGTGAGCTTTCCTATTTACCGATAAATTTTGTTTAGCTACATCCCAAAGAACGGTTACGTTAAGCGGCCTGTCAAGTTTTGCGATGGCGGAACATTTATTGCGACAAAATACGCAACAAAGGCTTTGTTATCCAAGACCGAGATGGTAAATAGATTCCCATCAGATGACGTATTGTACACGGGGTATCTTTTGACCAAGACAAATGCTCGGATAATCGATCAAGACATTTTTGGACAAAGGGTAGGTCTTTTACGTGGGGCAAGTCGAATTTCATGAAACTCGGCTCAAGTTAGGAATATAACTCTATCAAAGAAATTTACTTCTGTATGCAAAGTGAATGGTGCTTTTGTAAAATATGTCGCCGAACTCACTTCAGCGGTAGCAAACGAATCAAGTGGTTTGCTTGATTAAAGCATGCACGCAAAGTTTTAAGCAGAAGATTGAAAAGAAAATGAATGCCGCCTTAAAGATTTTTCGTGTAACCGACGTACATTTTAGAGTGATATGCTCCGTCAGAAGTGCGATTATTACGGTGTTCCGCCAACATTTGCTCAACGAGGTGCGGATGCTGAAGTAATGATGGACGTTTTTAATAAGTTGAAGAGCGTTCGGTGTCTTCCTTCGTTTAACGCAACCCTGTGGCGGACTCATTTCGGCAACGCATAATAATCCCTTATCTAATAAAAGCTTTAGAACATTTAATGTAATAGGCAACAATTGTATAAATTATTATCTATTTTTAAACAAAATTTTCTTGAATTTAAGAAAAATCTTTGTAGTTGCAAAGTTTTTCCTCGGTAAAGATGTGATCCAAAAAAGGTATTGCGTTGTAGCTCAATTTTTGTAGAAGTATCTACCACAGGTATAACACCAGGGTTAAACCCGAAAGGACAATACATTTACAGAATACACTAACAGGGGAAGTACCCCAAGTGCGACGCTCAGATTTTGATGAAACTTGACACAAATTTAGAATTATTTTTTCTAAGATATATGCGAGAATCCTAGCTCCGCTTTGCAGAAACAACCGAGATTTTTAGATTGAAAGTCGGCGAAAATTTAGGACTTTTTGCCGAATTTCGGCACGAAAAGTTTCATGCCTATTTCTACCGTAAAGGATAATGTTTCTACAAAAAATCAAATTTTTCCGCACGGAACTGCCAAAGTTATAGCCAAAAGGCGTTTTTCTCTCTGACCTCTCTCCACGTTTAGCGTGCTCTCTCGGCGGCATAAATCGCCCGATATCTCGGCGGCGCCTGCAAAGCGCGAGTTAAAGCTTTCAGGAATTGATATTTTGTCTATTCCCGAAGTGTGTGCAAAATTTAAAGAAAATCTGAGCGTCGCACTTGGGGTACTTCCCTTGTAAATTTATTTTTTTGTATCGGCCTCTTGATTCGAAAGCGCGCAAAAAATGTGTTCTCCTTTTCTGTTTTAGGCAAAGAACTATGTTGTGTTTTGTCTCTTCCAAACATATTTGAGTTCCCAGACAAAACTACCCTCATTTTACCAGAACTGTCCGGTTGTTAGTTACTTCAGCCAACAAAACCACCAGTAATTATGTTTTTTGCGTCAAAAACTCACAGCGCAAAGGGAACGTTTAAAACAAACCTTCCCCAGTCCAGTGACAATATATAAAGCGAAACGAAAAATTTCAATGTATACAGTTGTGATATGTTCGATCCTCAGAAGTGTGTTGAGCCAACCAGCGTTCCATTTGGCTGGACGGCGAAGAGCATCGACGGCCGTGATAAACGATGGGACCGCCTGCGGAAGAAGTATGCTCTTTCTGACGGACATGCAGAGGTCATAAGTGGTTCTGGCTTCTTGTCGTACGTTATACGGGTGGTCTTCACTTTTCATGGGACAGATGAGAGATTTTCCGCGATCCTAAAAGTACCTACCGTGCAAAAGATACGTGATGCCAAAATGTTTGCTGGAAGGGTTTGTTATGGGATGTGATGTCGGTAATACTCGAACGGGTTTTTTAAGGACGACGTATTTGAGAACTATTTGTTCAAACTGCATAATCAGGAGATACTGTTTTATAAAGAGATTGCCGAGAAGTGCGATATATTCTACTTTCCTAAGATGTATGCCTACGTCTTAAGCGACGGAAAAGCCGGCGCCCACGGAAGGATTCTTATGGAAGACGTTGGGGACAGAGGAACATTGCCGGACATCCTCCAAGGTCTGAAATACGAGCAGGTAAGAAGACCCAAATTGACTATAGGTGTTCAAAATATTTGAATGTGTACATATTTGAAAAGCTGCAAACGACCCTGTTTCAGTGCGCTGAAGCGATAAAAGTCCTTGCCAGGTTCCATGCGTTCGGTTATCTGCATGCGACCGATGATTTCCTACGCCAGCTCCGTTTATGTCAAACGGAAAGAAAGGACGAAGAGCGACTTCAACTTTCCCCAGCGATTTTTCGGCTCGACCCATACTTTGCTGAAAACATGACCCTTCTGAAGAGGATCGAAGCCGACTACGGCAAAATCATGATCGACCAGCATTTGCACTTTGGCATACCACCAGTGTTGACGCACGGCGACTTCTGGGGTAATAACATGTTCTTCGAAAAGAACGCCGATGGCTCCTCTAGTGATAGAGTTTTCACAATCTTTGATTGGCAATGCCTTCGGCCGGACTCTGGTATACCTGACGTAACAAAATTTCTTGCGGTATCAGCATCGGAAAGCGTTTTGAGAGAAAAAATCCCAAACCTTCTTGCTCTGTACTACGAAGAAATGAAGCAAAGTCTGAAGGAGAATGGCGTTGTTATACCATACGATTTTGAAAATGTAAGAATGAAATACGTCAAATCGTGAAGAAAACTCTTCTTCTTGGCTTTTCGTCCAACAATTTATTGGGAAAAACTTTTAAAACTTGTCCTATTGGTTTTGCTGGTCGAAATTACCTGCTCCAAAAGATTTGAAAGGGCTAGCCATTTTTCAACCTTGCCAAAAAAAGACGTGATTTTTGCTAATTGGTCTAGAAATCGGTCAAAAAAGATTTCCTACTCGCGACGAAAAGCCAACTCGGTGTTTTCCTTTTTCGTGCTCTTCCGATTTGACGCACAACGTTACAAAAACTTCCATCGTTACAAAAAACTGCGTTAACGCGACAAAAACTTCACTGTTTTGACTCGTTTAGCTGAATGCTATGTACGAGCACGCATTTCCCAACGATTTGTTGTTTTCCTTGATGGTGTTACCGGCTCTACTACAGAACGTAGAAGATGAGAAGATCATAGCTGGAGTTGTAAACCGGCTAAAGCTGAACCTTGAATATGTCGTAAAATGCATGGAGAAATGAATCGACAGTATCACATCCGGGCATAATACATAGTTACCTATAGAACACGCGGACAATAAAACGTGGCCGTTTGTTAGACGATAAAAGAGTTTGACTTTTTTCGCGGTCGGTCTTAATAAATAGTGTTATCTATAATATCAAAGTTCATAATTTTACTCGATGAGTGCGATTAAAAAGTATTCTGTATGACCAACTATCAAGCTACGTCACTCAAGTTGTTCCCTCTCTGCCTTGTGTTCCCTCTCCCCAAATGAGGGTTATTCCTAATCGTCCGCTTTTTATTTCTGTCTAACCAAACGTTTATTCGACTGCGCAAACATGTTCAATCCGCTGCAAAAAATCGAGCCCACGGACGTTACGTTCGGCTGGGTCGAAGAGAATTTAAATGGCAAGGATCAGCGATGGGACAATCTTCGTTTAAGCTATGGTATCTTCAATTCCGAGGCTCGAACGATCAGCGGCAGCGGATTCCTTTCGTATATCATACGAATCGTCTTTAGTTTCAATGACACAGAAGAAAAATTCAGCGTGATTCTTAAGGTTCCAACCTCGGATATTATCCAGGATCTGCTCGGCAAACCAAAGCAGGTATGTTTGTTATTGGAGTTTCTACACGACAAGATTTGCAGGATGGTGGCGTTAATGAGCACATGACGAAATCGCACAATAGAGAAATCCTTTTTTACCAACAAATTGCCATCAAATGTGATGTAGTTTACTTCCCAAAAATGTATGGCTACGTAGAATGTAGCGAAGGGAACGCTTCGTATGGAAGAATCCTCGTGGAAGACGTCGGTGATCGGGGAGTTTTACCCGATGTTCTAACCGGCTTGAACTTTGCTCAGGTAACAGACATACATTACATGTTTTTTCAACATATCTTTACTTTTATTTGCTCTATTCACATCGACTGTTTAGTGTGCCGAAGTCCTCCGGGTCCTTGCAAGATTCCACGCATTCAGCTTATTAAACTTGGACGATGAGGTCCTGGAGAAGATCCGCGACCGCCCACCAAACGAGCACCATCCGGAAGGTCCCCCGTACATGCCGATTTGCGAGTTAGACCCTTTTTTCAAGGAAAACGAAGAGCTTCTAAGAACTGTTATGAGACATCCTCCTGGATTCGACTCGGCCAAAACGTTTGGTGTTAAGGAGTTTATAACGCATGGCGACTTCTGGGCCAACAATCTGTTCTTTGAAAGGAACGGAAACGGTGAAGCTGGTGAAAAGGTGTTCACCATCTTCGATTGGCAAATGTTGCGACCCGGAACCGGCCTCTCGGACGTAGCAAGGTTCTTAGCTGTCTCAACTACTGAGGAGGTGCTTGAAAAAGATGTTGAGCAGCTTTTGAAGGTTTATTACTCTGCAATGCAAGAGGAATTGAGCTCTAAAGGTGTGAGTATGCCGTATGATTACGAGAAGGTGAGCGTGGAGGATAAACACATTCAATTTTACTATAAGAATTGATCTTCTTACTATTGCGAGCACACTTTCAGATGAAACAACTTTTTCGGCATGAGTTTCCTGCCGAGTTTTCGTTTGCCACTATGATCTTACCGATGCTGTTGCAGCAGGCACCGGATGAAACCAAGAAGAACGCCGTCATTCGCAGGCTTAAACTGGCTTTTAATTTTACCAAAGAATGCCTAAATATTAAATAACGTTCTACTTTTAAATTTACTTTTTGCTATGCTAAAGACTGCCTGAGGTATGACTGAATTTGCCGGAAATGCAATTAGTTCGAAGCCAAATTTCTATTCTCACAATAAAAAACGCCTTTTTAGCGACTAAATTAAGACACTTTAATTTCAAACCGTTCAAATCGCTTTATGCTTTTCTGTTTTAAGCCAGTTTCTGGTCGGACCTAAAACACAACTTTATTATTTACAAAACACTTAAAATGTAAATTTTAAATTGCAGTTCATTTCGGCACAAGTAAAAGGCCCTCGTTAGTGTACAGAATACTTTTCAGTTTTGTCCGTCTGAATCACATGTGGCCTCATAATCGGAATCAAAAAGAATTGTTTGAATTATTCATTGGGCCTTTGAAATAGCCTTCAAAAAGAGCAAAAAATTATTTCCAATTATATAGTGTAATACTTAGTCGTATTAGTCCCTGGCTGTTGTCGCCACAAAAGCCTGTAAAAATGAGAAGAGAAGCTGTTGCACGGTTTTTGTGAACACATTTAACCGAACATCCGTTTCAATTTTCACTGTGTTAGAATGTTCGATCCACGACGGTTGATAGAGCCCACTAATGTTCCCTTCGGATGGGCTACGAAAAGTCTGGATGGAAGAGACGAGCGGTGGGATGGATTGAGGAGAAAGTATAGTATTGCCGCAGGCCATGCTGAAGTAATTAGCGGAGCTGGATTTTTGTCGTATGTTCTGAGAGTGGTCTTCGTGTTTGATGGAACAACGGAACGGTTTAGTGCAATCCTGAAAGTCCCTACTGTTGAGAAATTGATGGCCGCCCAAATGGTCATTGAAGAAGTAAGTTTTACACACCATGATATGCCTTAGACTCGGCTGTCGACTTCATATTGCGTAATAAGCCGTTTCTTGGGGATCTCTACTTTTTTATAGGCTCCAAAGTTTGACAATATATTGATCAAGCTTCACAATCAAGAGATTTTGTTTTATAAAGAGATTGCTAATAAATGTGATGTGTTCTACTTTCCTAAAATGTATGCATACGTGGTCAGTGACGAAAAGAACGCTACACATGGCAGAATACTTGTTGAGGACGTTGGTGACAAAGGCATGTTGCCTGATGTTCTTCAAGGAATGGATTTGAAACAGGCAAGAATTTACAGTTGACTTGATCCACCAGCCAAAAAATAAAGTCGCTGCAAAATAAATCCCTCTTCTGACCAAAAAACACTTATCTTTTTTATGAAGGCGCTTTCTTTGATTGGAAGAGCGAGATATTTCGCTAATATATTTCGGCAACACTGTTTACACTGGACTTATAAATTGCTGGTTTTTTGCGATGAGAATATGTATTGTGTCTGGTACGTAATACCTTCGTTTTTAGTGTACAGAAGCGATCCAAGTACTGGCAAAGTTTCATGCATTCACTTTGCTAAACCTTTCCGAGGAATTTCTCGAGAAGCTCAAAGAATGCAACACGAATCAAAAAGAAAATATTGGGATGACTCCGGCAACTTATGAGCTCGATCCGTATTTTATGGAGAACCGCGAAGACTTAAAAGAAATCGCCGAAAAACATGGCGAGGTGGAGTACAACATCCATCGGTTGCACGGCATTCCACCTGTCCTTGTGCACGGCGACTTCTGGGGCAACAACATGTTTTTTGAAAAGAAAAACGACGGAAGTATGGGCGAAAAGTTGTTTACAGTATTCGATTGGCAACTATTACGTCCTGGGACTGGAATGGGAGATATTGCCAGATTTCTGGTCGTGTCAGCGACGGCTGAGGTTTTGGCCAACAACCTGGAAGGTATACTGAAGCTGTATTATGACACCATGCAGCAATGCTTGCATAGAAACGGAGAACGAATGCCTTACAGTTACGAGCAGGTAAATACACATGTAAATGAGAAACTTTAAACAGCGTAAATATATTAATAACATTTGCCTGCTTGATATCCGAATATTCAATAGTTCTAAATAATCCCATATATGTAAAACTAATGACAATTTTTCCATTTAGATGAAAATAATGTTCCGATACGAGTTCCCATTTGAGTTTGTGTTTGCTGCGATGCTCCTTCCTGTTATGGTTCAAGGAACTGATAACGAAAAGGTCAAGCAAGGCGTAGTCAATCGGCTGAAGATTGGCTTCGATTATGTAAAGAAATTTTCTGATAGACTAACACATTAAAAACGAGATTTTTTATGTTTTTATCCTCGATAAATACAACTTCCTTATTGCCCAATTGCTTTCGAGTGATCTTTTTTTGAATTCTGCCATTCTGTCGAGAATTTTCCAAACTTTTTTTTCGTGCTGGCCTGAAAATCAAAGCCCGGAGCCATGCCTAGGGTCGCTGCCAAAACCGCGAGAAAAGTGCCGATCCAAAACATCATTTTGTACAGGGCATTTTGGATTTTTTGTACTAACGTCGCGTCCGACGGCCATTTTTTTAGAGCGCTCGGTTCGTTTTTATCAGGACTTTATGTCTGCCCCTATAAAAGAGCGCATTACCGTCCGTCACAGTACAATACAACTTTTCTGAGAAGCCTTTCTTCCACCGCCTTCGACACAAAACAATGGAATAAATATACACGTTAAAGAAAACGGGGAGGGCACGAAAGCCGTTGCGAAAGAACGGTATGAGCAATATACAAATTTGAACAGTTTTGAACTGCTCTTGAACGTAATTTGTGTAATCACACAGCTTCTTTGCTGGCACTTGTCGGAAGCAGCAAGGCTAATGAATGAAAATGAAGAGCCAAATTCAAGCGCTGCTCATTCCCTAAATATGACTGAATCTCTAGTGCAGTACCACTTCTGGATTGGATTTTCGAAAATCTGTCACTTGATCATCCAAATTTTTGGAGGGATGATTAACTGTACGTTGTTAATATTGATCTTGAAGATTCGAAAAAAGCCGTTGAAGAATTATAAAATAATGCTTCTCCTGGGATGTCTCAGCGACATTCAAATATGGGCATCCGAGTGTCTGCTACAGTTGGTATGTATGAAAATTAAAAATCTTAATGCAATTTTCAGATAAGCCGCATCGAAGATGGAGTATTGATTTTGGCGTTGGAAGGGCCAGCGAATGCCCTTTCACCGTACGTCCAAGCAGCTTTGGTAGGCTGGTACGGATTTTCCTTAGCGCTTATTTTGGTGATGCAGCCGGCAAACTACTATTATAGATTTGTCTGCATAAAAAAGTAAGAAGGGCCTTAAATAAATCTTAATGTTTTCTCTTCAATTTTAGTTTAACACCGCCTTCTATTACTCAATCAACACTTCTCTATTGTCTTGTATTTGTGATTTCTATGCCATTTGGTATATCAACATATTTTGCGTTCGCCAGAAGCGCGGAAGTTCGCCCGGGCTTTAATTACAGCAAGTTGTGGTACAATATAAGGCCGCTGCCCGTCTTGTTGCCTGCAGATACGGTAGGCTTGTCCCCGACGTCCATAGAGAACTTTAATAGAGGAGTAAATACACCCAATTGTATCTTGCATACGCGGTGATTTGTTTTGGTTTTGCCTACACTACCTGCATCTACATTGCCCGTCTAACAGTAGTGACACTGCGCTATAATCAGCATATGTTCAGTGCTAAGACAATGCAGATGCAAGCGCAACTCTCAACAGCGCTATTCATTCAAACGGCGTTGCCCATTTTTACGTCTGTTGGACCTTGCATGACAATCGCTGCCTCTGCATTTTTGAACATGGACGTTGGAACTGCTGGGATCATCATGTACACCTGCTTGGCCTGGATTCCATTTTTTAATCCATTGCTAACGCTGCTCATCATCAAACCGTTTCGTTCGGCGGTTGGAAGAATTCTTAAGGGGGAAACAAGAGTGGGAGCTTCAGGTGGCTCTAACGGATCTTTTTATTGACAAAAACCTTTTCTAGGTGGAAAAAAATTGTTAAGGAGTATTAATGCAAAGACCATCTCAAATGTAGCAGTCGAGGTTTTACGAGACAGCCTTGGAAACTGAGATCTCAGGTCGGTAGCTGAATATTATATATTAGGGTGAACCAAAAGTCTTTTCGTTTTTTTTATTCAAACTTTAAACATAATTTTACAAAAAACGAAAACTAGTCAAGTTTCGAAGTAAAGGCCATTTGAATCTATGGCTTGAACCCATCTATCGGCAAGTTGTGCGATCCCGCTGCGGTACCGCTCCTTGTTCATAGAGGCGAAAAACTCGCGGCACCCGTCTTCTACATCGTCCAGATCATTGAAGCTACGACCACGCAGAAAGTGCGCCATGGACCGGAAAAGGTGGTAGTCGTATTGCGCAAGCTGCGAACTATATGCTGGGTGTGGAAGAAGTTCAATGGCGTCGAGAGTTTTCATGTTTTCCTTTGTTTGTTTGGCAGTGCGAGGTTTTGCGTTGTCTTGTTGCAGGGGTACGCGCGTTCGATTGATCAAAGCGGAATATTTTTTGCCAAACGCTGCATACATTCGATCGAGTGGAGCGTAGTAGAGCTCTGCGTCGATAGTCCGACCATTTGGAACCAACTTGAGGTGAATTACGCGTTCAAAATCGTTTTTTAAGATGTCTTGTTCTCGAGGTCCGTGTCGCCGTCGTTGAATCGTTTGAACCAATCGCGCAGTACGATCTGAGACCACATTGTAGCCTTCAACTTCGCTTATCTTCTTTGCTGCTGCAGTTGCGTTAAAGCCCTGTTTCCGGTAATGACGTAAAAAAACACGAATTTCGGATTTTTCCAGGTTTTTTCTACAGGTTAAAAGATTTTAAATAAAAGACCAATTGAAAGTTTTAATATATATTATGATAAAGCAGTTCAAGACCTTTAAAAATATATATAATACATTCATCTAAAAGTCTTTATTTCTTACAAAAACAATCGGACAAAAAGATACCTTAAAAAACGAAAAGACTTTTGGTTCACCCTAATAATTTGCTACTCATCTGAACAAAATATTGTCTATTAATATTATGTTAAATTACGAGATTATTATTTATCTGATGTTTCAACCTCTTACAAATAGATCTAATAAAAAATTCTTGGCAATATATATATTTGTTCTTCATCGTCATGCCGCCGGCTCGACCGTAAATATTGTGCTGTCTGTGGATGCTGTCGGCGGCGACATTTGCTGCGTCTTTTCGTCTTCGATTCGGTCGCTCATTTCGCGGCCAACCCGACTTATTATAAGGAAGAAGAGGACTCTAAAGTTTTATAGTTCCAAAATAAAATCATTCCATTAAAACTGCCAATCAGAGACAACTAACTTACGCTACAGCGATAATTCCAAAACCAATCACAATTAAGTACCATGCCGGCCGCGTAATTAGGAATCCAATCAAGGCTGTGGTTTCCAGGATGTACACAAAGCTTGCAAGGACTTGTCGATGCAGATGTGAGGAAAGTAGTGCACCAATCGGAGAGCAAGTGCTTGCTACCGGAACCGAAACCGAAAAGTACTCCCAGGCCAGCTGTGACACGTCCTTTTGCATTAGTTGGCGCCAGTAGAAACCAACCCAAGTGTTAAGGCACATTAAAATGACCGAAGTCGGAGTTGCAACTTTTTCTGACACCTACAACGTTCGAAAAAACGTACTATGTAAAAATTGGCTTCTCTACCCGAAAAAGAAGAGTTAACATTGAGAACGAGCAAATGTCGACTCCAGAGCCGGTCCACGCGCTCAACAATCCGCCAAACAAACCGGTAGCAAAAAGAATAAGAGCTTTTTTGGGGCCAAAATTGGGAATACTGTCGTAAGTTATACGCTTTCGTTGAGTGTTCAATATAAGCAACGATATAGCAAATGCAAACCAAATCGAGACGAACACCATCTTTTTTTGACTTCCTGAAAGTATTCGGAATTTTGCCAAAGGTATTTATAAAAAGCCGGCATGCAAATATACGATGCAATATTTATCAAATAATTTAAACCTAAAACGCACCATCAATGACGTCGTCCAGGAACTGCAGTCCGATAATTATCGAGAAAAACGCGCCAAGACTACTGAATACGATCGAATGCCACTCCACTTTGACCTTCATGTAGACCACAGTAAACGATGACGCAGCCATTCCACAGCTCTGTATCATGAGCGAAAAATCTCTTGCCACGGATGAAGGAATATGAAGGAGCAGCGTCATGACAGGGAATGCGACAGCGCCTCCACCTTCCGATGTAGCGCCTAAAATTAAAGTTGTTGGGATTTTTTGAAGAAAAGCACAGCCTTCTATTCCAGGTATTTGTCAAAAGTCGACCCTCAAAGACTGACCTGACACCAGAGCTCCCAATATCATCGTAATGGCCATTTCGTACCTTGTCGGGTACAGCGCAAAAAGATCATTCCGTATGGCCAACGACCACCAGCACAATTGGAAGAAGCAAAATGGTATCAAAAATGCAAAGTATTTGCGATATTTTTCGTGAAACGGCAGATTTTCCCTCCCACGAGTCGCAATCTTCTCCTGGAGCTTGTCATTCAGCCGCTGCCCTGAACATTGATTGGTTTAAATACCTCGAAGATGCATTACCTTCCAAAAAATACTTTTTGAAAAAATGTTTCACGCGACTTTCTTCCAGATGGCGAATTTCTTTTTGATCGTGTAAAAAGTGCCTTGGAGAGTCATGAGCAACTGGATGCACCCGCGCCGTACCAGTAGACAACTTGTCTGACAAAGGCATTGCTGTAGAAATCTTCTTTTATGGCATTGAGCAACAGCACCACTCGATGAGTACTCCGATAACTTAGATCTCCAAGACACAAATTCCCAGTATTGAACCAACCTGGTCGCCTGCAGAAATCGTTGAATTACTTCTGGTAGCGATTGCCAACTTCCAGCTAAATATTTCGCGACTCCACCTATACACGGTAGGCCACTCGTGTATAGGTGGAAAGCCCTTTGGATTTCACGCAAATTTTCCTAAAATTTAGATTTTTCTGGAGCTGAGATTTGCCATGGATCGTGAGCACGTTTAATAATAGTACACTCCTAGTATCCCTGATCACCAGAACGCCCTTTTTACTCTACAATTTCATCAAAAAAAAACCCCCAAGTCTGATTGCGAGGAAGTCAATCGAAAATCATTTCCAAAATTTTCGGCTTTGAAACAATTTTTCAAAACTTTTGGGAGGGCGGAGAAGCTTCGAGTGGACTACCTTGTATGAAAAAAGCAAAAAAAGAATTTTAAAAAGGGACATTTTCCCTCTTTATCTGCAAGTTCGAGAGCTAGAATTCCAGCGCAAAAAAAAATTAAAAAATTTGGCAAAAAATCTCGCAACAGTATTTTAAAATGACAAGCGAATACAACGCTTTACACAAAAAAAGTATAAAACAATTTCAAAGGGCAGGATGGGATGGGCGCAAACACGCGCTAGAGCCTTTTTGCAAATGATCATTTTCAAACCTTTGAAAACAGTAGCCGAAACAAAAAACCTAGCTAAAAACAACTTAACACTTTGGGGCTGAGTTGTTTTTAAGGCAAGGCCGAAGGCAAGGAATAAGTTGTGGGCATTCGCAGAATACTGTCGGAGAAAAACAAGCTTTTTGGAAACGTTCGTTGGACTTAGCAACATCGCCAAAACAGATTTTTAGAATACAATTGGACCGTTCGAACGCCCCTCATTTTCGAGAGCAACGAATACTGTGACTTAATCGATTTGCATGTTGATGAAGTTATGCAGGCATAATCGGTGCCGGGCTGTGTCAATTCCTTCCAAAACCGTGACGTCACGGCTTTTGGTTTCTGAAGTAAATATTCGCAAGAAACTTCAGAAGCCGTTACTTCAATGGGTTTGTTTTACAACCCGTTTTATTTCCTTAAACGGAGACAAAACCGTTGTTTAAAAGTTGAAACTTTTTTCACATTTTTCAATTCAAATTTATCAATTTTTGACTCAAATATTTACTTCGATAAGCGAATATCAACAAAATGATAAGTTAAAAGTGGTTTTGTTTACGGTATGAACATCCTTTGAGACATAAGACACACGGTTGCATACTGTAACAGGCAATAAAGAAATTTTGGGTTAGACGGTTATTAATTGATAAAAATGTCTGGAAATTCATTTGCTACAGTAGACACGTTAGAAAAGACAAAATAATGGAAGAGAAATTGAAAAGTAAGTTGGTCAAAGTAAATAAAGATTTCTACATTGCGGGTGGTTAGAGAAAATACAAATTAGAAACAACTACGGTAGAATACATCTTTTGTAAACAAAAACAGAATTTGTAAAAAAAAAACACTTTTGACCCGTAAAAAAGTAAAATTTTTGTGATTCTACCGTATTCTTTTCATGTTTTTTGGAAAACTATTTGATGCTTTGATAAGGTACAAATATAGATTCAGATCGTTAACTATTGGCACTCGACCCGCCATAAACCCAGTACCACATAGCTAAAAGACGGCTGGTTCAGCTGAACGGCGCAGTCGACTTCCGCCAGGCTTCGGATTCACTTCGGGTCATGCGTAGGGTTTCTGCAAGAGATTGATCGGCGGTACTGGGGATGGACCTGTCATTGTGGGTGCGCCGATGGAAGATCGGCGGCGACATGGAGGCGCTTATTCGGTGGGGGTGGTTCGGCTTGGGTTTGCGCCAGGGTGGACGGAGGAGGGTGGCGTAGGGAGCGGCGTTGGGACCGGGGGTGGGGCCTGACTGGGTGGTGGCGGTGGCAGCGGTTTTGAGGCGTTCGGGGTGGACGAGTTGGCCGACCTTGTTGAAGAGATGGGCTCCTGGAACGAAAATTCCGAATATTTCTGCTGCAACGTACGCGGACAAGGTCCAATGCCCGAAAGTGGTTCGAAATGCGTTTGAGAGTTCTTTTCAAAGCCTCTGCATGTCTCTTTTTCTATCCAAGAACAGTTTATTCCTAATTAGAAAAGGACATGTGGAGGAAATGAAAATGGTTCCCGGATGCATTTGGAACGGTTTTTGTACACGGCTTCGGACTGCAAACTTATCAGTACAAGTTTTTGCACAGACATTTGAGAAACACAATACTATCAACATTACTTTTACAGAAACGTCATTTCGATTAAAAAAGATGTCATTTCATCAAAAAAAAAAATTTTTTTTAGTCAACCACATCCAGCCAAAAAAAAAATTCTCACCAAATAATAGCTCTCCATGGAATCGTTTAAACCTAAAGTACTCGAAGAACCGGTCATATTGGATTGAGAAATGGAAGAATCCCGATGTCTTGAGTCTTTGCTCAATGATGATCCTGAAACAAAGTTTTGTGTTAATGAAACCGCTTCAAAATTTCCAACTAAACACGTATAACATTAATCTACGCTTTGTCGTAACGCGTATAAGTGTAAGAGAAGCTCAAAAAAATACTAAAAAGCAGCAAAAACAAAATACAAGTACTTTTGTTAACGAGTTAAATAGATTACCTCTGCATTCTAAGCTTTGAGATCATCGAAAATAGCAAACGAGAAAACAACATTTAGACAACAAAGGTACATATCCTTACCCTCCGAATTTCTGCTATGCGAGCTCAGCGGTCGAGGCTGATTCAGGTGGCTATGATGGTAATTCGGATGTGATTGATGCATGACTGCACCGAGGCCGTGTTGAGAAGTTGCGGACGCGCTGGCCGACCGTTGGACGGCTTGAATGGCCGGATACCGGGCCTAAACAGCGGGATTTGAAGCGAAAATTAGTGAAGAAAAGTTATGATAAAAGTTAGGTGGATTACAAAAGATGGATAGAATAGGCAAACGTAACGATATTCAATCCGCGTTGTATACAACCACTACTCTTGGCAAGTCCCCTAAGACGATTTCCCGAATTCAACCCACCTTCTCCGAGCTATGAGTGCTGTTTGAAGCGGTGTTCGCGGACGAACTTGGCGACCTCAGATCCATCAAATGGTTCTGCAGGTCGTGAACACTGCCAGGTCCCATGTGCACCACGTGCACAAAGCCTGAGGGCCCGGAAATCGGGAGCGCTGAGCGGCGATCGCTTCGGCTTTGGGAGTCGTCGCGGCTGGTCCTCACCGAAAACTTTCTTCGCCGCTTCTGCACTCCTTTGGCGGATGCGATCGTGGACTGACAATTGGGTGGGACGAAGAGCTGGTTTTCAGCGGCTGGAATCAACAATATAATGATAAAAATAAAACCCGAACAGGTGTTTTTCATCTCGGTCAGATCAAGCTTATAGCCTGGAATCAAGCAAATTGAAAAAATTTTGAAAATAGCCAGTCGAATTGATTATTTGGCAGCCAAATCATCCGTATTTGAGATTCTAAGGCCGACTCAACCGTTTGGCTAGCAATTTTTTAATTCTTTGGCGATACCAGTGAAGATTGTTTGCCTAAGCTCGAAAAGACAAGAAAAATCACCACTTACGTTCATTCAACGCGCTCAGATAGACCAAGTAAGGCATGTCGGCAACATAGCATAAGCTGAGCAAGCCCTGCTCATGTAAGGGCCTTGACTTCCTCAAGTTTATTGTCTGCACCCATTCTCCGTTGGGGACGTGGAACACATCGATCTGATAATCCGAATGCAAACAAAGGTATGGCGCATGATAGGCAAACCCGTTCTCCGCGACTCTACATGGGAACATTAGCTCTTGAGCGCGGGATCTGTGGCCATACGCGTCCACGTAGACTCCCATATTATTGAAGACCAGTAGGTATTGAGAGGGAAGATCGGTATCATCGATTGGAATCAGAAGACGGGCATCGTAGAGGGTCTTATTGAGGAATTGAAGAGAGCCGTCTTCAAGATTAACCAAGGCTAAAAAAGATTAAATCTTGAGAAAACAATTATATTTTACTTACAAATTTGCGAGTTATCAATGAGATCCCAGACTCTGAAGCCGCTCATATAGCCCACATAAAGTCGGCCGCCAATAATTCTCATAGTCTGTGGCAGAGCAGGCATAGCCAAGTCCCTCAGACGATGATGCCGCTTCTCCAACCGATTGATTTCGTAGACAATCACACTTTTCTGGACCGCAACTGCAAAATAATGAGGTGGAGTTTGGTTGGTGGATTGGGTCGTGATGGGCGAGCCATTGGCCGATGGTTCCGTCCGATGTTGTCCTTCGGCACCGTGTCCCACACAAAGCAGATGGCAGCCTTTCGTTTCGGGGACTTTGATCCATTTCAGTTCACGGCCATCCAACGCTGCAGTGGGGATGAGACGTACGTGACGGTCTTTTTGATTGCCCACAATAGCGATTAAAAGTTGTTCCTCATGATCATATTCGACCTTCTCCACAAACCGCTTGTTGTTTTCCTTTTCGCCGCCGACAGGCGTAATCGTCTAAAAGAACATGGGAACGCCATCAAAAATCGGTTCTTTATAGCAAATCGCGCGAAAAAACTAATTCTTACCTCCTTATCCAACTCCACACACATCAAGCCACAATCTTGGAAGCCGATGACAAACTTCTGCCGGTCAATTATGGCAGCGCAATGAGCTGTCCGTAAGAGAGGAAGAGCCGTCATGTCGACCAATTCTTTTATGCCGTACGCATTTTTGCTGACTAAACCACTTCTTGAGGCCAGTCCCTTCAATTCATTCAACGCAATCGTCCATTTCTTGGCTTCGGCTTCTGTTTCGGTCATCAGAAGGGCGTACTGTCTCAATGGGCTCTGAAGGTTGGAATTGGAGCTGGTCGAGCTTTGCGACCCAATCGTATCATTCCCATTTTGAGGGGACAGAACTTGGGAGCACATCACTTTGAAAATTTTTGGCAGTTCAGACTTTGAGGCGTGAATTGCGTCATTTTCCGTGACCTTGTCCACTTTGAACTCGGGATCCCGCATGTCGAATACTTGTCGAACGCTGGTCTCAATCTGAACCGGCTTCCCATGTTTATCGCAAGTACAATCGTAAAGGTAGAGTTTGAAGTCTCCAACCACGACATAGGTGATGAGCCAGCCTTTCTTGATGCCCGCGGGCTTGGGAGTTTTGAGGAAGCCTTCGTATGCGGTTCCCGTTCCTTTTTGCGGATCGATTCCGAGAGGTCGGCGCTGGTCTTCGGGCACTGGACATTCCGAGGAGATCTTGGACACGCAGTTGACATGACAGGGGATGTGGCAATCCTGACAAGTCATACCTAAAGCAGATATATAAATTTCTGTGAAGAAAGAAAAATATGGTGCTATAGACAAAACTGGCTGCGCCTAGCAATGTATTTATATAGGAGGGAAGAAATACCAAAGAAAAATCTGTCCAAGTATAGGAAATCATAAGCTAAAGCCGATGCAATTGAGTCATATGTAAAATAAACACTTCTTTTTGCTGAAAACCCGACTCCCCGCTCTGATTTCCTTGTCTTTCTTCAAAAACACTCCAATATCCCAGACTACATACCCTGTCGATCCAATCCGACGAGAATCGATGTGCACAGGCCGCATTTCGTTGGTTCTCGAAGAATGGCGTAGGCAAATCGATGGCCCTTCCCATTCAAGGCATTGTTTATCGATTGAAGTGTTTTGGGATACGATTTTTGAACGGGTTGAGCCCGTTGCTCCGGCGTTGAGGAGTAGAATGAAGCCATTGGGCTGGCCGAAGAGAAGGTGTTCTCATACGAGGGGGCATTGCTGAAAATTTTGTATTGTAATTGGAAACAATCAAAAAAAGATTGAATCTAAAAAAAGCGACCTTAAAACCGAACCCATAATTTGAATAGACAATTATTTGTAGTTGCTACCTCCATAAGACGGCACTATCAAATTACTTTGAAAATTTCAAAATTACAGTGTAATAAAAACAAACACAGCACAAAAACAGGCACAGATATCTCCATTAGTGATGTCAAACTCAAGCCATAGGAAAAACATGCAGACTCGTTGACAAAGCGTTCAAAACGACGTGTTTATTCGTAAAAAACAAGGGTAAATTAAAAACAGTGAAAGTTAAAACAAATGTGCAATGTTAATATGTACATGAAAGAAAAAAGGAAGCAAAAACATAGGTGAAAACTCCGTTTTAAATTTTGCAAATACTGGTTAAAAACTAAAACCCAAATTCTGGAACAAAAACAACAAAAAACAGAGGCAATAACTTCCAACTGGACACTCAAAAATTTTCAAATCTCTAATATTTCAAGTTGTGAAACTAACAGACCTGGGAATGTAGGCGAGATTCGAATTTCTGGTGACCGGGCTCTCGTAATCCGACAGAAGACGGCGATCTTGCGGTGATCCTAAAGAATGAACAAAATCAAACGTCGCTAAATGGGGACTTACTCATTGACCCGTAATTCGATGAAAAATCTTGTCCAATGGCATTGAAGAAGGCGGGATTAATTAGATGGTTGTTTTCAGCGACCGGGCTCAATTCGGAGTTCTGTCGTTCTCGGAGGACTTGGCACTCGCTTTCGTACCGCTCCAACTCTTGTACCTAAACTCAGAAGACAAAATCAGATTGAATTTACAGAAAATACCTTTCTCCGCGTAACATGTAAATTCTTCTCCATTTCGTCGTACTTCGCGCGCATTTTCCTTAGCTCTTCTTGTAATTGTTGTTTTGCTCTGATCTCGGCCTCTAATTGTTGCTGTGCTTCAAATCTTCCATATTTGGCCTGTTTGGTCATCCTTCTCGAGCCCCATGCCTTGTCACTTGTTCCATACGGACTATTCGAGTATATGTTTTGTTTCTGTCCATTCGTTGGGGTCGACGGGGACTTGGAGTGCTGAGCCAGGGCCTCCATGTCAGTTGCGAGCCGAGTGGCGAGGCCTTGCAAGTGTTCGCGGGCTTCCTTTTCGTCGCTGACCATTCGAAGCAGCTCCTCCATCTCCTCTTGACTGAATTGTGGGAGAGCGTGCTGGCTAAAAATGCGAACAATTGAATAAATACCAAAGATCTTAAAAAACGGTTTTCAAAACAATTAATCCTACAGTCTATTTTCCAAGTTCTCATTGTCCTGCTTCAGATTTGCGTTTTCTTGCTTCAAAGAGTAGATCTCTGCTTCCAAAGCCGAGATCTTTTTGCCTAATCCGCTTTCCAGATCCTCAATTTTCTCTCGAGATTGTGATTCCAATCTCTGTTGCTGTTCCTCGTGCTCAACAACCAACCTCTTTATCCGGGTCTGCAATTCCTCCGCCTCCTTTTTGTAATTTTCTACGATCTCCGCGCGTTTAACCTCTTCGGCCGTTCGGAGTTCGTTGAAATGCTCTTGCAGTCGTTGCAGCTCGTTGTTTAATCGTTGAACTTCTTCGCCTTCGTCTCCTTTCGAGCTCTCCACGTCAAGTTTTGCTTGGAGAACACTAACAGTAACCCTTTGAGCATCAAGTTCCTTTGAGAGATGTTCTGATTGCAATTCGAATTCTTCGGCGGCCTTCTTCAAGCGTTGATTGTCATTTTCCAGGCTTTCAACAACTTCCTGACTTTTCTTCAGGTTGGATTGAACATGTTGAAGGTCCGATTCCAAGCGACTTCTATTTCTCTTCTCTTCATCAAGCGATTCTTCGGCACGGATGAGTTCAGACTGCAGCTGATCCAATTTCTGACTCAGCTCAGATTCCGACGAGGTCAACGTAGTAAGGCGTTCGGCGTTATCTTCGAGTTCCTAAAGAACAACATGACAAAACAAAAAATTGTCCTTACTCTTTGCAAGTCCTGTTTTTCAAGGATTAACTGACGGTTCTTATCCTTCAAATCCTTGACCTTCTTCTCCAAATCTTCGACATTTGCTTCTTTCAGAGGCCTGGCCTGATTAGCTTCGTCTTCCAACCGCCGTTTCAAGATTTGTATTTCGTCTTTCAGTTGGGCAATCAACGTTTCAGACTCTTCATCCTTCGTTGAATTCATAATTCCAGACAATTGTTTTTGAAGTACACTACGCTCATTCTCCAGACGTTCCAACGCTTCAGGCTTGACGCTCTCAGTGCCTTCAGCGAACGTTGCTTCCGCCAAGTTGCACATATCACTCAGCTGAGACCCATGTGTATAAGTGAAGCCGACAAATGGTAGATGGTGGCCAGTGAAAGCGGCAGAAACATTCGGCGGTTGGGTGTTCACCGGGGTAAAATCGTTTTCGAATTCGTCAAAGTTTGAAGTATCCGTCTCGGACGAAACTTCTGGAACATAAGGTGCGGTTGCTAAAAAGAGAGGCAAATCATCGAATGGCCTTAAAAATGAATACAAAATAGTTTGAAACTTACAATTCCTGATGTTTTGCCAATCAATTCCTTCGAAGAATGGGTGATTTCTAAAGTCCTCGAGGCCATTCTTTCCCAGTCTCTGCTCACGAGCACAGATCAACTTCGAAACAAGATCTTTGGCGGCATCACTGATCTCGATGTCCTCCGGGAACTCAAACATTTGCTGAAACGGGGGTTATTACTCCACTCAACTTTATAAGCCATTTACGCTCCTCAAAACTTTGCAATCCGTAAAATAAATACTCTTCTTGTCCATCCGAAAAATTCTCACCTCGTGATTCATGATCTGGCCGTAGGTGTCGACCAAGCTGTCAGCGTAAAATGGAGTCTCGCCGAAGAGCATCTCATACATGCAGATTCCCAGCGACCACCAGTCGCACTCCGCACCGTACGTCTCATGCCCGCTTTCCACGGCTCGCAACGTCTCGGGCGAGATGTAGTCCGGCGTTCCCACGGCTGTCGTGGCTCTGACCGTCCCATCGGGCAGTCTCTTCAAACAACTTCCAAAGTCGCCCAGCTTTATGTGCCCGGACCGGTCCAGCAGGATATTGTCGGGTTTGATGTCGCGATGCACATAGCCGAGTTGATGAACAGAATCGATCGCCAAAATCATCTCCGCCACATAGAAACGAGTCATGGATTCGGGCAGACGGACTTCGAACTTGGACAACAAGGTTAGCAGATCGCCACCAACGTAATATTCCATTACAAGATAGAGGTTCTTCTCATCTTGGAAAGCAAAATGAATGTTGGTGATCCATTGCCGATCGCCAAAAACCATCACATCGCGTTCTTCTTTGAAGCAAGCCGTCTCGGCCCTCTTTAGCATCTCCCATTTGTTCAGGATCTTCATGGCAAACACCTAAAAAACATATGTTATTCATTAAAGTAAAACCAATATTCTCCAAAAAAGAGAATTTAATAAAGTTTGTACAGAGCATGGAAAGTAGGGACTTACTTTATCAGTATTCTTCAATTTAACAACAGCAACTTCTCCAAAAGATCCCCGTCCAATAACCTTGAGGACGTCAAAGTCTTCTCTCGACAGTCGAAGAGCCTTTACCTGGTTCACCGTCGGCCTCACTAAAAATATAGTCAATATAGACTCAAATAACCATCAAAACCCAGTTCGAATAATATAGAAGCCACTTTTTGAGAAACAACATACCTAAAAACTAACACAAATAAAAAAAACTTGCCATAATCCACAAATTCAGCGATTGATTTCTCCCTTCTAAGTGTTGAATTGCAACATTCATCGTAGAGGCAGACTAAGGAGTCTAACAACGTCTCCAATGACAATGAGGAATCGTAAGGGGCTCCACATAAATACAACCGCTCCAACTTCTTCAACCTCTCCAGTGCCGACATTTTACATTTGTGTGGTTAGCACTGGCCTGAAATGCAATAAATAAATATAGATCAGCACACGCACACAATTAAAGTACAGTGGAGACAATGCACAGGCTGAAATTCATGTAAATATCCAAAAATAATCGCTCTTATCTATCGTCTTGCCTTATATAATCTGACAATACTTGTAGAATGCAATTGAAAAGCTATACCAAAAATTAAATTCGACTTTGAGAGACTAAAAAAGGGTCTAAAATTTCTTTTACAAGATTTAAGAATTTCGAACTTCAATAAACAGACGAGCAAAAATTCGATGAGTCAAGCGTTACGAGCCTGTGAACGAAGCATAAAACAGACAAAAAAAACTCAATTCCTCTGCCATATTACCCATTTATAGGTTGAAAATAAGTAAAATATCGACCAGAAATCAAAATAAAATTTCAGGTAATATTCTCCTGCATAAAGATTTCGCATTGAGATGGCAAAACTCTTTAAAAAAACGATCGATTAGGCTTGGCGTTGGTACCCAGAGTTGTAAATAAACTTTCGGCCAGATGTGTGCATCATTCCTCGCAAAATCGGCTATTTTTTTCTCCGACAGAATGCCAAGAAATTCGCGAGCACAATTTTTTGCGGCGGGAGAAAAACGCTTGTTTGCGGCAGAAAAAAGTCGCATTTCTAAAGTCCCGAGATGTGAAATAACGTGTCTGGAAGTTTTATAGATCCAGAATTGAACTTGACGTTCCTTGTCGAACCTTGTTTCATATTCAAAAATAGATTTAAAGATAAAAAGGTATAAGAAATAAGAACAACGTTTTTAGTCGTAAAAATCCGAGCTTGTTGCGAATGCGACAGAATCTACCGCGACAAGTTTTGGAGTTTATTCGTGAACCGTGGAATCGGGTTAACATTGCCTAGTATAAGGTCCCGCTGATTTGATTAGCACGCGGAAATGCAAGCCGCATTAATTTCCTGACAGCAGGCTGGATGGGGCTTAATTTGGGCTAAACTTGCGTTAATTGGAACCGAGTTTTTCGTAACCTGTAACGAAATGTTAAACATTGCAAGATGCAGCGAATTATGGTTTGGGGAGTGCTGTGGAGTAGTTTACAAGCGTCTCTAATCGAGAGGTTCTTGAAACCACACGTTTTTGAGGGGAGAGAGGAGACGGAGCGCGTCACATTCACTTGACCTCAGCCCGGCTTGACCTCTTTTCGGTGGCTTGTTGCAGGCTGTTCGGATGAGTTACACGTCCCGGATCCGCCGATCTCAAGGAGTGTTTATCAGCGCTCAAATCACTCTTCTCATGTTCAGTAGTGAAGAGCAACGGCCAAGGGGTACTTGCAGAAGATAAAAATCGCGCGAGCAGGTTATAGTGGATTGTTAAATATGCTTTTAGTCCATTGAAAAAAATACTTGTAGAACAAACGTAAAAAAATGGTCAGGCATGAGATTAGAATACATCTGGTGATGGGCATGTCTTAGATAGAAGTTCAGTGAAATTTCAAAACACTTGTGCACATTTCAAGCCCATTAAACTGGAGAAGGGACTAGGGCACGAAGGTCCTTGGGAAAACAAAAAGGACATGAATTTCAAAACAAATGGTCATTTTGGAATCTTTTTTAGAGAAATGAAAATTCATCACAGATACGAAAAATTTTATCGCGAATTACTTGCCATGCCGGCGAAATTGTTAACGAAAAAGTGTTTTGACAATCTTAATGAGATTTTGAAGCCACTCCAACTTATTGTATAGGTATTTTGATGAAATGACTGCCAAATTTTAATTTTGCGGCCATTTCAAACTTAAAAGTTCTTGAGAATCAATGGTAACTTTTTCTCGCTGAAAAGGATTCCAGAACAACCCATTTGGGCCAGTTAAACTTGTTGGTTTGCCCTTTTCAACGATTAAGTAAATTACACTCAGTAAATACGATCTGCCCGTATAACTGCCAAATATAAAATGATTTCACAAAGTTTCCTCAAAGCAAAGCTAAACCGAATCAATAGACAAAAAATGGTTTTATTGAAAAAGATCCATCCCCGGCTCGTGGAGTCAAAGCCGCCAGAGGCATCGACGGCTCTGTTGCACCGTCCGGCGACGCACTCCACTGCGCTGTGGGAGAGGGAAACGGAAGAGGAATGACCAAAAAAGGCAAAAGGAACATAAGCGAATAAATATTTCGAATTCGCCTGAGCGGCTGAAAAGTCATCTTTCAGAAATCCCTTTTTCTTCAGGACTTTGTGATCAAAAAATGGGCGAATAACGGATAAAACTGCTGACCAATGCCCCCAGAATAATCCATCATTTGGCGCGTCTTAACGTCCAATGATTCGATTCAAATCGGCGATATTTTGAAAGTTTATAAAGTGCGCTTTACATGAAAAGGCAATTTTCTACGGCTGCCAAAAACCCTATTCTTCCGATAAAGCGTTTTATGAGCTCATGTTTTCTCATTTTAGCGACCAACAATAACAAGATAATAAAATTTGATAATGATCAAAATAGTCTTCGGAAAACTATTTTGGAAAGCGCATTGGGTTTGTAAACTTAACAATAAGATGCGCCTCATCCTCCCGTCCAAAAGCCCGCCGAAAATTGCCGTTTGGAATAGAACAGAGAAAAGAGATTCGCAGAAAAAATCTGACTCACTCTTCTGATCCGTAGGGACATAAAAAAGAATGGGCGAGGGATGAAATAATGAAACTTTAAAAGCTGCACTAAATTCTTCTTTTTTATACATAATTATAGAAAGAAATGTCTTCAAAACAGTCGCAAGTTTCAAATTCCTCCTTATCAAAGTATGAGACTGCTTTCTAATGGGATCTCGCGTGTTCCGCGAAGCTTTTTTGGGATCACGATTGAAAGAATTGCAGAGAAGAAGCGACAAAAAGCCTTTTTAAACAATTTCGCCTTCAAAAGTCTAACGACACAGAGGGGATGAGCGAAGGAAAAATGAGTATTGAGTTATCTCTCTTTCGTCATCAGTGGACTTGTGTTTTTGCTGTTTATTTAGGCGCTGGTCGGCTAAATTAGAATTTTTTTAGAACAATGACTTTGCTTGCACTTTAATTTAAATCTAAATCTATTGGGGCTAACATATAATATCTATCTACTGTGCGATATTGGTCAATTGTTTATTAAAACGAATGTAGAATCTAGCATAAGAATTCGGTTAATTTACAGGAAAAAACTCCCCTCATCCGAGGAAAAGATTTAATACAATATAGGGCGGAAAACATGCAAGTAATTGGGAGAAAATTTTCACTTTGACAGTTTCCAAACGTCGCCATCAAATATGCCTTATCCAGTCCCTCATGTAATCCGTACTGTTGTCCAGCATCGCATGTGTGAGCTCTCTGCGGATCCTCAGAATCAACACGCGCTCATAATTATTGAGTCGGCGTTGAGACACATATGTGTCGAGCTGATCAAGGAGCTGCATGCATTCATTCATCTGGTGCTCGCCACGCTGCAGACCACGAATGTCCCGGAGGCGTTGAGAAGTTGATGAGAAGAAATCACCCATCAAAATCCGCGGCTGTAATGTCGGCAATTTAGCAGCTGAAAGAGGGCCAAAGCGCGGTAAATTTTACTAGACTGGGTCGAGCGGAAAAGGGTCGTTTTTGAACAGCTTCTCCATGATATTTACAAAGCTTGAGAAAGTAATTTCTGACATGGCCAAAAGGCGTCTTACCAAGTTTATAAACTCCTCAATGCAAGTTTCGGGCATTAAAAGAAACTGAGATAATTGTTCGTAATATGGCTATGTCTGTATGTCTACACGTGTCACTTAATTATATATTAGGGTAAGAAGAAGCTCTCATTGGGAACCGAAAACGCCGATAGTACTTGGAAAGCCATAAAAACGGCAAAGCGAATTAACCTTGTTGCTCAAAGATTTAAGAATTGAAATACTCTTCAAGCCCATCAGTTTTGAACAACCCGGATTGTGCAGGCGACACATCATTATCGAGGGTTTGCGATCGAATTCAGAGCATTCCGTTGATTTGCATATTTAGTGCGGCGAGGAGATTGTGGTATATCAACGCCGAAAATGGTCAAGAGCTGATTGTGATTTCGTCACAAAGCATGCGGTTGAACTTTCACAATAATTAAAGACAAATTTTAATCTTTGGATTTTGAGCGAAATGTTGTAGCAAAAGTTGAAAAAATCTTTCCGAAACTCAAAATGAAAAAAAACGAGAAGTTAATTTTCTGATTTCCATTTTCTAAAATCTTGTTGGTAAGCGGTTGTTGCATTCCCCGGCTTTCGTCTTGGCTTCTGTATTTATCAATTCAAGCCATGTTGTTGCTATCGGTTCTATTTGTTCTGCTTCTCGGCATCCATGTTGAACTCGTCATTATTTGTGGAAAGAAGAAAAAGGTGATAAAATCGAACCAAATGGGCATCGCAGGTAAGTTCCGGAACGTTCTGGTCTGATGACTTAGCAAGTTTGTTCGCATTCTTATTTCATTTTGGATGCTGTGGACCTTGTTTTGATGCACCGAAAATTTAGCTCTTTATTTCAGGTGACGTTGTGAATGACGCGGGCGATAAGCCGCCTATGAGAAAAGTGGAAAAGAGCGAGCGTTTGTCAATTCATGGGTCCGAAGACGATGAGGAAGTCAAGATGCCGCCCATGGTCGTCAACGATGTCCCGAATCTGCGGTCGCAAGCCACACAGGCCAGCCAGACGAGGAATACGGAGGATACTCAAGAAGACGCAAGTCAAGGAACTGCACAACATAAGGTATTTCTTGTGTAGGCTGTTGATTCTTTAATTTTTCCAGTCAATTAACAAGTCCGCCGGTGGATCAGCCAAAAACATGAAAACGAGTGTCGAACCCTCTAAAGTGCAATCATGTCAGAACTAGGAGCAATCACATCCTCGCATTGTGGGGAAATCCCAACCTACAAAACAGCCAATCGAATAGCAAAGGCAAAAGGTTTGATGGAATAAAATATATACATCAACAATACATGTGTTTCTTCTCTCCGGTTTATTTACAAAATAAGCTTCTTCCACCTTTTTTACACTGAAAATTTACAATTGAGTCGAGCAATATAAATAGGTCTTCCTAGAGACCGTTTCCGATTCCGAAGCTAATATCAAACGCTCGCGTGTCGCTGGCTCCATAACTTGATCGGCCCATAATATTGCTTGGTTGGTACTGGTAATAGTTTCGATACGCGCCGTTGTAGAGTCCATAGTTTCCATACTGAGCGGTAGTCAGTGTAATAGCCAACATAGCGAATAAAAGAGCGTAAGTGATGACTTTATTCTGCATAATTTCGAGCTACGAATATAGAGCTCTGACCTAGAACGGTTGAGTTTTATGACAATAGCCTTCCTTTTAAATTCTTGCCTTCCGCCCTCTCTTTTATACTCTGGATGTTTACAGACGTTGGGAAATATATTTTTAGAATTCACAGCTGGATTCAGGTAAGAATTGCCATTCACGGGTAGTTGGATTTGCAAAGTTATGACAGGGGAGCAAAAACCTTCCATATCATGACGTCGAAGATCAGCCGGAATCATACAAAGTTCATCGAAGGTGCAAACTGCCAAAATAAAAAAAGGTCAAACGCATATTATGAAAAAATCAGCAAACTTTTGCTTGAAGAATTTCTCAGCTAGAGCTGCTAGCGTTATCATGGGATATCTTGTCAGGTACGGTAGACTATGTATAAAAAAATTCCTTCCCATAAAACAAGGGCTGAATATAAGCAGCAATTTCATAGGTCGCAAAGAGCATCTGAGCAACTAAAACATTCTTTGACAAATAAATTTTTGGTCTCTTGGGGTCTACAGTATGAAGTTAGCCAAGCGTTTTCGGTATCCTGGGGGCTTTTTCAGGGCTGGAATGCTCTTGGAGCAGCCGTGATCATTGATGGCTATAGCTTTCTTTGTTGTTATGAAATGTGATAATTTTATTTATCGTATATAAATTTATTCGTTCATTTCAAAATTACAAGTAAAAGGCTGGTCGATAACAAATAAGTGAACACAAGGGATTTGACTCCTTGTTCGGGACTTTCGATGCCACAATCGTTCTTTCGTATGTAAAGAGTAAGACGGGGGGATGCGTTTGGGGGAAAATGAAATAATTATAAGGACACTGTACAACATAAGGCACGCCGGTGGCTGTTTTCTTACAGTATGATTAAAAAATGGTAAAAACAAGAAAAAAAATTTAAAACGAGACTAAAAATTATTTCAATTCAAATATCAATAAATGTTGATAAAAGTAAGAAAAGTAAGAAAGAAGTTGACTATACATGTATCACAGTTTTCTTTGACGGTAACTTTGTGTGTTCCGCAGCGGATGTGGTCATTAGATATGGGAGTAAAAAAGGGGTATCGAATTATGAAAAAGTTGTTGGTAAAAAATGTAGCGATAATGAATAATATAGGATAATCAAAAATTAAAAAGATGACATGTACAATATTTAGAAGTCATATTTAGTAGAACTAAATTAATTTAAAATAAGTTTGATATGTATTCGAAGCCTGGAGTGTCAAGCAGTCGTTGAACTGCGACTTCTCCAGAAAGAATTTGGCTCTTGGGTTTCACATACTAGTATGGTAATAGAAAAAGGGTAATATTAAGAAATGTCGGATAAAATACGGTCTGAAGGTCGGATGGTTGTACGTTCGGAAGCCGGTTGTCTGACGAAATAAACACCCAACATGATTCATGTTAAGTACGGTGAATCGTGGTATAAATGCATCGAGTTGCCGATCAAAACAAGTGGCTCATGAACTTAAACTTAAACAATCCAAAATGCCGTCGCGTTGTGTGCTTCTGGACCTCGTTACAACCATTTCAAAAAACGCAGTAACTGAAACGAATCGATGAGGAAGATAGAATAAAACTCACATTAATTCGAGGAGCTGCAAAGGATTGAACGTCTTCATAACAAAATCGTTGTCGCAAAGGTCGCTACAAAGATGATGCATTCGGAAGAATACTTCTTATAGGAAATTTCATTACGAACGTCAGATTTAATAACCAATCAAGTTCGTTGGGATCGTTTTCAAGCTTACGTCATGATTTATGCGTAAGCCAGGGTTGACCTGAAAAACATTTTGGGGTAAATATTGTTATCTCTATGCACGCGAAAGGCACTACGCAGCATCCCAACTTAGCACGTTTCAGCTCTCGAAAAGACTTGCTTTTGTAGGCGAATACCAGCCTAAACAAACAAGTGATCGAAAAATAAATAAATCAGATAATATGGGGGCATTCCAGCAACTGCAGCAAGGGTACATATGTAAATTGACACCACTCTCATAAACAACGGAATGCGTAGAGCTGAAAATCTGGGTTGAGCTCTGATGATAAAGAAAGGGCACAAAACTTGCGGCGAGAATACAAAAGCGGCTTTCCATCACTCAGTTCAGCCGATTTTATCTCTCGCATGGGTGAGGCTCTTCTGTCTTTTGAGGTATATCGGAGAAAAGGGATAGATGCGTGAGAGAATTCTAGCGGTCGGAAAAAACTTTCGTACAAAAGAGCAAATTGAAATCAATTTGTGGAAACTGCCGCGAAAACTAGGTGAGCGCTATGTCGTCAAGACCGACTTCTAAAGTCTCAAAAATTCTATTCTTATCGGCGCAACATCTTGATTGCCGATAAAAAAAGGTTGCGTTTCCCCAATAAAGAGGCTGGGCGCTGCAAAACAAACAGGCAAGATATCTGCGAGTCGAACTCTTCCTTGACTTTGTGGTTAAGCCCACGGCCGGAAAATTATGAAAATTTCTCCCGTTAATAAATCAGCTATGCTTATTTTTGGCCCCTAGATATTAGGACTAAAACAACTAAGTGCGCCGGTTAACTATTGGTTAAATTCACATAAGTACACGTCATGTTAACAACCGCCACAACCAAAAATGGAAAACTGTTTCCGATTCTATTCGAGAAGGCTTCTCCCCTGTTTGCCTCTCTCTCTCTGATTGATCAGGTGAATAATCGATAGAATAAATACAAAAAAGCGCACCGCAGGGTTTGTCGGGAAAGAGAGGGATGAAGGGTCGGGAGAAGAGGAATACAAGGGCTCATTGAAATTCAAATACTTTATTCCGATCAGCCTCAAAAAGAGTAGATGGGATTAAGGCCATATTGATGCTTATTATATGGCACGGCGTGGTGATCAGAATATTTTGAACAGAGAAAAACAACCGACACACGTTAAGCAACCTTGGTACGACAAAAATGAGTCTATCGGTTTTTATAGTTGGTCCTTTATTCACGTCACTGACCCTACAAAAATATCACAAAGCTTTAAAGAATTGTGTTAAGACTTTTGTGAAGGAACACAACGGCAATATTGAAAAAAAAGATTCCGTTCCTATTTCTGGTGTTCAGAGGAATCCGACTACAGTCTCTGACAAAAGTGCCCGGCACACCTTTCCCCGCACTGTCCTCGCCCATTCACTTTTTTTGCCCCCCAAAGATCCGTCGGCACTTTTTTTCGATCCATTCCCGAGCACTGCCTAAACAAATGACCTCGCGCCCCCTTCTCTCGACTCAGGTCCGCTTTGAATTCGTGCGCAAGAAAAGGTCGAAGTGTCATTAAAAAACTTGACCATACCTCCCAGCAAAATCGATGATAGAGAAGGATCCGCTTGATACACGAAGAAAGCACATACTGATATCTTTATTAATAAACGCCTTTGTGTAATCCAGATTTCTTGTATCTCTTGTATGTAAATATTTTATGGCAGAAAAATAAAGTTATAAGATTTGTTATATTAAAGTCCATTCCCAATTCCGTAGCTAACGTCGAATGCACGTACACCGCTCGACCCGTAACTGGCTCGGCCGAGAAGACCACTGGGCTGGAAGTTGGTGTAATATCGGTAGGCGCCGTTGTAAACGCTAAGTGGAACAAATTGCGCAGTAGCCAGATTAGAAATATGCATATAGAAAAATACGAGGAAGATTAAAAATCTCATGGCAGCCTGGGTTTTTGTCTGGAATTTCTTCTGTGATTACTGATGAATTGGTCAACTCTTTTTGTACCCATAGCCTCTAACGTGATTAAGTATTATTTATATTTTTAGCATTCCAAGGGTTGCTCCGCTGGATGCAAGCCTCAAATTCCTGCGTTAAAAGATCTTCTAAAAGACCCTCGTGGTTTTTTTGAAATTATGCAACGTGACATTTGATTCATAGAGGAAATCTACATACTACTGTAATGTCAAAAAAATTTGAAGCTGGAGTCCAAATCTATAAGAAAACGAAAATTTGGGGTCGCCAGGAATTGTTGTTAAAAGCTTACCGGAGTCCGCAATTGTGCTTTTTCAAAGTTTTCATATGACTGAAAGGTACAAAACGTTTTTTGTGTTATACACATGTGCGTTACAAACAAGACATGTGTATCTTTTGTGTATTTTCATAATTTACAATATGTATACAGATATGTCATAGAGACATTGGTTAGAGAGTCGTTTTAGAGCGGGGAATCCTATTTATAATATTAGCCGGCTTCTTGAAACTATGAATTTCACAAAATACATATTCCATGTTTAAAGGGTTCCAATGGTCGTATTTTACATAATTCCAAAAAAGTTCCGGTTTGTCTGTCAAAGGGTCTTGTTTACTCCCAGATCAAACTTTTGAACACTAGTAATGTGACATAATTTGCATAAACATCCATAAAAAGTTTTCTGTGAAAAACATCGAACGACTCTTCCTATCTGTGCTCTTACCCTTTGACCGGTTGTAAATATTTTTATGCGTTTAACGAACGTGAACACCTCATTTCTTCGGCTAGGTAAACACATGCCAATTGTAAGGAACATCGGTAATAAAGGTTTTTTTAGCTTTGATAAGCCAAGAATTTATCAGTCAAGAGGAATGGTTGCAGCATGGGTGAGGTGTTGGACGCATATAAATACACCGAGCGGCTCGGCAGAGACGGCTGCCAGTTATGAGGTCAACTCTGTTGCTCATTATCGGGTTTGTTGGGGCTAATTGCAAGGAAGCGTTGAAGAGGAACGTAAATATTAGTTCTGATTTCTCTTCCGATGTCACCTACCAAGCTGGACTGTCGACTGTAGGGCTTGGTTTCGTATTATGACCTCGTTTTCAGCCTGAGTTGATATTGTATTGGGGTTATCCTGTTCAAACGTATGACGTCGTGACGGAAGATGGCTACATTTTGCAGCTTCATCGCATACCATATGGAAGAAACGCGCAGCCAGCAGACAAAAAACCCGTCGTCTTCCTCCAGCATGGCCTCGAAGCCAGCAGCAATAATTGGGTATCCAACCTGCCGCATCAATCCGCTGCCTTTATTTTTGCTGATCAGGGCTTCGACGTATGGATGGGCAACATGCGCGGTAATCGTTACAGTAAGCGCCATGTGAGATTGCATCCCATGAAAAAGGATTTTTGGCGGTTTTCCTTCGACCAAATGGCAAAGTATGATCTCGACGCAATGATCAATGCGGTTCTGAACGAGACGGGCCATGAGAGCCTTTACTATGTTGGGCATAGCCAAGGAACGTTGACTATGTTTAGCAAGTTGAGCATGGATCCGAATTTTAACAAAAAGGTAACACAATTTTTTGCGTTATTTTGATTATGACCCTAACCTTATACAAATTTCAGATCAAAAAATTTTTCGCTCTTGCGCCGGTTGGAACAGTTAAACATATTGGTGGAATTCTTAAATTCATTGCACATACCTTTTATGACCTTGTTAGGATTGGCTCTAAATTTGTGGGAAACGGGGAATTCCTTCCTAACTCGTGGTTATATCGAACATTTACTCAACTTATTTGCGGTGACAAGCTTGGCAATGTGTTATGCGACAATTTTCTGTTCTTGATTACCGGTCCGGACTCTCATCAAATTAATGTCACAAGGACACCAGTATATGCGGCACAAGTGCCCGCTGGCACCAGCGTCCAGAATATTATCCACTGGGCTCAGCTGGTCAGAACCGGAGCCCTCAAGCAGTACGATTTTGCCAATTTGAAAGAAAACATTCAACACTACGGTAGCAAAACGCCCCCGGCATACAACCTAAAGCAAACCAACGCCCCGGTGTACCTATTTTGGAGTGATTTCGACTGGTTGGCGGACAAAAAAGACATTGAAGAGTTCTTGATTCCCAATTTGCGCAAAGATTATTTGGTGGTAGGTGATCTGGCAGAGTATTTGTCGCGAGTTACTGAAGAAAGTTCGTTCTAGTGCGTACACTGTGCTGCTCTTTTCAGGAGAATATCCAAATTCCAAAATATAACCACATGGACTTTGTTTTCGGTGTAAATGCCAGCCAAGACGTTTACTATCCGATACTAAACAGAATTCGACTTGATTTGGGGAAGCAACCGATTGAATTCAATAACTACGTGTTTTAATAAAAAAACGGTTTTTATTGTGCCATACTAATCACATGATAAAGTAACCTCAATTTTCCATATTTATTAACCGCCCTGATTTTGTCGGCATTGTGGGCCATGAGGCTGCATAAACTTTTTCCAGCGTTGCTTAAAGAATTCTAAGGGTATTCCATCCTTGTATTGTTCACAGTCCTTGATGTCGCCGGTTATGTCATAGATTTCTTCAGAATTTCTGCGGTAGAGAACCTAAAATAAAATAAAACGTTAAGCATGCAACCTTTTAAGAGCGTGAGTTTCCATGTAACTGTTGATAACGCGCGTAATTTTCTAGATAGCATAACAAGAAAAGTGTAGTTTTCAAGGCACTGACTCTGCTGGAACCTACCTTAATATAATGCTCTCCATCTGGTTTTTCCCAAAGCTCAATAAACACTGATGCCCCTAACGAGACATTGAAGTCCTGATTGTAGTCCAGTCTGTCAAATTCAAACGTGGCCAACAAGGCTAACACAACTGTATCGTGCTGAAATACGCTTGTAAGCTTTAGGTTCTAATTGCATACCGCGGAGAAGACGTAGTATTTGATGTCTCTGGCATGTGGTTTCTCCGAGATCTTGTCGTCAATGTTCTTAACAATTTGCTCGAGCAATCCGCTCGCCATTGCTTTCCGGATTACTAGGCGAGACTCGTCGGTGTGGCCAACTGAAAATTTCAAAAATACGGCACTCACTTACTGTAGCCATAAAGATTTTTCAAACTATCTCTGTGTGCCATGTCAATTTCGTCGTATATGTCTTCAAATTCCTTTGGCAATTTTAGACCATGGTGTTTCTAAAAAACGAAGAGTGAGCTACTGTGAGCATGAATGCTGCGACATACTAGGGTGGTGAAAGGATCAGTCAGGAAAAGAGCGTCAACAAATGTTGCAAACTTTTGGCCCGTTGCAGCCACCATTTTTTGCAGGACTGTCTAAAAATACAATAAGGATGTGATTACAGTTGTGTGTCACAGAAAGAAGACTTGGGTCACCAGTATTATTACTTTCTTAACAAGGTATTAAACAGTTACCTCGTATTTTTTTCTATATTCTTTCATTGGCTCTCCATTGCCACATTTGACAATCTCGGCTCTAGCCTTCAGACAACATCTGAACGGAAGGTGAACACAATCCTCGTTTTTAAAGGTGTGGACTTTTGGCTGTTTAAAGTCAGGGTCATGTTCGTAGAGAGCCCTAAAATTCTCGGCGGCACTTTCGATTGTTCTAGGAACCACACTGCACCGAACATTGACCTGTAAAACATTAAGATTTATTCTTTCCTTACTGACCGTTGCTGGGTCATACTTGATGGGTAAAAATTTCAACTCGTCGATATAGCGGGCTTTGATCCACTTTCCCAACTGGTAGTGCTGTTCCAATCCTTTCTAAATGACAGCTGTGAATAGAATCTTGAGCGAGCACTAAAGATATGCGAATCGCTTACCTCTGTTAATTCTCCATATCCCTTCCTCCAATAGCTTTCCGGATATAAATCCCCTTTAAAAGTTCCAACCGGGGATCGTTGTCCGTGTCGCCAAATCTAAGGCCCACTTATTAAGGCTGTTAATGCCGTTAAACATACCGCTTGAAGACAGACTAACTTATCTCCCAACCCGTTGCTTCCGAATTCTGGCATTAGATTAAGAACACGAGAAATTTGAGACTTCTAAATCGGGTTAGTTCATTGGGGAAGTAAACGTTCGCGTAGGGCAAGCAAATTTTGCCAAATAAAAGGATCGTCGGCAATGACACTAATACCCTATTTAATTCTGATTGAAGGCTTTATTAATAACAGTTATTCCCGCTTTTCCGGCGCTTCGAAAGAGCGTTATGTTTGCCGCTTTGCTAAAGAGCAATATCTCATTTGGGAAAATATGGAGACACTTTAAAAAGCGAAAATTAAAGTGAAGTGAATAATCTTTTACTTTCTTAAACTTTCAAAGGAATTGATAAGGAAAATGGAATAATTTTTCGGACATTCCTTGCCAAAAAGAAGGGCTGGAAAGAATAAAAAATACTGGCCGCATCCCAGACAAAACAAGAACGAAAAAAGCTCACACGTTCGGCGCGTTTTTTCATAGGATTAAATCTCGTTTTTGGCAAAAAGCCAGGCTTTTCTAAACGTTGTTGGTAAACCATTTCTTTCTTTAAAGAATTGCATATACAACAACGCAGATAAAACCATGAGGAAAACTCTTAACATATCCTCTCGAAAAAAGCAAAAAATTTTGACGGCTGAAAAAGATTATGAGCAAACGCAAAAGCCGTGAGGATTGTGAAAGGTCCAGGGCCGAAAAAATGTTACGAGTTTTTTCATTGCCAAGAAAATTATAATAGTTTTTTGCATGTTTGCAAAATCTACAAAAAAAGATACAAGTTTTTTGTATCATGTCATCTCACTGAAATTTGTAAATTAAAAAAATGTTAAGTTAATATCACGAATACCGTCACGATTGCCTTCGTTTATTTAGGTGCAATAAATTAGAGCGAATATTGTGGGTGTCTCGTCCATTTTGTGGGTATCTCATTCGTCCAATGAACATCAACCTCTAACCCCAAACGCGTTTCCAAACGGAGCGCTAACGTCATCAAGATTGTAGCCATCGGGGTATCTGGCCAGTCCGAATCGGCGGATAATTGAGCGGTCGTAGCGGAAAGCGCCCGTCGATTCCAAAATAGCGGCACAAAAGAAGAGGGCAAGCAGAATAATTTGGATGACGGTCATTTTCGGCCTGTAACTTATCAAGGTTAGACAAAGCTTACTGTTATATTCGTCGACAAATCGAAAAGGTGGAAGAAGAAAGTAAATGCCTAAAACAAGGAAAATAGCATGCACCACGCCTGAAATAGCGGAAATGTCTTTACTTCCTCTGTTTTACTTTAGATTACTCCCAAATAATCTCACACTGGGTTATGCTAACAAAGTTCACCGGAACACTGACTTTTAAAAGCATACGTTCACACGGTTTCCCACGAGTTACTGACGAGAAAAATAAATTCAAATATTATTATTAGACTGATATTACGAAATGTTCACCAACTTAGAAAATATCTAATCGATCCTCACGTCTAGCCGAAGTGAGAATCTTGGGTTATAATACAAAAAACGCTGGTTTTAATACATGGTTAAACCTTGGCTTCAACAAAAAAGACTCCAATATACGTATTTCAATTTCTTCATGTTTCTCTCTCCAATGTGCGCCAACAGTTGCAGGCTTTGCGTAGGAATTGAGTATTTTCCTGAACTGCTGCTTTCAGGAAAACTGTGAATTTAAAATTGGAAACTAAGTAATAAATTTATTATCGAGTAGTCTGTACGTTCCGAAGTTGAACAATGACAATAAAACTTATGGACCGGATAAAAATTTGTGTACATTTCGAGCAGAGCTAAGATTGAGATCCCGGGATTTCTGTAAGTGTTTGCAGTTCCTTCTAAAAGCCGACATTACCACATGTGGCAACGCAATCTTCCATTGTCAAGAAGTTGTTCAGATTTCCACCACAGCCGGTATACTCAAACGGGACGCACTGGCTCTGAAATTAAGAAATTTAGCCCACGTCGATTGCATTTGATTAAATTATGATGCATAACTTACTGTTTGTCTGTTGAATGCAAATCGCGTTTGTCGGCCCGAACATGCACCTTTGTCAATGGAAAGCAAGCAGAGTTGCTCCGGGCAAGTCCTTTCACATTCGTTTTGACTCAAGAAATTGTTTTGATTTCCTCGTTTGCCATTATACTGGAATGGTACGCACTGTCGTTCGTCCGTATTGTAATACCACCGAGACAGACCACTGTTTCCGGTACCAGGCGCGAGAGGGACCGAACAGGGGTTGGTGGCTAATTTTACTTGTTAATGTTACTCACTTGCGACTTACCACCTGGGCAACAGACGGTGGTTTCAGGCGTAGCGCCCAAATGGCACCAAAAGTTGACGGGACACGTGTCTTTATTTGTCGACGAGCAAAAAAGAACTTGGCCGGTAGGAGTGGTGGCCGGCTGGCCAATACATGGGTTGTCCAACGGTTGGCAAGCAAGTTGACATGCCCGTTGCGAAAGGAAGTTGTTCTGATTCCCTTTTAAGCCACGATATTCGAATGGCTTGCATGTTTTCGTTGACTGGTCGAAGTAAAAGCGTTCTAGCGATGCGTCTCCCTCACCGGTTGACATTGGAAGAGTGCAGGGATTTGGGCGTGCTAAATTGTTCTTGTATAGTTACGATTACAAACATACCTGCTGGGCAGCAGACTGTTGTCAACTGTGTCGCTCCCACGTGACACCAGTGATTTGCAGGACACGTGTTCATGCTAGCAGACGGAGAGCATGTCTGAGGCCGACCGTCAGCTCCTACAAATGGCCGACCTTCGGCGCAAGGGTTCGGAACACACAACTCTTCACAATCTTGTTGCGATAAAAAGTTATTCTGGTTTCCTTTGATACCATTGTATGTAAATGGCTGGCAGATTGATGTCTGCGCGTTGTAGAACCACCGTTCTAAACGATCTCGGCCGGCTCCAGGGTCTACCGGAAGCTCGCAAGGGTTGGGCGTTTCAGCTGGACAACACACCGTAGTTTGCGGCACAGCGCCGACATGGCAGTACATATTCGGACGCGCAGCGCATGCGTTTGGCCCTGGGACGCATTGTTCTAATGGCAGCGGTACCGGCAATTTGCATGGATTAATAACTGTAATAAAAGAGATGACTAAATTTTAAAACCACCTCCAAGTATTGATAATTAGAGTATTAGTAAATCACACCTCGGCACATAGTTACACACTCTTCTTTGGTTAAAAAATTATTTTGGTTTCCTTTTGAGCCCTTAAAGCGAAAAGCAAAACATTCGTTCGTTTTGATGTCGTACGTCCATCGCAATGTCACCTTTGCATCACCGTATGACGTTCCGTCGTCCAGGACGGCCTTGCCGGCACAAGCTGTTTCGCGTCTCGATCCACCTGGGCAACACATATTTTCGTCTGCTGTCACTCCCAAAAAACACCAATAATGTTCTCCACAGACCTCTTCCTCTTTTTCAAATGTGCATTGTATTGGTCTAATCGCCAGGGTAGTTCCGTTTTCGGTTATCAGCTTTTCAAGCAAGGGCTCGTGATCCGGACAATGGTTATGGTATATGAATCGTATAGCGGATGAGGACGGGGTTAGTTCATGGTTAGTGGCATTAGTGTACGCTTTGACATTGCCTAAATAAACCGACTCAGCAACCCTGTTCAATCAGCCCATCCAGATTCAATCAGCCCAGGCCATCTGCGTTATCAGTACACAAAGGCCAAAATTTTCACCCATAAGAAGAGGACCAGCACCGCTCATAAAAGGCACTCGTAGCGTTCTTACCGACACAAGCTTTCTGGCAATCTTGTAGGGTCAGGAAATTGTTTTGATTTCCGTATTTCCCATAATACGTAAACATAACGCAGCATCCCCGTCTAGTATCATAATACCATCGTCGCAAGTTTTCATTACCCCGTCCGCAAGCAACCGGTAACCGACAGACTTCCTCCGCCGGTACCCTGTTGGGACAACACACGGTAGTCTGTGGTCTTGCACCCAGATGGCACCAATAACTAGGAGAACAGGCGTTGAACATGCCGCAAAGTTTTGGTTTGTTTAAACCTAGCATTTCTGGTTGTCCAATGCACGGGTTTTCGAATTCTAAATTTCATGGCAATCAGAAAATTGATCGTATAAACCACCGTCGCAAAACGCCCCCCTTATCCCTCAAGGTATCGCCTGATGCAAGATTAGATAAATGTTAGGAATGTTACCGGTTAGTGCCGGGTTTGCGTCACTGATTAGTCAAACGTCAAACGAGTAAAAGAATTTGTAATTTCCCAAAATTTTTTTGCGAATAACTTCAACGCCCGCTTACCCATACAAGTTTGTTCGCAGTCTTCTCGCGTTAGGAAGTTGTTTTGAGTTCCTCGCAGTCCACAATAATTAAACGGTTGACAGCATCCAGCTTGGGCATTCCAGAACCATCTTTGAAGTCTTGCGCCTCCGGTACCGGAGTCTAGCGGTTGGCCACACGGATCCGAACCTAAAAACGGGTTTGTTTGCATTTCTTTTACTTGGTCAGAAAATCGACACGACAAACTGTTACGTAGGTCACAAAAAAGTTAAGCACACTACCAGACGCCGGACAACAAACAGTTTCAATATCGTTGGAACCGACATGACAAAAGTACCCCGGCGGACATGGCCGAGACTCCATGCATTGAAGAATTTCGTTTTGTGCAGACACTAGCGGGAACCCGGTACTGCACGGATTCTCGAATCTTTGAGGCTCATGCGGCGCTGAAACAATGTGCGTGCCGCTATCTGAAACATGTTTTTGCCGATGGAATTTACGTCACTTCGTTAGGATAACATCTTAAATCAGAAACATTACAGAAATGGGTACCTTTCCTGATGTACTAAAACAAAGATGATTTCTTACTTATGCATCTTTCAGAACATTCCTCTTGGCTCAAAAAATTGTTCTGGTTGCCCTTCTGCCCACGGTATATAAACGGCTCGCATCTCATGGAATGTGGATTGTACGTCCATCGCTCTAAACGCGATTTTCCTACACCTGTTGTCCGAGGAGGATAGCTGCATGGGTCTCCGGCTGAAAATATTGGATAATGTAATCTCGAAGCAAAGACAAGCATGAAAAAACCAGAAAGTGACCCGTAGCACAATTTTTTGTGGATTATGAAGAATCCCGAAAATGTAAACATGTCTTTTCCCACCCATTGTTGGGGCAAGATCCTTTTTTACCTTGTTCATGACTTTAGGAAACCCCGAAAGGAGTATCCACAAGTCAACTTGTTCATTACGCTCGAGAAAGTTTGAAAATGCAGAGTTTCCTCTGGGTACTCTGCTTTCTTTTTGCCGCTAGGTCACACAAATGGGAGAGGATCAAAGAACTGCTAGAAAACGATGTAAGTGAATTCTCAAGCATTGCAAAGATCCGAAGGGCAAAGGTTCTTCATAAAAACACTATTCTTTTCAGGATATAAAAAATACGTGGACTAAAAGTGACTTGATGCTTTGCACCAACCCAAGAATACCCTTCACAGATTCTGAGCTGTTCTGTCAAGCTGTACTAACAACAATGCTTGACATTATTCATATCGAATACTTGTCAATTCAGCCGACATTGTTTAAAATCCATAAATTTGGAACTCCCAGCATGATCTCAAGTATCAAGAAAAGATTTTTTACATCAGAGTAAGTAAGGCTGTCTAATTGTTCGTTGGCGCATCAATCCATTATGATAAAAATTTATGGCTACAGGGTTTGACGCGGTTTCTGTAACTGTAAGACCGGAATTATTAAATATTTGCCTTTTCTAACAAGCTATCATTTAGTGAGGTCACGGAGCAACGGGTTGAAGGTGCGACCTACTCCGCAGGACACCGTGGCAGGGTTGCCGATGGCCTATGGTTGGAACCTCATGAACCATGCGTCATACCGCTCTTTAGAAAACTGCAAAGGAGCCTCCGCGTGAACCCAGCCATTGCCGAAAACTTTCTAGTAATCTGCAATACAGAAATGATCAAGTTTTATTTTAGGTCCTAAAATACGACAAAAACGGCCACTACGCGCCACACTATGATCATCTATTCCCAATGACAAAAGAATATGATGACGGCTGGTTTGAGTTCTTCGGGAATCGGATGGCTACGGCCTTGCTTATTGTTCAACAAGCAGAACTCGGGGGAGGCACAATATTCCCGCATCTAGATCTGGTCGTTGAGTCAGATCCAGGTAAAAGACGAAATATACTCAGATAGGACGTAAATATAATTATAGGAGATCTACTTCTATGGTTCAACGCCGATTCAAACGACGTCCGTGAGCAGAATAGTCTTCACGCTTCCTGTCCGGTTGAACGTGGCCAAAAAATGGCTGTCTCTTTGTGGATCCGGGGAAACTTTCAAGACCAACTATTCTGTCCCGTCCAAAGCTCTCGCTATTCAGCTGTGGACATGGTAAAGCGGATCGGCGACATAAAACACTTCCCACAATTCGGCAGCCGTCCCCAAATTCCTCGAGAATATGGAGGATACTGGGATGATGACGTTGAAGACTAATAATAAAAGTAACTCACCATTAGGACAGCACAATGTAGTCTGTGAATCACTTCCAATATGACACCAATGGTCTAGAGGGCACGACTCACGCGTGTCTATGTCGCATTTTTGGTAATGGATATTCGAGTGATATTGAACACCCAAAACATCCATGGTGAAAGAGTCCGGACAGGGGTCAGCAAATACTGGGCAAGCCCTTTCGCAATCAGCTTTAGTGGCAAAATTGTTCTAAAAAATTGATTAACATTAACCGCAAAGAAAAAGAGCTACTTACACCGTTCCCTTTCATCCCAAAAAATTCAAATGGAAGACATTGTTTCAAACTAATATCAAAATACCATCTCGTCTCCGCATATGGCCCTTCTCCCTTGGATCTCGCTAGTAAGCATGGGTCAACCTTTCCGGGACAACAGACTCTTGTCGTGTTGGTTTGCCCAAAATGGCAAAAATATGTAGCGGGACATGAAGACTCCTCTTGTGGATTGCACAATCTTGGTAAGACGCCTTTCTCGTCAAATAGAGGCTCACCGGTTGGACACGGATTTGGGAACGACGGGCAAGTCGCTTCGCATTGGTCCCTGACAAGGAAATTGTTTTCATTCCCATGACTGCCCTTGTACACAAATCTCTCGCATTGCCTTGTTGCACTGTTGTAATACCACCGGTTTATTATATGATACCCCATTCCTTGGTTTAATGGTACCGTGCACGGGTTTGTAGAGCTGGCCGGACAGCATACTGTTGTTTCATCGTTGAATCCTATATGACAATAGTAATTCTGAGGACATGGTCGTCCCAAGTGGCATAGTTCGGGTTTATTAGTGACATCAAGGATGGGCTGTCCTTTTGCACAGGGGTTCACCCAGACTGGGCAACGACGCTGCAAAAGAATTGTGAAGTTTCCAAAGGGTGAATAACCGGGTCTCTTATATATTACAAGGTATTTTTAAATTATAAATCCGGTTTTTTCTTTTTATATACAGTGACGGACCTGATCCAGTGGCAGAAAGCGTACCATTTTGCAGGGGGGGAGCATCAAAAATGTGGCAAAATGCTTCCTCTCCAAGTGAAAAAAACTCCGTCTTGAAACGGAGAACTTTCCCTCACAAAAAGACCGGGCGCGCTTTCGAAATCGGAATTTTTCACTTGGAGAGGGAAGCATTTTGACCACAGAAGGGTTTCCAAACTACGGGCCTACCTCACAAGCGGTCTTGGAGACAAAGTTGTTTGGATTTCCTTTCAGCCCTCTGTACTCGAACGGTAAGCACTCCTTTCTTTCTACATCAAAATAGTATCGCACTTGACGCGCTAGACCTTCTCCTTCAATCTTTGGCTCTTTACAAGGGTTGATCTCTGAAATGTTTTGGCACAGCATACACATCAACCTTAGTTAAGTACTTCAAAAACACGCAAATGACGTTGACCGCACATAAACTGACCTAACGCTTGACAGCAAACACTTGTCTGCGCATTGGCACCAATGTGGCAATAGTACCCGGTAGGACATTCGCTAGCATCGTTGGCAGCGCAATATGCAAGCATTCCGTTGGTGTTGCGAAACGGAATCCCAACCCGACACGGATTTACTAAAAAAAATTACGTTTGTTTTAATAAAGATAATACAGCCTCACCTTGGCACTGAGCTTGGCATGCGTTCTGTGTTAAGAAATTGTTTTCATTTCCTTGCAGTCCTCGATACTGCAACGGCTGACATTGCTGTGCCATGGAGTTAAAATACCACCGCTGGAGGTTTGCGTTTCCAACTCCGGTAGACATCGGCTGACCGCATGGATCCAAATCAGCTGTAAATAAATGATTGGTTACGGACTTAGGACCTGCAAACAACAACGGTACCATAAGTGCCTTACCTGGCTTTGGACAGCAAACTGTGGTTTGGGGAGATGCGCCGATATGGCAAAATTGCTCACCGCCGCAGGTTTGTGCGACCGTCGTTCCAGGCTGACATTGAAGAGGCTGGTTTGCCGGGGTGAGGTCGCCGTAAGCACAAGGCGATGGGCTTTCTGAAAGGCAAGTTTACAAGTGACCGTACGGATACAAAGACATGTGTATTGTGTCCATAAGGTGCTACAATAATACGTATGTATTTAAATTTAAAAAGAAATTCAAATATGCACAATGGTGCTGTGCTGTGAGTGCCGATATTGTGCCGTGACAGGTTACCTGGACACACTTTGCGGCACTCCGGCAGCGACAGAAAATTGTTTCTATTTCCGCCTTGACCTCTGTAGCGAAACTCTTCACACATGCGGGTTCGTTTGTTGTAGTAGTAACGAATTATTTCCATTGAACCCACGCCAGAATCTAGTTCAAGGTCACACACTCTTACTGTAAGTTAGTGTTTAGGATGATTAAATTTGTAAATCTTTGTATTACAAACATAGCACTGTGGTTAAAAAAATTCAATTGCACTTTGAACGCTGTTTGATCTGTAACTTGTGGTTGGCGTGCGTTGAGACTCACAAATTCACAGCATGAAAACGTACCTATCGCTGGGATCGGCCTTAATTGGGCCGTCGGAACTGGTGGCGGTAGGTGTGGACTGGATGGAGTGACCGGAATGAACCTTGGTACGGGAGTTATTGGGACCAACGGTGCTCCACTTCCCGCAATATGTCCTTTTGGGCAATCTCCGGATTGACAATTTGCCGTCTGCGCAGTTGGAAGCGGTTGGAGGTTCGTGTTTCCGGTTGGTTTCATTGTAAATGTTAGCGTGAACGGCACAAATACGACAGTATTAGGTTTTGCGGCGTTACCTCCTGAATAAAAGTTTTGCAGAAAAGTTTTACAATATCGACGACAACTTCTGAGAATATATTATAATACATGTTTCAGTTTTCAGAACACAGCCTTATATTACTCTTTTTTTCAAGCATTATCAAACTAACAAAATTACCTTCACATCGTTTCTGGCAGTCATGATAAGTCTGGAAGTTATTACTGTTACCACAACAACCCGACCAGTAGAATAGTTCACACGCTTGTCTGGCAGGATTAAAGTACCACCTAGGGATTCGGTAGGGACCAGTTCCAACTTGCTGCGGTAGAAGACATGGATTTTGGGGCTGAGGTCCTGCGAGAAGATTGGTTTATGTTAACTCAAACTGTTAGAAAATCGCTTAGCTAAACTCGCTTTGGTCTTTTCCATTCATAAAGTTAATACTTAAGATAGGTTTGCTGGATCTTCTTTTCCAGTAAAACTATGAACACGACCGCAAACTTACCAAAGTAATATTGAGGGTATTGAGGCTGAACTGCATATAATTGAGGTTGGCCTGATCCAGTGTACGGCGGCACTGCATAATGCCGCATCGCTTTACCTGCCAAACCCGAGGACACATTATTTGGAGAAGTGTCTGCGTGCGTCTATAAGTACGTGTGGTCAGTGTCAAAAAGTAAAGGTTCCTTACCACAGTCTCAAACGCTTGTGTAAACTTGAAACAAAGAAGGAAATGGGTTAGGCATACCAATAGATCATTTAGTGGTTTCCTCATTTCCCTAAAAATGCACATTAGCTTTCAGCGAATTAAGGCGTATTTGGCAGTATCATAAGCGTAAGGCTAAAATGTCCATGGACATTTTATCATGATCGCGAATCACGTGAAAAGTTTATATGGATTTATTTTTACGCAATGTAAGCCAAAAAAATGGGCAACGCGGCTCATAAATTAAAAAATAATTTTCTTCTTTATAGGCAAAACGAAACCGCCGGCGGAAGATACCAACTAAACAATCACTCTGCTCATGATCTACAAACAATTCGTTTTTTTCGGTTGCCCGTTCCAACCGCATCTCCAGTGGTCATTAAACGTCCACAGTCGAGTGGTGAAAGCTGAAAGCTCTCGGGGTAATTAAGCATCGGACCGGTGGCCTAAGATCGCTCCCGACTTGGCCACTTGAGGCGGTGTTGACGCATGAGCAGAAAAGCTAGAAGAAAGATGGGACCGATAAAACCCTGCAATTTGCAAAAATTTTATAACCCATTTGGGGCCGTCGACACATTGGTTGACTCCGATGACTGACTCAGAGCAGCCAACAGATTTAACGTCGCATTATTTGGTTTATTGAATACGTTTACCCGGCAAAATTAATAAGAATACTCCGTGCTAAGTAAGTTGAGGTAAAAAGAAATCCCCATTTAAGATTCGACCCAAATTTAAATTTATGGGTAAGTCCCAAATAGACTTAGCACCGCGATTAAAAGGGATTTGGAAACCGCAACCTTTTATCCGCACGCAGACTTGAGGTCTCACACTCGGCCGCAGTAAAATCAAGAATCTGTTCTAAGCGGGATATTGGGCGCAAGAAAACACGCGAGAGATAGCTGACCAGGGGTTCTTCAGATATTGTTACACGTCCGATAAACAATAGACTCTCGGACAAAGCGATATGCTTTGTTGGGCTTTCTTGACTGTATTACAGGAAAGTTTACGCCTTAAGGGTTTGACAAAGAAGTACTTACTTAGTAAGTTTTAGCCAACTAAATTGGATGCTCATCTTGTACAAGGCCGAGTTGAAAAATTATTTGTCAAGTACGCAAAGAAAAGTTCCCAAAGCTAAACGAGCGTCGGTGCGCTGAAGCCGAAACGGATAAGCCACCGTTTCACTTCAGATTGGTTTCAACCAATGAGTCAATTTTTGTTTATTCAAGAAGAAGGAAGAAAGATTAAAAGGCTGGGGCAACACAACAACAACCAACTGTCATACTGCAAGAAAATGACGTACTGTTCGCCCTACCTTTAAGAAAATTTTTCATTTATTTCTAAAAGACAAACTTCGTTAAAGCGGCGGACAAGCGCTGGACAAAACTCAACGTAATCGAGAAAATTGACCTAGTAATCCGAACTTAATGCGTTTTCGACACGCTGGTAATACCATTATTTCCGTGAAAGCGACTGTAGTTCCGTCGCTCGCGCCTCATCGTTTGGACAAATAATCGGGTCAATAAAGGTAAAGTCGTCCGTCGCATGTTGCGCAACCAGCCTCTGTCTTCATAGCGCCATTTGAAGTAAAGAAAGGAAAAAGTTAAACGTGTTGTCGGCACTACATTTTAACTATATAATTAACTATATATATAAAGTGCGAAAAGATTGATCGTTATCTTTAATATGTACATACAAATAAAGCGGCATATATTTTTTTCTGACTTTTACGGATCTCTAGAAGAACCTCTTCTGGGTGGGTACGACAGCCGGAATGCCGTTGTGGTGTTCACTTTCCGTTCGAATTCGAGCCGTCTGCATGGAATGATAAAGGGGTAGCGGTTCATGAACACGCGACTGAAAATCTTTTTTCTTTTCTTCTTTTTTACTCACGTTTCCAAGAAGGGAAAACTTGGCGTTAACATAGTAATTGGTGTCAGCGAAGCTTGGAATATTCAGTTGCACTTTGTTTAGTATCTTCCGGTTGAGGATAAACCCTAAAATTGGAGTTTAGATATAACCTAGGGTGTGGCAAACCTGTAATAATTCCGCCGAACACCGCTACTGCCAGGGTAATAAACATTCCAATCAGTTGATATCCCGCCTGAACATATTTGTCGCGGTTAGCACCTTGCATGTCTCCGCCTTTCCAAAACGGGTATATTGTGTGAATACTAAAGAAGAAATTCGGGAAATTCCAAAAGCAACAAACTTTTCCGCATATTCTTCAGGCTGGTAATGTAGCACAAGATAAACACCACAGAAGCCGGAAATCAAACTTGGAAGTCCATGAAGATTATGCACTCCACAGGTATCGTATAATTGGAAACGCTTCTCGAGCAGTTTGGGCTAAAAATGCGGACAGATCGAAGTTCCAGGGAAAGGGCTTACTGTGATAAAGACGTGCCCTACGACACTGACTAGGGCTGCCAGCGAGCCAACCAGAATAGCGTGATGCGGATATAACACAACATTTGCGACAGAGCCGATCGCTACGCCACCCGATAATGTCGAAGACTGAATGTGTAACATGTTGAATCTTCCCATTTGGTCCGACAAACTGGATGTCATAAAAGTCACCAACGTGCACGAAGCCATAGCCAAATATGTGTTCATAATTGCACGGTAACGCGCATCCTCGGTAATCTGAGTCGCCCCATTGAAACTGGGAAAGAAGATCCAGAGAAACAACGTTCCTATCATTGAAAAAAGCTCTGAATGTTCCAAGTAGCCGCCCTGTGTGTCTGTTTCGGACAATGTCGAGCGTTCGCAAACCTTTGCCACGGTTAGTCCGAAGTATGCACCGAAACAATGGACAACAAGGGCTCTGCCGCTGTCATTAATCTAAAGCGTTAAATTTTTGAAGCTATATTTGCACTTACGTGAAGCAACGTAAAGAGGATGTGTTCTAACAAGGTTGCGAACGAGGTCTCCAGAAAAGCCAAGAAGAGGAATTGAATCGGGGTGAGCCTTCCAAGCAGTACTCCCATACTAATTAGCACTACAACGCATGAGAGATCAGCGTGAATTAAACTAAAAAGAAAAGAAATTGGAAGTGTTTGCAACTTACTCCGTGATTGAGATTTTGAACATACCGGTCGTTACAAAATCATGACTTAGGAACCCCCTTAAGATCATCACGTACTGCATGACGAATGCAGAAAGCAACAGATTAATTGATATTGAAGAAAATCCATATCTCTTCAGGAAAGACATCAGGAAGCCAAAGCCGACCATCACCATTACATGAATGTCTTGGAACACTGTAAAAAAGACAATTTTCTGGACAAAAACAGTGTTCTTTTAGAAATTCTTTCTTGGGCGCTTACTGGGATAATCGGTGTTAACATATATCTGGCTTGATTTCCCCTGAGGCATTGCATTGAAGTCATATCTTACGAAGATCGCGAAGATCAAAATAAAAATAAATTGGAAAACAAAGGCTACAAAGCTGAATTGTCTTCGCTGTAGCACATTCATCTTGTAGAATTGTTGAGGCTGAAACAAACCGTTCTTCACAGACACCCAATTTCAACTCTTCTCAGTGAAAATGGGGAAAGAGAACAACCAACACCAGTTCCGTATTAAAATTGGAAAATTGGTAAAATAATTAAACCTGTCACCTAGATTTTAATTAAGACATGATTGAAATGGAAACAGTTCATTTTGCCTTTACATTTCGATTCTCCACTTACCATTGAAAGTCGATATTGTTATGGATTACAATACAAGAGAAGTTATTCGCAAGAATAGAAATATTTTTACTTGAAGCGCAGCTCTTAATTACCTCGTTAAATGCGTTTAATAAATAAATGCCCGCGGTCTGTTAAACTTTTGAGACAACTGACCTTCAAGCGGAAAGTTCATAAGCGTGTGGGAGAGTCTTGATTAAAACAAAAATTGAATGGCTTGTGTGGAGCGCTGTAAATGATGGTCCAAATTTATAACTATATACATATGTCTGTGGAACTATTGTAATTATGATGCTTAATTTCTCAGGGCCAATAATTGTCTAGGCCACAACGTTCTTTTAACAAGCTGCCGTTATTTACTTCGTTATTGAACCTTTTTTAAACAGTTGAACTTCTATGGAGTCATACTATAAGAATTTATCGATATTACCGATAACAACAAATGCAATGGATAAATGCTTTTAATTTATGTTTGAGTGTGAAACATTATGGTCACCACGACCTTATATCCTTATTCACAATAAAAGCATAGTTTGCGCCGTGTTTTATTAACCGCCCTTTATCAGTAGACGGAACAACAAGGACAAGGAACGTTTCTTTGTTATGCCTTGATATGCTAAAATACAAGGAAACGTTCAAAGCTTAGAGTATAAAAGCCTTTTTGGTCGACCTCTGACTAACAATAAGAAATGTTATTTCTCACTATTTGTTTCGTGTTCTTGGCTCTGTCTTATTATAATTTTTATTGGAAACGCCGAAATCTTCCGCCCGGACCGATTCCACTACCGTTCTTGGGAAACCGACATTCCTTAGACTTTTCCAAACATTGGCCTGACATTTTTCTTAAGTGGAAGCAGAAGTATGGCCCAATTTATACCTATTGGCTGGGCGAGATGCCCATTATTTCCGTTGCTGATTACCAGCTCGCTCATCAAACCTTTGTAAAACATGGCGACGACTTTTTTGATCGCATTTCATTTGGAAAGCTTGATGATTTGACCCGTGGTGGAGCCTACGGCCTACTATTTACTGGCGGTGACTTGGCGCGAGAGCATCGGCGATTTGGCCTCAGGGTTTTTCGGGAGTTTGGCGTTGGAAAAAGCTTAATACAGGAGAAAGTAAGAATGCATCTGGTCGAAATTTCTGTTTTCAAGATACTGGAAGAGACAAGCATTTTGCTGTCAAAGATTGACACCATTTGCGGGATTCCAAACATTGATCTTGTGCCGTTTACGGATATTGCAGTCGGGTCCATCATAAATTTGCTTATGTTTGGTTATAGATATACGGAAGGTGTACGTTGTGCATATCGTAACTTAAAAAAGTTTAGGGGCGGGAGGAAGAGTTTTACAAGATGAAGAAGCAGGCTACCGACCTGGAACGGCATGCACTTCATCCAGTCATTGGCTTATGGATTGTTTTTGACTTTATACACAAGGTCCCATTCTGTAAACGACCTTGCGAGACGGTAGTAAAATGCTTCAGAGAAATGCTCGACGATATTCAGACTAAGATTGAAGAACATAAGGTTAGGTTACGCAGCGGATCTTGCACAAAGGCCGCCGATTACGTTGACGCCTACCTTATGGAAAGAGAGAAGCGAGAAGCTACCGGAGAGGACACAAGCCTCTACAGCGACTTACAACTGCAGAGCATTTGCGCCGATTTCTGGAGCGCTGGTCAGGTCACAACGAGCGCCACAATTTCTTGGTGCATTGCTTTTTTGATCCATAACCCTAAAGTCCAAGACACGGTCGGTGAAGAACTTTATCGGGTGATCGGACGCGACAGAATGGTTGCAATGACTGACAAGAACAGTCTTCCCTACACAAATGCAGTTATTGCCGTATGTTGGACAACTTTGGGGATGAATAACAAGTCTTGTTCACTTGCAGGAAGTGCAACGCCGGACAAACCTTGTAGCCGAAAATTTGTTTCGGACTGCCTCGAGAGATTGTGAAATTAACGGCTATCAAATAAAAAAAGGCCAAGTCGTCTTACCGCAGGTCTCCGTACTTTTAGAAGACCCTGAAGTTTTCCAAAATCCGAAAGTGTTTCGTCCTGAACGTTTCATCGATCAAAATGGGCAGTATCTCCGATCCGATGCCCTCTTACCTTTCGGCGTTGGCAAACGCTCATGTCTCGGCGAAGGTTTGGCCAGAACGGAGTTGTTTTTGTTTCTGGCAAATTTAATGTATCGATATCGGGTAAACCATGTTTGTTTATTTTACCTCGTAAAAAGTCCTGAGGTTACAAATTCTGTTGCGCTCTTACAAAACATATTTGTTGCTGCGAAAACGATAATAATATAAGGCAAAGACTGAAAATGCATTGCGAAATTTTTTTTGGATCAAAATGCATTGTGCAAAGCATTTTTCTGCGGTTTTCACATTGACGCCTGAGCAAATTATCAGGACTTTTTGCAACAAGAAAATTATTGTTTTCTCAACATTATTTTTAGTTTTTACCGGGTGATGACCTACCGGTCCTGGAAAAACACGAGAACGGTGGAGCTTTTCCAATTACTCCGTACAGATGCAAGGTTATTCGACGGACTGCTTCGGCCGCCTGATCTTGTTTTTCTGCGGTTAAAAATCCTCAAAAAACGATGACATTTGATATATAGAAGAAAGGGAGCCATCCTTGATACATGTACAATTAAGGGTAGCGTAAAATTTTCGTTTGTTGTTTCGAGCTTTGATAATAAAGTTGTGCTTTGCCCGAGTTTGCAATTTTGTTCAGGCTTGCTGCAGGTAAGCGTACCCCCTGACGGACGGCCGTTGAAGAGACGAAACGGTTTAGTTCCCGCTCGATCCCGCGTCGACCCCGCGCAAATGTTTGCTCATTTGTGGGCCCACTGTTCGTCTTCATACTGGAATCAAAGCGCTCTCCCAGGTGAAGATTTAGAGTCCAAAAAAAGGTGAGACAGTGAGTAAACATGAACTGAAGTGACTAACGGGCCCGGCTGGTGCAGGAGGGCGAAGAAAGAGGAAGGGAGATAGTGCGGTCAATGAGAGGGAATGGCGTTGTTAGCTTTCTCTTCCCGATAACCACCACTTCAGGGTCTGTTTTAAAGGACTGTAAAATTTTGAATCAGCTTCCTTGCATTTCTACGTGGCCGGTTTGGACTGATTTTATTGGGTTTTTGAAGCCATTTTTGGAGTCACCTCTAAACTTTTTTGAGAGCTATAAAAAATCAAAGCCCTTTTGTTTACTTTCTTTTTCAAAATTAACCGAAATTTTTGTGTTTGATTTGTCCACCTCTTGTATTACACATATGCCCAGCAATATTCATAAATCATTCGAATTCGTGAAAATGCTCATCGGGCTATAAAAAAACTTGATTTGAATGAATGACTAACAGTATTTGTAGACAAACACTGAGGCCCATAGGGTGGAAATAAAATTTTCTGGTATCTTCGGCGGGGTGTGGCTATTTTTTGACTCATGATTATTCTAATTTTTCTGCGTTTAACGTCCGGCTTCGCTGTCTAGATCCTTGAGTTCAGTTTGCAAAACCTTGAAAAGCTGAAGATTTTTTCTTAAATCGCATGCAAAAAATATCTTGAGATCTTTTTGGATGACAACCTTGTATGCTTGACCTTTTTCTTTTGATACTATTTTAATGTTTAGTCATAGTTGAGAATTCTTAGCCAACCATGCCAACGCTTTATTGCGCTTACTTGTTAGGAAAAGTTCAGCTGTGCGCACGGTTACTGAATGTCCACCAAAAATTTTTTTTGATTTCTTCTCTAAATTAACCATGTTTCTCCTCTCTGCCGGTAGAAGTGTTATCATTTAAACAAATAAGAAAATCAAGTCTTCGAATGAAACTCATTTAGGGTTTTATTTTGTTGCAAAGGAATGATCAAAACCATTATCTCATATGGTTGAGGCTTTATAATCTACGGCCACCGTTTTATGTGGTTGGACATAAAAACAAACTTCAATAAGTTAGTGCGGCCGAGGTTAGGTGTTTGCATGAGGATTATCCGAAAGAAACGTCTTCTCATTGCCTTCTAGAAAAGCGCTGGACTTTCCGATTTTTTTTTGTAAACGAAAACAAACTTTTGAAGTAGCAAGTATACTTATTGGTTTCGAACTGTCATGTTTTATTTAGGTGTAATAAAAATATTGTAAGAGGCCTCTGAAGCTATCTGATAAAGTTCGTAATATTAGTCATCATCAGAAAACAGTTGATGAGTAACCCTGCTCGTTGAAACAGTTTTCTCCGACCCTTTGTGTTGTATGCAAATTTAAAATAAACCCCAAACGGCGACTACAACATAAATTCGTTGAGTAAAAGTTGCGATAAAGTTCTTAACAGTGCATAATTAGAATTTTACTTCTATCTATTTTTTTACTCACTAATGAGTTGAGTGCTTCAGGCTCTTTCGTCCCGTACAGTGACAAATATTTAACACGTTGAGTTTTTCTTGTCATTTCGACACTCTCGTTACCCATAACTACGCTTAACAAACTTTTCGAAACGGTTTTGTTGAGTAGGTGTCTTTTGGGATGACTTAAGGCTAGGGCGATGGGACTAGCCTTAAAATATTCGAAATTTTCCGTGTTTTGTACATATATCGTGCATTACCGGGTCCCTTAATCACTCTATTGCGCACTTTTCAATGACCAACTAATTTTTCAGGACGACTTTCTTAATGATGCCTGCAAACCGGATGCCCGGCTAAATTCTTAATTGTTCGCCGTTCGAAGTGTCCTTACATCAGGATGTCGGTGGACCGGACAATAGAAGAACTGAGCGGGACGCTGAATCAACTGGGAATTTTGGTGGAGCACATAAACACGCAGATTGTGGGAATAACATCCCGAATTAACCTCACGTTAGACAACTTCGACTCATCGGTGGCGGGAATCGCTTCCGATGCGGGCGCTATGACAGGCCAGGTTGGCGACACGATAGCTCAGGTAAGTCGATGTCTAAACGAACAGCTTTTGCTCATTTATGCAATGAACGCAATTAATTAATTTGTGTTGTTGCAGGTTCCAAATGCATGGGTATTTTATTTATTATTTATTACACTAATCATCGTTTTGATTCTTCTTTCTGTGCTCATCATTATAAGTCTTGCCACTCGCCTACACGCCATATATCATATCATCAGAGGAGATCGACACAGTAAGAATTTTTTACAACTTGTAAATGGTGGAAGGACTAAAACAGAGATTTATCACTTCAGCAACCCTAATTGACTCTCCTTATCCATCGAATTATGATTCAAAGCAACCACTTACACTGCCAATTTCCCCCTTGAGCGAGACAAAGCGTCGGCACCATGTGACGGTCCCCATGGAATCAGAACCGAGACGGTACGGCGAAAACGTCTCATATTCACAGCCGCAAGACCCGGGCGGATACAACCCCTTCTTTGGAAAACACAATATTCCGCCGCCTCCGAGGAATACAGGTATGCAAGGTATTAATGGCTGATCCACATAAAAAAGTTCGTGAAAACTGAAATTTCTGTGAATAGCTATTTTGACTGTTTTTTAAAGAATTCTGTTCTTTAGAATGCGAAGAAACAAAAGAGTCAGTTATCGAAATAGAAAATTGCATCGTTCTGCCACTGACTATAAAAGAAACCCCAGTAGGTATGGTGCGTTTTACTAACAAGATGAAGTTCAGCAGCGTGATTTGACACGGAGTAATAACATAATCAAACTAATTTAGAACTCCATGAAGAAAGCGCAGTAACTCATTCTTTCTGTGCGCATGCAATTTTAAATTAATTCAGACGCAACTTTTACTCGAAAAAGAAAGGTTTTTTGTGATTTTGTTATACGGAGTTTGCCGGGAAAACTACAAATTTTTAATGCGCACATTTCGAATTCGCAAAAATTTGCTTTGGAATGAAGCTGTTTTATGGAGAGTGTTAAGAGTGAAATAAACCCATTTCTTCTTAGTTGTCCTCACTCAACCGTTTCCTGGACGCTACATTAACACATTTCGAGCAAATCGTTCTCGCTTGGCGGATTGCCGATCGAGCTCCTTCATAGTCGAAAAAGCAAACTCAACTCAATTAATTATCCCAGAAAGGAGTATTTCTCGGACACGAACGTTTGATGGACGACCATTAAAGCATTTCAGCTCGCCCATTCCTGTAACAGAGCAAGTCAAAAAGATGATTGTGCGACTAGGTTAGAGTGTGCTCTGGATTTAGTTGTTCGTCGTGTTGTATCGTGAGAAAAGCACAAAGAATGGTGTACAAAATTGTGCCACGCCCCTGCATTAAGCAGTTGTTGCCATTTGGTTGAATTAGCCGGGCTGCTACCACCTTTTCCTAAAAGGACTCAAAAATTGTATCTGTAAGACGATGTGGCTATCTTCGTACATATATAGATGAACGAAATGGCATAGAACCACTTTCAGAGATTAAACTTCAAATAACAAAAGTCGCAAAATGATTTTTGCGCAGAGGATAAAGTAATTTCTTGTTATTGCATAACACAATTACCTTATTTATGAATGCTTAAAACCTAATTTAACAGAACACTCACAAAGATGAAAAATAAGCGCATCACTAAATTACACTTGCTTTTAGAGTCCGCAAATGAAGCCTACCTTCGTCGACCATTGAATCCTCATGCTGTCAGCGCCGTCCAAATCGATCCGCCAGTTCCAACCCCCACCCCCCGCTACACAAAAAAACCTCAGTATCGGGGGGAGCCCGTTTGAAGAGCCCATTGTTCAACTGGTCCATAAGTCTTTCAACCGTTTCCAAATCCAGCAATCACATATCATTTCAGTCTGTTATGTATCGAACCTCTAGTCGTTTAGTTTATGTAGGTCAAAGCAGTATACAAAAATCATTGATATATGTAATTTCTCCCTTGTTACTAGTCGTTTTTCGAAAAAAATTTCTCTTCGACGCAAACCTATTGCCATTCGTAAAAGTTTCTCTGGTTTTTGATATTACATAATTTTATGTGTAAATAAATGATACAAAATTGCCGTCCGTGTCACTGCCACCAGTTAGTGGGATTTCTGTGTACCTGAGTGAAAAGAATTCTTGGTTGAGCAGCGCGATTTCGTTCGTCGAAATCAAGGTCGGTCTCTCCAACGACCCTCTTCCCCCTCTCCAATTGTGTGCGTCTTCTAGGGCTTCGCTCCCCTTTTCTAGAGCAATTGGGGCACCCAACCCAGAGAGCGTACAACAGCGAGAGAGCGGCGCGCTGGGAACAGTGTGTTTAGGCGCATTGGAGAGCGGAGAGGCAGTAAAATTAGGTCCTGCTGGTTCGAATGGGTCCGGCGCCCTGCTCGCAAACGCACGTCTCCCTCCAACTCTCTCGACCAGCCAACCAGTCAGTCCCCCCACCCATACGGCGAGGCTGAAAGAGGAGCCTGTTTGGTGTAGACTCTGACACAGAGGGGTTCTTTTTGGGCTTCATGAGAGCCCACATTGTGGTTGCTTGTGGCTTGGGAAAAATGCACTCGTTTTGGCGGTAGAGGCGCCGCATATCTGTACATTTTTGGTTTTATTTTCGAAAACGTGTGGTAGTTAGTAGGAAAAGGCATTTTTTGGAGGTTTTTTAACCGACGAGTTGATGGTATACTTGACGGAAGTTTTGCTTTTTAACAACTAGTTTTTCAGATTCAATACTTCGCGAAAAAAAAACATAAATGTCTTACACCAGAAAAAATAATTTTTATTAATTCAGTTCCTGTTAATGGGGTTCACAACTTTGAAACTGTATGATTTTGGCTTCTAAAAATAAGAAAATCCAAGGCAGGTTCGGGCCAAGTTTTTCTGAAAGTGGTCAACTCTCTCTCTACTTCTCTGCCATACAAGGGAATAAAGGTAACACGTTTTCTGGCTCTCTGAATTTTTTTGCCCAGCTGTGCCCTAACCTTTCTCTGCAGTCCGTCCTTAAATTTTGCTTTGCAGTCCGTTGTTTTGCAGCGTTCTAGCGTTTGATTTTCCCCATGAAACTCGATATTTTGTAAGCTCCACTCAAAATAAAAAATCGTATCGACCGTTCCAATAATTTTGAATAGTCTGATTTTACAAGTTTATTAAACGATGAAACTTTCGTCCCATTTCTTTGGTACATTCTGCATCCTACAAAGAACGGGGGAAATTTTTTTCTGATGGGCCAAAAAACGGAAGTCTCGCTTAAAATACCTTATTATCTACGTTCCATCATTAACGGGCTAACTAAAAACGAGATTTTATAGGCTCGGGCGCAGCTTGAAATTTTTTTTTGTGCCGGGCCGGAAAAATTTGATTTCGTAACGCAACGGGTTTTGTCTTTTGAAGGGAAACGTTGTGGTTTTTCACATTTTTTTGAGGTGGACCGTCAAAATCCGGGCGAACACAAAGGCGCTTAGAGTTTGTATTAATTTTGAGAGTGGAATAAAAAATTTTAAAGTTGCACCATTTTTTCTGGTGAAAATTTATACAGGTAAATTTGACGTGTTTCTGTAATAGCTGATGTCAAGACAATGAGAAAATCATTCACCTTGTTCATGGAAGAAAAAAACTGTACCAAATGAAAGAAGAAGCGCTGATCCTGTTAGCAATAGTTTATTCGGCTTGGTTTTCTCCGCAACCTTTCATTTGGGGCGGACCGGGTATTGGCCCTATAAGTTGAGATCACAAAAAAAATTTAATGGCTAGCCAAAAACCTGGATCGGCTAGCCTATGTGTCCGAATGGCTTTGAAATCTCGAAAAAAGCTATTCGAAAGGTTGGAACAGGTGTAAATGGATGGACAAAACAAATTTTTTTTTTAATTTCAAGCCAAAAACCTGGATCAACTAACCAAAATGTGATAATGGCTTTGAAATCTCGCAAAAAACGGGACAACAGGTTGAAATGGGTGTCAAAGTGTAGCGATGACTGAAAAACCTTCAATATAGGTTTTTGTGTTTCTGTGGAATGTCTTGCTCAGTGGATTTCTTTGTTTTCCTCTCACCCTCCTCTTGCCATTTTCTCCTTTTTGCGTCTTCATGATCTGCATGAAGATATGACGAAGCTGAGCACAAAAAAATCAGACCAGCTTTCAGAGCTACTTTTTGAGAAAATTCAAAACTATATTATACTAGGCATCCGATTTCAATGGATTCCTAAAACTCAAACAAGAAGTTTGTGCTGGCTCAATTCATCGTTCCCAATGCCCGGACAGTGGATTTAGTTAGTGAGGTACCTTTTTTTTACGTACCACCTTACCCTTCAAAAACGGCTGCAGCCTGTGATTTTACACTGTATACGATGAGACCTGTCCGGGACTAAACTTATTGCCTCCGTATAGAATTAAATAAGTCGTCATAGCCTCCATAGGTACCCTTAAAGCTATAGAGCTATTATAGCAATTCAGTGCTAGCTAGGTCGAAGCCTTTCTTCCTAACTTTGGTTCCCAAGCTTGGACGCAGTTCGAAGAAGAGTACCTTTGTTGTGGCCAGAAGAGGGAACTTTTTCCAAAGTTAAAATAGCGACTTACGTTACTATACCGAAATGTTAAACTGATTTTCGAAATGTTTTCTTTGCTCTCCGATTAGCACTGATCGATTTTAGTTTCTGCGGAAAATAAAAAGTGGATTTTCCGATTTTTGCACAACGCCAAAACTTTTTGGCACTGATAGATTTAGTCGTGGTGGGACAAACCATAATTAGCAGAAAAAAAACGAAGTGCCCCAGTTTGCGGAAGTTATGCCCAATTCTTTTTCCATTTTTTTAGGCGTGAACAACGTCTTCAATATCAAAATTTCTGTGCTTTCTTGTTTCATTTAGCGGGAATTTTTCTATTCCGATTTTGTTTTACACATTGAATTCGTTGCCGCATTTTAACGTTTTGATTTGTAGGGGCAGTAAGCTCTTTGCAAATGGCTGATGTATCTTTAACAAGTCAATTGGCAAATCAATATGTCTGCCAGGTAAGATTTAAAATAATTATTGTCAAATTCGCCTTTCACAATTGTTCTCGGGATGGTGATTGATGTTTTGGGATAGTTCAGTTATTAATAAAAATTTTTTAGACCCTCACCAACACAAACAATGTGATAAACAATATTGTACTAGACATCGAGAAGACCCTATGCGAAACTCTTCCAAGGTCTGCTGCTGTGATACAGGATGTTCTCCAGAAATACAAGGATCCTTTCAAATACAGTGCATCTATTTTTAATGATACCTCGACGTAAGTCTTTGATAATTTTTGGTGCTGCAGGATAAAAATAAAGGAAAAAGTAAAACGGCTTTCGAGATTGGGGCCGTTGTATCTAAAAATAATTTTTCGGGTATTAGAACTTTCCCAATTTTCTTTATAAATATTTTGGTTTTATCTTTCAGGGCACAGACGCGGTTGCCTATTAGCATCAAAACCCGAAAAGGTACCAAGGAAAAACGTGAGGGAACCTTTGCTACGAATGTGAGGGGAAACATTGGCGCAAAGAATTTGGAAAAAGCATGCAAGGCGCAGAATTTGGTCGATGAAAGCATGGTACTGGTCGAGGTTCGGCGATTTGAGCGAGATTTCGACGAATATTGCACCGTGCCGCCATCTGATTTGCCATTTATTGAGATTCAACAAGGAGTAAAATACGAGCTTGTTTTTGAGGATGTAAGTTACCATGCTTCTCAAGATTGCTTGCGAACGACACAGAAGACAAATAAAGACCTAATTTCAGATGCTGGACCAAAAAATCGAGCTAAAAACACCAAACCATGGTAAAAATGGCATGAACGGTATCCCAATTCACAGCAACTCGCCTCATCCTGAAATTATCACACACTCGGTAACGGTTTATCCCTTTATGTAGCTTAAATTAATTTTAAAACGGTTTGAATAGCTCCTTGAACTCGAAATACACCAAGAAAAACGTTGTTGATTAAGTTTGGGGTTTACACAAGCAAAAATTTTAGCGATTCTGATGGCTTTTGTTGCAGACAATGAAAACCCACTCAAATAGCCCTGTCAATCGCAGTTTCCCAGCGAATCAACCTTTACCTCAAACATCCTACAGTCATTCCACACAGCCAACACCCTCCTCAAAACCACCAACTTCATATCCTGCTGCGGGTGGTCCGGAAAGGCGACGCAATCACAGTCATATTGGTTCGGTTTCGAAGTCGGCAGCCGCAATCAGAGAGATGGAGGCCCTCAAAGAGTTGCCTCAATTCGACATTGTAGAGATTATAAAGGCTGACCCAAAAGGGCGAATGGTCATGGATGCGCTAAGGACAGAGGGAATCAAGAAAAACGGTCGCCAACGAGTATTTTTTGTGCAGATATTGGGGAAGTATTTCAGTGAGGTCTTAAAGCCGCAGTTATGGTACGTTTCATAAAAAATTGACGTAAAATGTCAACCATTAAATTTGATGCTATATTTAATCCATATTCATTTCAGTGTGGCGAACGCCGCTACACGTCGTGCCTTTATCGACGAATGCTTCAGTCAGCTGAGTGCCGTTTCCAACTTGCTTCCTAATGTAGAGGACTATTCGAACCGGATGGGCAACGGCTTTCTGGACATTTATTTGAAACACCAGGTGACCAGGGAGAGGAAAAAGGCTCAACAAAAGCTAAACGAGAGGCAGGACGTTGTCGGCGTTAATTTCGACAAAATCGGCATTCAGAACGGATCCGACCTGGCCACCTTGCTCATGAATCTTCCGCAGGACTCTCCAAGTGGCTCCACAGGCTTCGACGACGACATCTCGATTGACCCGAACAGCGAGGAAGCCGCCCAACTAAGGAAGTTCAATTTCTTGGATGATGAAGTTAAATTTGAAATGGAACCCGGCTTTTAAACTGCACTTTTTATAATAAAAGTTATTTTACCAAAGTTTGTTCTTATAGATCCGAATTGAAAAGCTTTATCTGACTCGCTTCCTGTCCGCGGACAGCCGAGTTCATCACGGAAGAGGGGATGAGTGGGCGAACGATACCGCTGAGATCATATCAAGAAAAATACAGGACAAAACTAACAATAAAGATGGATTTTTGTTTGTACAACACGCAAAAGATTCCTGACTTGCTTCAATCAAATAATCGTATATCCCTTTTCTCTCGCATGGCACTGCTAAGTGACGGCATTCTGGAAATATGGGAGTTTATGTAAACCGACCGTTTCATTTACATTGAACTAACGGCATTTTTAATTCAGCAAAAAGATTTTCCGATCGTTTAGGAACCTGTTTTACCATACATGCTTTTGATTTCAACAGTTATTTGTCTTGCCCTGCACGTCAAGAAATTGCGGGCATTGCAAAGGTTCTCACAGCGAAAAAAAATTCATAAAACCTGTCATCCAAATTGCACATAACAACAATTTTTAACCTAATTTTTTTAATGGGAACTCTAGGGAGTACTACTAGTCGTATACAACTGTTTTTTATACCGCTGGTACATTCTAAATGGGTGTCATCGTGACGCATTTTCTGAACATGGTTCGAGCTAGGCTAAAAATAGTGCAAATTTCAAGGCCAACTATCAAAAAAACTGTCCCATCAAGCGGGACGGGACCGGTGTAGATACTCGAAGAACAGTTTAAGGATTTTTTTGACGTGGAGCCTATACCTCCTTCCAGTGCTCTCTGACTCGGTGTCGTCGATACAAACTTTTATTTAGACGTTGCATTCTTCGCCATGGAAAACTGTCAAAATACTACGATTATGGGTATATTTTGGTTCTATTAGCTTAAGCAGCTCTCGAGCTTTCTATTGGTATCAATATCTTGTGATTTACTATTAATCTTTATGTCAAAATATTGCAAACCATTTGGACAAAAACGGATTTGCACAGGGCAGAATGCCAAAAAAAATTCTAGGCTTTTTCATTGGGCGCCCGTTTTTCTTTTATTTTTTCTTGACGTGCCCTGTGGTACAAAATATATTTTAAATCGCCACTGTTGTGTAGTCGGAGTCTTCTCATCTCCTTGACAAGGGCTTTCCGGATCTCGAGATCTCCGGACACAAAGGCTTCCTTCTCGCGCATGCGCCCTTACTCCTGGCCTCAGCGGTTTTTCCGAGTCCTAGCTTCGGCCGTCCGGCTTCTGCTTGCTCTCTATTCACATCCGGCTTATTTCCACCTGTGCTCCCCGCACTCTAGTAATCCCACTGCGCTGGATCAACTTTACCGCAGGCCGTTGACTTTTTCTGATCCATTGCGCAGCTTTATATCATCTCGGCTTGAGAGACGCACTCACTTCATCCTGAAGAAGCCGTTTTTACAAACACTGTTTTCAATACGAATACAACTTTAAAGTGTTTGAGGAGTTTCCGGGGATGCACAGCGTTTTTACTTACATGTCGTGCACTTGGCGTGGAGTCAAGTGTTAGGGAGTTTAGAGTGGGTGGCAGACGATGTTTTTGGGCTTCGTGGTGTAAATGAAACATTCTTTTTGTGGGTTTGCAATGCAGTATGGGTTGCAGGGAGCCTGAATCAAACTGTTTTTTTTTTCATTAACTTTTTCATTTACTTTGCTGCTCCCTTCATTATGAACAAGCCGTTTCTGAAGATCTGTTTTGTCTTTGGAGAGATCAAAATCGGCCAGATCGCATGACTCATTATACCCCGGCCTCTTGAGTTATAGGATACACAACTTTCTGGAAATTATGTTTATGTCGGATGGAAACCTATATGATTGTTTTTCTTTTAACGTTGCGCTAAATTTACCTCTAAACCACGCTCTACGCTCACCACGCACATTGTCAAAAGATCGGGTCGAATTTCATTCAACGTTTCTGAAGTTAACCGGCTCAGCTGAGCACGGATCAGTAAGACTAATGATCTTGCCTTTGGGTCAGCTCACCGACCTATTTGAACTTTGACGTTTAGGCATTCCAAGTTTTTACTAAACAATTTCGAGGATCAAGACTGGAAAACGCTTTTTTATGTATGAGGATACAAAAGAAAATTTTCTGTATATCAGGGCTAAAAACCCATGTTCATAAAGAGGGCCTTGCCAGGTAGATATGAATAAACCACGTGATAATTCCAATTTATCTTGCTCTTCTTGTCGTTCACATTCGGCCAGGAAAGTCTGTATACGTTTTGTCATATCATTATCACTGTTTTTCAGCAAATTGTAAACAAAACTGTCCCGTTGGTGGCCTTCTCGAATACCCAACAATGGGCGAACTGGAAAGCGACCCGGCGTGGCAGTACCTTCGGCTCAGCGAAGATCAGCGGTTGGCAAACTCGACGAAAAAGTTCGATTCCAAAAAGAACTGCTGGGTTCCCGACTCGACAGAGGGGTTTCTTGAAGCCGAGATAAAGTCGACGAAAGGCGACCAGGTCACGGTAGTTACCAGTAAAGGCGAAGTAAGTCAGCGTATACAGAGGTCAATAGTTTTTTGGGATTTCGCATGAATTTTATTCATTACAGAAGACACTAAAGAAAGATGAGATTCAACAAATGAATCCACCGAAATATGATAGATGCGAAGATATGGCAAACTTGACATTTTTAAATGACGCGTCTGTGCTGCATAACCTGCGGGCACGATACAGTTCTATGATGATCTACGTAGGTTGGGGAAATAGTAGGAATGGGCTTTGCAAGGCTTCAGAAAGTGTATCAGAGTATCTTTCCAGACGTACTCCGGCCTTTTTTGCGTCGTCATAAATCCGTATAAACGGCTACCGATCTATTCAGAAAGTGTTTGCAAAATGTTTATGGGACGACGGAGGAACGAAATGCCACCTCATTTGTTCGCCGTGTGCGACGAAGCTTACAGAAACATGGTTAACGGTAAGGCGCATTCTCTCATTTCCAGACATCCAATTAAGAACACGAGAACCAGTCAATGTTGATTACTGGTGAATCTGGAGCCGGAAAAACTGAAAACACCAAGAAAGTTATTTCGTACTTTGCCGTCGTCGGAGGGTCATCTAACAAAGCGTGAGTTTTATATCAGAAAAGTAGTAACTGAAGAGCACTTTTTTCAGAAAAAAGTCGGATAAATCAGAAGCGTCATTGGAAGATCAAATTGTCCGAACCAACCCCGTGCTGGAAGCCTATGGTAACGACAAAGCGCTATTTCTTGCTATATGCTTTTTCGTAATATATTTCTGTAATGCGGAGCAGCTGAATGTCTTGCTTAACTCTGTCTTTGTAGCTCATCAAAAAAATGCTTTTGTTTTACACTTTTTTCGCTTAGACGTCGCATCATGTTGCATCAATGAACTATTTATAGGAAATGCAAAAACTGTCCGCAACAACAATTCTTCTCGTTTCGGAAAGTTCATTCGTATTCATTTCAACAATGCCGGAAAACTGGCCGGTGGGGATATTGAGCATTGTGAGTTAATGAGCATCAACCAAAGCGCATGCAGATAATCAAAACGATTATACATTTTTTAGACCTCTTGGAGAAGTCGCGTGTGATCAAACAAGCTCCTGGTGAAAGAAACTACCACATCTTTTATCAAATCATGTCTGGTGCCATCCCCGGCTTAAAAGGTGTGTGAGGGTAACTTTACAGTAGACCGTTATTGTAGAAAAGTTGTTCTTGACAAAGGGAGTTCGCGAATACTCGTTTATCGCTCAAGCCGAGGTTACCATTGATGGTGTGAACGATCAAGAGGAGATGATTCTCACTGATGTATGTCACATTGACTTTATTTCAAACGAGAAACATTTTTATAAAATTAAAGGGAAACCAATTTTAGGAATCGTTTGATATCCTGCGTTTTACCGCCGAGGAAAAGTTTGATCTGTGGTGTGTCACCGCTGCCATCGTGCATATGGGCGAGATGAAGTTCAAACAACGACCACGCGAAGAGAACGCTGAGGTTGAGGACGCAGCTGCCGCTGAATTAACTGCCAAGCTTTTCAAAGTTGACACGCAAAAGTTGCTCACGGCCTTTATAAAGCCTCGTGTTAAAGTTGGGACTGAGTGGGTGAACAAAGGTCAAAACCTGGAACAGGTCACTTGGTCGGTTGGAGCTCTAGCCAAGGCTTTGTTTGCTCGCATCTTCAGCTGGCTCATCAAGAAATGCAACTTGACATTAGACGCAAAAGATCTCAGCAGGGACTCCTTCATTGGTGTGCTGGACATTGCTGGATTTGAGATTTTCGACGTAGGTTACGGGACATTTCTAGGTGTTGCTGCTGGCCTACATGTGCAATTCAAATCTGTTTTAGCTCAATAGTTTCGAACAGCTTTGGATCAACTTTGTCAACGAGAGGCTACAGCAATTCTTTAATCACCATATGTTTGTGCTTGAACAGGAAGAGTATAAAAGGGAAGGAATTCAATGGGAATTCATAGATTTTGGGCTGGATTTGGAAGCGTGCATTGAACTGATAGAGAAGGTAAATTATCACCAGCTACAACAAATCGAAGCGCAATAACGCCTTTTTATGACAATTTTTCAGCCGCTTGGAATTATCTCTATGTTGGATGAGGAGTGCATCGTTCCAAAGGCCTCAGATACGACGTTAGCCTCCAAGCTGAACGACCAACATTTGGGCAAGCACCCGAACTTCCAAAAACCCAAGCCTCCAAAGGGAAAACAAGCGGATGCTCACTTCGCCCTGGTCCATTATGCAGGTACCGTGCGGTACAATGTGAAAGGCTGGCTAGAAAAGAACAAAGACCCGCTAAACGACACGGTAGTAAGCGTTCTAAAAGGAAATGACAAAATGGCTTTGCTATCTGATCTATGGTCCGATTATACAACTCAAGAAGACCAGGTGGCTAATGATGCCCGAGGTAACGGAAAACTGAGATATTTTAAAGCCGTCTTTAGGCAAAAAAGCACCCGGTAAAAAGAAGGGAAAGTCGGCATCCTTTGCCACCGTGTCGATGCTATACCGAGAATCGCTGAATAAGCTAATGAATATGCTTCATCAAACCCACCCGCACTTTATTCGTTGCATTATTCCAAACGAACAGAAGAAAGCCGGCCTTATTGAAGCCAATCTTGTACTGAACCAATTAACTTGTAATGGTGTGCTTGAGGGTATCCGAATTTGCCGCAAAGGTTTTCCCAACCGAATCACATATCCCGACTTTAAGCAGCGGTAGGCTTTCCAAAGTTAGGTTTTCATTTTAAAAACAGATACGCGATCCTAGCGGCAGATGAGGCTGCCCAATCAGATCCGAAAAAGGCCGGGTTAGGAATGACAAAAAAAATCGAGAAGAATGGAGACTTGAAGCCGGATGAGTACCAATGTGGTGACACAAAGGTTTTCTTCCGCGCCGGAGTTCTTGCACGAATGGAGGAATTACGAGACGAAGCCTTGAGCAAAATGATCTCAAAGTTCCAAGTCCAATGCAGGTATTATTTGGCCCAGAACGAGTATCAAAGACGACTCCATGCGACGTAAGTAATGTTAATCATTGGCACAAAATCTTAATTAAACAAACTTTGCCTATGCTAGACATTTTTTCTTTCAGTGCTGGCATCAAGCTCATCCAGAGAAATATTCGGCGTTGGTGTACATTACGAACTTGGCCCTGGTTCAAATGCTACTCCCAAGTGAAACCACTGATAGCAGGAAGCAAGCAAGTAAGGATTTACAAATGGTATTGCCGTTAACGAAGGCAATACGTCTTAATTATCAACCCGGATGGAGTGGATAGTGTTGATTTTTGTGTAGGAGGGTAATCCAGTGAAATTCAATACTCTTTTTCTGGGATGTACTCCAAGACAGATTATTATCCACTTACCGCTAGAACAATAACTTCGGGGCAAATACAAGACATTGACGATTGTCTTGTTTGAAATATTAGTTTTGCTTCCTATAATTTACTAGGTTATACTTACTGTTTTGCTATGAATGAGCTTCCATTTTTGCACTAAAGTTTTAAAATTTTAGGGAGAAAAAATGGAGGAGCTGGAGCAACGCTTCAAGGAGTTGGAAGAAAATTTTGCCAAGGAAGAAAAGGCCAGGAAGGAACTGGAGGCTGTGAATCAAAAGCTAGCGGCGGAGAAGCAGGCGCTATCTCTCCAAGTTGAGAGGGAGCGGGAAAACACCAGCGAATCTGATGAGAGATCTGGCAAAATTTTGGCACAGAAGGCTGACGTGGAACGCCAGGTAGAATTATAAAGTGACGTTTAGACGAGAAAAAATTTTTTTAGCTTAAAGACATCCACGAACAGTTAGCCGACCAAGAAGACCGAAATCTTGAGCTGCAGAAGCACCGCAAAAAGCTCGAAGCGGACTGCGACCGTCTGAAGAATTCGGTAAAGGATATGGAAATTGCTCTCAAGAAGCAGGAAAACGAGAAACAAAGCAAAGAGCACCAAATTCGGACTTTACAAGAAGAGATTCAATCTCAAGATGACGCTATAGCTAAAGCGAACAAAGAAAGGAAGCATCAAGAAGAGTTAAATCGAAAGTTACTGGACGACATTCAGGCGGAGAAGGAAAAGCAGAACCAGCTTAGCAAGTCGAAGGCAAAGCTGGAACAGGCTTTAGACCAGGCTGAAGATAACTTGGAGAGAGAGAAACGCATGAAGGCTGACATGGAAAAACAGAAACGCAAGGTTGAAGGGGAGCTAAAAGTTGCCCAAGAAAACCTTGAGGAAATCGCTCGAGCCAGGATGGATCTAGAGAACAAATTGAAACAGTGGGTGAATTAACGAGTTTAAAGTTAAAATTCGCTCTTACAGAAAAGAGACCGACCTTATCTCCTACATCCAACGTTACGAAGACGAACAAGCATTGGTAGCCAAACTCCAACGCCAAGTTAAAGAACTTCAAGCTCGCATAGTTGAACTCGAAGAGGAACTGGAAGCAGAACGTCAGTCTCGTATTAAAGCTGAAAAATCAAGGTACGAAATGCAGCAAGAGCTGGAGGAGCTCGCCGATCGGCTTGACGAAGCCGGCGGAGCAACCCAAGCGCAAATGGAAATGAACAAGAAACGAGAAGCGGAGATGATGAAGCTTCGCAGAGACTTAGAGGAAGCTAACATGCAGCATGAGACTCAACTTGCAGCCATGAGAAAGAAACAAGGAGATGCGGTAGCTGAGCTCACAGATCAGTTGGACACACTGCAAAAACTGCGGCTGAAGTAGGGTAGATAAGAGAAACGAACCTTCTTTTATTTCAGGATGGAAAAGGAAAAGATCGCTGCGCAAAAGGAAGCAGAAGAAGCTCAACAAGGTCTAGAACGTGAGGAGAGACAAAAGTCTGATCTGGACCGTCTTGCAAAGCGCCTTGAAGTTCAACTAACAGAGCTACAACTTAAAAATGACGAACAACTTCGCCAGCTTAACGAACTGAATACGTATAAGCTCCGAAGTAGCGCCGAGATTGGAGAACTAAACAGGTATGGCATTCATTTGCATCCTTTGTACGTCTTGCTGCAGGCAGTTAGAGGACGCGGAAAACCAAATAATGGCGGTTGGTCGGCTGAAAAGTCAGCTCAACAATCAAGTCGAAGACTTGAGGAAACAGCTTGAGCAAGAAGCGAGAGAGAAGCAGTCATTAGTGAACCAGGTGAGCAACGACAGACGGCAATAAACTAAAATTTAAGCTTTCCAACTATCAAGCGGAATGTCAACAACTTCGTGATGCTCTTGATGAAGAGCAAGATTCTAAATCCGATTTGCAAAGACAAATCAGCAAAGCCAACGCCGAAGCGGCACAATGGCGTGCCAAATATGAAGGCGAGGGAATGTCGAGAAGTGAGGAGATCGAAGAAGCAAAGCGAAAAATGAATCAGAAACTTATGGAGATTCAGGAAGAGCTTGAGCAAGCAAACCAGCGAATTGGGTCGAGCGAGAAGGTCCGTAATCGGCTTCAGCAAGAGCTTGAAGATGCCCAACTCGATGCTGAAAGGGCAAACACATTAGCCACTGCGCTGGAAAAGAAACAAAAAGGCTTTGACAAAGTAATAGATGAATGGAGAGCAAAATGTGACTCATTGTCAACTGAGCTTGAAGCCGCTCAGCGCGACCAACGGTCGGCACAAACCGAATCGTTCAGACTAAGAACAGCGCTCGATGAGACGAATGAGCAAATCGAAGCGGTGAGGAGAGAAAATAAGAACTTGGCTCAAGAGATCAAGGACATTACCGATCAATTGGGCGAAGGAGGCCGCAGCGTGCACGACTTGCAGAAAATCCGGAGGAGACTGGAAATGGAGAAGGACGAACTCCAGCAAGCTCTTGAGGATGCAGAAAGTGCTTTAGAGGCCGAAGAATCAAAGCTTATGAGAGCCCAAGTCGAAATCTCACAAATCCGCGCGGAGATCGAAAAACGGCTCGCTGAAAAAGAAGAGGAATTTGAGAACACTAGAAGAAATCATCAAAGGGCTCTCGAATCATTGCAGGCCAGCTTAGAGACGGAAACTAGAGGACGTGCTGAACTTTTGAGAGTCAAGAAGAAGCTCGAAAGCGACATAAATGAGCTTGAGATCGGCCTTGACCAAGCCAACAGAGCAAATGCCGACGCTCAAAGAAATCTCAGAAGTTACCAAGAGAGTGTCCGCGATCTTCAACTGCAGGTAGAAGATGAACAACGACAAAAAGCGACCATGCAAGACCAGGTGACAACAGCTGAACGACGGGTTACGATATTGCAGACGGAAAAGGACGAACTCTCTAGAACTATTGAACAGGTATGAGGTACCACATTTAGTTCTTACAATTTTAGGTGGAACGAGCTCGCCGCCAGGCCGAATTAGAGCGGGCAGAAGCACAGGAAAGCCTGAACGCATTGACTGATGCGAATGCCAATTTGGCTGCTATCCGCCGAAAATACGAAGCCGAACTACAGGTAGGATAATTTAAATAATTCCGAGAGCAATGTTTTAGCAAGCGCAAACCGAGCTCTCCGACGCCTTGAACGAGTTAAACGGAGCAAACGAACAGCTTCGAAAGACATCCACTGACGCAGCACGTTTGGCTGAGGAGCTTAAGGCTGAGCAAGACCATTCACAAGCCATCGACAGACAACGAAAAAATTTGGAGTTGCAGGTTAAGGACCTACAAGCGCGTCTTGATGAGGCCGAAAGCCTTGGTCTGAAGGGTGGGAAACGCCAGCTTGCAAAGTTGGAAGGAAGAATACAGGAGTTGGAGCAAGAGCTTGAACAAGAAAATCATCGACATGCAGAAACGCAAAAGAATTACCGGAACAAGGAGCGTCGTTGTCGTGAACTGCAATTTCAGGTGGAAGAGGATAAAAAAACTCAAGAACGAACATACGACCTGGTCGAAAAGCTTCAATCTAAGATTAAAACATATAAGCGACAAGTTGAGGAAGCAGTAGGTTTCTATTTTAAGGGAAACTTGATCAAGCCAAGAGTCAGGAAAAACTATTTTTTTGTAGGAGCAGTTGGCTAATACGAATCTCGCCAAGTACAAACAACTTCAGCATATGCTTGAGGATGCTGAAGAGCGGGCTGATATGGCTGAGAATTCTTTAAGCAAGTTCCGTGCCAAGTCGAGATCAGCCTCTGGACTGGCGTTGAACCGCGGTCTTTCACACTCAGTGGGTTAATAACATGTGCTTTTATTAATGACTTACATATTTACAACGCAAACTCAATCCACTTGCAGATGTCATCCGCTGTTATCTCATCCCGATCGCGTGCTGCAATCCTGGAAGAGGACTAGACTGCTACAGGTCTACCACGAACTTCAATATTGCAATGAACTACTTTTATTCCATTCGAAGGATCAACATTTATTATTATTGTAGAATATTTTTCTTGTTTCTCATTTTCTCGTGCAACTCGAATCGCTTAAAACATGCGTTGATTTTCTCAGAACTCTTAAAAACCTTTTTTAATAAAACGTTCTTACTGAGACAGGATTGGTTAGCCCGACAAAGAAATATAAAGGAAAGAAACACAACTTCAAGACTTCTACAATGCATTCTTTAGGCTGCTACTTTCCGCGGACGAGACAAAATGAGAAACGAGGAAAGTCGTGCTCAGGAAAAACCATACTCCGTCCGTAAAGGTTGATCAAAAATTAGGCACGATTGGAGCATTTTCCAGTTGTGCTTTCAAGTTGAAATTGGGTCATGCGAGCGTTACAGGCCATCGGGTAGTTCTTTTTTTTCAATGCCATCGGGTTGTTTTTTTTCGAGTCGGTTTCGTAATGGATTTGGCTCATTTGTTCCATTAAATTTTACTATCAAGTTTATTTACTTCGGTTAGATCCTTAATATAACCGCAGTTGGTCTGAACAATCTTTCCTTATATGATGTGTAAAGAAAATGGGAGTAAGGAAACTTGTGAGTTTAATGCCGTTAAACGAGAAAGTCGGAGCACTTGAAGTTTCGAGACTTTCCGAATTTTGAAAAGAAGCGTTTTTCTGTCGTCCAAATTTGGACAGCGCAAACATATTACATACTTATACATATGATCTTCTCCGCGTTTCACTTATGCATAAAAACTACAGAACATTTCAGACTAAAATATCATTTTCTCATTTACCATAATAATTCGAATTTTTTTGGTGTCACGTGTCATTTTTATTGGGCTTTGTACAAATGACTCCTATTTTCACCCTAAAAGAATACGTTTTTGCGTTCTATTACGATATAAAAGCTTCTTCATTGGATGTTCAGATCCCTACATCCTCAGCTCTATTAAACGAACGATGCCTTAGGGGATTCGCGAGATTGATGAGGTTATGTAGGCGGCTTTGTTTAAAGAGTGCTTCCGTTATGAACCAAAAAATAACCCAAATGACGTTGAAAGGACAGCGACGGGCGTATATTCCTTTATAGCATTTGTTTGTACGGTAACCCATCAAACCTTAAAACCCCATCGGCCGCTGTTCTTCAACACTTTTTAAACCTTGAACCTAAAAGCCGGTTGGTTAGCTTTTCGCGTTTTATATTATATGTATACTAGCGGAAGTCAGAAAGGAAAGAACGTCAAGTTGCGGGGTAAATCTTTACGTAACTTAACATTTTTTATTTCGCCCCCTGTTTTTGGGCATTTTTAAACCTTTGAAATATAGTGAAGACACATCAGTCAACGTGATTTTTCTTTGTCACTTAAAAGAACACAAAGTCTACGTTGCCAACAATGTATTCTTCTGGGAAAATGTCTCATCCGTGCAGAAATTTTCTCAATTCAACGTATTTTCTACGCTCTTCGGCAACCAACTTGGTGGTCTCCTTCAACTGTTAAAAAGTTGTTTCTTATTTTAGCTACTACGCAGACGACTAACTTAGCGCAGGCTTTCAGACCCTCGCTTAATCGTCGCAAAATAGATTTGAGTTGGAACTGACGTCGTGCCTTGGGATAATCATGTTTATGGTAAACGAGAATGAACCAGACAAGACGATACTTGTTTGCAGCTAGAAGTCGGTGATGCAGCCAATTTTTAGCGCTTTTTCCCCCAACCTATCTCCTTGTTGTGTTTTCTAGCCAAAGAAAAAAATAGGGTAAGCCTTTAGCCCGCCAGAGAATATACGGTGAGGTTATTTGCAAACTATGAGCACCGTTTCGAAGAACGTGGCTGTCACTTTAAGCTGTTCGTTCTTGGCTCTGTTTCGGCCGCAGATGTCTTATCCTCTTTGGAAACGTCAGACTTCTAGGTGCTAATATTAGAAGATTTATTTATGCCATGCCTTATTGAGCTCAGTATTTCATAAAGAAAAGAGAAACCAAGCCTTTTTTGTTTTATTGCCAACCAAAATTCCTCCTTCTCGTCACAAAAAAAGTAAATGGAGGGAGTCAGCGTGAGAAGTGGGATCAGTGAAGACATGGGAAGGTGACGAGAAGACGACGACTTTATCCATTGGATTTCTTTAATGAAATCTGCTTTATTTTCAAAATTTACCGAGCTTGACAAGTGTACCCGCACACTTACTCTACAGTAACCTCTTATTGTTAGGGAAGGGGGAAAATCCAACACTTTTTGCATTTTTTTATAAAACAACGGCAAAAAATTACTAATACGTTCTATTTATCATAAGGTCATAACAATTTTTGGTTAATGCCTATTTTACAATTATAATTATTACAGAAACGGTCTTTACAGTAGAGCACACAAAAGGGTTTGGCAGTTGTTTGACAGCCAATCTGGCTCAATTTTGCACTAACTTGCCCCAATTTCATTCCACCGTGTACGCTAGAGGTACACACACTATTGTTTTACTGATTAGTGAGAATGTACTCCTGGACGTTTTAATTTTTTCATCAACAATTTTCTTATAAAATATAAATGTAATTTACTTCTTATTTTGTAATACATCACGCTATGAGAATTGCTTATTTCCCGTCTGTAAGGCGAATTCAATGTCGAATCTGAGATGACTGATGGATTGGCCGAGGTGTTAGATTTGATTTCAATTATTATTATATTTGGAGGATGTGTACATGTGCAGGATCGTACGATAGAAGGGCCTGTCTTTTTGAGCTGTCTACGGTTTCATTTATTTCACCGTTCTGTGCCTACTGTTCATACGTGCGGCTGTTTAAAAAGATGGTCATATCTATATTAAAAATTTTTTTTCTCCCAAGTCGCGATTTTCGGTGCACAAGAAATTCGACGCCCAAATCGAAAAATTAGCGTCGACTTAATTTTCTCAGCACCAATTTCCGAAATGCGGTGCTGACTTCAGCACTTAAGTCTTCGGTGCAGACTTAAGATTTTGTGCACTGATTTCGAAAAAGTTACAAAAATGCACCGGATTTCAGAATTCGGTGCCGAGAAAAAATTAAGTCGCCGCCAATTTTTCCATTTGGGCGTCGACTTCTTTGTGCACCGAAAGTCGCGATTTTGGGGGAAAAAATTTTAAATACTTATATGACCACCTTTATATACAGCTTATGATGAACGGGTTCGCTCTTCAAAGTACCAATGCTTTTTTGTTTACTAAATAACTCAACTATTGGCTTTCTCCTGTTTCTAGAACGTTTAAGACTCGGCGAAATTCTAAAGTTGCTGCACGCTAAACGACAAAATTATATCACTGATCAATTGTTAGTTAATAAGCGAGTTCATGCCAGGTTTGTAGATGGCTAATTTGGCCCTTTGCGTATTTTGCCGCGTAAATGACTGACACCCAACCCTGCCCTAGAGAGTCATTGAGAATTTGATAATGGATAATAACAATGATGGTTCCTGGCAAGCGAGAATACACTTGTTGTGGCGAAGAACAACAATTCCAAGTTACATATTTATTACGGGGGCCGTTCCCAAGTGTGACGCTCAGATTTTGACAAAACTTGGCTCAAATTTATTAATCTTTTATATTTTGTAAGACAAATACGAGGCTTCCATTTCGTGCTTTGCAGAAACGACCGAGTTTCTTACAATTAGATCAAAAGTCGGCAAAAGTGCAACAGTTTTTTTGGCGTATTTCGGCATAGCGCCAATAAAGCCTGCTTTTTAAAGCTTTAATTCTTTTTATGAGTTTGATTGTTATTCCACCATTTTCCTGTAGTGACATTGGATGTATCTATATGTATCGCTATAATAATACGCTTTGAATTAGTGATATGGGAAATAGCTGTGTTTACTTAAACACTGCACAGTTTACTCCAGTTTGCGAACCATTCCCACGACGTGTTGCGGTCGCACGGTACGACATGAACCGGAATGTCTAATCAGAAGTCTTGTTTTTCGAGGTTCGTGAACTTGGGCTTTAGTGGGGAATAATGAACTCAGTAGGCGTTGTTCTCGGAATACGTGAAGTATATATTACGGTGGGCGGATTTTGATGAGAAATAAGGCGTTCATAGTGCGCGTTGGGTTAAGTGTAATTTAGCGATGACGAATATTTAACCATTCCCCTTTGCTCTTGTACTCCGGCTTTGTTATAGGACTAAATATTATATTACTAGTCCTTACGCGAAGTCGGCGGACCGAAATCGGCGGCATGCACTGTGAGAAAACAAAAGTTTTCTTTGTACCGTGCAATAGGTTTTTTCGGTCGTCGCACCATGACGTTTTTTGCACAGTGCAAACGTCAGAAAATTAATCTGACTGCTTTCCAGTCTAGTAGCTCCGGGCCGCTTGTCCTGTGGTTGTCGAGTCGTATTAGCTCATCGGTAAAACTTTTCATTGAACTGTATTTTTTGTATTTTCATTGCAAACAGATAACATTTTTGGCGAAGACTACCTCCACTCAAAGCACAAGCTGGAAACCCCGAACATTCAATTATTCATAATTTTTAGACCTTGAGAAACCCTTCTCTTCTTGAAACTGGGATTGAAAACAAAAAACCAGGAACTCGGGTTTCCTGGAAATTAGGCAAACAAAGGTGCATAGTATGAAGATAAATGTGATGCGTTATTCAGCGCTATCTAAAGCGTATGATCCAAAAGGATCAACAAGTTGGGTGTTAATGTTAGCGAATAAATTCTGTGTCTTGCTTGTGAAACTTTTTTATGTAACTCTTTTTGGTTATCCGATTTTCATTTTAATCAATTTGGCTGTTTGAAACACTTTCCCAGTTCCCTTTTGTTTTATGCATTATTGCGTTCTCGTGCGAAAATTTACACTGCGGAAAAATTTTTTTTCGGAACCCAACTTCAGAAGCCTTCGGGAAGGGGTCGTAGGCGGAAGATATTATCTATTGCATACGGTGAATAGGCGCGTCACTTTTGGCTTATGTGTGAAGTGCGGGCTGCGCCGGGTCAGCATATGATGCTATGAGAGCCGCGGAGGGTGGAAAAGCTTATAAATTGATTTTCGAAAGGCGGGAGTTCTCTCTTTATCGGGTTTATTACTTTAGAATTTACCATGTTTATTACTTTTTGAGGTCTTGTGAAGATGCGTTTCTTTCACAGAAATGATGTATGAAAGTAATGCTGAACCATACATATTTTAACTATCTTTATTTTGTTGATGTTTTACAACTTTTACAAACAAATTATCGCCCATTCTGCGCTTGAACCACGTCTGCTGTTGATCCATTTGCTGCTCTATCACTTACCTTAATTTTGTATCGACTTTTTTGAATCAGCGGCGAGCCGAAGAAGATTATCTTATTTTGCGAGCGCTGAACCTGCGTTATGTCTCCAATGACATGCACGGAATACGTGATGCGAGGGTGTGTTGTGTATAAATCGGAATGGAAGTGGATTAGACGAGCTGTTAATCGCCCGTACCCTTTTCCATATCGAGTAGAGGAATTTTACATAGGTTAAAATTAAAGGACAAAAGTTTTGCTTTTCACATACGTTTGCACGAAAGCATAAACAAGTGTACAACGTTAAGTCAGAAGAAATGCATTCTCTCTTTTGTCATAATTGAGATCCGTACTTAGTCATCATTAAAGATGGAAGTGATTTTTTTAGAGAGACGTGTTAAAAAATTGGATACGTCAGAATTCTAGCGGGAAAAGTTGTTCTCCGATACACTAAAGAGTACATGTTTCCTCATGGGGATTTTCTGCAGTCTTATTTCCTAATCCATGTGGTTTTCCGCTGGCCCGCATCAATTTCAGACCCAAAATTGTTAAGTATATGTTTACGTTCTGCAAAATAAATAGAACCGAAACCTACCTCAAAGGTTTACAAATTAAAATTGGCCAATATTTTCCATGTTTTGAAGACTAATCAACCATATGTAATCAGCGCGGCCAAGCCTCTTTTACTGATGGTTCGTTTTTCTGTCACGCAGTGGCCAAATCACATTTCGTCCAACATAATAGTCGCGACATAAAGTACTGAGAAATTCTGTGCATTTTTGTTTTTCTTTCGGACCCGTCGCGGCAATTCCCCGTTTTTGCACTAGCGACATGCACTTTCTCGCGAGCCACTCCAATTTTCCCGCGCGATACCCGCGACAAAATGTGTCAGGACTTTATGTCGCGATTAGTACTAGTCCTTCCGGAAAGTCGCCGGACTGATTATTGACGTTTGCACTGTGCGAAAAAAGTCAGGGTGCGAGCGACAGCCCCAAAAAGCCTATTGCACTGTGCAAAAAGCCAAAAATTGCACAGTGCAAAGTGAACTTTCGTTTTCGCGGAGTGCATGTCGCCGATTTCCGTTCGGCGACTTTCCGGAAGGACTAGTAAAAGGGCGCAGATCTCCTTTTGCTGCCATTTTTGATGTATATTTTAACACATTCGCTTGCAGACGTAGCAGGCGGAAGACCTTAGAATTTTCAGGACAAAATAAACAATATTATATTATGATTTGTCAATGTAAATTAACGATCCGTTACCGTGACCATTTTTGAAAAGCCTTACAGTCGGTCTAAACGTGCGTCTTTGCTTTTGTTATCTGGTGATGCAAGAATGGTTCCGCCACATCCCGCCACACGTGTTCACCTCCCGATTTTTGCCATACGCATTTGCCGCATAATACAACTCTAACTCCGTCCTCTTAAAAATTCAAGTCAGGTCTTGTTTGGAATTATTTTACAGCACATCTGCTTCCCATCTTGAGACAGTTCTTAATCCCTCGTATCTTATGAAACATAGTGACGTTTGGGGATTGTGAACACTGCGGTTTGTAATACATACGTGTTCGCACGAAAACGTACCCCAGAAGGTAAAAAATAATAGGTTTCTTTTAGACCTTTTTATTATTAAGTGATATCATCCCACATGTATAACCAAGGTCATTTATATGTATCTGGCGGCAAGTTTGGGAGGGCATTTTTTGCACCCACTTATCGTCAATTTGATATTTTTTATACGTTAACATATTGAGCTAGTTTTCGTGCACGGGATTTCAATCAAAAATTTCAATTTTCCTGAATAAATCCACTTTTCACTGCACGCAACCCACCCCTGTTTTGATTAATGTTGAAAAATACCTTGCGTTTCACGTTTGTCTGTTTCGTGGATCGAGGAATTTGCATGCACATTGATCACAACAATCAAACACCTTACAATTTCAGGACCTCCTCGACGTTTTGGGATCGGCAAAAAGTATCCTCTAACTTGTTTTAAAAATTTGTTCCAAGGCAATGTCGACACAAACCCATTTTCTTGCCGTTGTGGCCGCCACACTCTGTTGTCTGATCCTCTGCGATGCCGAAGACGCTTTCTGTAAGGTTTTTATCTATTTGTCGATGAATATGCCAATTTTCCGCCATTCAATTTGTATATATTGCAGACAGCATCGGCGACAAAAGAAACTTTGACCGTGAGTTTATGCATTTTGGAAAGCGTGCAACAAGTGAAGACTTTGGAAGATCGTTTATGCCCTTCGGTAAAAGAGCAACAAATGATGACTTTGGAAGAGCATTTATGCCCTTTGGCAAACGCGCCGCCAATGAGGAATTCGGCCGCGCTTTCATGCCCTTCGGAAAGCGTGCTGACGCATACGATGAGGTATGTAAACGGTCACACGTTCTTGTCTTTATCTATTTTTTCTCTCAAATTTGATGAAACCGATTCACTAATGTTATTACAGTCCTTCAACCGCGCCTTCATGCCGTTCGGAAAGCGTTCTCCAATGACGCTGGACCAACTCATTGCTAAAAAGAACATGAATCGTGATTTCATGCATTTTGGCAAGCGTGTTGCACCGTCCTCCTTTGACCGAGAGTTCATGCATTTCGGGAAGCGGTATGTTTAACGTTTCCCTCCGCTTCTTTCAAGCATCCTATATTGGCAACTCTTATGTTTAATCTTAGCACGCCATACTGCGCGCGCTGAAAAGTTCGGACAATTTATCGCTAACGTCGCGCGCAAAAGTTTATTGTTTTGCCCGCAAAAATGCATGTCGCTAGTGCAGAGACGGCAACTTGACAAACGCAAAAACCAGTGCAGATCATATATACATAATATGAAGCTTTGAGCGCGAATGGTATGCTTCGATAGAATCCGACTGTGTAACGCTTTTGCCAATGATATTTTTGCAACATTCCATGTTTATTGTTTTCAGAAGATAAGACAGACACCTGCCATAAGAACCAACCTGTAGATCGACACGATAATTTATCTCCTCTTTTCACCTTGTCTTTTCAAAATGCTCTCATCTATCTCCACTCTCAGTACCGGCTTCAGATGTATGATACGACGTCTCCTGGCAAACTCCACGATCTCGAATATCTCTTTTATGTACACTGTAAAGACGACGCGACTTTTTCTCGCGCTTATCTCAGATTTAAAAGACAATAAAAACATCTTGTTTTAACAGCTTTAGGCTTATACATGTACAGGGTGCGCCAAAAATATTGGGACTCATATTTTTACTTGCCCTGCGGGCTGTAATGGTACAAGAGCAAAGTGGTCGCTTGTGCTAACGTGCAATGCCCCCAAGAAGCTATCTTCAAAGTTTCAGACAGAGTAGTCGTGTACGACACCTGTTCTGCCATTATAAGTGCTCACAACTAAGGCCCCTGAGACACGGACCCCAAAATGGATAAAAATTGGTAACACTAGTTTTACCGTTGCATGCTATGGCAGAAATTCACTTTATATGACAGAGTAGCGGTCGCTTTTTATACACTAAAAATGAGTTTTACTTATAATGACGATTACATCTTTTACAGCCCGTCAAAGTCGGCCTAAAAACGCGCCGTTTTCCAGAAAACTTCCGTAAGATCAAAGATTTTTATGTAGAATTTTCCATGTAAGGTTCCCAGCGTATTAGGCATCAGGGATACTTTTATAAGGACAACGAGAGTCTGACTAGTCGTCTTTGAAAAATTATTTCTTTATCTTCTGCCTCTGGGGGATGAAATAGTGACTACAGCGGTAGAATTTACTCTAAGGTTGCTCGTCAAGTGAGCTTGGACTGAAGATCGCTAGAAGTAATTCAGTTGTGTCAGCATGTATCCCGAGTACAGCGTTACGTCGATTTTTACGCTCAAGTACTTTTCAACTTGCAGTAAACTGCCAAAATATATCAAGCTTCGAAGGACCGTGCCTCCAATCCGCACCATAAAGTTTTTTCTATACAGAAACTGTCCCCTTGTAGGTGTAGATTTTATTTTACAGTATGACAATTCCCTATGTACACACTCTATAACCACAAAATTTTAGAGCAACACGGGTGATACTGTGGTATTGAGATCGTTAAAAACATAAAAATTTCGGGATTTTTTTTTTGTTTTTTCGACCAGCGCCGCCATATCGGTCGTCAACCATGATTACATACGTTGTTACGAAGCGAATAGCATGTGCTTTATACACAATAAATTTGAAGGATCTTACTTTCCCTTAGCGGAAATAATGGCCAAATTGATTTCCCGGTCATCCACTTGAAAAGAAAATTTTGGTCCCCCAAAAACTTTTGAATATTTTTTCAAGTTTGCAATAGGCCCCAACCCTGGCATTACCGTTGCCGTATAGCAAGACTGTTACTGTTGCTAAAACGGCCAAACGTTTTGATTCCAAGGCCAGCCGAAAAAAGCTACATGTAATTGATTTTTGTCCCAATATTTTTGGCGCACCCTGTATATTGCCCGTTGTTTCATGAAATACGGTTCCACGATCTTGCCATAGTACTAAAACCATCTTGAAACAGTGTCAACTGTCAACTAGTGGCCTACGGATGGCACGTAGCTGAATACTCCAGTAAGGAAGATTGCGGCTTTGGAGGTTGTGTTAACAGCGGTTACCCTATCGCAGACATACTGGCACAGCCTACACTGATCGGTGTTTGCGCGACGCATAGGAAAGAAAACTTCACAAAACCGACTGCCTGCAGAAAAAAATGCTATTGATTTGCGGAAATAAATTTTTTGAGCCACAAATCCTTTTCTGCCATACACTTCTTCTGCATATTTGTACATTGTGGCTTAAAAACATTGCAATTTTGTCCACTTCACATTTGTTTTCGTGGTTTTTTAAATCTGGAAAGTGCAACATATTGGGACAAGGCAAATATTTGTCCATGGCTTGTCACCTTATGGTTTCTCAAGCTTTTGTTTTGCCACTGCTTCAAGTCCACCAGAGCGTAAATCAATTACACCAGCAGCAGAAAGAAGCTCACGTTGTATTCCGCCCACAATTCCTTTGTTCCATCTCTTGGAATTTGCTCCGTGCGGACTTCCAGCATTTGTTTCTAGCAAGGACATTGTGAGGTCACAACGCATAACTTTGTCATCGTTGAGAATAATGTCATGCTAAGACATCTTAGGTAAGCGTAGCTATCTCGCTTTTCAAGCAACGATATGCGGCGGCAGCATTATAATTTGAGCAATGTTAAAAAAACCCTGGTGTCAAGCCTCACAGGCCGGGGTTCATTTCGGTCAAGCTTAATCTTAAACAACTTGGTTTTATTTTCCTTCGTGTGTTGCTTTCACAAAGCCACAGGGAGGCGTAACATCTGGCTCCGATCAGCCTACCAAGTGGATAACACGGTTTTTATTTTTTAACGAAGGGTTATACGACGCCACGTAAGATTAGAAATTCTCATTTCTTACCGTCAAAAAATACGTGCTTTCATTATTCATGTCGAGCGATCCTTGGAAATAAGCGCGATATCGCGCCTTTGTTGTTGTTTCATTGGCACTTGACTAGCTTACAGTCCACTTCATCGCCGCAATCTATCCTTTGGGAATCGAAATTCAAGGAAATTGTTGCTTTGAAAATTCAAAGAACATAGAGAAAGAATAGATCCCGGGGGACGTAGCTTTCTGTGTTTTTTCGTAGCTTTGAAAACAACAGTTGTACATTTTCTCCAAACGGAACGGTGAAACATTTTGACCAAAACTGTCTAATTTTTGTCTCTTTCTTGACGTCAATGTTTATAATTCCTCTGAAGTTGATCATGGCTGAATGCTTCAAGCTATGTTAATTTTTTCCTATGGAAATTCACTAAACATCTAAAAGACAATGATTTGGTTAATTTATCCAGTTCAAGTGGTAGTTTGCCTTTTGTTTTTCCCGGTGCCTGAAGTGTCACTATTCCGCTATTCTGGAAGTTCCACTTACGATTCCGCAAGTGCCAACTTCCGGAAATGTCTTAACTGGTGGCAAGCTGTCCAAATAGCTGATAGCTAAATTACTTCATAATATTTTAGCTCCCTCTTTTAAAAAATTAAGTGAGGACTCTGAATTCTGGATAATTTATATAAAAGATTATGGTTTCTTTTGCAGAAAAATCCCATGCAAAACACGGCCCGCTTCTCCATAGAAGAATAAATCGAAAAATTGAGGGACTATCATTTGGCGCGCACTGTATATATATTTTTTCTAAAATCTCCCCTTACATCGGCCTTAGTCTTCGAGAAGATGCTTACAATTAGATTTTATGCTAACCGGAGAAGCATCCCAATAGCGACGCTCAGATTTTGATTAAACATATAGTGAAAGTATAATGTACCGCCAACACCTTCGCGTTTACAAAATGGGAGGCGTTTTGTAAAAGAATCCGTGTGTTATTCCGCCATCACATCAACAGAAATTTTAGAGAGAGCCCAAAAATCGAGAAACTGAATTTTTCACGACCGATTCTATCTGCGGAACCTTTTTACTTCCATTAAGAGACCAGAGAGAATTTAAAACCAAAATAAATTGCTGGTGTTGTAAAGCGCGCCAGTCGTCACTATGCGGAAAAGTAAATTAAGCTGGTTTTTGTTTACCGTGCATACATGTATATATGTATATTGATTTATGTCTTGCAAATACGCTTCAATTGATCAAAAATTGTTCTTTTACCGCTACTTTCGCTTTCTATTCCGTTTATTTCATTGCTTAATTGGGACTCGAATCATACGAATTTACTATCTTCGTTTTGATCAGACATAACGTCTCTACGCTCTCTTGTTGATTGTGGCTAATTGAGAAAAGGCGTTTAAACCTCTCTAAGGTCTCTTAATTAAATTTCGACTGTCAGTGAAGACGAGATGAAGAGAGTTGAGCGAGGTCGTTTTATTATTTTATTTCGGATTGAAGAATAACTGCCAGCAGTGGTAAAGCAGGTAGAAATTGTTTAAATCAGAACTTGCCTTTCCTTTTTGGGGACTTGAGTAAACCTTCCTCACATAAAGGTGGGACGCTAATTTAACCTAATGTCAACATGTAATGCATTTAATGGAATAAAATTGTTTTTTGTTTTTTTATGGTAAATGTGCTAAGAACCTTTTCGTCAGTTATTTACCGCACTTTTCTGAAAGATTTTTTCCATTTTCATACACAAGAACCATGCTCCTTTTCCGACCTCTCTTTCTACATTCTCTGACTTTCCCCACTCCTGTTAAAAACTTGGCCGCATGTTATTTGATGGGCTTCAGTTTACTGAAATAATAATGAGGATGATGTGCGGTTGGGGCACTGAGCGTGTTTTGCAACAATTATTTTTGAAATAAACTACGGCCGGCGGCGCGGTTTGTAACAAAAGATTTTTTTGCATGATGCATGTCCTAATCAGAATCATAACCGTTTCTAATGACAAGGATGTTCTGACAAGGAAAGTGCTTTTATGGGTCGACTTGCGTTTGATTTTTCAACCCGAAAACCCCACATTGCGCAGCCAATTTTTACATATTTTTTATCAGCTCAATTTTTCGCATTTTTTTGACGTGCCAACATGCCCAGTCAAAAACTAGGAGCCCCCATCCTTGTGAGAAGCAGTTTCTATTCCAGCCTTAAACAAAAACTTCTTTAAAAATCGTTAGATTTTATGATATACATAGCTAAGGATCTCAAATTACACCTGTTCTGGGAAACAGGTTCGCTTTTTTGAAATCTTAAACTCTTAACCGCAGTCTTTCTTATGCAGTCTCATGATGTAACATTTTTAGAAAATTCTACGCTATTTCTCGTTTTCTTTACTAAAACGAGAAATTACCATAATTCGGTATGTGTCGTTGAAAAAAATTTATCATGAAGAAGAACAATATTCGTCTGTACTAGACTCCGGGCTGGCCTTTTCAAAACCTTCCGGCCTGGGCCAAGTCGGTTGTTCTGCATGCCTTTGCAATTTTTGGGCTATCCAGCATTTTTGAAACGTTGGGTTTTATGGGGGAGAATATTTTTTATGGAACTCTCGGATCTTTTTGAGGAAAAAATATACAAAATCTCAATTGTTTGTTCTATCTTCGCCATTTTTCCAAAACAGTTTAAGTCAGCGCTATGTGTTGGTTAGCATTTTTTGCCGCTAGCCAAAACTACTTTTTAACGAAGCTTAAAAAAATCTCCAAAGAGTTTTTCGGTATTCACCAGAACTACCGCCTCTTGATAACCATCTTACCCGTAATGTTGATGAAAATTATCTTAATATGTATATATATACAGGGTGATTCAAAAAAATGGACACTTTTCTTTCTTCGATTTTTCTTGGCTTTGAATGTTTCTGGTAAAAAGGTACATATGGCATAAAACTACTACGTTATGTGTACATATTCATTGCAAAAATTGTTCACTAACTGCAAAAGTTGCCGAGATATGGTTGCTTAAAAATTGCCGGGTCAGCGCACCCGTTCCCGCGGCGAAATTTGCAAAGTTTTCGCTCATAAATGTCTGAAGGGTGTAACAGAGACGTTCTGATCGGTCTGAGCGAAACACAGACGCCTATTCTCTAGGACCTTTAAGGGATTTAATCCAGGTCTTTCAGACAATGAAAAACCAGAGGCCAAAAGTTAGACAACCAGCGAGGGAAAATCGACGCTCATTTGGGCGCTTTTTAAAAAACTTAGCTCTGCTAAACGTGGTCAAAGTTTTAGAACCAATTCCATTTATACCACGTTTACTGCTCTATTGTGAGTATATTAAACGCATTTTTAACAATCGTACCCTTCAATTAGCAAAACTGCAAACAAAATTCCGACTTTTTTTGACTTTTGATGGGTCATCGCAATGATACGCGGATTCTGAAGGCTAGATTTTTTCAAATTAACGGAGACCAATTTAAAATTGAAGAACGGACTTATATCACTATCGTATAAATGCAGCCTGTCGTAGTTGTGCGGCTTGTTGAAGAACGCCAACAAAAAAGTAAAATTTCTCTGGTCAAAAAATATCGGCGTCTCTGGGTATAGCCGGCTAACCTTTAATAAGCACAGTACATGGCTAATGCAAGCTACAATCAAATCAACTGCGGACCCATGTAAAGCAATGTTAGATGTCTTACAGGAATCACTTTTTGCCGTTATTAGCACAAGCCAGGCCGCCCTGCTAAGTTTTGAAACCCGATCATCCCAAAAATCCAGAACTATGTGGATGGGTCTCTTGTGGATCACGTTGCGAATTGCTGGAGCGTTATTAATAGAATAATATCAGCGTTTTCCCTTCTCTAGATTCCCCTTAGTATCGTAATAAACAATCAACACGCAGTTTTTAGCTGGCTGAGAGAATTCAGGCCGTTAAAGTTTTTTGGACCTACAAAATTCTTGGAAAATGTGGTCAGAATATGGGCTGACCTAGTATTTTGGCTCGTACAAGCCGTTCAGCAAAAATATTTTAAAAATTGAAACGGGTGTCATGAAGCAGGACCGCTGACAAATATAAAACTATTTTTCTTTCCACCGACTGCGGTATTCGTGGTGGGATAAACCGACTTCAAAATTTGTCCATTTTTTTTGAATCACCCTGTATATATATATATATGTATATTAGTAACAGTTATATTATAGGTGGCTTGGCGGCAAAGACGGATTCGAAAATTATTATACGATTATGGAGGTGTGAAGGCAACTATTGCACATATCTTAAACCCACTTAAACCCAACCTACGTTATGCCGCGCTTTGGTGCAATTTTGATACTCGGCCTTCTTCTTGAAACCGCGGATTCTCAATCAATTCGCTCAATTAATGCGGTGGTTTTTAACGTTGGTCGGAATCACACAACAATTCCTTTTCCGACATCTACAACTCCTTTTCCGGCGGGACCAGACGGTCAGGTTTGCTGGGATAGCAAACCATGCAAACCGGGGCTACTTTTGCCTATATGGGAACCGCAGGCAAGTTGCGATGTGAACAAAAGGATTGTGATTTTAGATTGGCATTTCTATGGGAACCCGCCTATTTCGAGCATTTGTTTACTTTGTCGCTTTAGCGTACCTGTTTTATGGTGTCTCAATTGTATCCGACAGGTATGTCTGCGCATTAAAACTTGTCAGTCCTTCCGCTTTTGCACAGCATCCTTCCGCTTTTGCACTGGCGTAACAAAGGCATCTTATGCGAGAATCTATTTAGGTTCATGGCAGCAATCGAAGTGATAACCTCGCAAGAAAAAGCTGTCAAAATCAAAAAACCGAACGGGCAGGAGACGCACGTGCTGGTCCGTGTATGGAACGAGACAGTCTCTAATTTAACCCTCATGGCTCTTGGATCCTCGGCTCCAGAAATTCTTTTAAGTGTCATCGAGATTTTTGGCAACGGCTTCGAAGCGGGTGATTTGGGTCCATCAACTATTGTTGGGTCAGCTGCATTTAATCTATTTATTATCATCGTCGTTTGCATTCTGGCGGTTCCTTCTGATGAAATACGAAAGGTCCATCGGATTGACGTCTTTTGGGTAACTGTGGCATGGTCAACCTTTGCCTATATTTGGTTGTTTGCCATTATCTCAGTGTTTTCTCCTGGCGTAATAGAGGTAGCCGAACTCTATCTCCTTGTTCATTTATGGCGTTTTAGATTTGGGAGGCGGTGGTCACGTTTTTGTGTTTCCCATTGACTGTCATAACAGCTTTCATTTGTAATAAACACGCGCACTCAATGGGTCAACGATTCCTGAAAGGCAACATCACCACGTTCGTTAGAAATCGCCCCTCAAGACTCGCAACTGCAGACAAAACAAACGGACTCGTGAACGGAAGCGACGTAGAGTAGGCTGATTTATTGGTATATAATAATGTGTAGAACATGCAAGTAATAAGTCACAATCGAACATCTTTAGGAAAGCACTTCTTGGGTCCTCAACTAATGATGCCGACGTGGTTGCTTTTGAGGACCACAGGAAACAATATCTGGAGATGTTCCGGCGCTTGCGGTCTGAAAACCCGGACCTTTCGATTGAAGAGCTTGAAAGGCTGGCCACTGAGAGTGTGGTTAATGCCCAACCAAAGTCCCGCGCCTTCTACAGAATTCAAGCAACTCATAAAATGATGGGCGCCGGAGACCTAACGAAGAAACTACGCAAAAAGTCCAACGAGCCGGATGCGCCACCTTTTCTGCCACAGAAACCAAAAATGGTGACTGTTGAATTCGACCCGGTCAGCTACATGTGCTTGGAAAATATCGGCGATGTTGAGGTCAAGGTGCGCGTCGACCGAGGATCCTTTAGCGTACCAATTGTGGTGCTGGTCGATTATTATACAGTCGCTGATACGGCTCAGGAATTTGAAGATTTTATGCCGATAAAGGGTTCTCTCAGATTTGAGCCTGGTGAAACCGTGTAAGTCAAACTTGGTTTGTTGTGTTTTTTGCAACATAAAGCCGGCGCACTTTGCGAAACTAGCAGGGCCCTCGTCTATCAGTGTATTCAAACAAACCATTTTCAGAAAAACTCTATCCATTCCAATTGTTGACAATGATGTCTATGAAGATGACGAACAATTCTACGTTCAATTGCGAAATGTGAGGGCTCAGTTTGAATCCAACGAAGATCAAAAAGTACCATCGAAGATCAAAACCACTACCGCTACGGTCTTGATTGTTGATGACGACCACGGCGGAGCATTTTCCTTCGAGTCAGAGGTTTTTAAGGTCGCGGAAAACGCCGGGGTTTTAATTTTGGAAGTTAAAAGACACAGAGGAGCCAGAGGTGCGGTTTCTGTCCCTTTTCGTACAATTGACGGTGCCGCCAAGGATGGAAAGGACTACATTGGGCAGGTCGGCGAACTCAGATTCCAAGACGGACAAACTAAGTAAGCCGATTAAATCAACTACGTTCCTTAAAACTATCCTGTTGGTGTGCCGTATGTGTAGAGTGGGAATAGAGAAACGTTTTTTTGAATTTGTTAACAATGGAAATGTTTGAAGCAAATTCTACGGACTGTATGGGGCGAGAATTATCAATGTCGGAAAGTCTTAGCTCGCGTTTTGCAGGTGCAGCTAGATGCTGGGTATTCAAGCATTTTAGTGGGATACGAGCAATGAGTGCGGTCAGAGATGAAAACACTTTTCGGCCATATCTTTTTCAGTTTCATTGAAAAAATTGATTTTTTGTAAAAACTTTCTTCGCTACAGCAAAAATAGGTATGAAAACTTTCATTCCACATGTCGCCAAAACGTGCCACATTTTGCCAACCTTCGGCCTAGAAATCTCGGCCGTATTTGCAAAGCGCGAGCTAGAAAGCCTGTACGTCTTTGAAAAATTAAATAAATTTTTTAATTTGTCAAGTTTCCTCAAAATCTTGGCGTTGCACTTGCACTACTTTACTAGTAAATGTATTCTGTAGGGCTGAAATCGAAATTGAAATAATCAACGATGACGAATACGAAAAAACTGAAGACTTCTATGTAGAACTGGAAGCCCCGATTTGGCATGCCAAGAATCAAGATGGACAGGACGGTGCTGACGGCCGCCCGATTCTTGGTGCTCACACCCGATGCAAAGTCTTGATAACGGAAGATAAAGAATTCAAGGTAAAAAATATATTGATACGTACTTGACAAAACATTTGTAGAGCTTTGTCGACAAGATGCTGACCAATGCTAATACATTGGCAATGGTTGGATCAAGTTCTTGGGAACAACAATTTGCCGACGCCATGGAAGTTGAGGACCTGGATGGAGATGGCTCACTGAGCAAACGTGAGGTCATTTTGCATTACCTTTCGTTGCCCTGGAAACTTCTGTTTGCACTTATACCTCCAACTGACTATTTCAACGGTAATTTTTTCATCGAGCGTAATACAGAAAGCACACAGGAAATAGCGCAATTTAAAAATTTTCAGGCTGGTTCTGCTTTTTGGTATCAATAGTTGCAATCGGGATTCTCACCGCATTTATTGGCGATGTTGCGTCGATGTTTGGTTGTACAATTGGATTGAAAGACTCTATTACCGCTATTTCCTTGGTTGCGATGGGGACCAGTCTCCCAGGTACTGTCAACTAAATGATAAATCAAGATAAACATGTCAAAATGAAAGAATCGTGTTTTCAGATACGTTTGCTTCTGTTACGTCAGCGAAGATGGACAAAACGGCCGACTCTTCTATCGGAAATGTTACTGGCTCCAACGCCGTTAACGTGTTCCTGGGTATTGGGATTGCATGGTTATGCGCAGCGGTTTACCACGCCTCCAAAGGAACAGTTTTTCGCGTTGAGGCAGGAGCGTTGGCGTCAAGTGTGACATTATTTCTCATTGGCTCTCTGATATGCTTCCTTGCACTGCAGTGGCGACGACATCACGCACAAGTTCGTGGCGAACTTGGCGGACCGACAAAACATAAATATATTTCGTTCATTATCTTTGTTGGCTGCTGGTTGGCTTATTTGGTATTCAGCACATTAGTAGCATACTGCGTAATTCCGGGATTCTAATAACATAAACATCTCGAAACACTATATTTTACTCCTCATCCACCGCTGAAAACTCCTAAGTTTTCTTACAATTAGACACCGAAACTTTCGAAATGCCCTGGTATCTGTTAACGAATACATCGTGCGGCAGTTTTGCACATAATTTCCAATGTTAAGGTTGGATTATATAATTAGTAGAATGCTAAAAAATGTAGAAACACATGCTTTTCTAATTTCAAAGAAATGCCGGTAATTCTGTTTGATCCGAATAATATTTAACGCGTAAAAAATAATTCTGTGAAATAAATTACAATTTTTAACTCACGAAGTCGTTCAAATCGCAAATGAGTTGAGTTATGGGACCGGCATATTCAGATTCTCCATCTTCGAAAACAGCAAGAGCTAAAACAGTTTTTGCGTCTGAGCCCTATTCTTCAAGAAAATCGACCGTAAAGTTTTATTGAAAACTGATATATATGGTTAATGAACTTATCCTTAGCAAAATCGAGATTTTGATTGTCGATGGTGTAAAATTTAGAGTTAACGCTGTTTTGCTGGTTCTACCATGCGGAATGTTTAGTCTTATGTAAGTCTGATATTAACGACCTAGCAACGCCGTTGGAAAAAAGAATCTGCGCGTTTAGCGTCAAAAAGAGAGCCAGCCTTACTATCAGTCTGTTGGGAAAAGATTCCAAGGCGCGTCTCACCCGATTTATTTTCACGACAGGCTGTTACTAAGCATTATCTGATCTGTAGTCAAAGGTAAGTGGGTAAAATACCGCGTAGATTTCACTATCAAAATTTCCCGGCACTCCGACGTTATTTTGGAGGCAGTTGTGATGTGCCAGTTATTTTTTGAGTCATCAAAAGCCTTACACGGCTTGATCCGCTCTGGCCAAACAGTCTAAAGCAAATGTGATCCAGCAAAGTCCAAATTTATAGTCAGCATGCACCAGAAAAAAAAATATGGCCGATTTCTGAAAATTGCTTTTATTTATGCATCTATCATTTATAAGTCGCTGAAAGCCGTTTAGACCTTTGTTTAATCATCACTAATACAGGTTTTAAACAGTACGATTAGCTCAGGATTTTTTTGCCTTTCTGTAATTCTTAAATATTCATTTGAGTTGTTAGTTATTGAGTTTCGACTAACAGTCAGCTGGACTTTTGCGCTCTATGTAGGCATGGCTTATAATCAAGCGGCTTCTCAGAAATAACGTAAGGCTTTGGGCATAGACCTAAGGCCAAGTAAGAAAATGCCTTGGCTTAGCATTTTTGCGCTTTTAGCTTAGGCTTAGTCTAATTCTCAGCTCAGGATAAGTGAGATTCTTAGCCTAAGCCTATGCTTAGAATTTGCTTAATCATTGCACACCTTGTAGTATGTTTTGCTAAGGATAAGCTTAAAGCTGAGCGTATGTCACAGCCTCAGCTTTTAATATAATTAAATCACAGTTTGAACAAAGTCTTTGCAAACACAGTTTGCACAAAGTCTCTCAGCATGGCGTCGAGACTACAACGCTTTATTGCGCTTCTACAGACAAAACCGAGCCTTACGCTTCGACTCTGTCTGCAAGATTCAGCGCCTTTACTTCGAGCTTAGCCTTTTGTACCCACTGCATAAATTACGCAAAAATCAAAATAACAAGAAATTACAGGGTGGGGCATGATTTGAATTGGCTATAACTTCTTTAGTTTTTGGCCAAATCTTAAAATTCTTTTTCCCTGAATCCTCGAATAACCCCATTTTTTATACCAAATATTTTGTACATAGGTATATGACACTTACCTATGTATGTATAACATATTTGGTAATATCAGAATATTTGCAGTCAAATTACGCCCACACTGGGCGAAAATCTCTGATATTATGCTTGAAATTTGTTTAGAAAAAAAGTGAATTAGCGATGTCGGAGTGAACGGACGTGGCATACACCATTCGAACCGTAACTGAATGAGATTTCAGCATGGCAAATTTCAGCTTTTTTGGAATCAAATTACGCCCACACTGGGCGAAAATCTCTGATATTATGCTTGAAATTTGTTTAGAAAAAAAGTGAATTAGCGATGTCGGAGTGAACGGACGTGGCATACACCATTCGAACCGTAACTGAATGAGATTTCAGCATGGCAAATTTCAGCTTTTTTGGAATCAAATTACGCCCACACTGGGCGAAAATCTCTGATATTATGCTTGAAATTTGTTTAGAAAAAAAGTGAATTAGCGATGTCGGAGTGAACGGACGTGGCATACACCATTCGAACCGTAACTGAATGAGATTTCAGCATGGCAAATTTCAGCTTTTTTGGAATCAAATTACGCCCACACTGGGCGAAAATCTCTGATATTATGCTTGAAATTTGTTTAGAAAAAAAGTGAATTAGCGATGTCGGAGTGAACGGACGTGGCATACACCATTCGAACCGTAACTGAATGAGATTTCAGCATGGCAAATTTCAGCTTTTTTGGAATCAAATTACGCCCACACTGGGCGAAAATCTCTGATATTATGCTTGAAATTTGTTTAGAAAAAAAGTGAATTAGCGATGTCGGAGTGAACGGACGTGGCATACACCATTCGAACCGTAACTGAATGAGATTTCAGCATGGCAAATTTCAGCTTTTTTGGAATCAAATTACGCCCACACTGGGCGAAAATCTCTGATATTATGCTTGAAATTTGTTTAGAAAAAAAGTGAATTAGCGATGTCGGAGTGAACGGACGTGGCATACACCATTCGAACCGTAACTGAATGAGATTTCAGCATGGCAAATTTCAGCTTTTTTGGAATCAAATTACGCCCACACTGGGCGAAAATCTCTGATATTATGCTTGAAATTTGTTTAGAAAAAAAGTGAATTAGCGATGTCGGAGTGAACGGACGTGGCATACACCATTCGAACCGTAACTGAATGAGATTTCAGCATGGCAAATTTCAGCTTTTTTGGAATCAAATTACGCCCACACTGGGCGAAAATCTCTGATATTATGCTTGAAATTTGTTTAGAAAAAAAGTGAATTAGCGATGTCGGAGTGAACGGACGTGGCATACACCATTCGAACCGTAACTGAATGAGATTTCAGCATGGCAAATTTCAGCTTTTTTGGAATCAAATTACGCCCACACTGGGCGAAAATCTCTGATATTATGCTTGAAATTTGTTTAGAAAAAAAGTGAATTAGCGATGTCGGAGTGAACGGACGTGGCATACACCATTCGAACCGTAACTGAATGAGATTTCAGCATGGCAAATTTCAGCTTTTTTGGAATCAAATTACGCCCACACTGGGCGAAAATCTCTGATATTATGCTTGAAATTTGTTTAGAAAAAAAGTGAATTAGCGATGTCGGAGTGAACGGACGTGGCATACACCATTCGAACCGTAACTGAATGAGATTTCAGCATGGCAAATTTCAGCTTTTTTGGAATCAAATTACGCCCGTAATGAGCGAAACACTTTGATATTATATTAGGTCTCAGAAGTATGACTCCGCCGTTTTTCTTTTGCATTTTTTTACAGGTTGCTGGAAGGTTTTAAAATTTCTGTTAAGATCATCTGAAAGAACTTTGAAAACGCTATCCATTGATATACTTTTGTTGTGGTAAAGCTAGAACACAGGGGTTTTATGAAGCTTCGAAGATGACCAACTTCGTCCCTGGAAAATCGTCATTTGCGGGAAATTTTACTCTGCACGTGTAATGCGAGGGAAAACGTCGTTAATGCATCGAATGCTTAGAGAAGCTTACGCTAGTTGTGCTTAGTGAGAAAAAATACGTGGGGGATGCGTTTAACGGTTCTAGCCCCGTGATTTCCAAACCAATCCAAAAAAATTGAAATTGAAGATTATTGGATACAAAGCGATGCCGATACACAAAAAAAGTTAGCCGTCATGCCCAAAGTGCCACAGAAAGCAGTTTCACTCAGTTTTCAACGAATGGAAAAGATCCAAAGAAAACGGACTTTGGTGTCTTATGGATTGACCTGAAACAATATGGAGAACTTGCGAAATTTTGATAGGCAGACAGAAAGGAAGCTATCGTTTAATGACCACAGACAGAAAACGGAACGATTTTGAGAACCCGAAGCGCAAGCGACCGCATGATCTAACATTGCCGGTAAGAAAGCTTTTCTCTGTATATGATGACATAAACAAGATGTTCTTCACTGTGAGCTCTTAAAACGAAGTAAAACGGTTTTTGGCGTCCGTTGACAACCGTGGTAGTTGAAATTGAACGAGCTATGATTAAAGCGGTCGGAATGACCAATTTTTATTTTGTTGCATGATCACGCTAGAACCCATGTTGAAAAACTGGTCAAGGACATCCTAGAACAGCTGGGGTGGGAAGCCCTACCCCGCCCGCTATACCTCTACTGACAACGCACTTTCAGATAAGCACTTATTTCCACCGGCACGCCACGAAAAAAAGTGGAAATAGAGAAATTCGCGGGAAAATGTTTTCGCAAACATTTCGCGCGCCGAAACCGATTACAAATAAATAATAAAAAATCTTTCCAAAATTCTAATAAACAACAATTTACGTGTGAAACCGGCGAAAAAAGCATCGAAAGGATTCTAGGAGGTGCGCCCCGAACTTCTCAGATTGATCGAAGAAGAGAAGAAGTGCTCTTGTACTAGGCACCATTGGATCAAAATCGATGAATCTGACCGAATTCGAGCTCTTCCGGGGTTTACAAGACTAACAGGGCTTTGATCTAGCTACAACAGACCACTACTAACAAAGGGAAGTACCCCCAGTGCGAAGAGCGCTCCGATTTTCTTTAAAGTTGCGGGCACACGTCGGGCATGAACTAAACAACAATTCCTGGAAGTTTTAGTTCGCGCTTTTCAGGCGCCGCCGAGATATTAGAACGATCTTTGCCGCCGAGAGGAGGTACGCTAAGCACGGAGAGCGGACAGAGAGAAAAGCACTTTTTGGCCATAACTTTTCTTGTTTCGTGCGGAAAAAATTGATTTTATGTGGAAACATTACCCTCCACTTCGGTAGAAATAGGCACGCAACTTTTCGTGCCGAAATTCGGCAAAAAAGTGTCAAATTTTCGCCCACTTTCGATCTAAAAATCTCGGTTGTTTCTGCAAAGCGCGAGCTAGGATTCTCGCATATATTTTAGAAAAATCATTCTAAATTTGTGCCAAGTTTCATCAAAATCTGAGCGTCGCACTTGGGGTTTACTTCCCCTGTAAATTGAAATTCATCAAAATCTTCTTTAATTCCACCTAAACATCAAACCAATAAGAATAATCAAAATTACATAAATTTTTGACAATCACATCGCATTTGTCCACGGATGCAATCTGAACTCGGAAATCAATCTCCACACCCTTTGGTACATCATGCTGGCTTTTCACATTCTACTTCAACTTGAACCGGCTGAAATATCAATTATATTATTTTAGGTATAGCCAGAGAAAATTATTAGACTCAACGGCCTAGAAAAACAAAAAAATCAAAAAGACAACGTCACAAACTTACCTTGAAATGTTACTGAACGTCGATCTTGCTTCCTCTGATCCCGCACTTGCTCACGCCTTCTCTTCGCGTTTCTCCATCAGTTCCTACAAAATGGTGCAACAACCATATTGACAAGTGCCCTTTTTCTATTGTCAAATTTCCAGATTTTTTACTTTGAAGCTTGTCACGCTGGCCGGATGTCTGCATCACAATACTGAAACATCAGATTTATGCCTAAACATAAAGACCAAGGAGAAATCTTACTTTTTCTGGAGACACTTCAATGAGGCAGGAAAATCAGTGTTTGTGTCACAACGCGATGGGCACGGGCTCCGTGGACTCATCCATTGTATTCAAAACGATGTCTCTGCTGCTTTGTCTTCATTTTATTGCTCTGATCCAGCTTTTCACGCTTCTTCTCCAGCCCTTTCTCGCGTTTCTCCATCAGTTCACTGCAAAATTATGCAATAATCTATTGACCAAGTGCCCTTTTCCTATTGACTCAAATTTCCAGATTTCTACACATTAAAACGTCCGCTAGGATGTCGCTCACAATACTGAACATCGATTTATACCTAAACATAAAGACCAAGGAGAAATCTTACTTTTTCTGGAGACACTTCAATAGGTGGAAAATCAGTGTTTGTGTCACAGCGCGATGGGCCGGGCTCCGTGGACTCATTCATTATATTCAACGCTTGAGCACTGAAAGCAACGTAATTTTAAAGATAATATACATCCCGAGAGTATTCCAAATCGCAGAGTTACAATACCATCTAACACTGTGTTCGTTTCATTCAACAAAAATTAAAAATATTGGGCGCAGCTCTTGAAATCTCTATTTCCAATTTTACCTTACGTTTTTCGTGGCGTGCATTGGAACTACTTTTTAAGGTGTAGTTGTAATCCAATTTGATATTTTAAAGGCTTGTCAAGGCCTCCAGAATTCATTTTAGCACAAAACAAAAATTTTTTTTATTGGGTAGCTGGACACGGTCAAAGGCCACTTTTTGCTGATGATCGCGAGAAAACTTCTGAGGACAAAAACATGTCATCAGACCAGAAAATTAGAGCGGCTAATTTTTATATATTTCTGAACCAGAAAATTTTTGCGAATTTTTTCTCTTTTTACTCTATCTCGACCTGTAACTCCACACCCCACTGAAGTACTTTTTCCTTGTAAAGTAAAATAAACGTACACACAAGTAAAAATAAAACAAGCCCCGCCTTTTTTTAACTTACATATGTAAGTTATTGGTAAATATAAGTAAAAAAAATTTTACTTATAAGTAAATCCGAGTCCCCTGTGAAAGGAATAATTTTTGCTGGTTTGGAAACGGGCCCGATATTGCTGTTAGAACTCTAGATGATCGCGGCTCCCCCTCCGGAGACCGAGAGTTCGGCATCGTCCGCCGCGACTCACGACTTCCTCTTCAAGTTGCTGATCATCGGAGACAGTGGTATTAGGAACTTTTTCGTTTTGCCTAGAATTCTATAATTTATTCGTTTTGAACGGTTTTGGCCATTTGTACCGTCTATTTTTTGATAAGAAACAATTTATTCTTGGTGCATTTTCAGGGGTTGTTTTGCAGTAGACAATATTGTTTTCAGGTGTGAAAGTCAGCCATTGATGCGATTTGCCGACAATGTTTCTCGATAAGTTTTTATCGTTTTGATTGTATTTTTTTATTCTTAGACAGTTACATCACAACAATTGGTGTGGAGACTAAAAATTCGAACGACCAACAACGAAATTTTCAGGAGTAGGCCTTTGCAGAAGTTATACCTATTGCTGGATAAGAAAGTGAAGCTCCAGATTTGGGTTGCCATTAGACTGAGGAATTTCATTATCACGTCTCGTATGACTACCCATTCTCAAGATCTGAAACAATTTTATATTATTCTAGGTACACCGAGGAACCCCACGAGTTATCGTTGTATCTGATATAACTAATGGAGAGCTTCATAATATCCGACGATGGCTGAATGAGATCGAGAAGAGTTGCAGCAATGTGCCTTACGAATACTTTAAACCGTCGTTACTGAAGTGTTGGAAGTGAAGGAAATAAAGTGGAAAAAATCTTCTGAAAAAAGTAAAACTTCAGCCTCTTTCTTTTTGTCGGAAGAGTCGGCCGAATTCTCACCACTTGGGGAAAGCGTCTGCCCGTCACTCTTTCTTCTCTTCTCCGGAGGAAGCGCGTCTGCGAGCGAGCTCTTCCCGACGTTTATAAGCCCCGCCCCCTCAGGTTTTAAGCCAATCGCTGGGTTAGTGGTTTTCTTGCAGAAAACGGTTGTCTTGGGTAAATTTTTGCCTTTTATTCCGGTGATTTTGGGCGTGTTTTATTTTTTTAGAACTGTGACTACACCTAGCCTTACTATGGCTGTCATTTGAGGTTAAGTGAAAATCAGATACATTCCTATGGTTAACACAAAGTTTAAAAAAATATTTACAGAACAAGTTTCACAGATATATTTATGTGCAACACAAGTAACATCAATTTACCATTGGAATTTGAGACTGGCGGATTCTGCCCATGGCACATTCGTTTCCATATTCACGGTCTCCCTTTCTTCCCCGTTATTTTTCTGAACAATGATCTGTTTGGTTTGTTCGAAGTTTCGAATTTGGAAAAGTGTCACTTTTCGAAAATTTTACATCTAAAATAACAGCTCAAGACTCCTCAAAACCAACTCTCTGGTCCTGCCATTCATTAGCGCACCTGCAGAAACACTCACTAAACTGCACATTTTACCTTATTTTAGACAAGATACCTGAAAATTTCAAAAAAATCTCGGTTTTGACGTATACCTGCCAAAAAATTTCAAAAAATATATTTCGTCATATTTCACCTTTGCTTTCTCCCGTCTCTAGGTATTTCATCACTCACAAAAACAGCGCAAACTCAAAAAATAATATTGCGCTGGTCAAATCCAGCTTAAAGCCCAAAGCACTCAAAATCTTTTTCTTCTCCTCGAAGTCTATGAAGCTGTTACTTACTTTCCATTCAACAAGTGGTGAATTTCTGTCATTGCTGGATCCAGCTTCATCAACTATCACGAGGCCTTATCATAGGACCAAGTTATTTATTGTGCGTTATATCTAAAATGTAAAAACAAAAAATTCTAACTTACGAAGTCGTCCGAATTCTGTAGCGATCACGTACTGTTGAAGTCCAGACATCAAGTGGGCCTGAAAGGTGCAAGAGCAAGTTTATGAATGGAATACACCAGTTGGCCAAGTGGAAGAAGATTAGGCCTGAAATTACGTAAATGTGCTGGCAAATGAGGCAACTGCATTCGCCGCGTCGGATCCATCTTCTTCATCGAAAATTATTTATCATTCATCGATGAGTAGTTTTACCTCCATCTATTGTTGTCGGCCACTTTTCAACAGTCAAAACGACTGAAAATTGTTCGGGCGCAAAACTGCGGAACGCTTTTTTTTCGCTTGGGCTAGGAAAATGAAGATTTTACAGCAACTTTGATGCCAAAAAGGACGACAAGATTGATATACGATTGATGAAGGCCTGCAAACACCATATAGAGGTTGAACTGATTCTGCAAATGATGGACTCTGCCTCAATGTCTGGACTCGGAAAAGGCGTGGAATAATTGGAGTATTGATAGTATTAAAAATCTTTTTTTCCAAAATATCTCCTCATGCGCAGCGGACCGTTCTGAGTAGCTCATGTGGAAGACAAGCACTAATAATGAAGTGGCTGATGAAGAAAATGAAGTCATCTTTTCAGATGGTAAATAGTTTCTTCTGTTTTGGGTGTTGTTTTTAGGAAGGAAAGATTCAACCTTACACAAGTGTCATCAATCAGTCACGCTGGAATGTGACCTACTAAGGAGACTTTTTGCTTCCAGCGACTAAACCCAAATGTAGGCCCACAAAATACACCAAGATACAAGTTTAGCTAGCTCCACCGAATCCACTCATGGCCAGCGAGTTCAACAACTCCATAGATACGGGGAAAAGAACAACCCTGGCTTCGGCCATTATAATATTGTTATTACCATTCGAAGCGCATTGTTTTGTTCTCTCTGTTTTCTCCTATATCTGCTTCTTAAATAGAAGAGTTTATTTTATTGATTAGTTAATCATTATTATTTATTTGATAACGAATGAACAAGATTGTTTAATTAAATTATATTGTCAAAAGTTTTTTTCGCCATTGTAATAAAACATGTTTCAAACATCGTACATTTGAAAAGAACGTTGCTTTATTTGCCTAAGTGTACAACATTTAATTTCAATCTTCCTGGCTTTCCACAAAAAAAACAAACTCCTGCGAAGTGGGCGGAGCCAATAGGCGGAAAGAGTCTCGACCCACCTCTTCCCCCCACCTTGATGGCGGGAGCGTCTGCTCGAGACTCTTTCCACTCTGTTCTTTCCCAAATGGGAAGAGTTCGTAAACACCTCTTCCGAACGAAAAGGAAAGAGGCTAAAGCATTTTCGAAAGTTTTTCCACTCTTATTCCTTCACTCTTATTTTTATTCTTTCCATTTTTAGTTGGGAACAAGATTGATGAGCCTGCCAGACGGGTGGTTTCTGGAAGAATGGGCGAAACTTCGCCGAGACTATGAATTCCATTTTACGAGACTTCAGCAAGGAATGGTGTCAATGGCTCGACAAAGCAAGTGTTAAAAATTACACTTCGAGCTATAATTTGCGAGGTAAAAACCATATAGACACAAACAATTTAGTGGCCTTCTGTTCCCGTATTTTACACCTTTTAGTACATTATTTTTTAGGTGCAATCTTGGCTTTTCATAATCTTATCCACTATTTCCCTCCTAATCTCCCTCTCCTGGCGAATGGTAATGCTCTACTTTGCGTATCGTCGGCTCATCTGCCCGAAAAACTCGACCAGCTCCTCCAACATGCCGAGTCGTCAGCCCACTCTTTTCGTGAGCATCTGGAACAACAAATCTCCTGCCTTCGAGTAAATCGTTTCGCCACTTTTCTCAGTAATACACAATGTTGCTACAACTCCTTAAGCAGTTCCAATTCTGTGGCACTAATCCAGTTGAAACGGCTCTATTTCAAAACTTTGATTTGAACGATAACGGACGACTTAACGCTGTTCGACGGGGGACAGCTCGTTAGCGCTGGTCCATGCAGCAAGGTGTATGGGAAAGATTTAGCCAGGATATTTTATGATTCAGCCATTCCGCGTAATCTTCCATTTTCCGATAATTTGTTACCTAAAATAATATAAAATCAGGGTATGGCCCCAGCCAAAGAAGAAGGAGGGAGGAGGAGGAAAGGCCAAGAAGATGGTCAGAAGGAAAGGTCCGCGACAAGTTGAACAATTCTCTTCGACAAGGCCACCTATGACAAGTCGTCCGTTTTGATCGAACGCCAATGTGAAAGAGATCTCAGACCGTGAATTCTCTAGGAGATCATCAAATACGGTTTTTCTCGTCAATCCCACGTTTCTCCAAGGATAAGGTCGGAAAAGGATAAAAGACGACCAAAGAAGAGAAACAGTCGAGAAAGTTGAAATTGACGAAAAGCAATTGAAGATAACGATGTGGACGACATCTCGGAGCTTCAGCGAAGCGTGGCAAAAAGACGAAATTGCATGTTAAGAAGATCACAAAGAAAAAGGAGACATTCAAGCAGAGAATTGAAGCTAAAATCCGAGCGACTGTTGAATGCAGATGATAACGGGTAAGCTTTTGATTGTCTTTTTGTGTTCTTGGCTTTAGATGGAGATGATAGAAGAAAGAGTTACTGGATTTATCTAAGCGAACATTATCTACTTTAGACCTTGTACTATATGGTTTTGACGATGGCGGATGAAATATTCCGTATGACCGGTTCGATTTAGTTTTTACAGATGGTCTATGGGAATTGGTTTTGCTGTCGGCTTCAAATGCGTTGTGATTTAGACTTTAAATTTTTGATTTTCCATCATAAGTAAGGTGTTTGCTAAAAATGGATTTTTATCCGGAATATGGATGATAAATAGGTCAAAATTGTGGCAGTAGCAAGATAAAAGATAGTTATTCAGTTTATTTACAAGAAGTTCGATATTTATCTACACCGTCTTTCAGTGGAGTCGATATTGAGGAAGGAAAGGAGACCTACTTCCTCGAACAAAAAGACATCGTCAATACCGTCGATACTGCAGCCGCACAAAAAGCGCTACGCTGGACCTGGATCCCATGGCGTACAAAGGCAAAGTATCCGAAATGGTCGGCATCTTCTTCTTGCCGGCCATAAAGGACATTTGGCCGCATTTGATTGGATGACCAAAACCCTGCACTGTGAAGTTAATGTAACCGAAAAAGGTGAATGATATCGCCTGGTTGCACTCAAGAAGGCGTATGTTTGCCGCAGCGCAACTACGGTGGACATACATTTATGACAAAAATGGAGTGGAGTTGCATTGCCATCAAGAGCTTGTTTAATGTTCATTCGTTGGAGTTTTTGTAAACATTTTTTTTGTTGATTTGCTTTGGTAGGTAATTCTATTGTTGTTTGTGAAATTTTAGGTTATTTGAGCCGTAATTGGAAAATATATATGAGTGATTGTTGTCATGGATAATATACATCTTTCAGAGCAATGAGAATTTCTTGAGTTATATGGACGTCTCGACCGGTGAAATGGTGCAATCATGGAGAATCAAACGAAAGAGACCACATGTATGACACAGAATCCATCAAATGCAATAATTGTTAGCGGGAATACCAAGGGTAAGATAAAAAAATTTGATTTTTTTTGTTTTTTAGAGTCGTTTGCAATATGAATTCACTAAACAGTAAAGAGGCCATAATCAGATGTTTAGCCATAAAGCCCCATTGTCTGACCTGTGCATCAGTCGGGATGGGGAAAAAGGATGGTTACAGTAGGACTGGACTGGCATTTGAAGGTCTGGGGCCTGAAATTCTGGAAATCTCCGGCGTATAAGCTGCCCTTCCCTCCCAGCCATGTGACAATCAGTCAAATGGGGCAGGTGGCAGTTGGATGCGGAGTGAACGTTCAGGTGGGTCATGTGTAATATAAAGTTAAGATCTCTGGATATGTGTTTGGTGGGATTGAAGAAATGGTGAAAACAGAAGGTATAATAAAATATTTTAGGTCTATTCCGACCCAAATATCAACACCATCACCAAACCATTCCTCACATATCGAGAAGCTCCTTCAAGTGTCTCCAGCCTTCAGTTTGTCCCTATGAGGATGTAGGCATCCGACATGCTCATGGTTTTGCATCAATAATTGTCCCAGGCTCCGGAGATCCCAGCTTTGACGCCCTGGGGAGGAATCCGTACAGAGAGAGAAACGAAGAAGCAGCGCAGAAAGAGAAGTCCGACAACTCCTGGAGAAACTCCAGCCAAGTATTACTTTGGACCCGACCCAGATCAATAAAGTCAACCGTTCTGAGCTTGAGAAGAAAATAGAGTACAGAATGGTGTTGCTGCGGTGGTCCGACGCCAAACAAGTCAATGGGGCCGTCTCTGGTACTTGAAAGAAGAATCCTCAAGTAGGATGGATAAGAATTTGTTGAATTTTTGATGGTTATTGTTGATTTTAACTTTATTAATCTTGTTGAAATAAAGAAATTATGATCTAGAAAGGTGTAGAACAAGTTTTTGAAAAGGTAGGAAAGGATGAACGGAGAAGTGACAGATCTCGATGTTGCACTAGGCATCTGATGTCTAGATAAAGTCTGTTCTTATAAGTCATTTTAAATGACTTATGCTCATTTACATTCTATGATTTTTATAAGGGTTCTCTGTGCGCTCTTGTTGAATTGACATAATTTCATATATGTTTTTATAGAATCTTATTTATAACAGGACCGTGCAAAAAATGAACATTTATTTCAATCAATAACTCAAACAATAAGCGGCACAAGTATTAGAATAAGACTTCAATGCACGAAGGACCTGTAAGAGATTTTTGATGGGGTGTTCGTCGCTACTGTAGCCGTAGATGTATATTATTGCTTCTAATGCTTCTGGTTTCCGTTGGTCGGAATGAATTCTCAGACAACAATTTGGTCAAATCCTCGAACAAATTACTAAAAATACGTATGTCTCAAGGTAATCAGGCTTGCACAGTATAGACGACAATCTCCATAAATTGGAACAGACGATGGAACGATATACTCCAATGCCATTTCTTTTCGGTCGTACTTTGCCTAGATCAATATAAAAAATAATCGTGATAGTAACACACATTTTCGCTTCCAACAATTTGCATCAATACCCGAGTAGTTTCATTTGGAATTTAAGATGTTGTCGTGAACTGGCTCTTTAGAAACCAATTCGATTCGCCATTGTAACATGATCTGACGGGTTCCAAAAGCTGCAAACATAATCGCTGCTTGTTACCTTACCTGAACCAGCTTCACAAATCATCTTTTAGCGTACGCATCAGAAGATTAAAGTTGCCGATGAAGTCGACCGATGTTTCAAGAGCTACAGTAACCAAATTCAGACCAACGATAATATGTTCTTGATTCGTATCGTCCAAGGGGTTGTTAACTTGAAACAGAGAAACTAAGTCGCAGATATTTGAATCTAAAAAATAAAAAATACCGTAATAATTCCCTAGCTGGTAATATCAGTATAAGACTGAGATGATAAATCATCTTCCGAGGAACTAGCGAGCAACTCTTCGATTTCCATATCTTAGCCAATTCAGTTGGCTCCACCACCAGCTTTTGTTGACTCCCTTTTGTTTCAAAGGCTGTTCTAACAGAGTTTGCCTTCTCCCATGGCATCGTTTTTCCCTTTCAATTTCTGCTGAACAATCGACAAATCGAAGATCGAATTACAACATGATTACCTAAAGATACAAATTTCATAATCTTGGAATAACTTACTTGGTGAAGAAGGAGTTGGTCGAACAACCTCGGCTTTCGGCACATCATTGATGTTAACTTGATCCCTGAAAGGTTCCGAACGCGTTCCTGTAACTCCGTTTTTCGTAATTTTAGCACTTTTCTCTGGTTGTGTGGCTTCAGAAATCGCCTCTTCTTCGGTAACTGGTTTAACATTTGCTTCAATTAAGCTGGACTTCTTCTTTCTTCTTGTAAGGATGATTTGAATCGTAAGTAAAAGTAGGAATCCGTTGAAAGATAGTCTTTGTCATATCAACCAAAGCTGTTTCAGCAGCCATGCGCAATAACGGCTGAAGTTGCATCGATGATACTCGAAAGAGACAATTTGCAGCCTTCATGCAAGCTCTCCTGATTAATTAAGAAACGGCCGCATGGTGCAGTAAGGAGAGAACGCAATACCTAAAACGCAAATCCAGAAAAACAATGGA